CAGGGCGTGCACCTTCACGGACTGACCGACTGCCTGCGCCTGGCGGCTCTGCGTCGAGACGCCGGACGTGCATCGAGTGCTCGAGCGACACGTCGGGGTCGACCCATTCCAGGCGCGACGCATTCTGCCACAAGGCGCAGCGCAAGCCGCAGCCGGCAAAAAAACAGCCACGGGCTGCCTTCAGCGTCGCACGGCACCAGCCTCGACGGTCACGCCGTCCGCACGCAGCTGTGCGGTGCACGCCACGCAGGACATCGCCTCGTCATCACCGGCGCCTCACGTTGTTGCGCAGTGCAGGGCAGGCACGCAAAGCGGCAGGCGTGGAGGTTCAAGTCAGCGCCGCGGCCGCCGTCTGCGCTGACGAGTGCAGGCGAGTTCCGCGCGGGGCCAGTGAGCTCGCGACATCGCGCGACTGTTGGTTGACCCCCAGGTGCACCGCTCAGGCCGGCGTCGAGTCACAAGCATCGTCGCAGCTCGCGGCCGGACCGTTCGATCCAACAAGCCGCTCAGCGCGCCACGCGGCGCGCTGGTCGCACCACTGCAACCTTCCATGGATGCGCTATCCGCCAGCGTGCTTTGCTTCGACGTTGACTGGCTGACCCCCGTCGTCCGCGGTTGCGTAGCCGCTGATCTCTCAGCTGCCGTCAGGTCTTGTGGAGAGACGTCAGGGCATGTGGCGGACTTTCAAGTGCCGCCTCGCGAGCGCGTACCGTTGCGCATGCAACACCTGCTGCGCAAGCGGCGTCATCCTCGACAGCCTGCCTGCCGGCAAAAGGAGTCCGCTGGGCCCGCCTTCCCGTATGCTCCGCCGCTTGGCAGAATTTATAAGCGTGCCCGGTCCTGCGCCGCGCCTCCGAAGCCGTCATCATCATCATCACAGTGCGTGCGTGTCTCGCACCATGCGGTGGCGCGATCCGGCTGCAACAGCCGCCCGCCTTCTGACGACCACGCGTACGACAGGTCGCTGCCGAGCGCAGAGGTTCTTGACCAGAACCACTTGAGCAGCAGGAGATGCCGCAGCGTCGTGTTCTACGCAACCGCTCTCCACGACGCCGTCCCCCGCCGAGGTCCGTCGGCGCGCGACTGGATGCACCGCTGAAGAGATACTGCTCGGTGCGGCAGTGGTCGCATCTCGGCCGGACTCGACGATCTAGCGACCGTGAAACGCACTGAAGTCGTGCAGCGCGCGGCGGCCTCGGGGGGCTCTTGCGATGTCGAAGGACTTCGCGCCGCAGGCTCAGCGAGCGTGATGCCCGAATCACACGCGCGCCGCGCTAGGGCGCGGGCTGCTGCGGTCCCGACGACTGCTGCGCCGACAACTGTCACTGACTCAACACCTTCAATCAAAGCCTCGGAAAACCGTCGCACCAGCGGTACCTGCAGACGTCCCCCTCTACCCGTATCCTCAGCTTCCTGTCCTTGTCCAGCGCCGCATAGAGAATCTCGAACGCGTCCTCCGTCATCCCCATCTCGGTCGACACGTCGAGCCACGCAAGCTTGGTGTTGCTTCTCAGCGCGCCCGCGATGGCTGCCGCCCCGACGGTGTCGAACTTGTGATTCTGCAACACGAGCTCCTTCAGCGCGACGGCGTCTTGCTCGAGCGCGTCTGCGATGCACTCGGCGCCGTCGTCTGTGACCATGCAGTCGCTGATCTCGAGGATCTCCACTCCGTCGCACTGCGAGACCAGCGCGTCCATCAGCAGCTGCACGCACAGGTCGTCCACGCCGTCGCAAGCGCAGAGACGCAGGGCCCGCAGCGTGCGGTTCTCGCGCAGGCCTTGTGCGATCCACGCGACGCCGTCAGTCGTCAGGTCGTTGTCCCCGAGCTCCAGCTCCAGCAGCGACGTGTTGCAGCTCAGGATGCGACCGATCGCAGTGGCGTCCGCGTCGCCGACACGGCAGCCATCGACTCGCAGCCTGCGCAGCGTTGTGTTCTGCTGCAGGGCCTCCGCCACCGCCCACAAACCGACGCGCAAGAGGCTGAGCCGACCGCTCGACACGGCGACCTCCCGCAGCGTCGCGTTGCTGAGCAGCGCCACCGCGATCGCCTCCGAGACGTCCACGACCGGCTCCTCGTCCTCATCGTCATCCTGCGCCCCCGCAGGCTCCCAGTGGCAATCGAACACCTCCACCGTGCTGCGGGCCAGCGCCGTGAACACCGCCTGAGCGCTGCCATCCGCGTCCGGCGCCACGAACATGCTCTCGAGCACCAGCCGTCGCAGCGCCTTGCTGCGCTGCATCAGCTCCGCGATCGACCGCCACGTCGGCTCGGAGATCGTCGACATGTCGCGCAGCTCCAGCGTGTGCAGCCTCGTGGCGTCCGCCCAGCTGAACGGCTCGTCGCTCGCCGTCAGGACGACCTCCTCCAGGCCCGCCGGCGGTGCTTGCGCCGCCCGCCCGCACTCGTCGACATTGAGGCTGACGCCCGCCATCTCCAAGCGCCGCAGGCAGCTTGCCTGCTGGATCCCGGCCAGGAACGCCTGCGTCTCGCCCGGCTTGCCGAAGGTCACGCCCGACAGCTTGAGCGTCGTCAGGCGGCCGATGGCGACCAGCCGCCCCCAGCACGCGGGGGGCGAGTCGAGCTCCAGGTGCTGCAGCGCCGACAAGCCGCGCATGTCACGGTGCAGCGCGGCGGTCTCGACTTCCATCCGGTACGACGGGAGGTCCCCCACAATGGAGGAGATCTGCAGGAAGCGCAGGTGGTCGCACACTGCACGCGCCTGCAGCACGCGCTGGAGCTGCAGCACGCGCTGGAGCTGCAGGTGCGCTTCCCCCGTGGTGCTCCTCGACCCCCCCCGGGCCGGAACGCTCAGCCCCGTCACGCGCGCCGCGCTCCCCCACTCCCCGCGCAACAGTCCCCCCACCAGCGCGATCCACTTGCGGCAGAACACCTCCCCTCGGCCGCCGGCCTCGGGCAGGTCGCCCTCGACGCACTCCAGCCCCTTGAGCAGCGGCGCCGCGTCCGTCGCCGCCACCCTCACGCCGCACGCCGTCAGCTCCCCACGGCACGGCCCGTCCTCCATCTTACGAGCCAAGACGCGCAGCACCGGGTCGTCCCTGCGGACCTTCCGCACCGCCCGGCAGCCCCGGAGCACCGCCTCTGCCGCGTCCCCGCACGTGGCGGCCAGGTTGGCCTTGTCGGCGTTTGAGAGCATGTCCAGCACGCACGGCGCCTCCCGCAGGACGCGGCCGAAGAGCTCGCCCTCGTCTCCGGGCGTCTGCGCAAAGTGGCGAAAAGCGTATGTCAGGGCAGAATCGTGGTGGTCCCACGTGCGCGTCTCGCAACCGGCGCAAGCTGCATGGGAGCCTGTGCGGCTGCGTCGGCACACGAGCGGTATCTCCGGCGGCGGCTTGATCTCACCATCTCTGCTCAATCGTTGGGCGCGGAGCGGCGCAACTTCGCGGGGAATCTCCTCAGCAGCCGCGTCCAGCGGCTCCGAGCAGCAAGTGCGGTGCCGCAGCGAATGCTGGGCACGTCGATGCTCCTGTGCTGGTCTTGTCGCGATCCCACCGAGGTCAGACGCAGCCGAGATGACAACCGTCTCCGCGGTCTCCGCTCTGCACGAAGCTCACGACCGCAAGCCAACACGCTCAGCTCTCATGCAAGGCGGGAACGGGCGTTTCCAGGGATGGAACGGGCCGTGCCCGTCAGAAGCGCGTCGTCATGCATGTACAAGCTTTCAAGAAGCTGCCGACCAAAGCTGCCCGGCGGGCGTTCAGGCACGTACACGCCGCGTGGAGCTGCCTGAGTTGCAGGGTCGCGAAGGCTCTCACCCGCAGGGACGCGCAGATGCCGTGACGGTGCGAGCGAATGGCCAAACATGATCTCTTGCCCGTCCCGCGCTCCAATCTAGCCGGGAGGCGTCAGCGCCAGGGCATGGCCGCCTGCTGAGCTCAGGGGGGCGGGGTTCCCGGCGGGGGGCTCTGGGTGGCTGCGCGGAGGCAGGCGCTGCACTCGGCAGGCCCACGCGATGCTTTTGCGCGGGGCCGATCACGGCGGGTCAGGCGAACGAAGACGTTGGAAGCCCGGCGTGCCAGCGAACCAGGACCATCTGTGGCGGTTGAAGAGAAAAGAGCTCACTGCAGAGAGCGCAACCTTTGCTGCTTCTGCCTCGCGCCATCTTCGAGAGTCACTGAGCGTCTGGCTGCCCGAGCAGAGTGGCTGTGTCGTGCATGTGATCCAAGCGGCGAGCACGATTGCCAAGGGCGAATTTTCTCATTCAGAGCTCCCCAGGGCCGAATTTCGGAGATGTACGTCGCGTATCAGGCCATAATATGTACAGACTCGCGATGGTGGGCAGCAGGATGCCTGAGAGACGCGCAGGCGCTGAAAGAATCGGCGTTCAACAAAGAGCACTTGCTCTTTCCGGTCCTGTGCTCTCATGTCATCGACCATGCGTCGAGAACTGGCGCACGAGACCACCTTTGTGCGCCTCGCCCCACCCCCCGATCGCGCTTCGATTGCGCGGCGCGCAGGGGAACTACCGGTCTGGGATGGCAATGTGCGGTGGCGCAAGATCCCGTCGCTGCCGGCATCCGCCTCGGAGGCGACGCATTCGCTGGCGCCTGCGGGGAAGGCGCTGTCTGCGAGGAACAGCGGGTGCAGCGGACCGGTCCCGGGGGACAGAAAGGCCCCCACTGTCGATGCCGTGACAGCGCGCACGGCGTTCCGCGTCTCTGCTCCCATGAGGCCAGACGGTGCGCGAAGTCTTGGGTGCAGGCCTGAGTCTGGTCGACAGCCGGTTCATACACTGGTACCATGTGCGCTGACGAGAGAGGCGCCCTGCATCATTCGGCTCACACGGGCGCACAGACCGGGCCCTCTTCTCATGCGCAGCTCGTTTTATGCGTACCGAATATCCAGCCCCAGACCTTGCATGCAAATGGCTGCCTGTTGCCGCAGGCGCACCCACCAGTGGCCTGCGCTCGCCTGTCCATGTCATGCGGCCCCTGCCGCGTCGCGGTACAGACCGATCGGCTGCAGCGTGCGCCGCGCGGCCTCAGTGATCGAGCGTGCCGCCGACAGGAGGCCTGGGCAGCACCTTGGTGCTGATTTTCCTGACGGCCAGCGCCTCGCCCAGCGCCTGCATGCCCGCTTCCCCGATGTCGTTCCCCTGCAGGTCCAGCTTCTCCAGCATGCAGTCGTCCGACCTCAGCGCCTCCGCGAGTCGCCGCGCCCCCGGGTCCCTGACGCCGGAGTTGCGCAGCACGAGACGCCGCAGCCGGCTCTTGCTCCCGGCGCTGCCCCACAGCCCGTCGACGAGGGCCACGGTGGCAGCGTTGCCGACGTCCTCGTCCCAGTCGCCGCTGGAGAGCTGGATGTCGAGGGTGCGCAGGCTCGTAATGCGGGCCAGCCCTTGCGCCATCTGCCGCAAGCCATCATCAGAACCGTTGAGCGCGTAAGTGCCGAACCTCCCCCTCAGAGAGAGTTCCCTCAGCGTGCGGTTGCGGGAGATGTTGGCGCCGAACTCTGCCGCGTCGAACTGGCCCGGATCGACGCGCAGCGGGTACCGCAGCCTCTCCAGCGTCAAGTTGCCACCCAGCGCTGCTGCCATGGCCCGCACGGCTGGGCGGCGCGGCCCCGACATCTCGATCTGTTCGAAATCCACATACTTGTAGCCGGCCTCTTGGCTGTACGCTTCCGCCACGACCAGCTCCTCCAGCGTGATGTTGCGCGCAAACAGCTCCTCGAGCGCAAGGATGACCGACTCGAAGAGCAACACAGTCGGAGGTGCCACGAAGTACGCCTGCTTGACCGACGTGTTCTCCGACAGCGCCAACAAGACGTCTGCCATGCCCCCAGAAGCCGCGCCAGGATCGCCATCCATGGCGCATGTCTCCACGCAGAGTGTCTCCACGCTCTTGGTCGCCCGCAGGATGCTCGCAATCGCCTGGTTCTGCGCCCGGCCGACGAACGAGTGATACAAGAGGTTCAGCTCCCGCAGAGACGTCGTCGCCTGCCTCGCCAGCACCCTGAGCCACGGAAGCTCCATGTGTCCGCTGCGCCTCCATGTTTCCGAGCTGCGCTCGCCAAACACCTCGAGGCGCCCAAGTCGGTTCCCCGACGCGAACCAGCGCTCCAGCCTGCCGTCGGGAACGCCGCAGTCGTCGAGGCGCAGGTCTCGCAGCCGGCTTGCTCCCGCCAGCCACGTGAGAAACACCGTCGTCGCTTGCGCATCGAAGCTCACCGAGGATACGCGCAGACGCTGAAGCGACGCACACTCGCTGATCAGGCTTGCGATCGCGGGGTCCCCGACGATTGGTGTGGACGTCCACCCGCCACCTGCCTCAAGGTGCCGCAGGGTTGGCATCTCCCTCAGCGCGCCGTGCAGCGCCGTCACGTCCCGCGACAGCCCCATGAGGGAAAGGTGTCGCAGGTGGTCTCGGACCGCGGGGAGCGTCAGCACGGACCGCAGCGTTTGCAGCTCAGCTGCGCTTGCCAAGCTTCTGGCGTAGGTGTCGACGGGCATGATCAGCGCCGTCACGCGCATCGCACCCGACCCCGCCGTCGACGAGTCCTGTAGCAGCCGCGCCACAAACTGCACCCACTCAGCCGGCCCCTGCGCCCCCTCGCCGAACCTCCTGATGGAAGTCCGCTGTGTTTGTTCCGACACTGGGGCCGCACTCTGCAACGCCGCGTGCAGCGCACCCGCGTCCGTCGCCAGCACGCCCACGCCGCGGCACCGCACCGTGCCCTCGCATTGACCGGGTCGCAAGCGCTTGCCCAGCCCTTGCAGCACTGCGCTGCCAATGCGCAGCGTCAGCGTGGTGTCGCAGTGGCGCAGGATCGCCTCGAGCGCGCTCCAGCACGTCGTCGCCAGATGCACCTTGTCAGTCACCGGCAGATCGCTGAAGATGGCGGGGGTCTCGCGCAGCAACCGCTCGAAGAGCTGTGCGGCGCCGGCGTCCCGCTGCTGGTCCCTCTGCAAGCACGAAGAGGCCAGAACATCGCGTCTCGGACATCGCCTCTGGACCCTGAATGCGTAAGACTGGATCTGACATAAAACGGGCTGTGCTGTGGATCGTTTCCCGCGGACAGGCGAGGCCAACCACCAGCGCACAGATCTTTCCGGTCGCGCTGCTACTCGCGAGCGTGCATGAATAGCTGCCAGCGTCGCCGCACATGACTCACCATGATCGACACGTCGACAGCTCAACGCCGGCTGAGTCGCGGGAGGGAGCCCTGAAAGCGCAAAGAAACCTGCAGCAAAGAAAAAAGCGCGGCCGCGCGAATTCAGAGCAACTCCTGCCCCAGAAAACATGACAGTCAGAGCGCCGAAGACATGTATATCGGGTCTGCGCGCAGAAAAGCCACGTCCATCCCTCCTAGGCAGCGTGAGAGGGCGGCGACCTTGCGCAACCAGGAGGTTGGGCTGCGCGCGGCGTACCTTGCTCTTCAACTGCGACTCTGCGGAGGAAACGACACGGATGAGTATCAGAGCGTCCCGAAACTGCACCGCCCCGCCCCGAATCCGCCCCACAAGCCCCGCGACCGACCGATTCTCACGTCCTCGGGAACTCCGAGGTACAACGTCGCGCTTCGCGCCAGAAGCTCCCCCAGTCCAGCCCGTTCGCCGCCCGCGCTCGCGATGGATCACCCCGGAGAGAGCAAGGGCCAAACCCGTCCGGTCGTCCGCCCAGCGCCCTCAGCAGGGGAAGCTACAGTAGCGCATTGCATCCCGAGGTCCTGCAGGGGCAGTTGGTCGGCCATGCGATGGTTCCGCGCTGCGGACATCGTGCGACGGGTCGCGTGTATGCGTGTCGCCGCGCATGTCGCCGCGCACACCTCTTCGCGCTCTCGCAGTCGCCGCCAGCGCAACACCCCATGAGCAGTCGGTCGCGGCGACTTCTAGCACCGCCGCCCGCCCGGCAGTGCCCCCCCCCTGCGGCGCCTGCGCCGTGTGAGACGCGCCTGTCATCGCCCCCCCCCCTGGTTCCCCTTCTTCTTCTTCTTTTTGTTTTTCTTCCCACCTGACGCAGTTGAGGCTCCGGGGGGGAAGGACGGCGTATGCTGCGCCATCGCCGCGTGCCAGGCGTACGGTCTGAACGCGAGGAACGGCCGCGGGTACGCCACCGGCCTCCACGACGGTGGCGGGCCCCACGCCATCACCGGGAAGTGCGGCACCATGTAGGGCCGCTGCTGCATGTAGGACCACATGGCCGGATGCCCTGCTCCCGGAACGACGAGACCACTGCCGGGCCACTGCTGCGCTGGCGGGTGCGGCGGCGGTGCAGGCGTCTGGTGCCCCGCGGCTTGTTCCTGCCCAGGAGGCACGGATTGCTGCCCCGACGGGCCGGCTCCCGCTTCGCGCCTCGCCCGGCCCTTCCGCGGCGGCGGCGGCTTCCAGCCCTCCTCTCCCTCCGCCCACGCGATGCCCACCTCGCCTGCCTCCCACCGCTTGGCGTTCTCCCTGCACCGCGGCGAGGACCACGCCGGAGCCAGCGGGCGGGCACCCCCGTCCGCGTCGCGGCCCCTCGCGTGCCTTCTCCACTTGCCCGCTGCTCTTGCGAGCTTCAGATCGAGTTGGGACGTGCTGTTCAGCACTCCCTCCAGCAGGGAGCGAGAACCCTGCGGGGACGTGCCCGACCCCTCCAGGTTCAGGAAGCGCAGCGAGGAGTTGCTCGCCAGCGCCGCCCCGAGCGCTCGAGCTCCGTCATCGTCGACGTAGCAGCCGCTGAGGTCGAGCGACATGAGCGACGCGCAGCGCTGCAGAGCCTCCGCGAAAGCTGCCGCGACCTTCGAGCCGTCCCTCTCTCCGCGCGCCGCATTGAAGGCGCTCCCGAGATCCAGCCTTCGCAGGCTGCGGCTGTCCGTGAGGGCACGCGCGATCTCCGTGCCACCCAAAGCGCCAAACAAGTTGTACGAGGCGTCGAGATCGCGCAGCGCCGAAGTCGGCGCTCGGATCACCGCTGCAAGCCTGCATGCAGCAGGGTCGCCCAGCTTGTTCCGCGACACGTCGAGCCTGCGGAGCATGGGGTGGCGCAGCAGAGCCGAGGCAACTGCGCAGCCCCCGGCGTCTCCGATGCGAGCTGAGCGCAACGCCAGCTCCTCGAGCGACGTGTTGACCTGCAGCCCTGCCGCAACCGCAGTCGCGCCACCGTCCTCCAGCCAGTTGTGGCTGAGGTCGAGCTTCCGGAGACAAGACGTTCCCGCGAGCCCCATGCCCAGCGCCCCGCAGCCCAGGAGCCCGATGCCGAACCCGACGAGGGCCAGAGAGGTGAGCGACGTGCTGTTCAGGAGGCCAGCTCCGATCCCCATCGCCCCGTGGTCACCGACGGGCGTCGTCGTCGTGTGGAAGTCCTCTGCTGCGTCGGACTCTGCTGCGTCGACCGCGACGCACCCCGACAGGTCGAGGGACCGCAGGGAGCGACAACCCGACACCATCCGCTCCAGATAGACCGCCGCCTGCACCTCGTGGTCGTCGGCCGTCGGGTCGGGCTCTGCCGTTTGAGGCGGCGGAGCGCCGTCCAAAAAGGGGTTCGCCGTGGCCGCCGCGCGATGCACGTCCACGTCGTAGACGTTCTTCCACCCCGTTAGACGCACGTGGCGGATCGTGACGTTGCCCGCGAGCTCCTTGGCGAGTGCGACGACCCCTCGCGCTCGAAGTGGGTTCTCCGCCAGCGTCAAGGACAGCAGGGACGTGTTGCCCGCAAGCGCCGCGCCGATACTGGCCGCCCCGGGACTTTCGAAGAAGCAGCTCGTGAGGTTGATCGAGCGAAGGGAGCAGGCGTGCCCGAGCGCATGTGCGATTGTGACGGCGTCCGTGCTGCCGTTGCAGGTACGCGTCAGGTCGAGATGCTGCAGCGTGCTGTTCTTCGACAGCATCTGTCTGACCGCCGAAGCAGCGCCGAAGGACTGGTTGTCCGACAGATCCAGGGTGCGCAGGTTGGTGTTGTTCTCCAGGGCCTGGATGATCTCGTCGCTGGGAAGGCGGCAGTTGCCGCAGTGCAGCTCCGCGAGCTTGACATTCTTCTTGAGGGCCCGTGAGAGGGGCGATTTCAAGCCATACGGCTCCTCGTAATCATAATAATCATAATCATCCGCATACCACCGGCTCAGCTTCAAGCCGCGCAGCTTGAGACACTGCAGCTCGTGGCCCTGTTCGAGCTCATCCGCCACGCCCGCGACGGTCTTGTTCGTGACCCTCGTGCCGCTCAGGTCCAGTCGCCGCAACGTGGGGACCCGCCGCAGCAAGGACGGCAGCGCGTATGCGAGTTCGTCGTCACCCAAGCCGCGGTTCTCGCTCAGGTCGAGCACGGTCAGGTGCTGCGCGGCCATCAGCTCTCGGTCGAGTAAACGTGTTCCCGACAGAGGCAGGCACCTGGAGATGTCGAAAAGCTGCAGGTGTTGTCGCACCTCCCAACGGTCCAACAAGGCCGCCACCCGCTCCTGCAGCGCCGACGCCTGCGCCTGGTGCGATTCCGACAGAGCCCGACGGAGCCATGGAGCCTCCAGCTTGACGCCCAGCACTCGCGGGAGTGCGGCGTCCTCCGCGGATTGCGACAGCGCGAAGAACGCGCGGTTCGCCTGCCTGCTCGGCTGGCCCCGCAGCAGCCACGCGACGTAGTCCTCCTCGCCGGCCGCGCGCGCTGCCCGCCCCATCGCACGGAGCGCAGCGGCGTCCTGCGCGGGCACCACCAACCCCTCGCACTGCAGCCGCCCCTGGTAGTCGTCGCCGTCGGCGCCAGGCGGTGAAACAGCCCGGGACAGGACGTCCAGCACATCTCCATGTAGGTCCACGACCAGCGTCGCCGGCTGGTACCGCAGCACCGTCAGGAGCGTGGACCAGCTCGCGCTCGCCACCGCGGCGGTGTCTTCACGTGTCAACAGGGAAAGCAGGCCGGGGACGTGGTCCAGGACCGTCTCCAGCAGGTGCCGTGGGCGCCCGGTCGTCGCCGTTGCCTGCGAGGAGGTTCACGTGGGTGGCGCGGGTGAGTTCGAGGGCGACATGAAGGGATGCAGGGTCGCAGGGATCGCATGCGCAGCGCATCGCATGAAACAGGATCCATCGTGGCGCTTTCTGTGAGCATACAAGGCATATGTGAGAGGCTATCGACTCACCGCGGCGTCAACATCGCCGGAATGCGAGGGCATCGTGAATCCCTGCCTACGCAACTGCAGAGGCGACCTGGCGCAGAAGCGTCCCCTCGTTTCGGGCTGAACCGTGGTGAATCCAGTCTGTAGGTTTGCGTGACTGCCGTGGTGCACCGTACGCCCCCGTTTCTCACGTCACGCGTTCGCACGCCCGATACTCATCTGCAGGAACAGCCAAGCAACGGCGCCGGGATCGGTATGCCGCACTACATGGACGTTCCAGAGTGCCTGTTCGATGTGAAGGACGCCCCTGTACGTCGCTATTCCCGCGGCTTGCGAGCTAGGGTGTGCAGTTGCGGAGGGCAGGTGCACCTGTGTTGTCCCCTCCGGTCATGCGCTCATCCTTGGCGCGCAAACATCACGCGGGAAGTGCACGATGTCGAGCATGCGAGAGGGACCTAGGTGGTCGTGGTGAGTCGCGCGATGCGGCATCATGCCATCGGGTGGTACCGGGTGCGTGCGTCAGGGGGGGGGCCGCGAGACTGTCGTGGCAGTCATGGGATGGGATGCGAGCGCGGAGAGCCAGGGCGCGGCGGCCACCGCCAGCACCTGAACGTGCCCAGCGCGCAAGGCATGCTCGCTTCCTGGCGGCCCTGCCGACTCAGGCTGCTGTGTCGCAACGCAGGGCTGTTCGCGAGAGCTCACGGCGCGACTGGTTGCAACTGAGCGGCCTCACAGATTCACTGCAGCTACCCCGGCGAGTTGGGAGGAGGTGCCGGTCGATCGCACAGTCACAAGTCGGCCACATGGGTGCTGCGGCAGCGGCGACGTACTGAGGCGGTGAGAAGCCCCTCGGTCCCCGACGCATTCCCGCCCAACGCGCAGACCGCGGAGTGCGTGCGGGCACCGGTCGCTGCTCCACGCGACGCAGTTCGCTGCCATCGTACGTCAGAGCCCCCACGTCGTGGGCAGTCGTCCCTCCCGCTGTGCACCTGCAGCCGCATCTGATCGGCCTCGGGAGGTCGCGCGTGCGATTCCGTCGGTCGTTCAGTCCTGGGGCGCGAGGTCGCCGCGTCCGTGCCCGACGTCCACCAGGCGCCTCGCAGCCGCGTACTTTTGCGCGTCCAGCAGCTGCTCGGCCAGCGGCGTCCACTCGACGGTCTTATCGACGTACCGGAAGCCGGTTGTTGGCCACACCTCGGGGACCACCCTCTCGACGATGGTCGCGAGATTCAGCCGCCGCAGCGTGGTGTTCTTGATCAATGCTTTCGCGAGGCTCTCGCGCCCTCGGTCCGTGAGCCGAAGACTGGTGATCTCCAGGGACACCAGCGGGCAGCGGTCAGACGCCAGAGCCCTCGCGATGTGCGTCACGCCGCTGTCCCCGATGTTGACGTTGCGGAGGACCAGCTCCCGCAGCACGCACATCTCGCTCGACAAGCCAGCCGCGATGTGCCGCGCGCCCTCGTCGCCCATCGATAAGTCGCAGATCTCTAGCGTTCGCAGTCCGCAGCGCACCGCCCCCCCCAGCAACCATCCGTCACGTAAGGGGTCTTTGTTGCACCGACGCCCGCAAAACAGCGCGTCCACGAGCCTCTCCATGCAGTCGGCCGCCTCTTGCTCGCTGCTGCAGAGCTCCGGGCACATGTCCATGCGCAGGACCTGCAGCGAGGAAGACAGACACCCGTTGGGAGTCATCGATGCCTGACGCGCGGATCGTTGCAGCGAGTGTCGACCTCCACCAGCGTGGGGGTGTCACCGCCGAGGCTGGAGATGGCGAGCATGCGGCTGCTGCAGACGTGCGAGAGCGCCGCGGGCGGGGGCGCGCGTCCTGGAGCACTGGCGGCGCAACACACACCAGAGCAGCTGGAACTACCGCGAGTTCACCCTGGTGACGATGACTGCGTGCGATGCCATATGCTCGCCGGGCACGAACCTGGAGCCGGGCATTCAAGGTCAGCCCCCGCGACATCGTAGCGATGCCCTTTGGCGAGATTGTGGTGTGTGCTTGCAGGCAGAACTCCTCGAGCGTGTCGGCGCGGAGAATGTCAGCGAATGCGGCGGCGCTGGCATCGCCCATCTCCCTATCAGCGATGCGAAGCACCCGCAGCGTCGTGTTGCCGCGCAGCGCCTGCGCAACTGCCGCCCAGTCGACGCAGTCATTGGGCTCCGAGAACGTGTCCCAGACGAGCTCGAGCTCGCGCAACGAAGTGTTGGCCTTCACCGCCGCGACGACAGCCTGCGTGAGAGGCGCCTTCGTCTGCGCGCGGGCCAACCACGTGCACGACAACACCTCGACAGTGCTCTGTTCCAGCGCTGAGACCACGGCACAGAGGCCCTCCTCGGCAATGGTGTGATCGCAGGACAGCTTCACCCGCCGAAGCGCCCGACTCCGCCGAATCAGGTCCGCAACGTCCTCCCAGCAAGACATTGACCTCTCCCCCGCGCCCTCGTCACGCACATCCAGCACGTGCAGGTTCGTGGCGTCCTGCCAGCAGTACGGACGGTCGCTCCTGTCGACCTCGATCGCCTCGAGGTGGGACGGCGGCGGTCGTACTTCATCGTCGTCGTCGTCCTCCGAGCACGAGGACTCCGAGGCGGAACTCGCCCGACGGTGGCGGAACCGCACTTCGCGCAGGCGCAGGCGCCGCAGATGACTGGCCCGATCTAGACCGTCGAGGAAGACGCGCGTCTGCTCGAAGTCGAACTTTGCCTGCGAGAGGGTCAGGCTCGTGAGGGAGCTGCAGGTGCTGATCACGCGCACCAGGTCCTCCACGGGGCGCGCTGCGACCTCGATGTCCAGGTGGCGCAGAGCCGAGAGGCCGCACATGGCGTCCAGCAGCGACCACTCCAGCCGCTCGACCAGCGGGGACTCCCTGAACACCAGCGAGATCTGCAGGGAGCGCAGGTGCTGTCTGACGCCGCTTGAAGATAGGATTTGCGACACCGTCACCACGTCCGTCGTCACGTACGGCGGCACGCGGGCCCACTGCGGAGCGACGAGCCCCGTCACCCGCGCCGCGTCCTCGTCGCGCGCCCCGCTCCCCAGCAGCCACGCGCAGTTGTACCACTTCGCGACCTCCGTCGCCTCGTCGTCGGCGCCATTGCCGTCGTCGTGCACGTCGACGAAGGCCTCGTCGACCTTCTCCATCGCCGCAAGCAGCTGCCCCGCGTCCGTTGCCAACACCTGCATGGTGCCTCCCTTCAGCGAGCCATGGCACGGACCCTCCTCCATGCGCCGCGCCAGGACTTGCAGCACAGGGTCGCTCCTGCTCACTTTCAGCACCGCCCGGCACCCGCGCAGCACCGCCTCCAGCACGCTCCAACATGTCGCCGCCAGGCGCGCCTTGTCCTCGTCCGACAGCCGGTCGAGCATGCACGGCACCTCGCGCAACACGCGCCCAAACAGCGCACGTCGCTCCGCCGCCTTCTGCGCGACCAGGGGTCGGGGTCCGCGTGTCAGAGCGCGTGGCAGCTACCACGCGGTGTGATCAACGGTGCATCCAGCGAGTGCTGCAAGGAATACGTTGAGCGTATCGGCGGCGTAGAGGGCACTTCGCACCATCTCGCGGCCGAATCGAAGCGCGGCAGTACGACAGACCCTCCCAGATACCGCGCCCCGCGCCACCGCCCTCCTGCCCCAGTCCTGGCCCGCCAACGCAGCGGTGCGGCGCACCTCGCACGCCGCCGCCGCCCTCGATGCGACCTGGTGAAGATGATCTCTTCCGGCTCGCAGGCGACGTGGTTGTCGTCCTCGCTGGAGCTCCCCGGTCGCCCACGACCAACAGGCGGTGCTCTGTACGCACACACGGGCCGCTGACGGGGTTTGTACAGGGCGAATCAATCACGTAGCAAGTCCAAGCGTCAAACAGGCCTCACGTTGCGTCTCTCGTGTGTGCGTCCTCTGCCGACGGCCGTGGCGCAGAGCTGCCTGGAGTTCAGGTTGCGCCCCTGCGGCCTCGCTCGCTGCAGCCCGCGACGCCTCGCAGATCCTGCAGTTGTGTGCTGGGCGACCACCTATGTCGCAGCCGTCACGCGCGCGCTCCCGAGGTGCCCGGACAGCGCCCTAGAGGGGCGCTGAGCACTGCTGGTTGCCAGACTGACATGGGCATCTTGGGGCGCGGAGCACGTCGCGAGGTCGCCGCGCAGCACACGGCTAGACAAGCCGGCGGACCTAACGCCCAGCATCGCGATGGAGAGGGCGCAGCACCCTGCCGGTTGATCTGAGGTGAGGTGTTACATGCTTCTGTGTACCACGGGTAGTGGCGGGCCGTCGCAGAGGTAGTGATCGCACGCGAGCCCCAGCGTCTGGGCGTGCGCCGGTCGCGTTCAAGCGTCGTTCCCCGGGCCAGGCCGTTTCAGCTCCCCGCAGCACACCGCACGCCGGTGTGGTGTCGCACACTGGGGGCTGCGCGCCGCAGACGTGGCAACGTGCGGGTGAGCCGTTGAGACCGAGCGCCTCACAGTCTCGCTGACGCTATCCCGGGGCGGGTGTCAGGGCGGCCGTGTGGCGCAGGCAGAGGTGCCCCGAGAGGTGCCGCTGGTGGAGAGAGAGCCTGGCTGGACGGCTTCTCTCTTCCTCAGTTCCGCCGCGGTCCTAATCCTGCAGATCGGGATGGCAGTGCAGGCGCGTGAGGGCCCGGATCTCCGGCACCGACGACGACGGGGCGGCGCTGCGACACGATGGAGGGTGGGCGCCGCTCTCCCGCACAGGCACACGCACCAGATAGAACAGAGTCACGAGGCGTTTTCGCGCCCGGGCCTCGCTCGCGGTGGAGAGCAGCAGGCTGCTGTCGTGGAAGGCGAAGATGATGACCTGCTCCACCCGGTTGACAATGTCGCGGTTGCATATCTGCGGCGGACCGGGACGGGCGCGCGACCGTGACCGGGACGGGTCGGGCGCGCGCCACGCGTTGCGCGCGGGACGGTCCAGGCGCGTGCGTTCGTTTCGCGGTTGGTTGCGTGCGGGCACACCTGGGAGGCCTGGTACAAGCTCAGGCCGTCGTTCTCCGGGCTCTCGATGACCTTGCAGCCCGCGTCGCGCACCTGCACGCACGCGCACGCGTCCGGGCGCGGTGGGGCCGGTCCGCGGCGCGGCGGTGGCGTCTGGGCGGGCGGGCGCGGGCGCGGGCGCACCTGTTCGAGGAGCTCGCGGGACTCGGCGGGCTGGAGGTAGCTGGACTGCGGGAGGACGACGAGGAGGTTCTCCGCGACCTCGTCCTCGGGCGCGCGCAGGGCCCCGCGGATGACGGCGGCGTTGGTGCCCGTGGCGCCGCTTGTGACCAGCTTGTTCCCCGTGATGATCATCGCGTACGCCAGCGTCTCGACTGCGGGCGGGGGCGGGCGCGCCGGGGCGGGTCGGGCCTCCGCGCGCGCGTCGGCGGGGCGCGGGCAGCGCGCGCGTGCGTGCGGCGCAGCGCGGGGGACTCACCGAGCTTCTGGTGCATGAGGCCCAGGTTCCGCGTGCCGAAGAACCCGATCTTCTTCGGGTCGTTGTCTGCAGCGCGGGCGGCGGGGCGCGCGGCGTCGGGCGGCGCGTCGGCGGCCCGCAGCGCGCGCCGTGTGCAGGTGAAATGCGCCAGGCGGGCGGGCGGCGGCGGCCACGGGCGGCAGCACGGCGCCGGCCCGGCGCGGCGCGCCCGTCTCGCGCGGGTCCGCACCTTGGATGGCGCGCAGCTCGCTCAGGTAGTCGAGCGCGTCGTCCTTCTCCTTGACCTCTGCCACTGCCGCCTTCTGCCCCCCCTTCGTCACCATGTCCGCCTGCGTCGGCAAGGTCCACTCGCTCTCCCTCCCCGGCGTGCTGTCGCCAAACCTGCGATCGGGGGCGCGGCGGCGAGGCGGTGGGCGCGCGCACGCGGGAGCGCACCGGGCCGGTCCGCGGTGGCGCTCCCCCGCTGCGACCCGCGCGCACACGGCCGCCCAGGCCGAGATACTATCGCGCGGCGGCATGGTGCCCGCTGAGCTGTGCGCAGGGAGGCCGCCCGCCCGGCTGCGAGCGCAGTACACGCAGGCAGGGCGCAATGGCGCCCAGGTGGTTTCAGGAGGAGGGTGCACCGCGCTCCGTGAGTGCGCCTGGAGGATCCCGCGAGCGACGAAGCCCACGCCTGAAAATGGACGAGATCCCTCCGCGCCCCGAAATGCGCAGGTGAGGGTCGATTGGCGCGCAGCGGGGGCGTGGATCGTGAACGAGGCTTTCGCAAGCCCGCGACGCACCTGCCACGCACGGCCCGCCTATCCCCCCGCCCCACCGCCATCACCCTCATATTAACACGCGTGCCGCTCGGAGACGCGGCCCTCCACACGCCCCGCCGAGGCATAATCGGGCAGAGGCTCGAGTGCTTGGACCCGACCGCAGCGTGCCGGCCGCACACCATCCTCGACGCGTCAGAGGACGCCGCGAGCCCGTACATCGCTGCTGCTCGGCGCGAAGCGGGCCAGCGCTGCCGCACACACGCCCCCCGCCAGCGACCTCCTTGCTCTCCGGCAAGCCACCCAGCCGTTCGCCCGCCTCAGCGCGACCCCGTGCGACGAAGACTGACCGCTCCGCGACGGACGGAGTGACTGCATGCGCCCCGCGGTGCCCGCGCGCCTCCAGCCCCCGCGCGCGCGACGCCCCGCTCGGCCCGGCGTGTTGACCCGCCCGCGGTCAGGTGGGGCGTCCAGTCCGCCTGCGCGGCCGCACGGGGGCGCGGGAGCCAAGCGCGGCGGCGCCGCGCGCGCGTCGCAGCTTCGCCCCGCCATCGGCGCACCGAAAATGGCCGGTGTCCTCCCGCAGGCCGCCTGCGTGCGGCCGGCCCCCCGGCGCGGCGAGGGGCGACGACCGCGGGCGCCGCGGACAGCGGGCCGCGCGCACTGCACGGGCGCGGGCGGCGAGGACGGCGCGACGCCGGCCGCCGCGGTCGAGTGCGGCCGCCTGCGCCGCGACGGGAGCGCGGCGCCCCCGGCAGCCAGTGGTCGCCGCGGGGCCCTGCTGTCCGTGGCGCTCGCCGCGGCGATGCCGGGGGCCGCGCGGCGCTGCGCCGCGGAGCCCTTCCAGTCCAGCAAAGGCTACACGATCGAGGTTCCCGAAGGCTGGGAGATCAAGGGTGAGCGTCGCTGCGGCCGGCGCCCCGCGCACCGCGATGCCGCCCGCGCTCGCCTCGTGCGTCGCGCACGCGGGTCCGTCGGCGACGGCGTCTGACGCACACCGCGCCCGCCTCGCCCGCCTCGAGCGGGGTGCGGCTGGCGCCACGGCGGGGCGCGCAGAGATTCTCACACACACCGCGCTGACCTGACCCTCGCGCCGCCCCCCACCCCGTCCGCGCAGACAAGGCGGGCGCCGACATCCTGCTGGTGAACCCGTCGCGGTCGTCCACGACCGTCGGCGTCACCGTGTCGCCGGTCAGGTGCGCCGCGCTGCCCGACGTGCGGCCCCCGCGTCGCGCCCGGCCCCCGCCGACCCCGCTCGCGCACGCCCGCCCCCGCGCGCAGGATCAACACGCTCAAGTCGTTCGGCACCACGGACGAGGTCGGCGAGCGGCTCATCGCGGCCGAGCGCGCCAAGGACGGCACGCTGGGCGCGGAGCTGTTGAGCTCGGGGAGCCGGCAGGGGACGGGCGGCGTGCCGGTGTACGACTACACGTACGCGGTGGACTCGACGCGCGGGCTGAAGCGCATCAGCACCACGGTGACCATCGCGGACCGCAAGCTGTTCATCGCCAACGGGCAGTTCAAGTGCGACAAGGAGCGCGGGTGCGACGCGGAGGGCGCGGCGGAGGCGATCGAGCAGATGACGGCCGCGGTGCGCTCGCTGGCGCTGGTCGCGCCGAGCTGACGGCGCGTGTGACGCGGGCGGGCGCGCGTCGTCAACGGTGCGGGTTACATCCCGGCCGGCAGCTGTCCCCGCCCCACCTGCATCAGAGTCCCTGCCGTCGCAGGGGCGGGGGCCGCCGCTACCGTCCGGGCGCGCCCTGCTGCATCGCCCCCAGCGCCATCAGCGCCGCGTCCTGCATGCGCCGATTCCGCCGGCACAGGTCCGCCACGTCCGCGCACGCGTCGGCGAGGTACTCCCGCAGCTGCTGCATCGTCTCGCGCGTCGAGCTGCTCGCGCTCCGCACCGCCGCGCCGCACGCCTCGAGGAAGCGCTCCTTGTCGCCCGCCGTCATCACCACCTCGGGCACCACGCCCACGCACTGCCCGACCCAGCCCGCCGCGCGCCCGCCCTGCACGCGCAGCAGCGCGAGCAGCACCTCCGACAGCTCGTGCACGCGCGCCGCCGGCAGCGCCCCGCACACCCCCGCCAGCACCGCCAGCGCCAGCTGCGGGCCCACCTCCTGCAGGAGGCCGTCCATCGCGGGCGCCACGGTGACCCACGCCGGGTCGAGCGCCTTGACGAGGAAGGCCTGCACGGAGAGGAAGGCGTCCTGGTGCAGCACGTGCAGCCCGCGCACCGCGGTCCACACCAGGCGCTCCATCAGGTCGCCGCTGGCGGGCCCGCACAGCGCGGGGCTGAAGTAGGTCGCGGTGCGCGACGCGAGGAGGAAGGCGTCGTCCGCGACGTCGGGGTGCTGGTAGAAGTCCTGCGGCGAGGCCAGCTGCGCGACGGCCTCGCCCAGGAGGCCGTGCACCAGCCCGCGCAGGTGCTCGGCCTCCCCGGGCTGGTTGCCGAAGGTCTTGACGAGCTCCGAGGCGACGTAGAGGTAGCACGCGTGGCGCTGGTCGTGGAACTTGCGCGGCAGCTCCTGGAGCAGCGCGGGCACCAGCGGCGCGCAGAACGCCCCCGCGGCCTTGACGCCGTTGCGCAGGCACACGCACAGCTTCTCGACGCTGTCCACGTCCGCGCCGAGCGCCTCGAACGCGGTCAGGAGCAGCGGCCAGGCCGACTGCAGCGCCTGCGCGGCGGCCTGCATCACGTGCGGCGGCGTCGGCAGCGCGGCCGCGCGCGCCGTGGGGTTGACCACGTTGCGGAACACCTGCGTGGTGCGCTCCACCAGCGCCAGCGCGACGTCGTGCTGCGGCGTCCGGAACGCGATCCCCGCGGACACCAGCTGGTGCAGCATGCCCATGATCGGGTTGAGCAGCGACGCCAGGCCCTCGGTGACCTGCCCCTGCGGCAGCGTGCCCACCAGCAGCGACACGCCCTCGAGCATCTGCGACACCTCCACCTCGCTGATCGGGAACGGCGCGGGCTCCGTGGCCAGCCGCGCGACCGCCCCGCAGCACAGCACCTTCTGCAGCAGCGCCATCATCTGCGGGAGCTGCGGCTGCAGCTCCGCGCCCCCCGCGTCGCACAGGTGCTTGAACGCCTGCCCCGCGGCGCCGCACGCCTCCTTGTCGCCGAGGCACTCCGACACGAGCCGCATCGAGCTCATCAGCGCCCCCGGCGCCACGCGCGCCGCGTCGGGCGACGCCAGCCAGTCGGCGTAGGCCTGGCACGTCAGGCACACCGTGTACTGCAGCCGCGGGTGGCCCGGCAGCGCGGGCAGCACCGTCCCGAAGAGCTCCCCGAGCAGCTCCGGCCCGCTCTGCGTGCCCACGCGGTACACCGACCGGATGCAGTACAGCGCGGCCTCGGCGGTGACCCAGTCGAAGGCCTGCCCGGCCTGCACCGCCGCGGCGAGGCCCTGCAGCGGGCCGACGAGGATGCCCATGATGCGCGTCCCGCCGATGACGTTGGCGGCGTCCTCGAGCGTGTCCGCGACGGCGTACCGCGCGCGCTTGAACTCGTGCCGCTCCTGGCGCGTCCACGCCTCGTACTCGGGCGGGTACTTCACGCGGCCCTGGATGAGCCGCACGAGCTGCTCGAAGGCCGGGACGAACGCCGCGCGCCGCCGCGCGGCCTCCTCGGCGTTCGCGCGCTGCTGCGCCTCGTCGCGCGGCGGCGGCGGCGGCACGCACAGCTCCACCGAGAGGCGGTGCCAGAAGTTGAACGAGATGGCGCAGATCGTGTCGTCGGGGTGCCCGGCGACCTCGAGCATCGCCTCCACGAGCTCCCCGCCCGCGGCGCCCCCCGCGCCCGACACCACGATGCCCGAGTAGGCCTCCCCCGTCTCGGCAAACAGCCGCGCCATGCCCTTGGCCGTCTCGTGGTCGTCGTCCCACCCGTGCACGTCGATGCTCTCGTCCTCGGGGTTCGCCGCCCGCCGCGACGCCACCAGGAACCGCGCGCGCAGCTTCATCGCCTCGGGCACGATCTTGTGCACCGCCGGCAGCATGCTCTCCGGCGGCGCGCCCACGTGCCCGCCGGGGCTGTGCGTCGTGCACCAGATCAGCTCGCACACCGCGTTCACCGCCGAGTCGAACAGCGCGCCGCGGCTCAGGCCCGCCAGCGCCGCGTCCGTCAGCGGCGACGCCGCCAGCTGCGCGCCGTCCGCGCCCGCGCGCGCCGCCGCGTCCGGCCCGAGCGTCGTCAGCCGCAGCCACGCCGCGAACGCGTCCAGCACCTGGCTCTGCGCCGAGTCCTCGGGGTAGTTCAGGCACGACGCCAGCACCTCGAGCGCGCCCTGCACGCTGGCCACCAGCTCCTGCAGGAACTCGCGCCGCCGCTGGGGACGCACCGCGGCCTTCGTGCCCTCGGCCTCCTGCGGGAGCACCGTGAGCAGCTCCAGCATGCACGGCAGCGCGATCTGCGGGCGCACAGGGAGGGAGGAGGGTGTTGGAAAGGGGGGAGGTGTGGGGCGCGCGCGCGAGCGGGGCGGTCGCGGGCGCGGGCGGGCGCGCGCCTTGCTGTCGAGGCGCCCGAGGCCGTCTGCGAGCCAGCGCACGGGGCCGACGCCGCCCCACTCGACGGCGGGCAGGTGCGCGGCCAGCGCGGCGATCGCCAGGCAGAGCTGCGTCCGGACGGGCGGCGAACCCTGACAGAACTTCAACAACAACTGCGCGGGAGGGCACGGGCGGGAGCGGCCGTCACGCGACCGGCGCGTCAGCCCCGGAGCGGGCGAGGCCCTGTCCGGCAGTTGTGCCACGCGCCGCGCGCGGGCCGCCCGGGCGCCGGCGACGCGGCGCGGCGCGCGCGGACGGGTCCCTGGCCTCCGGGCGGTTCTGCGTACCTGTACTAGTGAGTCCCGCAGCTGCGGGATGGCGGACGCCGGGAGCTGGTCCAAGTCCTTCTCGACCTGCGCACACGCGCCCGGGGCCAGCGGTCGGGGGGAGGGCGCTGCGGGGGCGCCGACGTGACGGCGGCGCCGCGGAGACACCGGCAGGCCGGAGGCGGTCGCGGCGGTCGCGTCGCGCGGTGCGGGGGCCGCCGATCGACGGAGCGCGCTCCGTGAGCGTCCAGAGCGCCGCCTTCCTCCTACCATTGCGGGACATTGCGGGAAGGGGCGCTGGAAACGCACGACGGGCCCGACAGCCTACGACCTGGGCCGCACCGCGTCCCTCCTGAGAGGGTGGAGGCGAGCAACAGCGCGACACTCGAGGCAGCGCGGTGAGTGCTCGGCGCTGTGGACACCAGGCCGATCCCCCCGACCTGTCCGCGCATCTCGCGGCGGTCCTGTCGTACGGGGAGGATCCCGGCGCGGCGGCAGCGCGACGCAGCGGCCGGATACGCGCGTTCACGGGCGGTATGCCTGGCCAGAGCTGCACTTCGCGCTCCGCCGGGGCGAGGCGCGAGCCTCCGCGCGGCCGTGTCTCCGGCAGGGAAGCGCAGTCGGGCACGGTGCGATCGCAGCCTACAGGTCCGGCCGATGACCGCGGGGCCGCAGCCGGGCCCTCCCGCGAGCCTTGTTGAGCGAGGGCGCGGGCCCACGGCGCGCGCAGGGCCCCGCGGCGCGGGTGGCGGTTCAAGTCGGGACGGTCGCAGCGGCGGGGCGCCGTGCGCGGGGGTCCGGCCCCGGGAACCCACCTTTGTTCGCAGGATTTTGGCGCACCCGAACTGGGCGCCCATGGGAGCGTCCGGGTCATGGAGCATTTGGTCGCTGAAGGACCACGCGTCCTCGCTGTCCTGCCACCGCTCGATGAAGTCGGACGCCTCCCGGATGCCCGCGCCGGAGCCATGGCTCCCGTACACCACCTCGAGCGCCTGCAGGACGTTTTGCCGCTCCATCGCACCGCAGCCGCCCGCCCCGCCTCTGCCGCCGGGCTCAACGCAGCGGCGACGCGACCGCCCGGGACAACACGCAATGCTGCGCCCGACAGAGCCACGAAGTGCCGCGCCGCGGACGGCTCGCGCTCCTACATCGATGCAGGCGGAGCCGACAACGCCCCGGGGGTCCTCCGCCCGCGCCCGACTGGCTAAGGACCCCCCGGCGGCTCAGTGGCGGCGCGGGGACCCGCAGCAGCGCTCATCGGAGCACGACTGCGCGCCGGCCTGACTCCGCGACGCCGGAGCACTCCCGCGTTGTTGCTCGCTCCGTGGTGTTGGTGCCACACACGGGAGCGCGGCACGTCGCGGGCCAGGGGCTCTCGGAGACGGCCGAGTCGGCGGACGCGGTCCCGTCAGACGCCGCGCGGGGTCCTCGTCCGTTGCGTCCGCGCCGCGCCCCGCATCGTGCGCTGCTCGGGCTGACCCTCGGAGTTGAGAACCGCGGGCTTCCCGGGGCCGGCGCGCCGTGGTCGATCGCCGAGACGGCGCCAGGCCGGCCGCCGTCGTAGGGATGAGCCGTGCGGCGCAGGCAGAGGAGCTGGCCCGGACGCTGGCGCGCGCGGCGCGGCGCAACGCGCTCGTGCCACGCGAGGGGCTCCTGCTGCGGCCCCCGTCGGCGCCGATGTCTCAAAGCGATCTCGCCGCCGGGATCGAGAAAAGTCGCGACGAGGCGCAGGGGTTGAGCGGCCTGGTCGAGGGCCTGGCGGGTCACGAGAGCGAGGGGAAGGTTCACACGCGCGCCAAGCTGTACGTCCTGCGCGCCTGCGCGTGCAGGGCGGCCGGCCGGCCGGTCCAGGCGCTCGAGGACATCCGGCGCGCCGTCGTGTACGCGCGCGAGAGCTCCTGCCGCCTGTGCCGAGCGTGAGTGCCGCGTCGACCTGATTGATGTTTGGGGCGAGTGCGGAGACCGCTGCCGACGACGACGCATCCCGCCCAGAGGCTGCTGTATTCGACCCCCACCGCATTCGCCACCGCAGGCACGCGGGGTACGTCCTGGGCATCCTGGAGGCGGACCGGGGCGCTCATGCCGTGGCGGTGCTCGCCCTGCAGAGCGCGTGCGATGCGCGCCCCGAGGAGCCCGCGGCGGGCGTGCGGGCGGCGCGGAAGCTCGCCGAGGTCGTCGGGCGCCTCGACGGCCCCCAGCGCGCCGCGTTCGACGCCGGCGGCGCGGAGGGTCTGCGGCGTCGGCTGGACGTGGAGGCGCACGAGCGCCTCCCGCCGTTCCTGCGGCCGTCGCCGGAGAAGTACCCCTACTACACCGAGTGGACGAGGCAGCGCATCGCGCAGGCGTGCGGGGCGGAGCTGCCGGAGCCCGTCGTGCGGCGGCTGCTGGCCATGAACGCCGACGACCTGGAGCTGCAGGTGCGCACCCGTGGGGGGCGGGGGGAGAGGGGGGCCAAGTCGCGCTGGCGGGACCGGCGGTGCGTGCTGCGAGGGCGACGGCGGTGCGTTCGCCTCGTGGGTTGCGTGCAGATGCAGCACCCGTCGGAGCTGTGTGCGACGGCAGGGGAGCTGGTCGAGGTGCTCGCCGCGCGCGGGGAGGCCGCGCTGATGGAGACGGAGCCGCGGAGACTGTCGTGGCAGGACGTCCAGCGACTCAAGGTGCGCGTCCTGCAATCAATCGATCGATCGATCATCGGTCACAGGCGAGCCGGACGCGACCCGGCGCGACGTGTGTTCGCGCTGCAGGGCCCCGTGGTGGGCCTGGGCATCGCTGCGCCGGCGGACGTCGCTCCCCAGCGCGACCCGCCCGCCCCTGCGGCCGGACGCATCCGAGCTGTGGCGCACCAGGAGGAGATGGCGATGCTGGAGCTGAACAGCCTCGACTAGCCGGACGCCGCCCTCGGCCGCGCTGCTCTTCGTGCGGCCCAGCTCTTCGTGCGGGTGCGTCGCCACGGCGTGTTGCGGCGCGGTGATCATCGTCAGGGCGGGGACTGCGAGGTTGCGGACGAACGCCGCATCTGTGACACCGGGCCGCGCTTTGTCATCTGTGGGGGGCGTCCGGCCCACGAGATGCGTGGAAGCGCACGCGGAGCGCCCGCCCGCGCGCAACATATCTGGTGCTCCTGCAGCGCTCACTGGCGGCGCGGGACGCCCCGTCGGCCGCCACCGGCAGCGCGGGCTGGTCCGCGAGGCAGAGGCGGCGCGCGGAAGCGCAGGCACGCGGACCGGCTCCCCCTTGGCTGCCGCTGCGCGAGCCCCAGGGGGAGGTTGGGGATGTGCGCGAGGCGGCGGCAGCCCCGCGCATTCGCCCGGCTACTTGGGGCGGCCGGCTTGCCGTGACCGCCCGGTCTCGTCGAGTGCGCACAGGCGGAGAGGGTCGACCTTGCGCAGTCCGCAGCGTCGCGGGCATCCTTGTCGAGCGTCGCGCTCGCATCCTCAGGGGCGGCATCCGCCCGTGGACTTCGTCCCCGTAACGAAAGAGATCTCAAGATGACGACGGTGCGCGCACCTCCCGGCGACGTCGACCCCGCGCGCCCATCGCCGCTGCTCGCGAGCGAGGAGGCCAACTACCGCCTCCTTTCGTCGCGAGGGCGTCCCGAGAGGCATGTCGCGGCCCGAGGGCGGACGGGCACACTCTTCATGCCGGGCGCTCGACGAACGCGCCGTCTGCGCCTCGCCACGCGAAGCAGGCGGGCCACATTGCTCTGCTGCCGTCGAGATGCTCCGCCGGCGGTTTCCGCGGCTGTGCATGGCCAGCCGGGCGCCGACGGCGTCCACGATGTTCGGATCTTCTGGGAAAAGCCTCACGATGCCCCCGTTTCCCGCCACGCGCGCAGGTCTTGGCCAACGTCTTTATCTACGAGCCGTCTTCTTGGCTGAGTGCGCCCCCGCCCGCCGCGAGCGCGAGACGCGCCGCCTGCGACGTTCCCGCGCCCAAGCGCGTTTCTCCTCGCCGGCGCGCTGCTCGCGCGGCCTCCATGGCGAGCTGGCTGGCCTGCCGCCACCATCTCCTCGAGGCACCTACGAACGACCTCTTCGCACGCTCACGCGCCCCCGCTCCCGGCCCCGGTCCGCAGGCGTGGTGTTCGTGCTGTGCTTCGCCCTCTTCATCTACGGCTTCATCGGGCTCACGAGTGAGTCCCCCACCGCACCACCGCGCGCCTCGCCCGCAATGTTCCTCCTCGCCCCGCCTCGCCCCCGCCCGCCCCCCGCGCCGCCTGCGCGCGCCGCTCCTCCGCCGCGCCCGCCTCCCTGCTGATCGCGCACCTCCGCGCGGCCCCGCACCGCCGCGCTCCCGCCCGCACCGCCCGCCCGGGCGCCCCATCCTGCCAGTACCTAACTCGTGGCGGCGACGCCTCCCGCGCGCGACCCCCGCCCGCGCGCCGCGCACCCTGCGCGGCGCCCGCCCGGTCGCCCGCGCCGTCCCGCGCGCCCCGACGCGCCCCCCGCTGCCCCGCCGCGCCCCCGCCCGGTTGACCCCATTGTCGCGCTGCCTCCCCCGCGCCCGCAGCCATCCCGTCGGCCCCGCGCGGCACGATTTCGGGCTTCCTGGGCATGGTGATCGCGATCGTGGCGACGTACCTGTGGTTCAACCTCGAGGTCGCGGACGTCGACCTGGCGCCGGAGGTGGTCCCCTCGGCGGCCTACTGGGTGCTGCCCATCTGCATCGTGGGCGGCGGCGCGATCGGCGTGGCGCTGGCGGCGACGGTCAAGATGACGGGCATGCCGCAGCTGGTCGGGCTGCTGAACGCGTTCGGCGGCCTCGCGTCGGCGATCGAGGCCATCGCGCTGTACGTCGACCCCATCGCCGAGGTGGGCCTCGAGCCGGGGGAGTCGCGGCTGCAGCTGGGCTTCCTGCTCTTCACGGTCTGGGTGGGCATGATCACCTTCACGGGCTCGCTCATCGCGGTCGGGAAGCTCTCCGAGAAGATCAAGGGCTCGGTGCTCCCCATCGGCCTCCTGCGCTTCCTCATCATCACGCTGCAGCTCGCGTCCGTGGCGCTCATGCTCGTGACGGGCCTCTCCGGGTACGGCATCGAGTACCCGTCGGACCCCACGGACCCCACGCTGGAGGGCATCTTCGGCCCGAAGGCGGAGCAGGTCATCGACGCCGGGCGCGGGGGGTCCATCGGGCTGGTCCTGGCGCTCACGGGCGTGTCGTCGCTCCTCGGCGTGGTCAGCGTGCTCCCGATCGGCGGCGCGGACATGCCCGTGGTGATCTCCGTGCTGAACTCGCTCTCGGGCGTGTCGGGCTGCACGGCGGGCTTCATGATTGCCAACAACCTGCTCATCATCGCCGGGGCCATCGTCGCGTCCTCCGGCGCCATCCTCTCGTACGTCATGTGCAAGGCCATGAACCGCTCGATCACCAACGTGCTCATGGGCGGCTTCGGGCAGGGCTCGGGCGGCAAGGCCGCGGCCAAGGCGGAGGGCCCCGTGGAGCAGAAGACGGCCAACCCCGTCGAGCTGGACGAGCTGACCGACATCCTGCTGCGCGCGCACTCGGTGATCATCACGCCCGGGTACGGCATGGCCGTCTCGCGCGCGCAGCACGCGGTGCAGGAGATGACGTCGCTCCTGCGCGCCAACGGGTGCAACGTGCGCTTCGGCGTGCACCCCGTCGCGGGCCGCCTGCCGGGGCACATGAACGTGCTGCTCGCGGAGGCCAAGGTGCCGTACGACATCGTGCTCGAGATGGACGAGATCAACTCGGACTTCGAGGAGACGGACGTGGTGCTGGTCATCGGCGCCAACGACACGGTCAACCCCGCCGCGGAGACGGACCCGACCTCGTCGATCGCCGGCATGCCCGTGCTGCGCGTGTGGGGCGCCAAGACCGTCGTCGTGCTCAAGCGCTCCCTCGCGCAGGGCTACGCCGCCGTCGAGAACCCGCTCTTCTTCAACGACAACACGCGCATGTTCTTCGGCGACGCCAAGAAGAACTGCGACGCCCTCGTCAAGCAGCTCGGCGAGAAGAACCCCGCCGCGCTCAAGGCCGCGGGCGCCCAGAACGGCGACGCCGCCGCGCCCAAGAAGAAGACCTCGCCCGACCTGTTTGAGTTCCAGGAGCCCAAGCGCCCGGGCGCCGGGGAGGGCATCGGCGCCGGGAAGACCATCGGCGTGGTCAAGGAGCGCGAGCCCGAGGTCCGCGTGGCCATCACGCCGCAGATCGCCGCCCGCTTCGCCGAGTGGGGCTTCGACGTGGTGGTGCAGTCGGGCGCGGGCCTGGCCGCCTCGCGCGCGGCCTTCACCGACGCCGCGTACCAGCGCGCGGGCGCCACGGTCGTCCCGGACGCGCGCGGCGTGTACGACAAGGCCGACATCGTCATGGGCGTCGCGCGCCCGCGCCCCGAGGACGTGCGCATGGGCCGCAACGGGCAGGTGGTGGTGTCGTACGTGGGGCCCAACGGGGACTTCAACAACAAGGACGCGGCCACGGGGCTCATCCAGGCGGCGGTGGACTCGGGCGTGACGCTGCTGTCGATGGACCTGGTGCCGCGCACCACCATCGCGCAGCGCCTGGACTCGCTGTCGTCGGTGGGCAAGCTGGCGGGGCACCGCGCGATCATCGAGGCGGCGTTCGAGTTCGACCGCTTCCTGGCGCCGGAGATCACGGCCGCGGGCAAGTACCCGCCGGCGAAGATCCTCGTGCTGGGCGCGGGCGTGGCGGGCCTGGCCGCGGCGGGCCTGGGCGTGGCCCTGGGCGCCGAGGTGCGGTGCTTCGACACGCGCGTGGAGACGAAGGACCAGGTCAAGTCGATGGGCGCGGAGTTCATCACGGTCGAGTTCGAGGAGGACGGCGCGGGCGAGGGCGGGTACGCCAAGGTCATGTCGGAGGAGTACTACCAGAAGGAGCTGGAGCTGTTCGAGCAGCAGTGCACGGAGGTGGACATCGTGGTCACCACCGCGCAGATCCCCGGGCGGCCCGCGCCGATGCTGATCAACAAGCAGGCCGTGGCCAACCTCAAGCCCGGGTCGGTCATCGTGGACATCGCCGCCATGTCGGGCGGGAACTGCGAGGAGACGCGCCCGGGCGAGAAGTACATCACGCCCAACGGCGTCAAGATCCTCGGCTACACCGACCTCCCCGGCCGCCTCGCGCCCCAGGCCTCGGCCATGTACGCCGCCAACCTGTACCGCCTCATCGAGCACATGTCCAAGGGCGGGAAGAAGGCCTGGGCCGTCGACACCGACGACGCCACCATCCGCCCCATGATGATCTCCCACATGGGGCAGAAGATGTGGCCGTACAAGGCGCCCGGCGGGCCCCCGCCGCCGCCCAAGGCCGCCGCCAAGACTGCGGCGCCTGTCAAGGAGGAGGGCCCCTCGAACTACGACCTGTACTGGCTGGGCATGTCGCCGGAGATGTGGCTCGCGTTCTGCGTGGGCATCGCGGTGTTCGCGCTCATCGCCGCGTTCTTCCCCACGTCGTTCGCCGAGCAGCTCGCCATCTTCGTGCTGGCCTGCGTCGGGGGCTACCACATCATCTGGGGCGTCACGCCCTCGCTGCACACCCCGCTCATGTCCGTGTCGAACGCCGTGTCCGGCGTCGTCATCCTCGGCGGCATGCTCCTGCTCGTTGCCGGCGACAAGAGCGGCACCTTCGTGCTCGGCTCGGTCGCCACGTCGGTCGCGGCGATCAACGTGTTCGGCGGGTTCGCCGTCACGTGGAGGATGCTCTCTATGTTCAAGAAGTGAGGACGTCGCGGGGCGCGGGGGCGCTGCTGGGATTGAGGGGTAGGCGCGCAGCGTCAGACTCAAGCTGGCGGGCCGCGGGTCGCCACTGTGATGACAAAGTAGCTGCCAGGCGCGCATGTCGTCACTGCCGCACGGGGTTGAGTTGCGCGGCCACGCCCCTGACGCACAACCCGCGACTCAATTACTTCTTGCACAGATGCAGCAGAAGAGACTCCGCGAACCCCGAGGCAGGCTGCGCAGCATCCTCGAAGGTATCCGCCAAAGACGCGCCGACAGCCGACAGCCCGTCGCGCTCACCGTTCCATTTCGCGTCTCCGAGCGGGAAGTGCTGTTCAACTGCTGTTCTTTCACTCCTCACACTCCCGGGAAAACAAGCCTGGGGTTTCCCACGAGAGTTCACTGTCGTGCTTCAACGTCGTGGTCCATGCATGGCGGCAGGAAGACGGTGCTCCTCCAGGGTGCTCTCTTCGCCGCAGCAGTGTGCAAGGACGGACCCATGCCAGCCACGTGTCGCGTTCAGGACCGAGCTCAATCCTTCGCGCGTGGGACCGCCCAGTCCACATGCATCTTTAGAATCACAGCACGCATGGGGCATCGTGCGCAGCGCCGCGCACGACCCTGCGTTTCCGCATGGAGAGCAAGGCTCAGTACAGCGCGGCCAGGGACCAACGCGTCGCGCAGCGCGAACGATGGCCTCGGTGGTCGATGGTCGCGCGTGTTGCGCGCACAGAGGTGTTCGACTGAAGCAACAGATGGGACAGGCAGCATGTGCGTCGATATGGACGCCGCTGCGCGAGGGGGGGCCTCGCTCTGCTCTGCCTGACGGACTCGCATGGCGGGGGGGGGAGGGGGGGGAAGGAAGGAGGAGGAAGGACACGGTGGGAGATTTCAGCAGCTGTTCGTGCTGCACACGTACTCGGCTGGTGCATGCAGGTGGGGGGGTGAAAAAGGCTACACCCCCGGAGGCCTACGCGAGGGCTGCACAGCCCATGGAAGTGCCGGCGGGGGTCGAGGAGCGGGACGGGCTGGCGGGGACAGCTGGCGCAGCGCTAGCGGCGCTAGCGGTCCCGGGGGTCTGGATGAAGCAGTCGGACTGGCATGAGCAGGGCGAGGTGGGCGCCCCGGTCTGTGTGTGGTGCACGCGACGCGGGCATCGCACTGGGACCGGTTTTCTCCTGCGCGCGCCACTGGCGCGGTGAGTCAGCCGAGCCGCGGGTGACGGGCTCAAGACAGGTTGTCAACCCGCATATTGGCGAACTGCGACGCCAGGTGCTGCTGGATGATCGCCCGGAGGTTCTGCGCGGTCTGCCAGTGCCCCGCGGTCTCGGCCACCTCCAGCGGGGACCGTCCCTGCGCGTTGCGGGCCAGCAGCATGTCCGGGCCTGCGGGGACGGGGGAGGGACGGCGCGAGGCGTGAGCGACGTGCGCTGCGTGCGGGCGGGCGGGCAGGGGTGCGCATTGGAGGAGAGGTTGGGCAGGGGACGCGGGAGGGCGGGGGGGGGGGTCTGGGCGCACCCATGCATGCCAGGAGCTGCGCCGACTCCGCCTGGCCCGCGGCGGCCGCGTGGTGCAGAGGCGCGTTGCCCTGCTCGTCGAGCTGGCGCACGGACTGCGGGGCGACCGACAGGAGCAGGGAGAGGATGCGCGTGGCGCCCTCGAGCGCGGCGTGGTGCACGGGCGACACGCCGCTCCCCGACAGACTCCCGCTGATGGCCACCTGCAGCGCCTGCGCGCCGCCCTTGCTCTCCTGCCCCAGGGTCATGAGGACGTAGTGCATGCCCTCCGTGTCGCCGCGCGACACGATGTCGTGCAGCTGTTGGGCAAGGTGCAGCGGCGTCAGCGCGGGCCCCCCGCGGGGCTCCTGCGCGCCGCGCAGCTGCCCGGACAGGCCCGCGCTGCCCATCTGGCCGCCCCCGCTCAGCCTCGCGGCGCCGCTCGGCCCCGTGCCGTCGCGGCCCTGCGACGTGGGCGCCTGCACTTGCAGCAAAGGGCCGGGCTTGGTCCGCCGCGCCGCAGCCGCCGCCGCCGCCGCCGCGCTCGCCGCGTCCGCCGTCAGGTTGACCGCGCCCCCCGAGGTCGCGGGCGCCGCGGCGGGCAGCGGCTGGTGGATGGCGCTGAACCCGCGCAGGGAGGTGCTGTTGTCGCCCTGGCTGGGCACGAGCACCCACGCACGGTGCACGACCACCTCGCCGGCGCGGCCGCTGGCGGCGTCCTGGAGCGCGAAGCTGCGGGACGCCGTCGCGGGCGCCCCAGCGGAGCGCAGGGCGGCCGCGGCCGCGCGGTCCCATGCGTCGACGCCCGGCGCCTGGCGGATGGTCGCGCCGGTGGCCGCGGCGCCGCCCGGGCCGGCGGCGGCGGCGGTCGCGTTCACGACCTCGCCGGCGGCGTCGAGCTCGACGACGGGCACCTGGATGTGGCGCATGAGGACGTCCGGGACCATGCGCGCGGCCTGGAGGTTGGCGTCGCGGAGGACGTCGCACAGGTGCACGTCGCAGCCGCCGTCCTTGGTGGGGCGCAGGATGGCCTCAACGCACTGCCCCTGCGCGTCCTGCCTGAGGCGCTCGGCCTGCCCGGGCTCGCGCGCCGAGCGGCTGCGCTGCGCGGGGTTGCCCGCGGGGGTGGCTGCGGAGGGCAGCTCCTTGAGCGGCACGCGCTTGGGCCGGAAGACGACCTTGCCCGGCTCGCTGTCCTCGACGGTGCTCGCGCGGTAGAGCGCGTCGGAGAGCACCTGCGCGACGCGCTCGCGGTCGTCCTTGTGCACCAGGTCGAGCAGCAGGTTGCCCAGGATCTGCCGCGGGGGGCGCTCGAAGATGGCGCGGCACTCGCCCGCGACCGCGGAGACGTTGCCGTCGCACGAGACGCGCATGCGGACGCAGTGCATGCCGGTGCCGATGCGCTCGGGCGGCACCACGGGCGGCGCCATGCCGTGCGCGTAGTCCGAGTCGTCGCGGATGGCGAAGGCGACGCGCGTCTCCGTCGCGGGGCCGGCCCCGCTCGAGGTGTACACGTACGTGGTGCTCGTGGGGAAGCGCGTGCCGTCGCCGCGCACGCCGTTCAGCAGCACGGGCGTCACCGAGTAGGGATGCAGCCCGTGGTGATCGCTGTGGATGTTCTCCATGTGCATGTCGCGCGCCTGCGAGAGCACGTCGTTCGGCGTCAGCGTGTACAGGTTCATCCCTGCCTTGAAGTCCCGCGCGAAGACGTCCTGCACCTGCTCCGAGCTCCACAGCACGTCCACCGCCTTGTTCGTGACCCAGTACGTCACGCCCGTCGGCATCGACAGGCCGCGCAGCAGCCGCCGCGCCCACCGGGTGCGCGAGATGTGCCCGCCCGTCTGCGCCTCGAGCGTCTGCAGCGCCTCGGAGAGCGTCTCCACCAGCGGCGCGTCCTCCTGGGCCGCCAGGCTGGGCAGCGACGCCGGGCGCAGCGCGTCGTCCGCCGCCGTGCCGCCGGGCGGCAGCCGGAAGCCCGTCGCGCGCGGGTACGGCATGTCCTCCGGCGCGGCCGCGGGGCCCAGACCCAGCTCGCGCGCCTGGGGGGAGTCCAGGGGGTCCTCGATGAAGAGGAGCTCCGCGGTGTGCGCCGCGGGGACGAGGGCGACCACGTTGGCGTCGACCTCGACCTCGACGCCGCGGATGATGCGGCTGTACCGCACGCGCGAGGGCTCGTGGCTGGGGCGCCCCGTGGCCGCCTCGGCGACGCGCGCGGCCCGCACCAGGGCGCGCGCGGTGTCGCGGACGTTCGCGCCGTCCCGGGTCGCGATGCACGAGAGGAGGTTGGTGCCGACCACGTCCTCCGCGGACGCGCCCGACACGCGCTGGTAGAGCGCGGAGCTCGCGAGCACGTCGAGGAAGACGTCGGTGCGGAACACGAACGACGGGCACACGCGCAGGAGGCCCGCGATGCGCGCGGAGGACGCGAGCGTGGCCAGGTGGAGCGCACTGGGCGCGAGCGCGAACACGACCGTCGGGTCCGCGTCGCCGTCGCTGCCCGCCGCGGCAAAGTGCCGGAAGAGCAGGCCCGCGAACGGCGTCGCGGCCCCGCCGTCGGACGCCGGGCGCAGCTGCCCGACGACGCGCTGGCACCTGCCCGACTCGCGCACCGCCGCCAGGGCCTCGTCGAACGCGGGGCCGCCGTCGCCGACCACCAGGCACGACGCGACCTGCGCGCCGACGAGCGCGCCCGCGGGGACGCCGAGCGGCGTGGCGGCGAGGCACGACGACGCGGCCGTGGCGCGCCCCGTGCGCGCGTCCACCAGCACGGCCGGGAACGGCGACTCCTCGACGGCCGCGTGCGCCATCACCTCGGAGAGCGACAGCGGCGGCACGTGCTGCTGCTGGCGCGGCTCCATCTGCGTGTCCGTCGTGCGCGCGCCCTCCGTGACGCTGCTGCTCGCCACGCTGCGCCGGCTCGTGGTGCTGCTGTACAGCCCCGTCACGCCGGGCTCGAACCGGTCGTTGGTCCCCTTCGGGCGGACGTTGGTCGCGGTCTGGAGGCGGTGCAGCATCGCGAACACCACGGGCGCGTCCGCGGCGGCCCCGGACGACGCGGAGCCGATGTGCGCGGCGTCGGCGGCGCTCGAGCCCAGCCAGCCCAGCGACACGACGACGGGCAGCACGGCGCGGGCGTGCGGGGCGTCGGGGTCGTCCGAGGGCATGACGCAGCGGGCGAGCCAGGTGGCGGCGGAGCGCGGCGGGTGGCCCTCGAGCGCGCACTGGTGCCCGTGGAGCAGGCAGTGCGCGAACTCGGCGGCGTCGCGCAGCCCGAGGTGGGCCTGCAGCGGCTTGCCCTCCATGCTCTCCCGGGGCACGCCGAGGACTGCCGCCACGTTGTCCGAGGAGTAGAGCACGTGGCCGGCCGGGTCCAGCACGAAGAAGCAGTCCGAGGGCAGGTCCTGCGCGCCGGGGGCCGCGCGGACGCGGGCGGGCGGGTGAGCTGCCCGGGACGACACGCGCAGCCGCTCGGGGCGCCGGCGCGGCTCGCGGCGAGGACATCACGCGCGGGGGGCCGCGGCAGGGTGGGTCGCACCTCGAGGACGGACATGAGGTCGCTGGCGCGCAGGGCGGCCTCGTCGTGGCAGAGCTTCAGCCTGTCAAGGCGCTCGATGGCCTGCTCCAGGACGCCCTTGAGGTGCCCGATGCGCCCCAGCACGCCGCGAACCCCCGAGCTGTGGTCGGCGCGCAGCCTCGCCCACTCGTCGTCCGCCAGGACGATGTCGTCCACGTCCTGCTCTGCATATCAGCGCGACGCCGCGGGGCCGCGGTCCGTTGGCGCCAGCGCCGCGCGAGCGCGACGGTCCCGCGCACGGGTGGTGCGCCGCGCCGCCTCGCGCGGCCTGCCCCGCCCCGCCCGGGGCCGGTCGCGCGGTGGACGCGGCTCCTGTGCGGACGTGGGTCGCGAAGTCGCCGCCCGCGCGCCGGAACAAGGCGAGGAGTCGCCCGCGTGCAACGTGCGACCGAACTGGTTGGAAAGTGCGCAAGGCCACTCACCTCCCGCATCTCCGTGCGCGCCGCCCGCTTCCATGCTGTGCAGCCAGCGCTCCTGGCCCAGGGTTGCCGCACGGAGCCGGATCGGATGCTGCGCGTCCCTGCATGTCGCGGTGCGGTAGCGTTCCGTGAGCAGCACACTCAGAAAAGGGGCGCTGGGCCAAGGCGTGCGCGCGGCGCTCGCGGCTTGGGCTGGCCTGCTGCGGCGGCGGAGCCTGTCTCACGCGCCACAAGGCGCGAGAGCGGGCCGGGGGTGCGCCGCGGCCGTGCGGTGAGAGGGGGGCGCAGTATGGCAACGAGAATTGCGCGCACGGGCGCGGACGAAACCGGGCGTCGGCTGCGCGCGCGAATCACGCTCGGTGAGGGGCGTGGACACGCGGGGGGCGTCACTGGGGTGGTCTGGCCGTTCTCACCGCTTCGGCTGACGACTCGCCGTGGGCGCCTACGCGTGCCGCTGGCCAGTATACCGCCGCGGCCGAAATCGAAGAAGCATAAATACCTCGCGGAGAGCAGATCAGTGCGCGCGGTCGGGGCACGAGCACGGCAGGCCTGCCCAAGCCGCGCGAAGCAACACTGGACGGCCCGCGAGATGGAACCGCCCGTCGGCCGATGTCGCGACCAAGGTCCAGTGGCTGCTCTGCGCGCCCCCGCGCGGCCGGCGCGGCCTTCGCGCGGGAGCGCGGCGGTGCCTGGTGACCAGTGGTCAAGAGGCCCCTCTCCGAGGGCCCGGGGGACACACGGGCGGTCGCCGCGGTCGACGCCGGGCGCAACGGCGAGCTGCGGTCACTGCGGGCCCGTGTCACGCTGCTGGAGGCGCGATGTCGGGGCCAGAAGGGACGCGACGGCGGTTGCAGCTGGCGCGCAGGTCGCAGGAGGAGGTGCAGGGGTGGTCGGCGAGCGCCCCGACGCCGCTCGGAGACGCGACGCTGAGGCTGCCGGACGGCGAGGAGATCCCGCTCCCCGCGTTCCGGGTACGTCCCGACCGCATCAGCCTGCCGCGGTGGTTGCGCGCACTGCATGAGAACGAGGCCGTCGCGTGCTTCGAGCGACGCAGGACGCCTCCGGCGCAAGGTTCGTCGACGTCCGTTCGCTGTACGGGAAGACGGGCGTGTGTACGTTCGACCCCGGTTTCATGAGCACAGGTCAGGCGCGCTGATCATCGGCATGATTCCCCCGCTGCTCTCCCGCGGCCGCCAGCGCGCCGTGCTCGCGGCTCATTGCGACGACGAAGGCCGCGCCGCGACACAGTGATCGCTGTGCTCCTGCCTGCATGCTGCACTGTCCGCGCGAACCTCGCTGGGGGCGACGCAATGGGTCTGCCACATTGCCACAAACCACACGCCCGCCGACCCTGCGCGAGTCCACTTCTGATGTCGAGCGCCTCCTGACGCGCCTCCAGCGATGATGGGCTCCCGTCGCAGGCGCATGTCGCAGCACGATCACGTTCATCGACGGCAAGGCCGGCAGGTGGGTCGGGCGGCGGTTGGCTCCGCCCGCGTGCGCCTCCACATCCCGCTCCCCCCCCGGCTGACGGCCCGCGAGGCGCCCGACGCCTCCCGCAGGCTGCTGTACCGCGGGTACGACGTGTTGGACCTCGCGCAGCAGGGCGACTGGATCGACAGCTGCTTCCTTCTGCTGTACGGCAACCTGCCCTCGCTCCACGAACGGGTGCGCTCCCGACGGCCGCGCGCGCCCGCCCGCTCCGCGCCGCCGCAGCGCTTTACGCCGCGCCCTCCTTTCCGGTGCGCGCAGGGGGTGTTCCGGCACCGCATTGAGACCAACATGCTGGTCCACGTCAGCCTGACCAAGTTCTTCGAGGGGTTCAAGCGCGACGCCCACCCGATGGCCATCATGGTCGGAGTGGTCGGCGCGCTCTCCGCCTTCTTCCCGTTCGACGACATCTGGAACCCGCGCCTGCGCGACGACGCGTGCATCAACCTCATCGCAAAGGTGCCCACGCTGGCCGCCATGGCGTACAAGCACAGCATCGGCGAGCCGTGCGTCTACCCGAAGAAGGGCCTCAGGTGCCGCTCCCCCGCGCCGCACGTCCGCGGCGCCTGGGCGCCCGCTTGCGCGCTCGTCCTCTCACCCGCCGCCCCGACCGCGCGCGCCCCCCGCAGCTACGCGGCGAACCTCCTGTACATGCTCCACGCCGTCCCCACCGAGCCGTTCGTGCTCGACCCCGTCCTCGCGCGCGCCCTCGAGAAGATCATCGTCCTGCACATGGACCACGAGCAGAACGCCAGCACGTCGACGGTGCGCAGCGCCGGGTCGTCGCAGGCGAACCCGTACGCGTGCATCGCCGCGGGCATCGCCACGCTGTGGGGCCCCGCGCACGGCGGCGCCAACGAGGCCGTCCTCAAGATGCTCATCGAGATCGGCACCCCGGACCGCATCCCGGAGTACGTCGCGCGCGCCAAGGACCGCGACGACCCCTTCCGCCTCATGGGCTTCGGGCACCGCGTGTACAAGACGTACGACCCGCGCGCGCGCGCCATGCAGGACGTGTGCCGCGAGGTCCTGGGCCACCTGCAGCTCAAGGACCCGCTGCTCGACGTCGCGATCGAGCTCGAGCGGATCGCGACGAACGACGAGTACTTCGTCGCGCGCAACCTCTACCCGAACGTGGACTTCTACTCGGGCATCGTCCTGCGCGCGCTGGGCATCCCCATGTCCATGTACACCGTGCTCTTCGCCGTGTCGCGCACCGTGGGCTGGGTCGCGCAGTGGAAGGAGATGGCCGAGGAGGTGGGCGCCGCACGTCGCCCCGTGCAACGACATGTTCTGGCCCGGCGCTGTCGCATCATCTGAACAAGCGCGAATCGCGCCCCCTCCGCAGCTCCCGCCGAAGATTTCGAGACCCAGGCAGGCGTTCCAGGGGCACATGGACAGGACCTTCACGCCGAGCGGGGAGGGCCGCCTCTCCAAGTCGCCCGCGGCCACGCCCCCGGACGTGGAGCTGGCGGTGTTGGAGCGCAAGAAACAACAGCACCGCGACATCGAGCTGCAGGAGGTGTCCATGGATTTCGCCTCCGTGCACGTCGCCCAGTAGCAGCGGCGGGCGGTCCGCCCCGGTGCGAGCAGGTGAGACGGGGGGCGGGAGAGGCGGCGGAAGCATCACACGAGACTTGTCCGTGCGGTAGATGCGATGGCAGAGCGATGTGACTTCCGCCAAGAGCGAAGAATGTACAAAGAAAGTTGACTGTGCGCGGGCGTGACATCTCAGCTGCCGTAGGGGGCGTGTGGTTCGCTACGGTACATCGCGCGATGCGGGGAATTTTGACGCAGATCCGGCGCGCCACGGGCGTCGGCGGTTGCACTGCCGGCGCACTAGCTGCGAGAGCACATGCAAGGACATGACTGACAGCATGCAGAGCACACAGACACGCATGCACGCGCACACACAAGCTCTGACGCGCGGGGAGGCACGGCACGCGCACCGGACGCTCGCGCCTACAGGCGCGTCTCCACCGCCGTTCTTGGCTGCGCCCGCGCAGCGTCATTCGACGCCGCCGTCGGCCTGTCCGCAGTCAGTCGGGGGGGCGAGTGGGAAGCGTGCCCTGGCGCGTGCGACCGTGCGTGCAGACCGGGGACAGACCGGCCGCCTCGACGCGCTGGAGCGTGTGCGTTGGCGTGCGCGCACCGTGGTCATCGCATCGCCTCGTCTCAAGGCCTGACCCCATCGCAGGGGCTCCCCCATTCGCGCCACCGCGTCGCTTCCACAGCTCCTCCGCCGCGCGTCGGAGCCGCCACACGCCCGCCGCGGGGATTCGCCCCGGCGGCAGGGGCGGTGGTGATGGCGGCTCCCGGCAGTAGCCACGGGCTTGACCCCGGGAAGGTTGGAGGGTGGGGGGGGCCTGATCCTGGCTGCGCGCCTCGTGCGGTGACCTGCGCCGCAGGACGGGCCGCGGGGGGCACCGGCAGGCGAGCGCGGCATGCGCGGGGTGCGCCGAAAAAAGAAACCGGGCGCGAGCAAAAAGGGGGGCATGCAGCACTCTCACAATGGCGTGCGGGGTTGGAGGGCGGCCGCGGCTGGTCTCGCAACCTGGAGAAGGGGGGGGGTCGCTCCGGCGGTGGTGGGTGGTTCCGTTTCGCGGCGCTCGGTGGGGGAATGCGCGGCGCCCGAAGACTCCTGGTGCGCGGGGGCAGCGTGCGTGCGCCTGCCGCGCGGCAGAACGCCTCCGGATCAGAGTGACGCCGCACGTCCATTCCCGGGAGTCGCCCCTGCACAGCCACGGCCCGGCGGCCAAGTCGCTGTCGGTACGCACGACGCGGGGTCGGGGCGCAACATCGGCACGCTGCTCCACTGCTGGCACCGGTCGATTCTCCGCGGCCGCCGCCGCCCCCGGTGAGCTCCCCCCTCGCCCCCCTCGCCTCGTTGCCCTCCCCGTCGCCTCGTCGCCCGCCCTCCTGCACCTACGTGCCGCCGCGTCGCCTCCGCGGCGCGCGCTCCCGGGCGTGCAAGCACCTGGAAAATTCAGACAGTGTAGCGGCCCTGCGCGGAGCCGGACGCGGCGTCTCGGCGCAGGGACTTCTCCGTGGCCTCTTCCAGGACGGTCTTCAGAATCTGTTTCGCTTGCTTCACTGCCTCAACGCTGGGACCTGTGATCAACAAATGCAGCTTGCGCTCTCCTGCACACGCGGGGCGCGGGGGGCGCGGCGCGTCAGGCGCGGCACTCGGGCACACATGCGCGCGCAAAAAGGAGCAACGCACGGCCGCGCGCGGTCCTCGGCGGCGAGACGACGCACCTTCAGGGATGTGTGCTCCGGGCTTGTAGTAGAGGCCCTTGACGGTGACGGCGCACCCCGTCGTGTCGGTGATCTCCGCCATGGTGTTCTTGTGCGTGGCCTGCCAGCGCGCGTGCTGCGGGAAGTCGTTGATCTCCAGCTCCGCCTCGAACTGCGTCGTGTCGCGCTGCGCCTTGCCAGTGTTGATGCGGGCTGCCAGCTGCGCCGCCACGGCAGCCGCCGCCGCCGCCCCGCCGCCGCCCGCGTCGGCCGACAGCGGCGCGGCCGCGGGGGCGCCAGTCACCGGCGCGGCGGGCATCGCGCCGCCCGTCTCCACCGCGCCCGCGGCGCTGCGCGCCGCCAGCGCGGCGGCCATCGCGCCCGACGGCGCGGCGGCCTTCATCCGCTCCTCGCGCAGGCGCTCCTCCTCTCCCGCCCGGCGCGCCTCCAGCCCCGCCCGGTACGCCGCCGCGCGCTCCGCCTCCTCCCGCTCGCGCTCCTCGGCCTCCGCCCGCGCCCGCGCGTCCGCCTCCTCCTGCGCCCGCCGCTCCTCCGCGCGCTCGATGTCCCGCTTCGTGAGCGCCACGCGCACGCCCGCGTCGCCCTCGCCGTCGTCGTCCTCCGCGCCCGCGGGCTTGTCCTCCTCCTCGAGCCCAAACCCGCGCCGCAGCTTGTTGCGCTCGCGCCGCTTGGCCTCCTCCTCCCCGGCGTCGAACCGGAACCCGCTCCCGCCGAACCCGCTCCCGTGCGCGCGCGCCTTGCCCTCGCGGCGCTTGTCCTGGAAGGCCTTGGCCAGCGCCAGGAGGTCCTCGGGGACGGGCTTCCCGGCGTCGCGCATGGCGCGCGCGAGGTCCGGCGCGACGGCCTCCTCCTCCTCGCTGATGAAGGTGATGGCGGTGCCCTTGTTCCCCGCGCGCCCCGTGCGCCCCACGCGGTGCACGTAGTCCTCGAGGTGGTTGGGCGGGTCGTAGTTGACCACCAGCACGAGGTCCTTCACGTCCAGGCCGCGCGCCGCGACGCTCGTGGCCACCATGATGTTCGACACGCCGCCCTTGAAGTCCTCGATCGTGCACTGCCGGTCCGCCTGCTCCTTGCCGCCGTGCAGGCTCAGGCACGGGTACCCCAGCCGCAGGAGGTCGCGGTACATGTTGTCGCACTTCTCGTGCGTCGCCACGAACACCAGCACCTTCCCGCGGTCGTACCACTCCCCCAGGATCTCCAGCAGCCGCATCAGGCGCTCCTCCTCCGGCCGCAGCTCCACCAGCTGCTCGATGTCGCGGTTCACCACCGAGCGCCCGCCGACGTCGATCTGCACGGGCGACGTGAGCACCTGCCGCGCGAGGGCCTCCACCTGCTTCGGGAACGTCGCCGAGAAGAGCACCGTCTGCCGGTCCGGGCGGATGTTCTGCACGATGCGCCGGATCTGCGGCTCGAACCCCATGTCAAACATGCGGTCGGCCTCGTCGAGGACGAGGTACGTCACGCGGCGCAGGTTGGTGACCTTGCCGTTGTTCGTGATCAGCACGTCGATCATGCGCCCGGGCGTGCACACCACGACCTCCGCGCCGCGCCGCAGCGCCGAGATCTGCGCGCCCATGCCCGTCCCGCCGTACACCTGCACCACCGACAGGCCCGCCGCCGCGCCCACGCGCCGCGCGTCCTTCCCGATCTGCTGCACGAGCTCCCGCGTGGGCGCCATGATCAGCCCGATCGGCCCGTCGCCGTCCTGCAGCGCCGGCTGGTCGCGCGCGTGCCGCAGGAGCGGCAGCAGGTAGGCCATCGTCTTGCCGCTCCCCGTCTTGGCGATGCCGATGCAGTCGCGCCCGGACATGATCACCGGCAGCGCCTGCGCCTGGATCGGCATCGGCCGCTCGAACCCGGCCTTGCGCAGCGTGTCCAGCACGCGGCTCGACAGGCCCGCCTGGTTCCAGTGCTGCACGGGCTTCGGCACGGCCTTCCCGCGCACGCGGATGCCGTCCAGCTGCTGCCGCGCCGCCGCCACCTCCTCGTCCGTCATGCGCGCCAGCTCCGGCGGCTCGATGAAGAAGTTGCGCCGGAACGCCGGGTACTCGACCTTGCTGTGGTCCACCACGCCCAGCCGGTCTCCCTTCGTGCGCCCCGCGCGCACCTTCTCCGCCCACTTCGCGTCGTCCTCCTCCTCGCTGCTCTCCTCCTCCTCCTCCTCCTCGCTGTCCGACTCCAGCCACGCCAGCCCCGCGCGGCCCCCGCCCCGCGACTTGACCGCCACCGCGCCGGCGCCGCCCGAGCCCCCCGACGCCGCGCCGCCGGGGCCCGCCCCCTCCATCGCCACGTCGCCGCCCCCCTCCCCGTCCCCGCCCGCGTCCTCCCCGCTCCGGATCTGCTTCGGCACGGGCGCCTGCGCCTCCATGAAGGCCTCGAGCGGGTCCACCTCGCCGCCGCTCTCCCCCGACTTGGCCGCGGGCGACCCGGGGGGCTCCTCCGCCGCGCCCGCGCCCGGGGCCTCGCGCCGCTCCGGGGACCGCGGCTCCCCGCCCGCGAGCGCGTCCGGCTCCGCGTCGCCCGCCCGGCGCTTCGGAGGCGACTCCTCGCCCGGCGCCAGCGGCACCACGGGCGTCCGCGGGCGCGCGATCCCGAACCCCGCGAGCGGCTTGATGCGGAACGACGTGCCGTACGACGTGATCGGCTGCGCGCCCGCGGGGAGCTTCTTGCCCCCCAGCACGCCGCCCGCCCGGGCCACCCCAAACGCTGGCTTCAGCTTGAACCGCGCGAGCGGGGCCGCCGCGGCCTGCGGAGCCGCGCCCGCCGCAGCCACGCCGCCGTGCACCGACCCGAACGCCTCGTTCTCCCCGGAGTCCTCCTGCCCGCGCTTCGGCGGGGGCTTGAACCCCTCGCTGTCGACGTCGGCGGGCGGCGCGGCGGGCGGCGGTGCCGGCGCCGCGCCCGCGCCGGCCTGCGTCTTCGCCGCCAGGAGCTTGGCCTTGGCCTGCCAGGCGGCCGCGCGCTGCCGGCGCTTTTCGATGTCCGCCTCGATGGTGGGCAGCGAGCGCGCAGCGTCATCGGGGGGGGGGCCGGCGGAGGGCGAGCGCGGGGCCGCGGGCGGCGGTGCGCCCGCCGCTGGCTGCGTCGGGAGTGGCGCGCGGACGGGGGGCGGCGGCGTGGGGCCGCGTGCCGGCGCGGCCGCGTTGGCGGCGTGGTCGCTGGGGCTGGCGTCGGTGCGGCGGTGCTTCGAGCTGCGGCGGTCCTCGCTGGGCGACCGCCGTCTCCGCCTGTCCCTGTGGCCGCGCCGATCCCGCGAGTCGCGATCCTGCGTGTGTGCGGGGGGGCAGGGGCAGGACAAGTCAAGGACTGCTGCTGTGCCGGAAGGGGGCGCTCGCCGGCGGCACGCGCTCGCTCCGTCGCCGCAACGGCCGCCTAGGTCGAGAGGTAGCAGCCGCTGAGCGCAAATGTAACCCCAGTCCGCAGCGCGGGGCGGAGGACGAGACCGGCCGCGAACGGTGCGGCGCGACGGCGCAGCGGGCCCACGGCGCGGCGCGTTCGGGGCACGTACCCTTTCCCTGGATCGGCTCCTCGACCGTCGTCGTCGCCCATCCCTGTCGCGCGACTTCGAGCGCGACCTCCTCGCCATCGCTGCTACCGATCGCGCAACTGCACGTTTGACGTCCGCAATCCGGCGGATTGTGATCGCGCACAGCGACTTACGACTTACCGAGCGCGTGCCGCGGCTTTTCGGGCGTTCGAGCGAGGGCACAGCCAGCGGGATGGAATCAAACGCAAGCTGCTCAGCCTCACCATGCGGCCCGTCTCAGTCGCAGACGTTCCCGGAGCCGCCCGACGCGGGGCCCCGGACCGAAGCCTGGTTGCGGCAACGCCTCCGCGCGGCCAGGCGGTCCTGTCAGCGCCGCGTGTCGGCACTCTGCACTGCGCGGCACAGCGCTCAGGGCCCTGCGGTCACAGTTAAGCTCGCGTCGTCGTCGTCGCTCGCTACGAACGATCTGCGGGTTTACATCGCGGCGGGCGCCCCCGCGGCCCCATGTGCCGCACCCGCAGGGCGCACGCGGCCGGAACGATCCACCTGACACGGTGCCGGTTCGCACGCCCCTCCCCCGCCCGCCGCGGCCGCACGCGGGGGAGCACAGTGCGCCGGAGGCGACCGCGCGTCGGGCAGTTATCGGCTGTGCGTTGCGCCCGTGCGAACCACGCTGACGGGCGGCTCTCTGCCGTGTGCAGCAGGCGCTGGCTCGACTTGTGTCGGGCCCTGCGCCCCGACCGCGGAACCGATCGTCTGGCAGCGCGCGAGCGGCATGTCTGGCGGTCGCACCGCCGGCAGCGGCGCGGGCGCGAACGCCGCGGCATCGGCGGCGCGCGCGGTGCGGCCTGCTCCACAGAAGGCTCCTACGCCGCACACGGGCCGGCGCGCCGCGATCCTTGCGCCCGTGGCGCTCGGAGCCTCCCTGTCGCTCGGACGCGGCGACGCTCGCGCGCAGCAGAGCGTGCCCGAGCCCGCGACGGGCAACTGCCCGACATGCATCGCGGCGGACGACAAAGCAGGTGGGGCCTCCGGAGCCGGGCCGCCGGCTGTTCGCGCGTGATTCTGCGCTCGATACGAGGTCGTCGAAGTGCACGCATCGGCGCGGGGGCGCGCGGTGCGAATCGCGGCGCGATCGGGCGGTGCACGGCCCCACCACTGCTGCGCGCTGTGTCGCCTCCGCAGAGTCGCTGGGGGCGTGCGGAGACTCGAAGGCGTGCGCGAGCACGTACGACGATCGCCCGAAGTACTTTGTGGATCCGTGGGAGTTCGACGAGGCGTCGCAGGCGGCGGCGATGGCCAAGATCGCCGAGGCCGTGCAGGGCGCGGGCGGCAAGATCCGGCAGCGCAGCGACCGCTACCTGTGGGCCGAGTTCTTCGGCAACTGGGGCTGCGACGACGCCGAGTTCCTCTTCGCGGACAACGACAACACCGTGTCGGTGCGGTCGGCCTCGCGCGCCCCCGCCAAGGGCGACGGGGCGCGCAACGCGCGGCGCCTCGAGTCGCTGCGGCTCTCGCTCGGCTGGGACAAGGTCTACGTCGTGCGCAACCGCCAGCGCGCGTTCGGGATCGTCGAGAGCCCGTGGGACACGTTCGGCCCGGAGCCGCCCCCGCTCACGGACGACCCGGGCGACATCCAGCGCGCCCTCAGTCAGGGCAACGGAGCGTCCGACTGACGCCCGCCGGAGACAACGCGCTGTGAACCACGCCCCGCGCGGCCGCAGCGCACGCGCGATCGCACCGCCCACGGCGCCGCTCCGTCACAGCGGGCGCGCACGGCCCGACCTGACCTGCGCCTGCGCTCCACCACGCCGCGTCGCGGCGGCGGGGCGCGGGGCTGCGTCGCCGCGCCCGTCACCAGAACGCGCTGTCGCGCCACTGCGCCTCCCTCTGCCCCGGTTCGCGCCTCCGCGGCCCGCCCGCGCCCCCGTGCGTGTCGACCAGCGCGTTGGTGCGGCGGCCCCCGACCTCCCGGCCGTCCAGCTTCCCGCACGCGCGCTCCGCCTCCGCCTCGGTCGCGAGCACCGCCTTCCCGAACCCCGCCGAGAGCCCGTCCTGCCGCCGCGCCACCCGCGCGGCCACCACCGCCCCCGCCCCCACCGCCGCCTGCACACACGCGCACCGACGCAACCACAGCGCGTCAGCACGCACCGCCACGCGCCACCCGCGCAGCTGCCGTCGCGCGCCAGTCAGCGCCCACCTGCACGTGCGCCACGAAGTCGTCGTCGCTCATCGCGAAGGGCAGGCCCGTCACGACGATCTGGCGCCCCTGCGCGCCGGGGACCAGGAGCCCGCGGTCCTCGTCGCGGAGGCGCTTCTGCGGAGAGGACTCGTCCGGGTAGACCTTGACGCGCCGCCCGTTGAACGGCTTGCCGTGCAGCAGGGCGACGGCGCGCTGTGCGGCGCAGGGCGTGCCGAACTCCACCGTCGCGCGCCCCTTCGAGTTGCCCTCGCGGTCGCGGTGCACGCAGGCGTACACCACCGACCCGGCCCTGCGTCGGGAGGCGGGCGCGCGGGTGGCGCTCTCAGGTCGGGGGGCGCCGGTGCAGTGGAGGAAACCGAATCCTGCGAGGGCCGACTCCCGTCCGCACCTTTCGAACCAGGCCACGACCTCGCACCAGTCCGCGTCGTAGGGCAGGTTGAACGCCATGACGCGATCGGGGCTCCCCTCCTCGCCCAGGACATCGTGGCGCGGTGGTGCCCTGTGCTTGCCAGGCCGGGGGCCTGCTCCTGCGGTCAGCAGAGGCGCACGCGAGGCGGCGCACGAAGTCGGGTGGCGTGGCCTGATGCGTGCGAGCCGATCCTGGGCCCCGGTACCCTGTCGGAAGCGTCATCGAGCGACAGAGGCGAGCGCAACCGTATCTCAGGTCCTGTGCGGGCCGTTCGCTGGGTTTCCTCGGGGCCCTCTCCGCCAGCTACCCGCTCGCGAAAACAGCGGCGCTCACCTGACATGTCCAGGCGCTCGTGGTCCGTCGGTACATCCCCTCGGGCCACCCAGGCGGACGTGCGAAGCTGGCACTGCGACGCCGCTTGTGCCACCGCCGTACACGCACGCGCGAGGAGCGCGCGACGCGCAAACATGCCTACGAGTTCCACACCAGTCTATCTCGCGCGGGGCGGGAGGACGCTGCCGTCCGGGCGACGTCCGTCACGCGCCGGCCAACTGCCCTGTGCCTCGTCCCGGCAGCCGCAGCAGGAGGCCGTCGACCACCCGGCACCAGCTCTCGGCCTCCAACACGTCAGACTGCTCCGACACCGCAGCGCACGCCGCGCGGCACCGCTCCGCCGGGAGCAGACGAGACGTGATCGCCCCCAGCCACCACAGGCAGCCCGAGTGCACGCACGCCGCCAATCGCCCGTGCAGGGCGTCGTCGTCGGATGCGCAGCGGGAGAGCGACAGTGCCGCCGGGCCGCGTCGCCGTCCGCACATGCCGCGGCGACGCACCCTCGAACACTCAGTGTCACTGAGTCAGCCTGTCCACCTACAGGTGGAAAACCAACGTCACACCGGCGCTCGCCGCCCGCGCCGCACTGCCCGGAGGCCGTCACCGCCGGTCGCCGCCCCCCGCCCGCGCCTCCTCGGCGCCGCCGCCGCCCCCGCGCGCCCTCGCCCGCTCCTCCATCCACGGCTGCGCGCGCGCCAGCAGCTCCTCGACCTCCGCGTCGGGCAGCACGTGCCAGCTCAGCCCGCGCGCCCAGTCCTCCCACGTCGGGTCCGCCAGCAGCGCGTTGATCTCGCGCGCCAGCGGCCCGTCGCGGAATGCCTCCTGCGCCGCCGCGCCCCCCTGGCGCAGCGCGAGGCGCTCGCCCGTCAGCAGCGCCGCCCCCTGCGCCGCGTCCTGCTGCCCCGCGCCGCCGCGCTTCACCGCGAACCGCTTGAACCGCGCGTCCGTCAGCACCAGCGTCTGCACGCAACACGGCACCAAACAGCCGACGGCAGTCAAACGGCGTGCGCGGGTGGCTGCTGCGGCGCGCAGACGCCGTGCCCGCGCGCGCGCACTCACCAGAGGCGGGGCCCGCGGCGTCGTCACGCGCGCAGGCTCCTGCAGCGCCAGCTCGAGCACCTCGGGGCGAATCACGCCGCGCGCCACGGCGAGCGCGGTCCCGACCATGTGGCGGATCTGGTGCAGCATGAAGGAGTCGCCCTCGATCGTGATGCGCACGCAGCGCTCCCCGCCCGCGACCAGCGCCGCGGGGTCCTCCGCGCGGAACCGCGTCACGTTGCGGTAGTGGCTGCGCCCCACGCGGTCCGCCGCGCGCACGCGGTCCAGCCAGTCGAACTCCCACCCCTTGCTGCTCTGCCCGCACTGCAGCGGGACGCCGTCCGCGCCCACGCGCGGCCCCTCCTCCTCCGCGTCGCTCCCGTACCCCTCGTCGTCCTCGTCGATCGACGGCCCCAGGTCCGACGCGTCCTCCGCGCGGGCGTCGCGCGCCCGGAGCCTGTCCGCGGCGGCGCGCTTGCTCGCGGTGGCCTGCGGGCGGTACAGCCGCCGCTTCGTGAAGTTGTGGAACGGGTGCGCGCCCTCCATGCGCGCCATTGCCGCGCGCAGGCGCGCCACCGCCGCGGCCTCGGACGCGAGGTCGCCGGCGGCCGCGCCGGGCACCGCGTCCGCGAGGAGGAGGCGCGCGGGGAGGAAGTACTCGTAGCGCCGGCGCGTGCAGCTCGGCCGCGCGCTCCACGTCTTGGTCACGCGCTGCACCGACAGCACGCGGATGTCGCCCGGGAGGTGCGCGTTGATCCGCGCCGCCGCGCGCAGGCCCTCCGGGTCGGCCTCCCCCGGGCTCTGCGCCGCGTCGTCGCGCTCGAGCTCCATCTTGAAGCTCGTGACCGTGCACAGGGAGTGCACGCCCTTGTCGGTGCGGCTGCTGCGGGACCAGCGGACCTTGCCCGGGCCGCCCTCGAGGTTGCTCGCGCTGATCGCGCCGGACCGTCCGAGCGCGTCCAGGAGGTGGTCCTCCACGGTCAGCGTCGTGGTGTGCGGGCCCGGCGCAGACACCTGCAGCCCGCGGTACCGCGTGCCCAGGTAGGCCAGGTGCAGGGCCACCTTGCGCTTGACCGTGCCGCGGGAGGCCTGCGGGGCGCTCGAGCGCTCGCGGCGCGTGCTGCGCGCGCTGTCCGGCCCCGCCGCGGCGCCTGCCTCCGCGCTGCGCGGCAGACGGGAAACGGACGCATGCGCGTCGCACGAACCAAACCACGGCGCCCGCGCGCGAGGATTCCGTCCCTGTGTAGCGTCGCACAGTGCCGCGATGCGCGCGGGCCCCGAGGCGGCTTGTCGGGACGCACGCGACGCGCACCTGTTGGCGAGCGAGGAGCAGGCGATGAGGCCCTCCTGTCCGCGCACATCGCGACGGTGGAGCCTGTGCCCGCCAGCTCGGAAGATGCCGAGGTACAGCTTCGGCTGGCGCGGCAGCACGTGGGCGCAGGCCTTCCCGCACGACGCCAGCGCCATCCTTCCCCAGGGTGCTTTCCGCGCGAACAGCGCCGCGAGTGCGCGGTGATGTCGAGCGCGCGAAGGTAAACCGGGCGTTTCTTCACAAATCGGTCATCTTCCCGGAAGCGCAGGCCCATGTCGTCCCTGGTGCGGCGCGCGGGGGGTGGTGAAACACAGCGTCCGCCACGCCCCGCAGCGCGAGTCCCGGGGGGCCTGCGGGCGCGGGGGCAATGCGTGGGGCGGGCCGGTGAGCCGCAGCAGTCTCGTGCCTCTCGGTGGAGCGTTCGGAGAGTGAGACGCGTGTCCGTGCCGCCGTTCGAGGCCCATCATAGCCGCGGGTCTATCCCTGGGAGAAGCATGCACCTCGCGCCGGCTCAGGTGCCGCGCGTCGGCCGCGCGGCGCGGGCCGGGAAGGACGTGACACGCGGGAGGTGCTTGGCGCGCCGGACGCAGGCGCTCCGCCGCGGGCGAGCGCGCACGGAGGCCAAGGCCATCCCAGCCGAGGAGCCCTGGGCGGACCTCAAGGTGAGCGCGCTCGCAGCCGCGCGCGCCCCGCTCAGACCGATTCCGCCTGCGCGGGGGCACGGCCGGCCGCGGTGCGGTGCGGCGCGGCCCGGCGCGCGGCGGCACGTCCAGCGGTTGGTCAACGCGCTGCGCAGGTTGCTGCCTCGCGCCGCGCCGCCGCGCCCCGGCCGAGCCCTCGACTCACGGGACGCAGGATTCGCACGCGCGCCCAGCTCGCTCGCGGCACCTGCCCCGCCCGCCCGCCCCCCGCAGGGCTCTCCGTCCGAGGACTTCTCGAAGATGGCCAACGAGGAGATCCTGCTCCTGCTGTACGGCATGGACATGGACGTGGACATCCAGCGCGCGCTCAACCTCGAGGTGTACGACGCCGCGAAGCAGTCGCGCAAGGCCCGGGAGGAGGTGGACGCGGCGTGGGAGCAGATCAAGCTGCAAAAGGAGAAGCGCGCGCCGGGGGCCGGGGCGCCGGGGGTGCCGGAGCCCGCCGCGGACACGTTCGACCTCAGCCTGCGGACCATGAAGCTCCGCTCCGAGATGGAGAAGGCCGTCGCGGCCGAGGACTACCAGGTGGGGGTGTGCGCGCGTGCGTGCGTGCGTGCGTGCGTGCGTGCGAGGGGGCGCCGGGGGCGCCGCGGCGGGCTCTGACGGTGCTGCGTTCCGTGTCCGTTCCGTGTGCAGTTGGCGGCCGAGATCCGGGACCAGATTCGGCAGCTGGAGATCTCGTCGCTGCAGCAGTCGCTGCTGGCGTCGGACCGGGACATCCGCCTCGCGGAGCCCAAGTTCCGGCTCGGGCAGCGCGTGTGGCACGCGACGAAGGGCTACCGCGGCGTGATCGCCGGATGGGACCTGCACTGCTGCGAGACGGAGGAGTGGGCGCGCAAGGCGGGCGTGTCGGACCTGGACGACGGCGTGGCGCAGCTCTTCTACAACGTGCTCGTCGACCTGCGCGACTTCGGCCTTACGGGCATGCGCGACCCGCAGTCCTCGCCCGTCGCGTACATCCCCGAGGAGCTCATCGCCTCCGTCCCCGACGAGGACGAGTACGGCTGGAAGGGCGCGTTCGGCGACGACGAGTTCCAGCACCCGTACCGCTACCTGCTCTTCATCGGTAAGGACAACCGCGGGGACCTCGTGCCGTCCAAGGCGCTGCGGGAGCGGTTCAAGGTGCAGCGCTGGGACGTGCACCCGCCGGGTGCCAAGGACAAGGACCAGGGCGCGTGACGCGGCCGGGGCGGACGGCGCCGGGTGTGACCGATGCGCGGCACGTGGGAGCGCGGCAAACGCGCTGGTCGACCCCGACGCGCTGTGCGTGCGGGTCCAGTCAGCACCACCAGCACTCAGCAACGCGGTCGCGTCGGCCGGCGGAGCGGGCCGCGTGCATGTGTGTCCGCGCGGGCGCCCGGCTGCGATGGCGCCGTGGACCGCCGCTCGAGCTCGGCGCGTGTCGCCGGCTTGCCACCAGAGGCACCGCAACGTTGTCGCTGTCGCCGCTCAGCACCGCGCAAAAATGGTGTCGAACGAACGAGCCGGCCGCGGCGGGCGCTGCCTTGAACGTCCGCGTCTGCGCTCCAACGCGAGTCGTCCTGCGGTCGGTGCTCGCGGTGCGTTGCAGCAGTGACACTTTTGCTGATCCTCCCCGTGGTGGTGATTCCCCGCTACGGGGGCGGGGGAAGCACCATGCAGGCGCCGCCCGGCTGCAGTGGACATGCCTGACCTGCGACGTGCGGCGCGGGACGATCACCGTGATTCACGTGCGCGCGCGCGAGCGCGTGCGAGGCGCGTGCAGGTTACGGTTCCAACTGCCCGGTTGAGTCATTGTGGCCTGGCGACGCGGACAAGGGCCACGCCTGCGTCCAGCCGACAGCACATATCCGTCACGCGGCGTGCAACAACGGCGTGCCCACGTGAGCGGCCCCGCGATGGTGTAAGCGGGGACGGGACCGCCGAAAGAAGGGCCCAGCGACTGTGGGAGGCGGCAGAGGGGTCGCAGCAGGGCGACTCGCGGCGGAAGAGCGGCCATGGCGTTTTTCGCCACCGTCGCGCTCGTCGTTTTGCTCAGCGGTGCGCCCCCGGCGCGGCGGGGGGAGCGCCCCGCCCTGCAGAGCCCTACGGAGAGCGGCGCCCCCGCCTTTCGCCGTGGCGCCCGCTAGGCCACGCCACGCCCCCTCCAGTCCATGAGCGATGCGCGACCGCGCGCCTCGACTCATCGGGCCGCGCACGCAGGCTTCCGCGCTGCTTCAACCGCCATGCACCAACAGGAGCCGCCCCTCATGCGTGGGTCGCACCGTCCCGCGACTGCAGGCATCACGGACGCCGCCATAAGCGGCTCGCCGCCATGGCACGCGGGCTTCGTGGCCGGGACCGCGGAAGGCTGCGAGGTGCGGCCCTGATTCCCTGCCCGTGCAGCGCTGGCTCCAACGGGAGCGCTCGCCGCCGAGCGGCCGCGGCGCATTACCCCGCCGTGCTGCGGGCCGGCGCCCCCAGTTCACGACGCGCGCAGTGCTGGTGTCTGCAGGGCTATCTGCAAGCGACCGGCATCGCAGCTCTGCGCCTGTCTGCGTCCAGCTTCTTCGACGGCAACGGCAACGTGCGCTCCGCCAGTGAATGGGAGCCCGTCGCACTCGTGGACGCCTGGAGGCAGTCGAACGCCAAGCTCTTCAACGGCTTCTGGCTCCCCGGGACCTTCTCGTGCGCCCCCTGGGCCTGTTGGCTGCTCTCGGTCCTCGCAGCGCAGGCAGCGCACGGCTTCCCTCGGCGCCCCGGTCGCTGGCCTCTCAACGCACCTGCGCACGCACCCGTGCCCGCAGGTTCTCGACGTCAGGCGACGGCTGGCTGTCGAGCGACGCGACCAGAGCGCTGGCGGAGCTCCAGGAGCGCCTGGTGGCTCAGACGCCGCACTGCGACGCCGGCTGCCAGGACAGGTGACCGAACCCTGCCTCCGCGACCGCATGCCGTGGCGCCCGAACCGCGCGGGCGTCGCCCGCTTCACGACGCGACCTGTTGCCCAGCGCCAGGCACCCGCGCGACCCCACGCCACCCGCAGGCAGCGCGACGCTCTCCGTAGCATATACGCGTCCACGGGCGGCGACCAGTGGCCCGATCCGGCGGTGCGCGCGGCCTGGACGTCCGCAACCCTCCACCACTGCTGCTACCCCGGCGTCACATGCTGCAGCGCGGACAACTCGTTCCTCATACCGCGCCTCGACGACGCCGGCGCCGTCGTCGATGTCATCGACTCGCGCGTTCGCGGCATCGCCTGCCTGCGCCCCGGCGCCGTGGTGGCGCTCGACCTCAGCACTCTGGCGCGCGTCGACGGTGCGCCCGGGCCGCCGGGCGGCGGGGGGCAGGGGCCCCCGCGGTCCCTCCCGGCGGACGCGCTCGCCGCGCTTGCGCCCAGCCTGGAGTACCTGGACGCGCGGTTCGCGGGTCTGTCCGGGACGCTGCCGGCGACGATCCTACGCGCCGTGCTCCTGCGCAGCCTGCGCCTCGACTTCAACTCGCTCTCCGGGGAGTTTCCGCGAGCGGACGGCGGGGTCGACTGGGCGCACCATGCGCTGCTCGTCCACCTGGGTCTGGTGGGCAACCGCTTCTCGGGGGGCCTCCCGTCCGAGCTGAGTCAGGCGCTGTCGCTGGAGGAGCTCGTCGTGGCGGGCAACGAGTTCGTGCGCGGCATGCCGACGGCCGCGTCGCCCGCGCTGCGCGTCGTGGACGTGTCGGGCAACCGCATCCAGGACGGGCTGGTCCCGCGCGGCGTCACGGCGGGCGTGGCCTCGCTCGCGGACGGGCGCGACGACGTGCTGGGCATCAAGCGCACGGCCACGCCGCTCTCGCTCAAGATGCTGCGCGCCCGCGCGAACGGCGCGACGGGCACGCTCCCCGCGTCCCTGACGCAGTTCGACCTGCAGGTGCTCGACCTGTCGGACAACAGGCTCACCGGCACGATCCCGCGGCGCGTCGCGACGCTCGGGGGCCTCAAGGTACTCCTTCTCTCGGGGAACGCCCTCTCGGGCACGTTCCCGGAGCTCGGGGGCACCTCGGAGCTCGAGGAGATCGACGTCTCCAACAACCCCGCGCTGACGGGGACCGTGCCGGTCGGGCTGCGCAACGCCAGAGACCTGCGGGTGCGTGCGCCGCGTGCAGCGCGCCTGCGAGCGACCCGCGCCCCGCGTGTGCGCCCGCGGCCGCGGCTCACGTGCGCCCCGCGCTGCTCCCCGTGCGCCGCAGATGTCCACGACCAACGTGTTCGGGGCGATCCCGGAGCAGCTGGTCTCGATCCGTCTCCAGCACGTCAACATCCTGGACACGCTCATGACGCACCCGCGCAGCGCCCCGAACGAGCGCGGCGAGTTCCTGCCCTCGTGGCTGACCTTTGGAAGCGGCGACGACCTCGAGCTCACCTCGGTGCTCACGCGCGACGCCGACACGGGCGAGATCGAGGAGGTCGACGGCCTCCTGTGCCCGAACGTCCAGCCCGCGGGCAGCGCCCAGCGCTTCCTGCGCGTCATCATGCACCCAAGCTACTACCGCTTCGAGGGCTGCTTGTGCGCCAGGGGCTACGAGCCCGCGAACGTGCCGCCGCCCTCGCACGTCACCGAGCGCCTCGACGCCGTCCGCAACGACCCGGCCTCGGGCTGGCCGGCCGCGGGTGCCGCGCGCGACGCCTTTGAGCGCGAGCACGTGCTCGACGCGTGGCTCGAGTGCGAGGACGTCGGGACGACGCTGGAGAACTGGGTCATCCCGGTCTCGGTGTCCATCGGGGGCCTCGTCCTCCTCGTCCTCGTCGTAGCGCTCTTCCTCCTCTGGCGCTTCCGCGGGGAGCTGGCCGTGGCCTTCATGGAGCGCCGCAAGCGCAGCGGGCCCCCGTCGGGCGGGCGCGCGATCACGCTGGTGCTCACGGACGTGGAGGGGTCCACCGCGGCGTGGGAGGAGCACCCCGAGGACATGACGCGCGCCAACGCCGTGCATGACGCCATCATGCGGCACCTGCTGCCCAAGTGGCACGGCTACGAGGTCACCACGGAGGGCGACGCGTTCCTCGTGGCCTTCCACGAGCCTGCAGACGCCGTCGGGTGGTGCCTGTCCGCGCAGGCGGCCCTGATGGCCGCGAACTGGCCCGAGGGCCTCGTCAAGTCGATCAGCACGGACAAGTTCCCGACGCACCCGCAGCGGCAATCGTCGGATTGTGCACCCGACCGCGCGCACAAGATCGGCAGGTCCGCGTCGGACCTCGCGAACGCCGCGTCGCGGGGTGGCGACTCCCCGAACGGGTTCGAGGCGCAGCACCAGACCCCGCCGCGGCGGTCGACGGACGCGTCGCGGACGTCGCAGGCCGAGGTCAAGCTCACGCACGACGACGGCCAGCGCTTCTTCCGCGGCCTCCTCGTGCGCATGTCGGTCGCGACCGCGCACGCCACCAGCAGCAGGGTGCACCGCATGACGCGCCGCGTGGAGTACGCCGGGCCCGTCGTCGCGGCGGTCAACGCGCTGCAGGAGGTCACCCAGGGCGGGCAGATCCTGATCGACGCGGCGTCGTACGAGGGCACGCTGGCGCTGCTGCCCATCGTGGCGCGCACGCTCAAGGCCCTGCCGATCTTCCAGGACTTCAAGGAGTGGATGGCGGCGCGGCGGGCGCCGGAGGTGGTGACGTCGGCGACGGTCTCGCGCAGCAGGATGCGGGGGTTCGTGGCCAAGGTGGCGCGCGAGCGCTTTGCAAGCCAAGCGGGGGAGGTGGTCTCGGGGGCCGGGGACAACGAGAGCGTGGTCGACGGCGACGGCAAGCAGAGGTCCATCGCGCGCGGGCGCGGCTCCATCGGGGTGGACTCCGCCGTCCTGGAGGACTCCGTGGCGGCGGGGCAGCGCGTGTCCAACACCGGGGACCTGAGCGTGGCGCAGCGCGTGCGGTCGGCGCGGACGCGGGCGCGGGTCCACCTGTCGCGCCTGTGGGACCGCGCGACGAAGAGCCGGCTCGGCGAGGCCGCGTTCCTGAGCAACGGCCGCGTGGCGCACCCGGAGCAGACCGCGGGCGACATCCCCGACAGCTTCCTGCAGAGCCACCTGTCGATCCTGGACATGGGCGAGCACCGGATCGGGCTCCCCGAGCCGACGCACATCTACCAGCCTGTCGTGCCGCTCCTGGAGGAACGCGTGCGCTTCTTCGACCCGCTGCCGCACTCCCACATGGTCAGCGCGGGGTACCTCGACGCCCCGCTGGCCAACATGCCGCTGCGCCCCGAGTCGTCGCTGTGCCCGCACCCGGGCCTGAAGACGTACAACGGGTGCCCGCACTGCGCGGGGCAGCTGGCGGAGCTGCCCGAGGTGGTCATTGCCTTCTGCGGGCCGGTGCTGCCCGCGAACATCAGCGAGAGGGAGGCCGAGAAGGCCAAGGCCATCTATCGGTCGGCGGTGCGCGAGTCGCTGCCGGCGTTCAACGGCTACGAGTGCCAGGAGCTGACGGGCGCGTTCATGATCGCGTTCCACAACCTGGCAGACGCCTTCCTATGGGGCACGTGCCTGCAAATGGCGCTCCCGGGCCTCCCCTGGCCCCGCAAGCTGCTCAGCCACGAGTCGGCGGCCGTACAGGTCAACGCCTTCGGCCGGCGCGTGTCGGGCGGCCTCAAGGCGCGCATCGGCATCTGCCGCGGCCGCCCGCTGCGCGTCGTCCCGCACCCCGCGACGGGGCGCGCGGACTACTTCGGTCCGCTCGTCAACCGCGCCGCGCGCATGTGCTTCGCAGCGGCGCAGGGCGGGCAGGTCGTGGGCTCTGCGGCGGACGCGGCGCAGGCCCTCCTGCAGGTCGCGGACCTCACCACGGAGGACGGAAAGGTGCGGGACGCCATCGGCTTCGTACACGCCGCGTCCACAGGCCTTCACGAGAAGCCCGCGGGCGTGGAACGGGTGACGAGCAGCCCGGCAGAGACGCCAGTGGGGCCGAGGACGCTGCAAGCGACTGCCACGTCGAGCGGCGCTCGGTCCGAGGGCGAGCACGGCGGCCTGCACCGGGTCACGAACGACAAGGCCCTGTTGAGAGCCTGCGGGTTCACTGACGACGAGCAGCTGCCGCCGTTCGTTCAGCCACCCCTGCCGCTCGACCCGCCCAAGCGCGGGCTCGCGGCCAGGTCCACGGCGCGCATCCACAGCGGGCGCTTCCTCAGGCTGATGACGTCGGCGAGGCGTTTCACCGAAGACGAGGACAGGGAGAGGTCGGACGGCGGGACGCCGCGACGCGTGGACAAAATGCCCGCGCGGAGCGTCAGGTTCTCGGTGGCCGAGACCGGCTCCGAGGTGGACAGGCGCGCGCGACTGGGGCCCCGCCAAATGTGGACGTGGGTGTCGGAAGTGCAGCTCCTCATGGTACGCCCCCGCACGCACCCACGCTCCTGCGTGCCGCTCGGCGACAGTCGTGGATCGCCCGCCTCACGCTCGTCCGTCCGCGCACGCGTGCTCGCAGGCCAACCACATAGGGTCCTTCAAGCTCAAGGGCGTCACTGGCGAGTTCGACCTGTGCGCGGTGATGCCCTACGCGTTCTCAGGGATCAGGTACCCCCCGCCCGCCGGCAAGAAAGCCAAGATGCTGGGCCCCGCCATGGGCCCCGCTCTCCAGGTTCAGGCCGGCATGCGGATTCTGCACGTCCGGGACGACGGCGGCGCGCTGGCCCTGCGCACCCCGAAGAGGGGCCACGGGAGCGACCGCCACAGCAATCGCTTCAAGGACCAGCCCACGTCCGGGGAATCGGACTTCGAACGAGCTCCGGAGCACGTCTCCGTCCTAACGAGGATGCCGGAGTAGAGCGGGATGCAACCGTTGGATGTGACAGTCACGCGCTGGTGCCTGTCGCGCTCAGTCTAGGACGGCAGGGGCCCTGCACGCGTCCGTGGACGCCGCGCAGTCACCTCGGTCAACTGGAAGCACGTGGTCCAGGCAGGGCTCGTGTCTGCTTGCCTGGCCACACTCCGACTCGCTCACGCCCGCGGGCGCCCGGCTTCTACTCGAGCCGGAGCATGGCGAACACGGCGACCTCGAGGATCCCCATGCGAGCTCCGTGACGGTGCCGGTCAAGGCGTGGGACATTCGGGCGCCGCTGCGTCGTACCCGGGACGTGGGCAGAAACACCGCCGCCGAGGGCACCTGCTGTCCCTCGCTCGCGTCGAGAGCGTGCCGCCACGTGAATGCTGACCACATTGGTCGCGAGAACAGAGCGATGCACTCCCTGCGCACGGCGTGCCGGTGACCCTCCAACAGCACCCTGGACCGACAGCCCCCGTTCGGTCACAAGTCTCGCCAGCACCGGCCAAGGGGCACAGGTCGACCGCAACCTGCGTGTACTGTCGCCGGGCATCCCTCACGCCCGCTGCGCTCGTGCCCCGCGTGCGACTCGGCGGGCTGCTTCGGGTAATGTGTGTTGAGCTCACGCTGAGCGCGCGGTGCATTCGGCCGGTGCTTGCATCCGCGAGACGATGAAGTCGGGCATCAAGAGCCGGGCCGCTCCCCCGTGGGACCCCTTCCGCGTGACCCGCGACGAGGAGGGTTACACAACTTATGCTGGGTGCGCCTCCCGCCCGGGCCCTGCTCCCGCCAACGAGGATACGCCGCAGCCGCCGTCGCAACTCCGTTTGAAGTGGTCACGAGCAAAGATGTCCGTGGAATTCTCGGCGCCGTCCACGGACTCGTGTCGCGCTGCAGGTTCGCGTTGGGTTGCGTGTGCCTGGGCTGCACGTTGCTTTTCGTGGCCTGGGGGCTGTTTCGATTCACCCAAGACAGTTACGAGGCGAGCAACAGTTTCGAGCAGATGGACGACGGGTACGAGTACCGGCCCAAGTTGGCGCCAGAGCTGGACCTGGTGCTGGGCACCTACATCTCTGGCGTTCGCGTACTCCCGGAAGGCGTCTGGTCGGTGAAAGCCTATCAGATGTAAGCGCCCGCACCCGCTGGTCAGCTTGTGCGCACCGGCGACCGATGCTTCGCCTCGCTGTGCGGCACGGCGTGGAGCTGTTCCCGCGGTGGCGCGTGCGCACGTGGCCGACGAACTGGTGGCTTGCGCCGTCTCGCAGGTACCACGCCGTCGACGACGTCCCGGAGAACGCCGTCGTCACGTTGATCGAGCTGCCCGTGCGGCAGACCGACATGGTGGTAAACACCGCAAGGATCCCCAGCTTCTTCATACCGCCGTCCTGCACAGACGCAGAGCCCGCTCGGATGGGCGAGCCCGTTCCGGAGGCCACGCCGTGCGACCCGGCGGTGGCCAGCTTCCCGCACCTGCAGGTCCGCAGCCGTGCACGACACGACGCAAGGCAGCAGTGGCACCGCCGCAGCACCCGTCCGCGCCCTCGAGCTCACTCGGTCCTCCGCGACGGCCGCCCACTTGCCCGCAGGGAGGCTTCTTCTCGCCGGTGTACGCGTCCGTGTACCTGGAGATCGAGCTCAACTGGGGGCGGCTGTTCGACTTTTACGCACAGAACCCCGGCGCAGCGGCCCCGTCGCGCCGGGAGCTAGAGACGATGCTCGCAGCTGCGCAGGGCCCTCGCACGGACGATAGTGTCAGCAGCGGCGTGGAAGCGAGGTTTCGTGCGGCAGAGCATGCGCATCGCCGGAGCGCTGGTAGCCTCGATGCCAGACGCCGCGGCCTGCAGCCGGCTAGCGCGACGAGCATCCCCCTCGCATTTGCTCCGTTCGTCAGGACGAAGGGTGAGGCCGGCTCGCTCACGGCGCGGACTGGTCACGACGGCATGCGACGCCGTGTTCCGATGACACGTCGACCTGACCCGTTTCCGACCGTGGCCGCGCCCGCGTTTGCTCCGCAGCTGTGGACACCTCTGCGGTGAACTTCCAAAAGTCGATGGACGACGTGCGAGGGGTGAGTGATGCTGCGCGCAGGGACGCATGGGCTGCACGGAGGCAGCAGCGCGCTCGCCGGGCTCGTCGTCCCACGGTGCCCTGTCCCGCTGCTCGCACGCAGGAGAATGTCGGATATCAAGTGTACGGGCTGAAGGAGTCGCTCTCCACAATAGTCGAAGTCTCGCTCCTCAGACGCACGATAGAGAAGTCGTCGGCGGTCTTCGACAGTCTACCGTCGGAGTTCACGGACGACCTCGTGTGGAGCGGTGCGCGCCGACACGTCCGACAGCGCCCTGCCGGGCCGTCTGCGCACGAGACGACATCGACACGTGACTCACGCTGCTTGTAGCGCGCCGCACTGACCGCAGGCGCGGCGTTCGACGTCGTCGACAAGAACGACATCAACGTGGTTCGGCGGACCAGCAAGGAGGCCGAGATCTCGTTCAGCCTGTTCTCTGTGTCGGACAACGTCAAACTCGAAGCCCAAAAGAGCATCTGGGACCTGCTCGGTGAGCACGCGGGGGCAACTCTATCGCGCTCGCCAGCCGCCCGCCACGTCCACGCTCGACCGCGCCCCCGCCGCCCCCGCGGCTGTCCGTGCAGGTGACATCGGTGGTATCCTGTCCCTGCTGATGCTGCTCTTCAGCCACCCGGGGCGGCTCATCAACTTCATCCTGATGCGCCGCGACGCCCACCGCCTGCGCAAACTGCACGAGGCCGAGGCCGCGGGGCCGTCGTCGTCGTCGGTGTGCAACGACCTCGAGGCTGGCAAGGACGCGGCGGCCGACGTGGACCCCGCGCCCAAGACGTCGGAGGACACGACGGACACCGCGCAGCGTGACGTCGCGCAGCCGGGGGCGGCGCCCTCGGGTCCGCGCTCGCTGCGCTCGAAGCCCTCGATGGTGTCACGGCTGCGACGTCGCGCTGTCGACGCTGCGAGGCGCCGGGCGCAGCAAAACATGCAGCTGGCGCGACAGCTGGCGGAGGAGCTCGGTATGATGCGTCACAGCCGCGGAGACGAGCCAACGCCACGCGTGTAGCCCGGAGGACAGGTCCCGGCTTGCATCGAGACTGCATGACGTTGAGTGCGAGACACAACAGGCCTCGGCGGCCTGGACGAATGAACATGGATGTGTGAATCGTGGATCGGCCGCGCGTGCGCGTCCTCAGGGCGCGAGGACGTGCGGGTGCTCTTGCCAGAACGCGTCGCCGATGATGTCGTCGTGTCGCGGCACCAGCCGGGCGCGCTCGCGCACGACTGGCTCGCCTGTCTGCGGGTGCATCTTGACCACTACGGGCTCGCGCACGCGGACGATCACGGTGCCCTTGCGTTCGATCTCCGGCAACTCGTTGTAGTTGATGCCAAAGCGCGAGAACAGGATCTCGTTCTTCTGCGCCGTCACCGTCCCCTTGAGCGCGGCCTGCGCCTCCTCCTTCGTCGCGCCGTCGCGTACGAGGGCCCAAAACACCGTGTTGTACTGCGGCGCAGCGCGGGCCGTGCCAGAGAGGCAACGAAATGCAGTGAGCCGTATGCCATGCCTCGTTGTGGCCACGAACGTCCCCAGGAACGTCTTCCATGCGACGGAGCTTGCTTCACGGATCCCGGCTCACCTGCGTGTTGATGTGCGTGTCAGCCTGACGCCAGGCGAGGTAGTCCCTGAGAGCTGTGTCAGACGGGTACAACACCGCCCGCGCGTCAAACATGGGCGTCGCGGCCAGCTGAACGCCCGGGAACCTCGCCGGCCACCCCATGACGAACGCGGACGCGAAGCAGGACACCACGAGCGACGTGATCTTCGACGCGCGGCGCCCTGCGACCTCCGAAACGCGGTCGCGCGCTGCTTTGCGATCCGCTGAGCCGGCATGACGGAATGCAGGTGCGGCGGTGCGCGCGGGGGCGGCCACCCCCTCGCCGCGTGGGGTTCTGGTGTGTTTGTGTGTGTGTGTGCGCACCGTACAGTTTGGTGTCCTTGTGGAGGACGAAGCTGTACTCGTCGCTCTCGCCGTACGCGAGCCGAATGTCCCCAAACTCCTCCATGACGGCGCACGCCGCGTCGTTCATCAGTCCGAGCGCCCTGGGGTCGCCAACGTGCCTGGTGTGCGCTGAGACTCGCGCAGGAGCGCGAGCACTGACAGGAAGGCGCTGCGATCGCGGGGGGCGCACCTGTGGTCGCTGGGCTTCTCGAAGTCGTGCTTCTCGCAGAACTTCGTGAAGCCGCGCCCGTCGATCCTGCACCGGCACACTGAGAGAGAAGCCCTCGGGGGAAACACGCAACATACAGAAGTGCGCTTGCGCTCGTTGTGCACCGACGCCGGCCCGCGTGAGCGCCGCACCTGACCACGATCCAGCAGCCTGGAAGCAGCGGCGCGTCTGTGGCGGCCTCGAACGTTTTCACGTACTCGAATTTCGTGTTGGCCATCTGCGCTGAAACCTGCTGCGCGAACAGCGAGGGGGGCCTATCGGATGGGTGTTGGTCGTCCGCTGATCCTCCAGGAGCCTGCAGGCAGGTGTGACCTGTCCGCTGAACGAGCGGCGGTGGACACGCCCCGCGAGATCACCTGCGGGCATGGTTATGGCCACCGCCTGATTCTTTTCTCCGCACTCGTCCAAGGACGGCATGTACTTGCGCATGGTCGCGAGGGAGCAGCGATCATCAACGCAACGGCCTGGATATGGCCTGAACACTCGGATGCAGGCACCCCTGCGCCCTCAGGTGTTGCCGGCACGGGATCCACGCGCAACGCGGGACAAGCCATGCATCGACACGTAGCTACTAGGGGTCTCGTTGCTTCGGCCGTGTGCGTGGTGCCTCTGCGCGTCAGGTCCGCCGGGCAGGCGACGACGACGCACCTCGGGGCCAGCGCGCTTCACCTCGCGCCGCCACACGCGCGCACGGGCGACCGCGAGCGGCGCGTGGCCACCCGGTGCGATGAGATCAGCCCGCTTATGCGCACCGACGCCGCGCGTTCACGTACGCGATGCCCCCGCGGCAAGAGGTGAAATTCCTTTCCAAGGCTATCGAGCCGCTAAGGAGCCCCGCGCGGCATGATATACGTCGCGACCTTCTTCCAGCGCATGTGGAATGACGCTCAGCGCCGATCTGCGAGCGTCATCGCCCCTGCAATCGCCGCTCGGGGGTCCTTGCAGTCACTCCTCCCGAACAAACGGACAGCCCGACCCGGAGGGTGTTGCCAGGGCACGCTGGCGCGTCGGCACGACTTGCCGCCAACACGACACGCCCATCAACCGCGCCTGCGCATGGTGGGAAATGTCCAGCTGCCCAGCGATCGCTCCGGGCGTTGTGCCTCCTTGCAGAGCTGCGTGCGCATCACACCTGCGTCGGTTTCAAATCAAGGCCAGCCCCATTGCATCACTTGGACGGCGGTGGCCCAGCGGCGGGCGCGCGGCGAGGCGAATGTCGGGGTTTCCGACGGGCTTCGAGGTCCAAGGGGGGCGGGATAGAACTGCGGCGGTGCCGCCGAAATACGAGGAGCAGCCGATGACGTTCAAGTCGCCGGAGGGCCACTTGCTCGTCGGAAAGCTGGTGGACGTGGGCGAAGAGGTGCGGGGTCCAGGCACGCGGCGAATCCCGGCGGGGCCTGGCCGGGGTCGCCGAGCGTGCGCCGTCGCCTGCGCCGATATAGCGCGGACGAGGCGCAGTCGACGCGCTCAGGTTCTTCACTGCTGTCCTGCGGGGCGCCGCGGCCGCCTCATCGCCCCCGTCGAGGGCCTGTTCGGCGGTGCAGGTGTGCGTCCTGTGCCACGGGTTCATGGACGGGAAGGACGAGTTCCACCTGCCGGAGCTCGCGAAGCGCCTCGCGAACGAGGGGGTGTCGACGCTGCGGTTCGACTTCTCGGGGAACGGCGAGTCCGAGGGCACGTTTCAGTTTGGGTGCGCCACCGCCACGATGCTACCCGGGCGCTCGTGCGTCGGGCCCCGCGACCGGCCGAGCACCGCAGCCCCGCCCACCGCCGCGTCCGCAGGAACTACTACCAGGAGGCGGGCGAGATCCGGACCGCCGTGGAGGCGCTGCAGGACCGCGGGATGCACGTCCGCGCGCTGCTCGGGCACAGCAAGGGCGCGAACGCCGTCCTGCTGTACGAGGCGGTGTTCGACGACGTGCCGCTGGTGGTCAACGTCGCGGGCCGGCACCTGCTCAGCCGGGGCGTCGTCGAGCGGCTGGGGCAGCAGACGGTCGACAAGATCAACGACGAGGGTAGCGCGGTGGTGAAGACGAAGCGCAAGGGGGAGCCCTTCGAGTACACCATCACGAAGAAGGTGCGCGCTCGTCCGCGGCCGGCCGTCGCTCGCCGTGCGCGTTGTCGCTGCGTGCAAACTCTGTCCGTCTGTCTCTATCTCTCCGCGACGGTGCGCTCGGCACCAACCAGCGCTCCCGGGCCGGGGCCGGCGCGTTGCAGTCTTTGGATGAGCGGCTGGGGCTGAACTTCGGCGAGATGGCCTCGCGGATCAGGGTCAGCAAGTGCCTGACCATCCACGGCAGCGCGGACCAAACCATCCCCGTCGAGGACGCCTACGCGTTCCACAGGTGCATCCAGAAGCACACCCTGCTCGTCATTCCGGGCGCGGATCACAACTTCACCTCGGAACGAGAGGCCGAGGCCATGATGTCTGCCGCAGTCAACTTCGTTGTGCACAAGCGGTGACGTGCGGCCGCCGCGCTCCGACGCGGCCCTGTGAGCGACGTATCCATCACACTGCTGCCTTCCGGCCTCTCTGCGCGCGGACGGGCGCACCGCGGAGGCGGAACCCCCCCCCGCCAGCGGGGCGGCCACCCGCGTTGGCTCCCTCACTTGGCTCGCGGCACCGCCTGCCGCGAGGACGCCGCGACGGCGCGCATCATGCGGTCCGCCTCGTCGTTGAAGGCCCCCACGGCGGGCTCCGGCACCCCCAGGACCGCGTGCCACGGCTGGCCGCTGACGTCCGGCACAGCCCCCCGCGGCACGACGCCCTGCTTCGTCGAGGCGGCCAGCGCGCGCGCGACGGCGGCGACGCCGATCTCGCGCCCCGCGAGCATCAGGATGCACCGCGTCTTCATGCTGTCCGTCAGCTCGCGCATGGCGCGCTGCACCACTGCCTTGCGGATGTTGGCCGCTGCGTGCGGGCGGCGCGGCTCGGGGACGCTCGAGAGGTCCAGGAGGGCGCACATCATGTCGGCGGCCTCCTCGACGCTGCGGAACGCCGCCTGCATGTCCGCGACGAGGAGGTCGAAGTTGAGCGCCAGGAGCATGCACTTCTCCCACCCGACGACCGCCGCGGTGAACTCGGCGAGCTTGTCCGGCACCGCGTTGACGTTGATGTTGTACCGGAAGGCGTACGCGGTCTCGGTGACGACCTTCAGCTGCGGCGAGGGCAGCTCGTCGACCGCCTTGGACGCCAGGAGAACGGCGGCCGTGGCCGCCTCCACGCGCGCGCGCTCCTCCCCCGGCCACTTGCGATGCGCGCCGATCTGGAAGAACGCGTTCGCCATGCACCTGCGGACGGGGGCGCGCGCGGGGAACGTCGCCCCGCGCTGCTGCGCCTCGGCTGTTGCTTGCTCCAGCTGAGCGTCGCGAACGCTTCGCGCTGCGACGTGGCATTCGCGCTCGGAACGCACCTCCCGAACTCAGTCATCTCCAGCTTCCCGCAAAGGGCCTTGATGAACGCGCACATGTTCACCCGGGTCCAAAGCTCCTTGGCCTCATCGAGCCCGCCCGTCCTCCTCTCTACAGCCTGCGCCTCCAGCTCATCGCGCGTGAATCGCTGCATCGTAGCGCGAGTCGTGTGATCAGCTGTCCTCCTCCATCATGCGCTCGGCCTGCGACACGGCCGAGCGGCCCAAGTCGCGCCAGGACCACAGGCCTCAGCGCGCGCCGCTGACGCCCGCGTCGCGCTCGCCCCACGGCACCAGGAACTTGCTCGTCGTTCTCCACGCTGCGTCACGCTCCGCGACGCTGTGCACGGTTCAGCGCTCAGAGCCCGCACGATGCCAGCAGACCGCCTGCTGCTTGCCGAACGCTCAGCCCGGAATCCGTCCGGCGGGAGTCTCAAAACTGCGATGCCAGGACCAGCCGCGCCGTCCGCTGCGCAACTGGCACGGCGCCGGACCTGCACGCGCCCGAGCACCGCCGCACAACCGTTGTCAACTGTACTCGACTTCCCCCCCCGACACCCCCGCACGCACGGCACCGGCCGCGGTGGCGCCACGCAGTCACACGCCGTCCCCGGCTCGTATCCGCCCGGACAGCCAGCCCATGCCCTCGCGCAGCCCCTCGCCCGTCAGCGCGCAGCACGACTGGATGTGCCAGTGCCGCTCGCGCAGCTCGTCCAGCCGCAGCTCGCGCCCCAGGTCCCCGCTCGACACCGCATCCGGCAGGTCCTGCTTGTTCGCCAGCACCAGCACCGCCACCCCCGCGCCCTCCTCCGACTGCAGCACCCGCCAGATCTCCTGCACGCTCTCGGCGGCCCCGCGCCGACCCGTCGGGGTCCGCCGGCAGCGACGACGACGGCCGGCCCGCACGGCCCGACCCGTGCCCCACGGCCGTGCTGACTGGACTGTGTCGCGCGAGCACACCGAAGCGCACACGCAGACACATTGCGACACACGCGCGCACAGGCGTTGCGTGCCGGGGGCGCTCACCTCCCGCGCCGTCGGGATGCGCGCCCGGTCCGCGCAGTCGACGACCGCCACGACCGCGTGCGTGTCCTTGAAGTAGTGCAGCCAGCTTTCCCGCAGCGATGTTTGTCCGCCCAGGTCCCACACTTGCAGCGTCAGGCCGCCGACCTTGACCTGCTCGACGTTGCTGCCTATCGTCGGGTAGGCCGCGACGACCGTGCCGAGGTGCAGTCGGTACAGAATCGTCGTCTTCCCCGCGTTGTCGAGCCCGATCATGACCACCTGCAGCCAGTGCACAGGGGGGAGCTCGGGACCGATGGAATCGAGGGGTCGGCGGGAAGGACGATGGAGACATGCAGGACATGCGCGCACAGGGCCGAGCCGCGGACGGCCGAGGCTGTGCCAGCGCGTCTGAGCCGAGCTTGCGCTCTGCAGGAAGGCTCTCGCTTTCGCGGCACAGTTTGACGCGCGGAGCTCGCCTTGTGTTCCTGGGTAGGAGAGAACCATTCAAGCAGCTTCGAGGCGAACAACCCCATCCTGGTCTGCTGTGGAGACGCGCAACGTGGGCCAACCAGCAGAAGAGCCCCTGGGCGCGAGGCCACAGATCCCGCACGTTAGTCCTCGGCGCCGGCAATCTCGACACTATCAGCTTCAACTTCCGGACGTTGCGCGCGCGCGTGGGGACTCGGGCGGTGCGACAGCGCGGGCTCCTCGGCCCATGAGAGTCTCCCACAGTCGGTGTTGCGGTCGCTGCGGGCACGGGTGTTCAGAGTCCGCGTCCTGGGCAGCACGATCGGTTCGTCGCGCGGACTGCACCGCGCTCTCGCCCGTTTGCCCCGAAACCGGCGTGCGTCGTGGAGGGGAGGGGACTTGTGGAACACTCCCGGGGTCAATGCGTCGGGTCGCGTCGGCAGCCCCGCGGCCGACAGACCCCTACGGCGCACGCCACATGCCTGCTGACACCCACGCGCCCCTGCGCGAGGCAGGGTCGTTCGCGGCGGGCACTGTCACGCGCCGGCATGCATTGCGGCGGACGCGGCGCCTCAGTGGCAGCAGTCACAGTCGAAGGGGCACTGGTCCGTGCCGCCGCCCTTGGCCAGCCCGAGCTCCTTCTCGCTGTAGATGCCGTACCCCTCCTCCGTCGTCTTCCGCCCCCCGCCCCCCCCGCTGCCAAACAGGTCGTCCTTGCTGCCCGCGACCTTGGGCTTCTGGGCGGCGGCCTTGGAGCCCTTCTTCGCCCGCGCCTTGGCGATCTTCTCCTTCAGCGCCGCCAACGTCGCCGCGTCCATCTCCACCCCGCCCGCGGCTGCAACACACATCGCCGTGGCACAGGGGCCGTCGGTGGCGCCCTGGGCGCGCGGGAGCAGCGCGGCCCGCCGCCCCCGGTGCTCGCGGCCGGGCGGACGCGAACCACCGCCTTCCTGGCGCACGGTGAGGCAGCAGCACCGCAGGATGCGCGACAGGGTGGGCAGGCAGATGCAGGCAGGGCGCAGCGCCTCACCGATCATCGCGTCCACCTCGTCCACCGCATCCCCGCCATTCTCGACTGCGTCCTTCTCCGCCGCGGGCTTGGGTTCGGCGGCAACTGCGAAGATGGCGTCGATGTCGTCGCCCTGTTTCTTCCCGGCCTTCTTCTTCGCGGGAGTCTTGGCCTTCCCCTCCTTGCGGGCCCCTCCCTTGGCCTTCAGCGAGGCCTTGCTGGCTGCAGTCGACCCCATCGTACGTACGTCACCGCACGAACCTGCGCGCCTGGACCGCCCTCACGCGAACCCTGCCAACCGCAATTGCACACCCTGGCGCCGCCACACGTCGCACGCCCTCGAACAGCCTCGCCCTATCGCGGAGCAGGCGCATGCGTGGATGCACGACGCGCCGCTGCCCTCGGAGGCCGCAATGGAGGCCGCACGCCACCACGGGGCGTCAGTCTCGCCTGGTCTGTCTCCGCGAGCAGACCGACCGCTGCAGCGACCCCCCCCGCGGTGGCCGGGGACGGCGGCGGTCTGCGCTTCACCGGGCCGCGTCCTCGGCCGTGGAGCGCATTGCCCGGGCGCCGGCGACCGCGGGACCCGCCTGTCTGGCCCGTGAGAACCCAGCAGGGCTGGCACGATGATGCCGGGCGACGCGCGGACGAGCGAGCAGGCGGCGGCGCCGGCGGGTCACGTCAATCGCGAGCCCATGTCCCTGCAGCTCCAGGTGCGTGGACAGCGCGCCACCGCGACGGCATGACCGCCTGCTGTGCACCCAGCGCAGACCGAGCCGCCGCGCTCGCTGTCGGCCGCAGGTGGAGGAGCTCCGGGGCCTGCTATCGACGCACCAAGAGGTCAACGCGCACCTGAACAAGGAGGTGGAGCGCCTCACGGTCGCGCTGGAAGAGAGGGACGAGGTGCGTGCACCGGCGCCGCGTGTCGCGTCTGCTCTCCCGGTCCACGGCACGCCTCCGACCGGGGCCGCCGTGCGCCGCGCGACGGCGAGGCTGCGGCGACCCGTCCGTCGCGCCCTCGCGCGCTGAGTGCCCACCTGCGTTCCACGGCAGCACTCTGCGCTGTCATGGCAAGGCAACGACGCTTGGCGGCTTCGTGCAGGAGATCTTCGCGTACGCGCGGCACGTCCGCGACCTCGCTGAGCGCCTGGTCGACGCCCGCAGCGGCGCGCCTGCGCGACCGCGCGAGGACACTCTGCAGGAGCTGCTGCAGCCGCCGCCAAAGGACAGCCGTCGGGGGCCGGACCCGGCGGCCGACGCGGCGCGCGACGAGGTCCTGGTCATCTGCCGCAGCTCGCTCGAGGCCGCGGGCCTGCTCCTGGACCAGGCTGACGTCACGTTGGGGGACGTGATTGGCAGGGGCGCCTTTGGCGTCACGTACCGCGGGCGCTGGCGGGGTGCCGCGGTGGCCGTGAAGTGCGTCGAGGTGCCGGGGCGGTCCGAGGCGATGAACTTGGCGCGCGAGCTGTCCGCTCTCATGCACGGGCGGCACCCGTGCATCCTGCCCATGTACGGCGCCGTGGTCAGCCCCCCCGCGTCGTTCTGGATGGTGACGGAGCTCATGGAGGGCGGCACGGTGCGTGAGTGGCTCTACGGGAAGGGCGGCGGCGCGCCCGGGTCCGCCGCTCCGCCAAAACGCGCCCTGGGTGACCGTGTTGCGGTTGCTTGCGACATCGCCTCTGGCATCGCGCACCTGCACTCGCTGGACCCGCCCATGATGCACCGCGATGTCAAGCCGAGCAACGCGTTCGTCGATGCCCGCGGGCGCGCGTGTCTCGCGGACATGGGGCTGGCGCGCAGAGTCGCACGCGACGGCGAACCGCTCACAGGTCCGCCCCGTCCCCGTCACCGCCCGGTTGCGCGATGGCACGCATCCGGTGGTCTGGCACCACATGCTGCCGCGTCTTGCCCGCACACGCGGCCACCGCTCCTCCTCCTCACACGCGGCCACCGCTGCCGCGTGCAGGCGAGACTGGCACATATGTGTACATGGCGCCCGAGGTGTGGCGGCACGAGCCCTACTCGCAAGCGGTGGACGTGTTCTCGTTCGGGGTCCTCCTCGCGGAGCTGGCCACGCAGACACCGCCGTACAGCGGGATGTACCTGTCGCCCGTGCAGATTGCCACATCGGTGGCAGACGGCGGCGCGCGCCCGCAGCCCCCGGACGCGCTGCCGCGTGCCTCGGCGCTGTGCAAGGCCTGCTGGGCGAGCGACCCCGCGGCGCGGCCGTCGATGGACGAGGTGGCGAGGGAGATGCCGGAGGTGCTGCGGGAGGCGCGCAAGGTGGAGGCGGAGGAGGCTGCACGGGCGCGCGGGACGCTGGTGGGGCGAGTGGCGAACCTGGCGTCGTCGGCGTGGGCGGGGGCGCTGGGACGCTGACGTGGCGCCTCGGAGCGGCGCGGACAGTGCAGTCGTGGCGCCGCGCGCACGTGGATGGCTGCTAGATCAGGGGCGGAATGGCGCGCTACTACTTTGCGCAGACACACGGTCGACGCGACGTGTTCGGACTCACAGCACGCGGTACCAAGTACCTGCGGTACCAACGTGGGCGGGGCCGATGCTGGAGCCCTGCTCGCGTCAGCCTGCACCCCGCAGCCGTGGTTGCCGTGTGCAAGAAATGTGAAGAATCCTGGTCGCCGACACTGCTCGCAGCAGTGTCGCGTCAAGTTGCTGCTTGGAAGCCATCTTCCGGGAGCTCTTCTGCAAAAGCGCGTGTTGCATTGTGTGGCCGCGCCGCTCCAGCGACAGCCATGATGCAACTCGTCTGCGGCAGCACCAAGTGCGCGTCAAGCTGTCCAGCGAAAGCTACTCTAATCTATACAGGTGCGTAGCGTGCTATGCCACACCAGGCTGGTAAAGATCGGTTGGGTCGGGCACAGGCGCGTCGCAGCGTCTGGGACCCCCAGTTGCGGGACGCGCTCCAGTCGCATGCGAAGACCGTGGGAAATCTTTCGTTTCGGAAGCGGTATCTGCAGCGCCTGAGCCCGCAGCTCGTCCGCAGCAGACGTACCGGCGGGACGTAGGCCATCTGGCGCCCACTACTTCCCCGCCGTGCTGTGATCTGGCACGTCGTCCGGGTTCACCGCGAACGGCGCGATCAGCCAGTACGTGGGCAGCAGGCCCTTGCCCTTGACCTCGATGTTGCCGCGCTTGCGGAAGACCAGGGGGGGGCCCTGCGGCGTGTGGCTTTCGCTCGACGGCGGCGGGTCCCCGATGGAGCTCCGGGGGTCCGGACGCAGCGAGATGCGGCGCGTCGACGGCCCGCCCAGCTTCGTGCCCTGCCCTTTGAGCCACTCCCCCGGGTCTCTTGCGGCGTGCACGACCTGCTCCGTCACCTGGATGCAGCCGGCGCGCGAGAGCGACTCCATGCGCGCCGCGACGTTGACGGTGTCGCCGAACAGCGAGTACCGCGGCCGCCCGCGCCCCCCGATGACGCTGCCCGTGGCGGGGCCCAGATGGATCCCGACCCTGAGGCGCACGTGGCCGAGGTCGGGATGCTCGGGGTCGACCTGCTCCTCCGCGGCGGCGCGCACCGCGTCGATGGCGAAGCGGCAGGTCCGCGCGGTGTGGTCGTGGCACTTGGTCACCAGGTTGCCTGCCACGATGTAGCAGTCGCCGATGATGTCGACGCGGAAGACCTCGTGCTGCGCCGCGAGGGCGTCGAGCTTGGAGAAGACGCGCTCGAGCATGGCCGACACGGCCGAGCTCGGCAGCTTCGAGCACATGTCGGTGTACCCGACGATGTCTGCAAAAAGCACGGAGACGCACTCGTAGTGCTCGGGCTCGACCTTCCCGCCCTCGGCCAGCTTGGCGGCCACGCTCGGCGGGAAGTTGCTGAAGCGGGAGTCCAGCGTCGCGCGCGCCAGCTGCAGGGTCTCCGTCAGCGTCGACGACTCCATGTCCGCCAGGCGCGCCCCCACTTCCTTGAACGTGGGGCGGCGCCCGGGGTTCTTGTGCAGGCACTCGGCGACCAGGTCGCGCACGGGCGCGGGCATCGAGCGGTCCAGGCGCGGCCGCCGCGGCGGGCTGTGGTCCCGGTCGGCCACCTGCGCCAGCACCTGCAGCGCGTCGCCCTCGTCCTGGAAGGGGAGCTGCCGCGAGTAGGTCTCCGCGACCAGCACGCCGAACGAGTACACGTCGCTCGCCGGCGTCGCGGGCTCCCCGCGCAGGCGCTCGGGCGCCATCCAGAGCGGGGAGCCCACGTCCATTTGGCTGCCGCGGCTCAGCGTGGTCAGGCTCGGGGCGACCTTCCCGCGGAAGTTGCGGTCGACGAGCACGTTCATGCTCTTCAGGTCGTTGTGCAGCACGGGCGGATCGAACGAGTGCAGGTACGTCATGCCGCACGCCACGTCCTTGAGGATGGTGAGCAGGCCCTCGCCGCCCGTGTGCATCTGCGGGTTGCGCAGCATGTCGTAGAGCGAGCCGATCTCGGGGCTCTCCATCACCAGCAGCGGCTGGTCCTCGTCCAGCACGGCGCCGAAGATGCTCAGGACGTTGGGGTGGCGCAGGTCCATGGCGCCCTTCAGGTCGCTGCGCCTGTGGAGCACCGGCGCCTTGCGAGCGCGCCCGCCGGGGTGGTGCGCGCCCGCCAGCCAGTCGCCCACCTTCGCGCCGAACAGGCCGCTCGGCCGCGCGTGCTCCGTGGTCACTGGGTCTTCGACGTTGAACGACGCGGCCTTTGAGGCCCCTTTGCGCTCCATCGGGCCAGCGAATGTAACCTTCTGCACAATCGCAACCAGGTCCGCACGGCGCGTGGACGTTGTGAGCGGCGGGCATTGCGCATGCGGGGGGGCCCAGCGGCGCGGACGCACATGCATGACGGCGACGAGGGTGTCGAGACGCACCTTGTGCGGAGCGCTGAACGATTTGCTCTCCTGCTGTGCTAGCTTGGGCGGCAAGACCTGGATTGCGGCGTGGGGACGCAGGGCGTCGAGGAGCGGCCGAGGGTTGGCGATAGAGACAGACATCCTCCGCGCGTCGACGGTCGGGTCGGCGGCCCACGACGCCTGGGCCAGCGCCGGTCGTAGCCCGCTGCGCGTCGGGCCGGACATCGACGCCGGCCCTCCCGCATGTGCCGCGTCCGTGCTGACTCCGCGGCTGAGTGGGCGGAACAGGGAGCGCTTGTCTGGCCCGTGCGCGGCAGAGGTGTCCTCGACGGCCGCCCGGAGCGTGGAGTTGTCGCTCAGCTGCACGCGGTCGAACACCGCCTGCACCTGCCCCGCCGGGCGCCCCTCCCGCACCTCCGAGATCCGCTTGACCGCCACCTCCACGCCCCGGTACCGCGCCCTGAGCACGGGGCCGAACGTTCCGATCCCCAGGACGGCCGGGGGGTTGTCGAACTCCAGTTCGCGGAACTTGATGGTCCACCGCAGGCGTCTCTTGGCCCGGTTCATGAAGATCGCCAGGCCGACGGCGACCGCGATCGCGACCAACGCGGAGCTCATGATGATGGGGACGAGCCCTGCGATCCCGCCGACGCGGTCGAGCGCCGAGCGGCCGTCCAGGCAGCGTAGTCCGTCCGAGGACAAGGACCGCCCCTCCGCGCACACGCACTCGCCCGCGGCGTTCGCGATCGACCCCGGCACCTCCGAGGCGCACACTCGCGGCTCGACGACGGCCAGGAACGGCGACTGGCTCACCTCCACGCCGTCCACGAAGAGCTGGATGACCACGGTGCCCGTGGTGGGCAGGGCGAACGCCACCTCGCGCGACCGCCACTGGAGCGTCGCGGAGCGCCCCGCCTGCGTCACCTCGCGCCCCCGCTGCGCGCTGAGCATGCGGAGCCGCCGCTCGGTCCCGTCCGGGCAGGGGCCGAGCTCCGCCCCTGGGCGCACACACATCAGGTCGTTGCCCGCGCGGACGCGGATCTCGACGTCCACGGGGTACGGCACGTCCAGCTGCTCGTGCAGGTCGGCGATCTCGTCCACGACGCTGACCTGGAACTCCTCCCGCTGCTCGGCGACCATGCAGATGCGCATCTTGCTGCAGGTGCGCACGCTGCTGCCGCTCCGCGTGACGGAGCCGCGCACCGTGAACGGGGCCTCCGGCACCGCGGCGCACGCGTCGCACACGCAGTCGTAGCCCGCGGGGCACGGCCGGTTGGCCAGCGCGCAGGCCGCCTGCACGGCCTCGCGCGACTTCTTGGCGAACCCGGGCGGGCACACGACGCTCTCGTACAGCTGGCTGGTGCGCGTGCACGCGCCGTCGGAGATGAAGTTCAGGTCGTCCTGCAGGTTCCGCAGCGCCATGTAGCTCTCCGGGAGCCCCCAGCCCGCGTACTTGCCCGCCACCGCCGCGGGATGCGTCTTGTTCAGGGCCATGAGGGCCTGGAACACCGCGACGGAGACCTCCCGCGGCACGTGCGGGAGCACGCCCACGCCCCACTCGGGGTACAGCGGCGTCGACACCTGGAACGGGAACCCGCCCGCCATCGCCGCGTCGTTGCGCTCCAGCACCTCGATGTCCGCGAAGTCGATGCGGCCGTCGCGCGCCATCGACTCGATCACGTCCGTGCGCACGAAGCCCACGTCCGCGTCGCCCTGGATCACGTCGAGCACCACCTTGAAGTCGTCGTACGCGAACCGCACCTGCGCGGGGTCGTCCAGGAAGACCAGGCCGCGCTCGGCCATCATGCGCCACTGCATCTTGCACCCCCCGAGCGCCGTGATCGACACCGCCTCGAGGACCTTGCCGCGCACGTCCTCCAGCGTGCGGATGTCCGTGCGGTTGCGGCTCTTGAAGATCACGCCGCCGAACTCCCCCAGCTCCACCCTCGAGCCGTCCAGCGCCGTGCGGAAGTTCACCAAAGTCACCAGCGTGGCCAGCGAGAACTCCGACTCGAGGCAGGTGTGCAGGCTCGGGTTCGTGAACACGAAGTCCAGCCGCGTCGCCGGGTCCTGGTCCTCCACCAGCGCGAACGAGTCCGAGAACGTCACCGGGACCAGCTCGAAGGTCGCGTTGAGGACCTGCCCCGCAGAGCTGGTCAGGTAGTCCTGGAACGTGGGCGAGAACTCCGCATTGAGGCTAGTCAGCCCTGCAGGTGCAGCGGCGCCGAGCATGCAGCGTCAGTGAGGCTGAGGCACCGTCGCACACGGGGCCAGGTGCCCGTGCGCCGCGCTCTTGCGCGAGAGGGTTGGCAACGCAGGGTGGGCTTGGCGTGCTTCCCGCCGTCACGCGGCATTCCTCAAATTATTGCAGCGCTCCCGTGTGACGTAGCCTGTTAGCGTCGCAAGCGCAGGTCAACCGAGGAAAATAGGCTGCGTAGGGAGGGCTCCGGAGCGACAACTGCTGCATCCTAGACCACCCGCCCTGAGCTCCGCCGGGGAGCGGACCGGCGCCGATGCACTCCAACGGGCTGGAAACAGAGTGACGGCGCCGCACGAGGTCGTGCGAGCGCTCATGGGCCCTGCTCGCCCCGCGCCGCGTTCGCCCTTGGCGCTGGCCCCCATGTACGCGACGAGGGCAGTCACCCCTCGACGCGAAGTCAGGCCGGCGTTCAGGGACGCCGTGGTGAACTTCCGGGGCCGGAAGAGCATCGCAGACACGCCTGCCGGGCGCCGCACGCGCCGGGATTGCCGACGGCCTCGGCGCGGGGGCGGCCGGGCGTTTTCTGACTGCGGCGCACCTCTGGTCGCCAGAGCCCCGACCCGGTACTTCCGCTGCGCATCAGCCGACGAGACGGCGGCGAGCAGCAGCGCGGCGACCACGCTGGCGACGCACAGGCGCCCGCGGACCGCACCCATGCTGGGCGAAGATCTTCTCTGCAGCCGGGCTAGCGTTTACTTTCCCATGGTTGCCGCATCGTGATACACAACATGTCACCTTGACTGGCAGTGCTCTGCGGCACCCTTGGCGCCCGCTCTTCGGGCCCGGCCGCTCCCCACGCCGCATGACGCGCGACAGACTGAGCGGGGTAGTGACATCAAATCATGCGCGACCCACAGAGCGCACGCACGGGGGGGCCTCCACACATCGCGGGCAGCCCAGCGCACTCCCGTCATGGCGGTGCCAGCGCACGGCGGCCGCGAGCGTGTGCCGCAGGTGCAGCCCCCCGCGCCCACATGGCCAACCGCACTGCCACGTCCACCAAGCAGGAGCTGTGTCCCGGCGCGCTGGCGGCGGGCTGGCGGCGGCCTCTCGCGCGCGGCATGTCCCGCGAGCGCCGGCGGGGCGACGCCGGCTGCGGCAGGTGCGTCCTTCACACACGTGGGCGGCGTTCACGTTCACGTTCACGCGCCCACTTGGAGCGTCCACACCATGACCGCCGCGCCGACGACGGTCCCCAGGGCGAGTTGACGCGGGCTGTCGCACTTTCGGCCCTCGGGCAGCAGCTCCGTGGCGCACACCGCGGTCATGATGCCCCCCACGAACGCCAGGAGGACGCCCATCCACTGGCTGGTGTCCACCTGCCGCAGAAACACCAGCGCGACGACCGCGCCGACCGGCTCGCTCAGGCCGGACGCCGCCGCGAGGAGGAACGCCTGCGAGCGCGACCCCGTCGCGGCGTACACCGGCGCGGCGACCACGATCCCCTCTGCGGACAGCCAGCACAGCGCAGCGCAGCGCGTCGGCAGTCAGGCCACGCGCGGCGCGCGGCGGCGGACGGCCCGGTCGCGCGCCAGGCGGGCGGCGGCGCGCACCTGGTATGTTGTGCGCGGCGATCGCCAGGCACATGATGGGGCCGAGGCCCGTGAAGGCCGAGGACGCCACCGCCACCCCCTCGGGCATGTTGTGCAGCGTCATCGTCACCGCCATGAGGACGCCGAGGCGGAGGAGCTCGCGACGCTGGGCGAGCGTCGGCGGCGCGCCGGGGCCGGGCGCCGCGGGCGCGCCGTCGCTCGCGGCGCTGTTGGAGCTGGTGCGCTCGCTGCCGGACGAGGGGGCGTGCCTGCGGCGCCGACGGTCCGCGCTGCTCTGGGCGGGCCTCGCAGCGGGCACGTCGATGTCTGCGCCGGCACGGGACGGAGCGGGGCGTGAGGCGTGCGAGGCGCGGGGGCGTGAGGCAGCGGCGGTTGGTTGGGGGGGGGGTGTACCTTTGTGCGAGTGTTCGTAGGGGAGCGAGACCTCGGGGATAAGCGGGCGCAGGAAGGTGAAAAACGCCGCTCCGAGGACCACCGCGACCGTCGCCGACACCATGCCGTGCTCCTGTGCCGAGTGCCACCACAGCTCGACGACGGAGAGGCTGGACATCACGCCGATCGCCAGTCCTGCGCGCGTGGCGGAGCGTCGACTGAGCGTGTCGCTGCGGCCGCGGCAGGCCGAGAACGCGCGCAGGCGAGCGGGGAGCCAGCGCTTACCGAGCAAAAAGGCCAGCAGGCTGCGATCAGGGCGCTTCACGATCGCCAGGGTGGCCCCGATCGTCGTGGTCAGGCCCGCGAAGGTCGACAGCCCTAGAGCATACAGCTCGGTCTCGCTGATGCCGAGCATGTTGCCCCCTACTGCCCGCACGCGACCTCCTGCCCTCTGCCGCGCAGAGCACCAACACGCGGCAGAGCACCCCCGGCTCCTCGCCGCGACGCGCGCCCCTCTTTGCCCCGCACGTGCAGCGATTGCATGTACCGATCCTCCCCGGCGCCCCAAGTACTTTGCGGGCACGGCGTTCGTCGTGGCGACCCGCTACGCCTGGTTGGTTTGCCACCCCGGGTGCTGCGACAACGAGCGCGAGGTTCAACTCACAATACTATCGTGCCGACAACCGTGGTCAGTCTCCTGCCGTTCCCGCGAGCTCGCCGCCCATGTGCGCGGCGAGCGTGTCGGGCAGCCAGGGGTATTTCCCTGCGGCAGTGCAGACCCCCCCCGTCTCACTCCTCAGATGCATTTTCATTCTCCTCCGCGCTCCACGCCCCCACGTCGTCCACCCTGAGCTCCTTGATCGGGACCGGGTGCGCGCCGCTCGACACCACCCACTTGTCCCAGTCCAGCAGCCCCGTCCTGCACGCAGCCGGAGCACCAACACGGTCAGTCGAGGCCGCGGCGCAGCGACGAGCGCGGGCGGCGAGCGCAGCGCGGGCGGGGCTCCGTCGCACCCGTCGGGACCCCCGCCCTCGGAGAACGTGAGGTACAGCCACTTGAGGATGCTGGGCAGCGTCGTGGTGCGCGGCCGCTCGTCGCGCTCGCCCGTGGCCCCGAGCACGTTCCTGACGTCGCGGTACGCGCCGCTGCCGTCCTTGCTGCTCCGCTCCATCGCCACGAACAGCCGCCACCCCCACTCCCGGTACCGCGCCCGGCCCGTTGTCCGCCACAGCGCCCACCACGACATCGGCGCGCCCTCCTGCCTCGACCACCGCTTCTTCGCCGCCTCCAGCCCCATGAACGCCAGCGGCGCCTCCGCGTCCGGCGCGCCCGCGCGCTCCGGCGCGCCCTGCTCCGTGCCGCGCACCGCGTCGGGCGCCAACCCCGACGGCGACTCCCGCCCGATGCGGTAGCACGTCTCCGCGAGCAGCTCCGCCACGGCCAGCGCGCCGCACTCCCCCTCGCCCGGCCAGCCCGCGTCCGCGCCTGCCCCGCGGATGTCGCTGCACGTGAACGACGGCGCCGCCTCCGCGCGCGTCAGCTCCGCCAGGGACCCCGCGATCGCGCACGCGTCCGCCTCGAACAGCGCCGAGCCCTCCTCCTCCGACACCAGCACGGGCGGGTCCCCCGGCGCGCTCGTCCTGGCCACGCGCGCGGCCAGCTTCGCCCACGCCTCCAGCACCCCCCTCCACACCCCCTGCAGCGCGCCGTCCTTGCCACCCGTCGCGCTCCACGTCTCGATCAGCGCGCGGTAGAACCCGGCCGACTCCGCGCCGAACCCGAACCGAGCCGACTCCGCCGCGCCGCCCACCCGCGACGGGAAGCGCACCCCGATGTCGGTCCGCGCCGCGTCGGCCACCATGGCGCGGTACACGGCGCGCACGACGCGGGCGTACCGCGCGTCGCCGGATATCGCCGAGAGGCTCTCCAGCGCCACCGCCGAGGCCACGGGGAGGTGCGCGAGCGCGTGCCCGTCCTCGCTGGCGCCGAGGCCCTCGGGGCACGCCCACTCCGCGGGGGCGCGCACGTCCGCGTCGTCGATGTGCGGGCCCACGTCCCTGTGGCACTTCCACAGGAAGATCTCGGCGTCCGCGGCGCGCAGGAGCAGCTGCTTGACCTTGGCGTTGCCCGTCAGCGTGAACGCCGACAACAGACCCCCCACCATGCGCGAGTGGAACGTGGGGAGCCCGCTCTCCGGCATCGACGGCAGGGAGTCGATCCGCACGTTCGCCAGCACCCACGCCTGCGCCTCCCCGTGCTCCTTCTCCAGCCCCATCAGCACCAGCGCGTCCAGCGCGTCCACCACCGCCGACGCCGCGTCCCACCACTCCGGCGACGCAGCGTCCGCGTCGCGCGCCTGCTGCATCACCGTCTTGAACGCCGCGGCCGCCGCGCCCCGCACGACCCGCGCGCGCTCCTCCGCGCCCGTCACGCACACCAGCGCGTCGACGCCCGCCGCGCCCTCCGCGTGGCAGCGCTCGTACGCATCCCTGTCGAAGCACAGCCCGCCGATCACGCAGCGCTGCGCGTCGTCGACCACCGTGCAGCCGTCGTCGAGGTCCACGCTGCCGCCCCCCTCGCACGCCTCCGACGCCTCCGGGGCGCGCGGGTTGCGCGGCTCCCGTGCTGCGGGCACCGCCGCCTCACCGGACGCGGTCGTCGCCTCCGCCTCCCCGCTGACAGCCCCTCCGGGCGACCGATCAGTCCCCTGGTCCCCCGCGTCGGTAGCAGCCGGCTCGGCCGCCGGCTCCGTGGCTGCCGGATCCGCCTCTGCCGGATCCGCGTCGTCGCCCGCAGGCGTGGTCGGCGCCGACTGCGTTCCATCGACGTCCGGCGTCGTCGCGTCAACTGCCGCGTTCGGCGTCACCGCCTCGTCCTCCCCATGCTCGGAAGGGCTGCCCTCCGCGGGGTCGCCCGCCTCCGTAGCGGTGACAGCTGCGTCCGCGTCGCCCCCGCCCACATCGCCTCCCGCGTCGCTCGGTGCCACCACGTCCCCGGGGACCACGCCGTCTCCTGCAACACCAGGCGTCGCATCCTCGCCTCCGTCGTCGACCACCACCACTGCCGTCGCACCGCCCTCGTCCGCCTCCGACCTGACACTGCTCGCGCCCGCGCCATCCAGCGCCGCCGCCGCACCCCCGCCCCCGGCCGTCGCGTTGCCCCGCACCGTCGCACCGCTCTCAACCGTCCCGTCGCCCGGGGGGTCCGTGCCGCTCCCATCGGACACAGCCGCCTCCGTCGCCGCGTTCTCGGCCGCGACCGCCCCCTCCACGCCCCCCTCGTCCTTCGCCGCCGCCATCGAAGTCACCTCACCCACAGCAGTAGCGTTCGCGGCATCCGACGCCGCAGACTCCGGTCCCTGCATGGCCCCGCCCGCGGTCTCGCCGCTGCCGACGGCGCCCGCAGCGGTCGTCGCGTTGCCGGCAACCGCGCCCGCGATCTCGCCGCTGCCGACGGCGCCGGCGGCGGTCGTCGCGTTGCCGGCAGCCGCGCCCGGCACCCCCCACTTCTTCTTTTTGGCGCGCTTCTTCGCCCTCTTCTCCTTTTTCCGCTTCACGGCGGCAACGGTCGCCGCGTTCCTCCCCAGACGCTCCTGGCCGCCGCCCAGCGTCGCGCCCGGGCCGCCCAGGGCCGGCTCGCGCCCCCCCCTCCCTCCTGCGTCCGTGCTGTTGTCGCCGCCTGCGAGCGGCGCCGCGGTCTCGAGCGCGACGGCTGGCGCGCCGCGCGTCGACAGGTTCCCCTCGGGCGTCGCATCGTCCAGCGCGGCGTCTGTGGCGCGCGCGTCCGCCGCTGCGAGCCCCGCCGCCTCCGTGCTGTTGTTGTTCCCGACAGACCCCCCCTGGACCGAGTCTGCGGGGGCTGTGGTCGGCACCGCGGCGTCGGTGGCAGCCTCCGTCGCACCTGGTGCCGAGCCGTCCTCGCCTGCGGTCACGGCGGGCGCGCGTGTGGTGTTGCGGGCCGGTGGCAAGCGTGTTGGTGCGCGAGGGCGCTGCGAGGGGGCTTCGGACGGACTGCGAGCGGCTGCTGCTCACCGAGACCCGCAGGAGTGGCTGTTGAGGTGGGCTCCGCCGCGCTGTCGCCGCCGGGGGCGCCGGTCGACTCCGCTGCCATGTCGCTGCTCGCTTGTGACGACGTGTCCGGCTCGGGCGTCTCCTCGTTGCCGCCCGCGGTCGGCTCGGTCTCCTCGACGACCGCGACGTCGCCGTCATCCGCCGCGCCGACCACGTGCTCGCTCGACGAGTCCTGGCGCTCCTGCAAAAGCGCTTTGCGCGCCCCCGGCCGTTCAGTCGGCCGCGACGCATGAACATGAAACAGACGATATCACGGAGGAGCGCGGAAGCGCGATGGAGCGCCATGCGCACTCCGGGAGACGCGCGGACAGCGCGTGAGGGCACAGCAGCGCTGGTTGGCGCGCACGCCTCTGCAGCGCCGCGTACAGCGCGCCGTGGAGCCGCAGCGACGCACCTTGAGCGAATGCGCGAAGGGCTGCAGGCCGAACGTGAAGGACGGCCCGTCGGGTCCTTCCAGGCTCGACAGGAAGCGCAGTTCGAAGAGAGCGACGCCCACCACCGCGACCAGCACCAGCAGCAGCAGCGCGACGCATCTGCATCGCCCACGCGACGGCCTGCCGCGATTCCTGTGGGCGTGCAGGGCGTGCGTCGTCCTGAACAAACTGCGGTTTCGCGCCCCGCTGCTCATGCTGGCCGCAGCTGGTGCAACCTGGCGTGCATTCGCCCCCGCCGATCAGCGGCCCGCTTCAAACAGTGGGGCGCGGCCCAGACTGCAGATTCTCGCTGTGCTCCGGCGCGGTCGCGCGGGAGACAGTCGCCACCGCGGAATCTCTGCCAGCGCAAGAGCGAGAGCGACGCTTCGTTCGCACTCCGCAAAGGGCGGGCGCAGTCTTGCGTGCGCGCGATGCGTGCTTCGCGGGGCCCACGTGGGCGGCGAGGTCCGGCGGCCCTCGCACACCCCCTGGAGGTGTCCGGCCGGTGCGAGGGGCACCTCAGGTGAGCGCGGGTGCGACTGGGCGATATTGGTCACGCGGCCGCCGCGGCACCTGCGATCGCGTGCGCCCGCGCATGCTGCCGTGCTCTCCTGCTCGCGGCGTCGACCGGGTCGCGTTTCAGCCCGCGTGTCGGGCGTCGGTGCGGCCGAGGAGGGCAACCTAGGGCCGGGCCGCGTGGGGGAGCCATGGCGCAGGACCTGCTGGCCTCGGTGCGGCTGGCGCTGAGCGTCGCGCTGGCGCACCTGCGGGTGGTGCCGTGGGGCGCGTGCTGCACGTACGGCGCGCTCGCGCTGCTGTCTGTTACCTTCCTGATGTACTTGGTCCCGCAGCTGTTCCTCGACCTCTTCTGCTCGCGCGGACAGGACCTGCGGAAGAAGTACGACGCGAAGTGGGCGCTCGTGACGGGCGCGTCGACAGGTGCGGGCCGTGTGCGCGGGGCGCGGTCGTGCGCCCCACATGGCACCCTCGAGGCCGCTCACCGCCGCCCAGGGCGCGGTGGCGGCAGGCCCGCGTCGTCGCCGCGGCCAATCACTTCGACTCCGCGTCATCGCGCCCATCCGAGCCCCGGCCGTCGCCCTCCAGACCGCGACCTGCCCTCCCCTCTCTGCCCGCGCGTGGCGGGCGCCCGCTGCCGCCGGCCTGACCTCGCGGCCGGCGCCCTTCCGCGCGACGCACCACGCAGGTATCGGCAAGTCGTTGGCGATGCGGCTGGCCGACCAGGGTCTGAACGTGGTGCTCGTGGCGCTGGACCAGCCGGTGTTTGACGAGACCTTCGAGGAGATCCAGGAGGCGTACCCGAAGCAGAAGTTCAAGAAGGTCGCGACCAACCTGGGCGCGCCAGGTGCGCGGGCGCCGCTGCGGGGCGCCGCCGCGGCCGCCGGTGTTGCGTGCCGGCGAGGCGCGCAACCCTCTCTCTCTCCCGGTGCGCCGCAGGGTACATGGACGACATCCGCGGCGCGACGCAGCGGCTGGACGTGCAGCTGGTGTTCAACAACGCGGGGTACATGCTCACGGGGTTCTTCTTCGACAGCCCCCTGGACGCGCAGGCGGCCAACATGGAGTGCAACGCGACCGCCGCGATGCAGGTGCGCCCCGCGCCCGCCGACGCAGATGTGCGGCCCAGCGAGGGCTTCGAGCGCCGCCCACGGCGACGCGCTGCGCCGCGGGCTGCCGGCGGTGTGCACAGTGCGGTGTCGGGGGCGCGTCTGAGCGGCCCGCTCGCGTCCGCCTGGCGCGCAGATCTCGCACTACTTCGTCGGCAAGATGGTCGCGCGCGGCGTGCCCGGGTGCGTGGTGTTCACGTCCAGCGCGGCCGCAGCGATGCCGTCGCCCTTCACCGTGCTGTACGCCGCGACCAAGTCCTTCCTGTCCTCCTTCGGCGCGTCCCTCGCCGCGGAGGTCAAGTCCAAGTGAGCCGCACCGCCGACCACGCCCGCACGCAGAACCCACCGACGCGCGCAACTCTCGCGTGCCCGCGCACCCTGCCACGCCCCGTGGGGCTGCACGGAGCCCCCCACCGCGCCCCCGCGTCAACTACACGCCGCGCGCCCCGCCCCCCGCGCAGGGGCATCGACGTGTGCGTGATTCACCCCTCCCCGGTGGCGTCCCGCTTCTACGACAAGGCCCACAAGCTCGACATGCTCGACTTCTTCAAGGGCTTCGCGGTCGACCCGGACTCGCTCCCGGACATCATCCTCGGCTCCGTCGGTGCGCCGCGCGCCCCGCACACCCCGCTTGCGCGCACACGCGCACCCTCACCCCATCGCGACCAGCCCCCCCACCTTTCCCCGCACGGCGCCGCGCCCACCCGCGCCGGCCCCCGACGCCCCCGCAGGCCGCACGGTGTGGCGCGACATCGGCGCGACGGCGGTCTTCTTCCGCCTCATGATGAAGGTGTTCGACTACAACTTCCTGGCGACGCTCACGGCCAACATCGCGCACACCATGGCCGACTACAAGCGGCACGCGAGCAAGCCGAAGCGGGGCAGGCGGTCGTCCGCCGCGCGCCGCTAGCGCCGCCACCGCCTCGCGCACCCCGCGCAGGCGTTGTGGTGGAGCGGCGTTGGCGTGCCGGCTAGGATCGAGCGATCTAGTGCCGCCGGGCGTCACCCGGCCGGCGCGGGCGATCGCGGCCCCGTGTGATGCGCCCAGAGTCCAGGCGGTCGCTGCGCGGCCAATGCGGCGCGGGCGGGCGCGGTCTGCGCCCCGGGGCCGCGCGTCAGTCCTGAGTTGGCAGAGCCGCTGCGAGGGAGGCTCGGCGGTCGCGCGCTCGTTGGGCCGGGGCGCGAGCTGCCTGCGCCGTCTCCACCCCACAGAACTCTGTTGATACCAGACTTCTGGCATCATGTCTGCTCTGTCGTCGTTCTCGGGCGCTGCCCTGACCTCGCGCACCTCGGCGTGCAAGCCGGCCCAGGGGCGCGGCCAGCTGCAGGTGCGGCGCCCTCACCCGCGCGACGCCTGCATTCAGTGCCAGTGGCCCGCTTCGGCCGGGTCGCGACCGCCTGCGGCCCACGGCCGCCCGCGCAGCAAGCACGGGCGCCTGCACTCCTGCCCGCCCGCCGCCCGCGCCCCGCTCGAACCGAGCCAACGGGCCTCGCGCGGTTTTCTGAGCAATTTCGATCGCAATGGTGCCAGAGCGCCGCACCTGGTGGCCTTCGGCGCCCCTCGACGCGAGACTGAGAGGGGAAGGTCACCAGGCCCCACTTTCCGGCCGAGCGGCGCAATCCCCGATTTCGCGTTCGCGATCGCCCCAATTTCGCCCCAGACAGCGAACGGGCCGCCGCGCGGGCGAATCGCGGCCCCCTCGGAGCCCCCAGCGACGCTCCTGATTTCGGCAGGCACCCGGCCTCCCCTCTCCTTCGATGCCTGATGCCCGCGACGTCCCGGGCCTACGCAAACTGCGTCTCCCGCCCCCGCGCCGCACGCCCGCGGCGCGCCCCGTTCGCGGCGACATTCGCTGGGGGCCGCTGGCTCGAGCGAGGTGACGGGCGACGGTGTCGTCCCGAGCTCAGTTGATGCCGCGACCGGGCAGTTTCTTTATCGCTCCAGGGCGACTGCGCCACGTCGCGGCGCGCGAAACCCGCCCCACGGCCCCATCTGCCGGGATATCCCATGCAAACTCGACCTCCTGCCCAGCGCCCGGCATCCGCGCGCGGGGTGGGCCTCACCCCGCGTTTTCCCGGTAGCAGGCGACCGCCCGGCCCGCGCCAGCAGCGCGGATGCCGTTCTCCGGCCTCGGGACCGTCCGCCGCGGCGCCCCGAGGCTACGCAATCCTCCCGGCGACCGTGCCGCGCCCGTGCCCGCCGGCGCGCACGTCGCGCGGCGCGGGGCGCGCCGCACGCGTCACACGCGCACGTAGGTCCCATCGTGCGCACGCGCCGACCGCCCCGCCGCGTCCGTGCGGACCGACGTGCAGGTGTGCGCTGCGGGCATGAAGGAGCTGCGTGACCGCATCGGGTCCGTCCAGAACACCAAGAAGATCACGGACGCCATGAAGCTGGTTGCTGCCGCCAAGGTATGCGCGCGCGCCGCGGATCGCACGCGCGCGCGGGGTCGCACGCCGCCCCCCAGCCGCGCCGCCGCCCCTGCCCCCGACGCGCGGCCTCACGCCCCCCGCCCGCCCCCCGCGCCGCGCCCGCAGGTCCGTCGCGCCCAGGACGCCGTCGTCAACGGCCGTCCGTTCGCGGAGAACCTGGTCAAGGTGCGTGTCCCCCCCCAATGTCCCTCCCTGAGCGCCGCCTGGCCGCACGCGCGCGCCGGGGCACGCGGTCCGACGGCGCGTGCGCCGCGCGCGTCGCTGCGTTGCAGGTGCTGTTCGGCGTGAACCAGCGCCTGCGCACGGAGGACGTGGACTCGCCGCTGTGCACGATCCGCCCGGTCAAGGCGGTGTCGGTGGTGGTGGTGTCGGGCGACCGCGGCCTGTGCGGCGGGTACAACAACTTCGTCATCAAGCAGGCGGTGACGCGCATCGAGGAGCTCAAGGCGATGGGCGTCGAGCCGCGCGTGATCACCGTCGGCAAGAAGGCCGGGGCCTTTTTCAAGCGCCGCAAGGACCAGTACACGCTGGTCAAGGCGTTCGACCTGGGCCAGGCGCCCACGACGAAGGAGGCGCAGGCGATCGCCGACGAGCTCTTCTCGGAGTTCGTGTCGGGCGAGGTGGACAAGGTCGAGGTGGTCTTCACCAAGTTCGTGTCGCTCATCTCGGCCAACCCGACGATCCAGACGCTGCTGCCCATGGCGCCCTCGGGCGAGATGTGCGACATCGACGGCAACTGCGTGGACTTCGCCGAGGACGAGATCTTCAAGCTGACCTCGAAGGACGGCAAGATGTCGGTCGAGCGCGAGAAGATCAACTCGGACGTGGGCGCCTTCGACGAGGACGTCATCTTCGAGCAGGAGCCCAACCAGATCCTCGACGCCCTCCTCCCGCTCTACATGAACGGCACCATCCTGCGCTCCCTCCAGGAGTCGCTCGCCTCGGAGCTCGCCGCGCGCATGAACGCCATGAACAACGCCTCGGACAACGCCGCCGCGCTCAAGAAGAGCCTCAACCTGTCGTACAACCGGAAGCGCCAGGCCGCCATCACCAACCAGATCCTCGAGATCGTCGCCGGCGCCTCGGCCGTGTAAGCTGACTGCTGACTCGGCCCACCGCGCACCGCGCCGCGCGGCCGCCCTTCCGACACCGTGGCTGGCGAGCAGCACAGGGCGACTCGGCGCCCTCGCAAACCACCGCGCGCCCGACACGGCGACGCACCACATAGCTGTGACGCAGACACCCCTGAGAGCGCTGCACTGCCGCGCTCTCACCGTGCAGCCGGCCCGCGCCCCCCGCGGAGGTCAGGGGCGCGCGAGGCGCTCGTCCGCGCGGCGTCGGGGCCCGGTCGCTGCTCCCCGTCGAACGTCACCGCGGACAGACCCACTCCCGCGCGACCGGTGCGAGGCCGACGTCGTGCCCAGTGACGCCGCAGGCGCTCCGCGAGGGCGCCGTGCTGGGCCGCGCGCGGCTGCGGGCGGGGCGTCGCGCGTGCGTGTGTTGCGTGGCAAGTTCTGGAGCGGTGGGGGAGTGAGACGGCCGCCGGGGAGCGCAGCTCATTGCGTCGCCGCGGCGGCACCTCGCGCCGTCTGAGTTGCTCCATCAGCTCGATTTCATCCTTGCCACCATGCCGGTTCCCGCTGCCAGGTGAGGCTCGAACTGGCGCCCCTCCGAGACACATGCTCTTTCGTCGCGCCAGGCACCGCGAGCGGCTTGTTCCGCGCGCCCCGCAGGCGCAACCGCCCTCTCTTGATTTGAACTCTCGCCTCGTCGGCCCGCGGCCGCCCTTCCCGCCGGTGCCGCCGCGAGATGCCCGGCAGTGTGGAACAGACTGGGCTCATCCAGTTTCTCGCCGTTTCTCGCGCTCTACTCCGGCATGTGCGCGCACCTGCTCGCTGTTGCATTGTCCCGGGCCCGCCGTGCGCCGGTCCCAACCGCGAATGACTTGCTCCCGACCGCGTACGGCCCCTTTCGCCCACCACCTTCACCGGCCCGGCTCCCGCCGCAGCGCTCCGCTCGCACCGTGCAGCCAGGCCCTCCTCCGCCACTGATTTTCCCGGCTTCTGCCCCGGGTCGCGACGCGCTGTTGCGTGGCTGAGGCCGTGGAGCGACGCTGGTCTAGAAGCAGCAACCTCTCCCTCCCCTCCCGGGCCCTCGGGGCGCGACCTGCGGCGCATTGCCCCTATCGCTGCCCCGGGCGTGCTGGGGATCCCGTTGCGCGCCCGAATCTGTCCCGGCCGCGCGGTCCCGGGCCGCGCGAGGCGGGTCGGCCAGTCCAGCAGCCACCGCACCCCCATCGCCTCGTTCCCGGCCCCCCGGCGCGTGTCCCGCGCGTCCCGCGCCCGCACGGCGACGTGCAGCTCGCGCGGTTGCCCGACCGCGCGTCACTTCCCCCTCGTCACCCGCAGGGAGATGCTGCGCGGCACGGCTGTGAAGCCGGCCGCGGCTGGGCGTGGCCGCGCGGCGCGGCGCTCCGTGGGCGTGCGCGCGGGCGCGAAGGAGCTGCACTTCAACAAGAACGGCGAGGCGCTGAAGCGGATGCAGGCGGGCGTGGACAAGCTGGCGACGGTGGTGGGCGTGACGCTGGGCCCCAAGGGGCGCAACGTGGTGCTCGAGACCAAGTACGGGTCGCCGAAGATCGTGAACGACGGCGTGACGGTGGCGCGCGAGGTGGAGCTGGAGGACCCCGTGGAGAACATCGGCGCGAAGCTGGTGCGGCAGGCGGCGGCGAAGACGAACGACCTGGCGGGCGACGGGACGACGACGGCCACCATCCTGTCGGCGGCGCTCATCGCGGAGGGCCTCAAGGTCGTGGCGGCGGGGTCGAACCCGATCCAGATCACGCGCGGGATGGACAAGACGGTGCGCGCGCTGACGACGGTGCTGCGCGACCTGTCGACGGACCTGCGCGACGACGACGACATCAAGAACGTGGCGACGGTGTCGGCGGGCGGGAACGAGGAGATCGGCGCGCTGATCTCGCAGGCGATGGCCAAGGTGGGCCGGCAGGGCGTGGTGACGATGGAGGAGTCGAAGACGGCGCAGGACGCGCTGTACTTCGTCGAGGGCATGCAGTTCGACCGCGGGTACATCTCGCCGTACTTCGTGACGGACCCGGAGCGCATGGTGGCGGAGTACGAGAACTGCCGGCTGCTGCTCGTGGACAAGAAGATCGCGTCGGCGCGCGAGATGGTCACGCTGCTCGAGGCGGCCATCCGCGGCAACTACCCGCTGCTCATCATGGCCGAGGACATCGAGCAGGAGGCGCTCGCGACGCTGGTCGTGAACAAGCTGCGCGGGAACCTCAAGGTCGTCGCGGTCAAGGCGCCGGGCTTCGGGGAGCGCAAGACGCAGTACCTGGAGGACATTGCCATCCTGACGGGCGCGACGGTGGTCAAGGAGGAGCTGGGCATCACGCTGGAGAAGGCGGACGAGTCGGTGCTCGGCGTGGCGAGCAAGGTCGACATCGGGAAGGAGCGCACGGTGGTCGTCGGCGACGGGTCGACGGAGGCGGAGGTGTCGGCGCGCGTGCGGCAGATCCGCGCGCTGATCGAGGCGACCGAGCAGGAGTACGAGCGCGAGAAGCTGAACGAGCGCGTGGCGCGGCTGTCGGGCGGCGTGGCGATCATCCAGGTGGGCGGCCAGACGGAGACGGAGCTCAAGGAGAAGAAGCTGCGCGTGGAGGACGCGCTGTGCGCGACGCGCGCGGCGGTCGAGGAGGGCATCGTCATCGGCGGCGGGTGCACGCTGCTCAAGCTCGCGGCCGCCATCGAGGACATCAAGAAGGACCTCCCCAACGAGGAGCAGCGCGTGGGCGCCGACATTGTGCGCAAGGCCCTGCAGTACCCCATCAAGCTGGTCGCGTCCAACGCCGGCGTCAACGGGAGCGTGGTCATGAACAAGGTCATGGAGGCGGGGGACAAGGACTACGGGTACAACGCCGCCACGGGGGAGTTCGAGAACCTGATGGAGTCGGGCATCATCGACCCCACCAAGGTCATCCGGTGCTGCATCGAGAACGCGTCCTCGGTCGCCAGGACCTTCCTCACCGCCGACGTCGTCGTCACGCAGATCCCCGAGGACGAGCCCGCCGCCGCCGGCGCCGACGCCATGGGCATGGGCGGCTACTAGGCGGCTGCTCCTAGGCGGCCGCGGCACTGGCCGCAGCGCGTGTGACAAAAAACACAGAACGACGGCCGAGCTCGGCGAGCGCTCGCGCGACGCGCGGTCACACGGCTCGCGGTCACACGGCTCGCGGTCACACGGCTCTAGTACGGCCGGCGCAGGTTGGTCGCGGTGGTGGTGCTGGAGACCATGGTGGCCGTGTCGTAGGTGGGGCCCGCGAACTGCGCGCGGTGCGCGGACGCCGGGCGCTGGCGGCCGCCCCCGACGGGCCCCGTCGCGGCGCGCATGGACGGCCCCGTGGCCATCAGGTCCGGCGCGCGCCGCCGCCCGAACGTGGGCTTCTCGTACTGCGCCGTCCACACCGCCTCCGCGCGCGTCTGCGCCTCCGCGGCGTAGTGCCGCGCGCCGAGCCGCCCGTGGCCCTCGTCCCACGGCAGCCCGCCCTGCTGCGGCCGCCCCGCGAGCACCGTCACGCCCGCGGGCGGCAGCTGGTCGGGCCGCGCCCGCACGTCCCGCGCCGACGACGGCCGCCCCTCCCCGCCGTCGTCCCGCAACAGCCCCATCACCGAGTCCTTGTGCGCCGCGTGCGCGCCCAGCCCGGGCTTCCCCGCCGCCGCGTTGTCCGGCCCCACCTGCAGCCGCGCAAACTGCCCCAGCGCCGCGTTCTCGTGCGCGCGCTCGTCCTGCGCGAACGGCGCGCCCCGCTGCGGCGGCGCGTACTGCGGCACCGCCGCGTGCGGCGCCTGGCCGCCCCCGCGCGCGTGCTGCTCCCCCGGCCCCTGCGCCGCGGGCGCCTGCAGGCGGCGCCCACCGGTGCGGCACCACCTCCTCGCGGACCTCGCCCTGCCCGCCGCCGTGCACGCGCGCGGCGCCGGGGCTCTCCTGCACGACCTCCACGTCGCCGCGGTACCGCGCAGGCGGCGTGCCGGGCGCCGGCGGCCCCCTCGCCGGCTGCGGCGGCGGCGGCGGGGCTTCGCGCGCCTTCTGCGGCCGCTCCTCGTAGCCCGCGCGGACGTCCTCGTCCCTGAGGTGCGGCGCCTTGAACGTCAGGTCGATCTGCAGCTCGCGCGCCTTCCCGACGACCGCGGGGTGCTTCATGAGCTCCTGCGTGTCGGGCCGCCTGCGGAAGTCCTTGGTGAGGCACTTGGCGAGGACGTCGCGGATCTGCGGGGAGTACGGGCCCGTGACGGGGTCGTACGTCCCGCGCATGATCTTCCGGATGAGCGCGCCCTCGTTCTGCGCGGTGAACGGGTGCCGCCCCGTGAGCATCTCGTACAGCACCACGCCCAGCGCCCACACGTCCGAGCGCTCGTCGTACGGCCGGTCCTCGCACAGCTCCGGCGACAGGTAGTACGGCGTGCCCACGATCGTCCGCACGAAGTCCGACTCCTCCGACAGCGCGCGCGCGATGCCCAGGTCGCCCAGCTTGACCACGTCCTCGGCGTCAATCATCAGGTTCAGCGCCTTCACGTCGCGGTGGATGATGCGCTCCGAGTGGATGTGCGCCAGCCCCACCAGCGCGTGCAGGAAGTACCGCCACACCTGCCGCTCCGGCAGCCCCCGCCCGCCCGCCTTCTTCACCAGCCTGCACACACACACGCACGCACACGCGCGCGCTCTCTCTCGCACGCACACGCACACGCCACCGCGCCCAGCGCACGCACGCACGCGGCCGGCCCCGCGCGCGCACGCACCCGTGGATGGTCCCGCGCGCCGCGTACTCCATGACGATGTACAGGCGGCCCTCCTCCAGAAAGGCCTCGTGGTAGCGGATGACGTGCGGCGACGCGAGCTGGGACAGCATGCGCGCCTCGTCCATCGCCTCCTCGCGCTCTGCGGGGGGCGGGCGCGGGGCGCGCTGTGGGCGCGTGCCAACCAGCGGGCGCGCGGAGCGGAATGTCGAGCGCGGCGGGCCGGGCGCGCACCTGCGCGCTTCATGCCTTCGAGGTCGACCTCCTTGAGCGCGAACACGCGCCCGTCGCTGATGCGCGTCACCTTGTACACCTTCCCGAACGAGCCCTTGGAGACCAGCTCGTCCATCTTGAACTGCAAGCGTCACACCCGCGCGCGGAGCCGCGATTTACGGAGCGCGCGCGGCCGACGGAGCTCGCGGGCGAGCGGGGATACCGCAGCGGGGCGTCGCGGCGGGCAGGCGGGCGTGCGGGCGCGGCGGTGCGCACCCGTCTCAGCTTGCTGGGGCGCCCCCTCTGCTCCTCGCCGCGGGCGTCTTGGGCGGGCGCTGGCGGGGCCGCGCGCGCGCCCACGCGCGCAGAGCCCGGGCGTCGTGCGCCCCCGGACGGGAGACGCTGCATCTTGTCCCGCGTCGACCGGGAGAGCGGCTCGGCTGGCCGGCGCAGGACTCCGGGCACTCGCGGGGCGTGCGCGGCCGCCGCCGACGCGCGTGCGGGGAGCTGCGCCGACGAGGGCTCGCGTGGTCGCGCGGACCGCCGGACCGCGTCGCAGCGACGCGCGCGCCGCGGCCCACTGCTGCGTCGCGCACAGGGAGGGAGCTCCTCGCTGGGCGGGCGGCTGCGCGGGGCGAGGCCTGCGATGCTTCCAGGGGAGCCTGAACCACCGGCGGTCGCAAATGCGCGCGCGCGCGCGCGCGCCGGCGCCTCGTCAGGGCGGCCGGGCCGCGGGCCGCGGGGGAGCACTGCTCTGCCCACCTGAGCACAGGCCCGCGTGCGCCGGGGGGGAGTCCGCGGGCCCGCCGCGACGCACGCGGCGCCCCTACCGGTCGCGCTGAGCCGCCCGCGCCGCACTTCGCTCCCGCGCAGCACCCCGCGTAGTCCCTGCCGTTCCACTCTCGTTGAATTGTTGAACTTCCCGCGCACCTCCAGCCGGCGCTCTCCCGCGGCCCTAGCGGCTCGCCGCGCGCTGCGCTGCCTGCGAGGCGCGAGGGGGGCATCGGCCCGAGCGATTCGCGGGCCCTGCGCCGCGCGAGACACCGCGGCAGCGAAGAACGTGCGGGCGGACGTGCGGCGCGCGGTGCGGCCTCTGGGCGCGCTGCCGGACGCCTGGCGGGCCGAGCGGATCCGTCCGGTCGCTGCCTGGCCGGAGAGGACGAGGGACATTCGTTCCGGGCCCCGGCGCCGGTCGCAGCGGCCCGGTCCGGCACGATGGGGCGCGTGGAGCTGGGGACAGCGAACGAGGTTCGCAAGCTCACCACGGCGCTCTCGGAGGCCGTGCGGGACTTCGTGGCGAAGAAGCGCGGAGCGTGCACCGATGACGAGATGATGGAGTGGACCGCCGAGCAGCTGTCGGTGCGCGCGGGCGTCCCCGCAGCCAAACGTCCTCGGCTCCGCCAGCGTGCCTCCCCCGCGCTGCTGCCCGCCGCGGCGCGCCGTCCGCGGCGCGCAGGCCCCCTCGGCGCTGTGCTCGGCAGAACCTCGCCCCCGCGCCGCCCCGCGCGCCGTGCAGGGCCTCCTGCGCCACATGGACGGCGCGCTGTGCAACACCACCGCCGTGGGCGGGTCCGCGCAAGGCCCGGGCGACTCCCCGACGCGCAAGCGGCAGCGCACCGCGGCGGACGCCCCGACGGCGGAGGACGCGCAGCTCGAGCGCGAGGTCGTCGGCCTGGCCGACCGCGTGGTGGCGCTGCGCGAGACAGTGCCGGCGGTGCTGGCCGTGCACGTGTCTGAGCAGCTGCTCGCGGTGCGGCCCGCCGCGGACGGCATCGCGAGCCTCGCCGGGGAGGTGGAGGCCGCGGACTCGGCGCGCGCGGGCGCCGCGGGGGCGCCGGCGGCGCGCGAGCTCGGGGACAAGTTCGGCGCGCTGGTGCGGCTGCTGCCGGGGCTGCGGGCGCGGCTGGAGGGCGCGGTGAACCGCATCGAGCGCGTCGTCGCGGCCGTCGAGGAGGAGGGCGCGCGCGACGGCGGACCAGGTGAGCCACGTGACGCGAGCAGGCATCACGTCACGCGTGCGCGTGCGCGTGCGCCGTGCGCGGAACTGACCCGCAGCGCCCCGAGCGCCGCTTGCCTGCAGCCGTGCCGGAGCCCTTCGTGCACCCGGCGTCGCTCGCGACCCCCGTCGCGGGCACCGTCATGCCGGACCCCCAGGCCCTCATCACCCCGCCACGGCCCAAAGCAGGGCCCACCGCCGCGGTGCGCCCCGGCCCCCCGCGCGCACCCCAGCCGCCCCCGCCGCGCACCGCACCGGCCGCCTCACGTCCGCGCGGCGCCCCCCCCGTGCACTGCAGGAGAAGGAGGGCGTCGTGTCGCCGGCGTTCAAGCAGGCGATGGAGGCGGGCATGATCACGGTGCGCGGGAAGGACCGCCACGAGGCCGCGCCGGTGCACATGGACGCGGGCGGGGACGCCGCCGCTCCGCCGCAGCCCGGCGCGGCCCTGCTGGCGCGTGAGGACGCCCCGCCGCCCCCCAAGTCCCCCCGGGGCCTCCTCACGCCGCGGTCCGCGCGCCGCCGCGGGGCCCGCGACATGCGTTGAGCCGGCCGCGGCGCGCGTGCCCGCGCCGAATCGCTGCGGCTGCGGCTGATGTGTGTGATCCGAGCCATCAAGATGTGGGCCGTGTTGCCCGGGCGCGGTGCCGCTGCGACCGCGCGAGGACGCACGCCGGGCGTGCGGCGCGGGGCGCTGTCGGGCGGAGCGACGTCGCGAGTGACTCCGCCAGCCACCCAAGTTGCCCGGGGAGGACTCGAGTCGGGCGCCCCCGGAGCGGAGCCTCCGCGGCCCTGCAGGGCGACCGAGCGGGGCGTCCTCGCGCCCCCGCGACGCCCCTCGCGGCACTTTTCCTTTCCACCGAGACGCAGCGGAGCCGTTGCCGTTTCAGCGCCGCGCCGGCGAGCCAGGTCAGAGAGCTGCAGCGCACGGTGCCGCGACGCAGCCGGGTCCGAGCGGGGAGCGGCGTGCCCGGTAGCGCGGTGCGCCACGCATGCCACACACGGACGCGGAGAGGGAGGGCAAGCCACTCGTGAACTTCCTGAAGCGGTCGCTGACTCTCTTCAGTCGCAAGCCAGCCGACCCCTCCAAGGTCACCTTCGACGGGGGCGAGGTCAGACCGTCGACCGGCGGCTCGGACCCCGCCCCGAGGGAAGCCACCGGGCCGGCGAACAAGCTCAAGCGCGCGCAGTCGGAGAAGCCGAAGCCTAGGAAGCGCCTGAGCCTGGTCCAGGTCTGCTCGCCGCGCGCGACCCACCAGTGTCCACCGGCAGCGCCTTGCGGCGTTGCGCTCGCTGTCTCAGATGGCGAGGGCTCGCTTGCCGCGCGCGGGACCCGGGAAGCGCTGCGCACTGTCGTGCAGGTCGGCAAACGCCAGATTACAGTTGGGAGGCTGCTGTGCGACGACAGCTTGGCGACTCCGGGCACGGACCTGAACTTCATGAGATCTTTCGAGGCCACTGAAGCGTCCTCGGTATCGTCTCTGTCCGACGAGTCCTCTGAGGTCGAGGACACATGGTGAGGGGCACCTCCTGCCTCCCGAGCAGCGACCCGCGCCGCACGGACCGCCTGCGACCAAGCGGACGCAGCCCAAGCGCTGTGTTGCGCGCCTCCGGGTATCCGCGGCCCCGTCACGGCACCGCGGGATCGCTCCGCCCGCGCGACCGCCCTGCAGTTGCTGGCTGCCCTGCTCCCTCGCCAGAGCGCCGACCACCGGCCCGGTGCGCTCCACCGCAGGGGGCTCTCCGTCTATGCTGAAGAGTGCGAGCGCCTCGCAGTGCCCGCGGTCGCCCAGGTCACCGAGGGCCTCCGCTCCCAGACCCTCGACCTGCACGCCTACGGCATGTCCGTGCGGGGCCTCTCCGCGGTCACGCAGGCCCTCAAGTTCAACACCACCGTGACCAAGGTCGGCGCCCCCGCACCGCCGCCCCGGACCTGCCCGCGCGAATAACCCCAACCTCACTGCGCCCCCGCGCCCGTCCCCCACGCAGCTCATTCTGAGCGAGAACGACCTGAACGAGTCGGCCCTGTACGCGCTCGGCGAGCTGTTCCGCACGTCGCGGAACATTCTCGAGCTGGACATCAGCGGCAACAGCCTCCAGGCGGGGACGCCGGGGTGCGCGGTGGCGTTCAAGGGCCTGCTGCCCAAGGCGCACGACAAGCCGTCGCTGGAGGTGCTCGTGTGCCGGTCGAACCGGCTGACGGACGGGGACGGCGCGCAGATCGTCCAGCACGTGGCGGCGTGCGGGAGCATCACGCACCTCGACCTGGGCGACAACCTGCTGGGGGCGCGGACGTTCACGACGCTGGCGAGCAGCATCCGCATCATGCCGAAGCTGCAGGCGCTGAAGCTCGACAGCAACGCGGCGCGCTCGCACGGCGTGCAGGTCCTGCAGCACGCGATCAAGCAGGCCGGGCCCGGGGGGTGCAACCTCACCGTGCTCGACCTCTCGAACAACGGCATCGACGCGCAGGGCGGCGCGGTCCTCGGGACGCTCCTGCGCATCTACCCGAAGCTGCGCGTGCTGGCCGTGGCGCGCAACCCGCTGGGCGCGGAGGGCGTCGCGGGGCTGGCCGTGGGGGTGGCGTCGGCCATCAACCTCGAGACGCTGGACCTGGACGGCGTGTCGCTGGCCGGGGACGCCGGCGCCGCGATGTACAACGCGCTGCACGAGAACGTCAACCTGCGCAAGGTCTCGGTGCGCGGCTGCGGCCTCCCCGACGCGGAACTGGCCAAGTGGAAGGTCGAGATGGCCGCGCGCTCGGGAACGCTCGTCGCGGGGGAGCTGCCGCCGGACAAGGGGCGGAAGAACTGACGCCGTGGCCGTCTGACGCCGCACCGGACGCGACGTGGGGGCGAACGCAGACTGCCTAAAGGGGGGGCGTCACACGGCGCCGTGTCCAGATACCGGCGGCGGCGTCACTTCTTCCCCTTCATCTCCTTCATGAGGTCCTCCCACCCGAGCTCGCCGCCTTCCTCGTCTGCGCGCAAACGACAGAGACATGCGTCAGGCAGGGGCGAGGCGAGCAGGGGGGGGCGTAGACTGGGTGTGACCAGCACTGCGCGCGGCGCCGTCGCGTGGTGTCGCGGGCACGCACCGCTGTCCTCGCCGTCGCCCTCCTCGCTCCCGCTGTCCCCGTCGTCCTCCTCGCCCGACTCCTCCTCCTCCTCGCTGCCACTCCCCCCGGGGGCCTCCAGGTCGTCGCCGTCGAAGAACCCGTGCGCCTGCGGGATGTCGCCCTTCCGCTGCTGCCTGTTCGCCCGCGCCAGCCCCTTGGCCACCGCCGCGCGCTCCGCCGCCTCCAGCTTCCCCTCGGCGCCCTCCTCCTCCGGGTCCGACCCGTCCTCACTCGCCCCCTCCTCCGCGGCCGCCTCGCCGGCCCCCGCCTCCGCCCGCTCCTGCCGCTCCGCCTCCTGCTCCTCCTCCGCGGCCTCCCGCGCCAGCCGCACCGCCTCCTCGGCGCCCGGCGGCAGGCTGAAGAAGGGCAGCCGCCCGCGCTGCCAGTCGTACAGCACGCCCTTGGCCACGGTGTTCAGGTCCGGCTCCCCGCCCTTGAGCAGCTTGCCCTGCCGCCGCGCGAGCTGGTCGAGGAAGTCCTCCGCGTCCGTCCAGTCCCGGATCTGGTACGCGCGGCGCACGTAGCGCGGCTTCACGCGCCCCAGGACCTCTTCGATGAACTCCGTCGCGTCCTCGAGGTTCTCGACGCGCACGACGCCCTTGAGGACGGAGTCGGCCTCCGAGTCGCGCGTCTTGTTGTACACCACCCCGGGGCAGTCGATGAGGAACACGCGCTTCATGAGCGTGATGAACTGCCAGACCTTGGTCTCGCCCGGCACCGGCGCGGTCTTGCACACCGCCTTCTGCCGCAGCGCGTTGATCACCGACGACTTGCCCACGTTGGGGTACCCCACGAACCCCACCGAGATGGCGGGCTTGTCCTGCCGCAGGCGCGCCATCTGGCGCAGCACCGACAGCAGCGCGCCCTTCCCGAACGGGTTCGTGACCGACGCGTGGAAGGCCAGCACGGGGAACTCCCGGCTGAGCGCCTGCAGCCAGAGCCGCGTCACCCACGCCGGCACCAGGTCGCACTTGTTCAGGAGCAGCACCAGGTGCTTCTGCCGGTGGTTGCGCTTCAGGTGCTGCTCCAGGAACCGGCACCGCGTCCCCTCGGGGTCCCGCGCGTCCAGCACCTCGACCACCACGTCCGACGAGTCCACCACCTTGTACAGCTCGCCCCAGATGCGCCGCGACTGCCCCTTGTTGAACATCAGCCCGCGCTGCTCCGTGTACTCCGCCGCGTCCCACGCCCGCGACCGGTCGTGCCCGTCCGGCCGCGTCCCCTGCCGCTCCTCGTAGTCCTGCTGCGTGTCCGCCGCGCGCGCCACGAGGCTCTCGTACGAGTCCAGCGCCAGCCGCGGACGCTTCCGCCGCGCGCCCGGCCCGAACGTCTCCGAGAAGGGCGTGTGCGTCAGCAGGTTCGCGCGCGCCTCCTTCCCCTTGGCCTTGGCCTCCCTGCAGAGAGCACCGCGCAGTGCGCCGTCAGGCGGGCGCGCGCGCGCCGGACCGCGCGGCGCTGGGCGGGCGCGTGGGGCCGCGGGGCGCACTTGTCGGGGTCCTCGATGAGGGAGAGCGGGAGCTTCTTCTCCCGCAGGAGCACGGTGTAGGCGTCGTTGACCTTCTCGCTCATCTCCTCGCGGAACTGGTCCAGCTGCTTCTGCCCGATGACGCGCGTGTTGCCGAACCACCTGGAGGAGGCGGGGGCGCGGGCGCGTCGGCACGGGGCGCGGCGCAGGGCGGGTCTGGTTCGCTGCGGGTGCTGCCGGGAATCACGGACCTGCGGTCGGGCTGGATGCGCGTGTTGTGCGACGTGTCCTTGCTCTGGAACGCCTCGTACACGACCCGGCCCTTCTTGTCCCGCACGGCCTTCGTCTTGTACATCTTCAAGCGCCGCACCTGCACAGGCACCAAGGGGCAGCTCCGTTACTGCCTCTTGCAGCGCCGCAGCCCCGCGGTGCGGCGTACAGAGCACCAGAAACTCGGCGTCCGAGGCCCCTGGTGGCCAGGCGGCTGCTCGGGGCAGTCCGCGCGGACGGAACGGGCGCCCACAGGCCGGACCGCCCCCCCGGACGCCGCGCTGCTTGCCGGCGTGGTCGGCGGCGCTGTCGAGCGCGCCCCGACGTCCCGCGAGCCGGTCACGAGAGAATCTCGGTTCCTCAGAGAGGCAGGAATCGATTTCGCGGCAGGGGCGCGGGCGTGGTGCGGCGTGCGCGGCCGTCCGGCACGCCGCAGAGGAGGCGCGGCCGCACCGTGGCCGCCGTCCGCATGTTGCCCTTCCCGCCGTCCGCGGGCCGCCGGGCGTCCATGGAGTGCGTTGGCTTGCGCTTGTCTTCAGCCTTGGTGCGTTTCTGGCCCATCTTTCACCACGCAGCACCCACACGGCGCGACAGCACCTGTGCCCTGGGCACTCGCTACGTCACGCGCTGCCGCCGTCCGGCAGGGTCGCGGGCTGATGGACCGGGCGGAACCGGCGGTCTCCAGTCAAGGACGATGCGTGGAGAGCGATCCGGGCGTCCGCCGGAGGCGGCGAAAGGGAGAATGCCGGGGTCCAGTGAGCTGGGATCAGACACCGCTTTATGACACGAAATCGGGACCAAGGAGGGTGACAGCTCGAGTGCGGCCAGAGGAGGTCGCGGCGAGGCAATGGGGTCGCGGAAGCGCGCCATCCGGCTCCGCGGGCGCTGCACGCCCCCCCGGACAGTGCCGTCGACGCCCCCCCTGCGTCCGCCCGGCACTTGCGACTGATGGCGGCCGCGCCCACGCCTGCATGCGGACACAGGCACCTCGCACAGCGGCACCGTCCCCATCCGCGGTGTCAGCCGGACGACGCAATCCGTCGAGATCTCTCGAAGCGCAGCACCTCGGTAAATACAAACCCGCCCCCGGTGCTCGCGGTCGGTCACTACCACCAGGCGCGACCACGCTGGGCCAGATCCTCCGTTCGCGACCACAGATCGCGCCGCAGCCATGACCGAGACAGTCGAGCGCCGCGAGGCGTCCGAGGCCAGCGACCTGTACGAAGTCCTAGGGGTCCGCCGCGACGCCACCGAGGTCCAGGTGACCGGGCACCGCCCCCCGCCGCACCAGATCGACTCTCTCGCACCGTCTGGCTAACCTCGACGCCGATCCCGGACCGTCCCGCGGAGGAACTCACGAGGCCGATGCGCAACGCCCGATGCACAATGGTGCCGCAGATCAAGAGGGCGTACAAGTCGCTGGCGACGAAGCACCACCCCGACAAGGGCGGAGATGCCGCGGCCTTCGCGGCCATCACGCAGGCGTTCAACGTGCTGTCGGACAAAGCCCGCCGCGCGCGGTACGACGACACTGGAGCCTTCACGAAGACCGCGGGCGAGGACTTCCTGGAGGGCTTCGCGGGGGGCGCGTACCTCGACCGCGGGCGCAGCGCCGAGGTCGACGCCGCGCTCCCGGCGCAGGAGGCGTTCGCCAGCGCGGTGATCCATCGTCCCGAGGAGCCCGCGTCGCACTCGGCCGGCTTCGAGGCGTGGATGCGCGCGCGCGGCGAGGCCGGGCAGCAGGTGTACACGGCCGACACGATCGCCGACATGTTCGGCGTCGCGAAGTGCTCGTACGAGCACGTGGCGATCCCACCCATCAAAGCCTACGTGGTGAACTGCACCCGGCCGGGAGGTGCGCTTGAACCGCTGCGTTGCGCTCTTCGAAGCGACTCGTCTCGCCTTGCAGAACTCAGCGATCGGAGGCGTTGCTCTCGGTGACATCTGTGCAGCTACCAGAGACGCGCGTGTCGATACCTCTGACGAGCACCCCGTCGTGCGCAGCTCGCGATCCATCGGGGTCCCTGAAGCTCACTTCGGAGGCGCGCCCGGCGTCCCTCGAGTGGGGCCAGGTCCTCGTGGCGGTCCGGCGGGCGGCCATCTCCCCCGGCGACTTGTACACCATTGGCACGGGCGGCGTGTACGGCGACGAGGCCCGCGCCTCGCCGCCCTTCGTCTGCGGGCACGACGGCGTGGCGGTCGTCGCGAAGGTCGGCCCGGGCGTCCGCACGCTCGCGGAGGGCGACTGGGTGCTGCCGGCAAAGGCCTTCCTGGGCACGTGGCGCTCCCTCGCCGTGTGGAACGAGAAGGACACGCTGAAGATACCCCGGTGCGTCGCTCGTGCACGCGCGGTGCTGGCTCGCGGCGCTGTCGCGATTCGCGGACGAGCACGGCAGTGAGAGCGACCGTGCGGGCCTGGCACGTGTGTGCGGTTCGTCGGAGACCATCATTTCATGGTCTTCGCCCGCAGGGACCTGCTGCCCCTCGAGTACGCATGCGTCCTGCGCGAGATGTGCACCGCGTACCGCCTCCTCGAGGACGCGCGGGGGCTGCAGCCGGGCGACGCGGTGATCCTGAACGCGGCGAACAGCACGGTCGGGCAGGTCCTGCTGCAGATGTGCGCGATGCTGCGCCTGCGCGCGATCGCGGTGGTGCGGCCGCGCCGGGAGGGCGACGAGGGGCGAGAGATGGCCCGCATGACCGAGTGGCTGCGAGCCCTGGGTGCCACGGATGTGCTCGAGGACAAGGGTGAGTCATAGTCTGTGCTCTCGATTCGTCGAGCCCCTGCATGGGCCTCGTCGCGCGGTGCACTGGCGATCGCAGTCCTCGCGCACTCCGGCGGGACGAAGACTTGCCTGTCTGAGTTGCTCGCAATCACACGCAGGGAGTCTCAAGGTAGCACTGGAGAAGAACAAGTACTCCGCGAAGCCCAGGCTCGCCCTGGACGCCGTTGGTGGCGCATCCAGCGCCCGCCTAGTCGACTGCCTCGCCCAGGACGGAGAGGTAGCTCCCGCAACCAGCCTCAACAGCATGCCATCTTTGTTTGCAGTCAACAAATGACAGCATCCCTGGACATGTCACTGGTCGCCGTCGGTCGCACCACGCGCTTGCGACGATATCTCTGCTGAGCCTGTCCGCCCGTCGAGGGTTCGTTGCCCGCAGGTCGTCGTGTACGGCAGCGCCAGCGGCACCGCACCGCACTTCTCGTGGCAGCACTTTGTGTTCCACGGCGTGCGCGCCCGCGGGTTCAACCTCCGCCGCTGGATGTCGGACAACAAGAAGCACATTCCGCTGATGTTCGAGACCATCGCGAAGCTGGTCAACGCCGGGCGCCTCCAGGTGACTGTCACCCAATAATCGAGCAACGTCACACGCAACCTGCCCGCAGCACCACCACTCACGCGCCGCGCAGCGACAGACACGGCAGCACGTACCCGCGCTACATGCAGGTGAGCTACACGGAGTACGAGCTGTCGACCGAGTTCGCGGAGGCGTTCGACCACGCGCGGGACGACTTCAAGAACACCAAGGTGCTGCTGACTGCGGAGGACGTGGGGCAGATGTAGCGGCGCGGACGCGGGGGGGTGGGCGGGCGGCGGGCAGGGCAGGGGTGAGGCTGCGGCTGCGGCGTGTTCGCATGCGGGGGGAGTGTTGTGGTCGCCTGAGTCAGACACTGTTGTCGTGTGTGGCCTGCGAGGCGCTCTTGAGGCCGCGTCCTGGGCTGTGACCAGCTGTCTCGGCGGACAGTCGGAGGCGGTGAGGCATTCCAGCTGCGAAGCCCCCATCGGACACGCCTCTGCACTGCATCGGCGCGGCTGGGTGGTTCTGTGCGCAATTGACGACGCACGGCGGCGAAACGCAGCCCGTCGCGAGGGAACCGATATGTTAGATCCATCCTCTGTATAGGACAGCTGTGTTCTACGCGGGAATCGCGGCGTCCAGCCCGCGGAGCTAGCTTGAGGCTGGGCACTTGGCTTGGCTTCGCCTGCTGCGCTTGAGTCGACGATTTTTTCCAAAGTGTAGACGTCATGTTCAAGAAGGACATCACCATCACCCAGGAGCACAAGATTTCTGGAGCCGACAGGAAGAAACTGAAGCGAAACCTAGCCAAGGCACGCCCACCGTGGCCGCACGGCACGCCTCGCGCGCCCGGACACTCGCAACGATCACGACCCACAGTGCATCCTATCACGGCGCCACCCCCGCACTCGGCGCCGCGCTCGCCGCCCAGCGCCGACGGGCGTCATCATCATCGCTGCAGAGCCTCAACGTCGAAGACGAGGTCATCGAGCAGCTCCTCCCGGGCAAGCAGGGCGACCTCTCCCTCGCGAAGCTCGCCGCGCCGTCGCGATGCCACGTATACCGCCTCGACGGGGAGCCCATCCTCATTGACACGTCAGGTCAGCCCCGCCGCCCACCAGCATCCTCCCGCGCCTCGCACGCGCCCCCGCGCACGCCAGCCCCCGCCCACGCACACACGAGCTCGCCGCACCAGCAGGGAAAGGAGACTTCGCGCCGGCCCTGTTCGGTCTGTGGAAGGCGCCCGCGCTGCTCCCCGCCGTGTGCCTCAAGCACCCCGCGGTGTCGCAGTACCTCCTCGGCGGCGCGGACCCGATGCTCCCGGGCGTGCACGTCCCGCCGGCAGCGCAGGGCGACGCGCACGGCCTGCCTGCGTTCCGCAAAGGACAGCTCATCGCCATCTGCGTGCGCGGCAACCCGATGCCCTTCGCCGTGGGCACCGCCAACATGTCGAGCGAGGAGGCCGCGGCGGCGGCGGGCGGCAAGGGCCGGCTGGCGACTGTGCTGCACTGCGCGTGGGACAAGCTGCACTGCCTCCCGCACGGCCTCCCGCGCGTGCCCAACGACGGGTTCCGGACCGAGATCATCCTGCCCGAGGGCTGGCAGGACGAGGAGCACGCGGACGACAGCGGCGGCGAGGACGCAGCGCCCGGCGAGGCCGCGGCGCCCGGCGAGGCCGCGGCCGCCGTCGCGCGGGAGTTGTCGCAGGTGCACGTTGAGGAGGAGGGCGGGGGCGACGCGGGCGAGGAGGGCGGCGGCGAGGCGGGCGGGGAGGCCGCGGGGGGCGCGGGCGAGGGCGCGGGCGAGGCCGGGGCGGGGTCTGCGTCGGGCGCGCGCGGGGCGCCGGCGATGACGGAGGGCGAGATGGACGAGCTGCTGCAGTGGGCGGCGCTGCAGGCGCTGCACGTGTCGGTGACGGACAAGCAGCTGCCGATGGCGGCGTCGGTGTTCTGGAAGGAGATGACCGCGCACCGGCCGCCGGGGACGTCGCTGGACATGCGGCGGTCGTCGTTCAAGAAGCTGACGGCCTTCGTGGCGCACCTCGCGCGGCAGCAGATCGTGTCGGCGCGGGAGGATAAGCGCACGGGCGAGTCCGTCATCGTGCAGGTGAACCGCAAGCGCGGGCCGTACGCGGCGTTCCGAGCGGTGCGTGCCGCGCCGACGCACGTGGAGGCCGAGCAGCTGCACGCGGCCGCGGACGACGGCGGGGGGGACGCGGGCGGCGCGGCGGCGTGGATGACCGCGCCGCTGGAGCTCACGTACAGCTACCGCGTGCGCAAGGAGGCGAGCGGGGTCTTCCAGGCGGTCGGCGCGGACCCCGCGGTGGCGTACGCGGAGGTCGACCTGCTGGCGGTGCTCGAGGAGTACGCGGCGAAGCACTGCGAGCTGCACGAGGGGGCGCGGGAGCTGCTGCTGGACGACGCGCTGCGGGACGCGCTGTTCCGGGGCGCGGCGCGGCAGGGCGCGGCCGTGGGGCGCTGCATGGCGGTGGCGGACGCGCGGCGGGCGTTCGTGGAGCGGATGCTCCCGCAGTTTGCTGCGCGGCGCGGCGGGATGGTGACGACGCGGAAGGGCGCGCCGGAGCCGGTGCGGCTGTCGGTGGAGCGGCGCGGCGGCAACAAGCACGTGACGATGGTCGGGAGCCTGGACGACGTGCTCCTGGACGCGGCGACGCTCGCGCACGGCCTGGCGAAGGCGCTCGCGGCGGCGGCGACGGTCGAGGAGAGCGCGGGGAAGCAGGGCAAGGTCAAGCGCGCGGTGATGATCCAGGGGGACCACGTGCGGAGGGTTGTGGAGCACCTGACGCAGGTGTACGGGGTGCCGCGGGAGCTCGTGCACGCGCCGGACGCCGGGAAGAAAAAGGGCCGGCGGTGAGGCCGCTGGAGCGCGCGTGTGTATCCATGACCGCAGCGGAGAGACGCCCACGAGCGCCACCGCGCTGTCCATCCATCCGCGAACGCACGCATGCACGCGCTCCTCGGTCGGTCGCGTCACACGGGCGCTTCATTCAACGGGTGGCCGGTCGACCCACGCGGCCGACGCGCGGTGCACCGCCGCCAGCTGGTCCCCCACTGGGCCAAGGCGCGCAGCCATGCCCAGCACCGCGTCTCGCCGCCGCTGCAGATGCCGCTCGGCCTCGCGCTCCTCCGCCTGCGCGCACGCGTGGGATCGGCGCGGTCGTCGCGTGCGCGGGCCGGTGCGGGCGCCCCGCGCATGCGACGCGTCAGCAGCAGCAACGCCAGGCGACGCACGGGCCGGGCGGGGCGTCACCTCCTCGCGGTCGGCGAGGGCGCGCAGCTCGTCGCGCTCGCGCAGCTGCGCGCGGAACCGCGCCGTGAGCGTGCTCGCCGCGGGTCCGGGCCCCTGCGCCACCTGCGTGGCCAGCGCGGGGAGCCCGTCCTGCGTGAGGCCGTTCTCCGCACAGAGCGCGTCGATGTTGTTCAGCTTCTGCCCGAGCTGGTACTCCGCCACGACGTCCTCGAACTCCGACTGCGCGTTCCCCTCCCCCGCCCGCAGCACCTGCTTCAACACGCCGTACACCAGCATCTTGTCCTCCGTGTCCTCGAGCCACGCGAAGTCCTTCTCGAAGTCCTGCGCGCCAGGCACCCCAACAGCGCACTGGTGTCGCGCGCCGGCCCGGAGCGACGCGCGCGGCCGCGCGTGCGAGCCGCACGGGCGCGTGCTGGGCGCTGGTGGAATGCGCTGCGCACCTCGTCCGAGTAGCTCTCCCGTATGCGGGCGAGCGCGCGGTGGAACGCCTCTCTGAACATGCGCATCCTCCGCCCCTCGGCCTCCGTCTGCGCGCGCCCCTGCGCCCCCGCCGAGCGGTGAGCCTCCATCCCGCCCAGGCACCGCACCACGCGCCAGCCGCTCCCGCCTCTCCCAACCCTCCGCGCAAGGCCCGGGCGCCACAGGCCGCCCGCCGTCGCTCCGTGCAGCCACCTGCCCGCGCAAGCAGCTCGGAGCGGCCGTCCGAGACGCACCGACGCCAGCGCGCCCTGCTGTGCGAGGTGGTTTGAACACGAACGCGCGAACCCGCCTCTCCGAACGCGTGCTGCAACGGCCGCGGCAAGGAGCTGCTTCGCAAGCACCTGAACTGCGAGAAAACGGCGCGGCCGCTGCCAAACGGCGCCCCCGTTCGCGTTCGCGCCTTGTACCCCTGACAGGCGGGCCCTCCCTCCAACAGGCTCCCCGCCGCTCACCGGGCGCCGCGTGGCGGGCGTCCCGACAGTGTCTGACTGGCGTTCGGGCTGCAACGTCTGGCGGTGACGGTGTTCGCGGGTGGCGCGGACTGCCTCCACGCACAGTTGCACTGCCCCCGTTGGGGCTCGCTGCGCGTCCGAGGCGCACACACCGCGCAGAAGGCGATCGCGTCGCTCATTCCCTTCAGGCCGACGGAGCCGCCGGGCCCGCACGACGCGCCCTGACCGCCCGCCCGCCTCTGGGCAGTCACAGAGCAAGCGGCTCGCTGGCCCTGGCGCCGAGGAACGCGGCCCGGCGACGCGCATAGGTTGCACAGGATGGGAAAGCGCGGGGGACGCGGGCGCGGCCGCGCAGCCGGCGGCCGGAGCGAGCAGGGCCGTGGGCGCGGTCCCAGACCACCCCGCCGCCGCCCACTGCACAAGCGCGTCCCGCCCGGGGAGCGCACGAAGGTCGTCGTGCGCGGCATCCCCCCCGGGACGACCGAGCGCGACTTCCTGTCCGCTCTGGCGTCCCTGCAGGTCCGAACCGCCCCGGCGCGCCGCATGACCTATGCTGCGCAGCACTCCCCGCGCTGCCCGCTCCGGCCACGGCCCGCTGCGCGGCTCTCCGCCCCAGAAACGTGTCGACTGTACCGCGACCCCCGCCCTCCGCGCCACGGCGGCCCGCTCCGACCCGCACCGCCCGCCCGACGCGCGCGCCACTCACCGCGCGACACCACGCCGCCCCCGCCTGCCGCAGCTCGCCGAGCACGTCGCGGCGATCGACTTCTGGGACCAGGAGGCGCCCGCGCGGTTCCTCCCCGCGGAGGGCCCCTTCGCGTTCCTGTGCCTGTCCTCCGCGCAGCAGGTGGCGCCGTTCAAAGCCAAGCTCGAGTCGCACGCCTGGGCGGCGCAGGACGCGGCGCAGCGGTGCTCCGTCGAGTTCGCTCTGTCCCAGGTGCGCCGCACCGCCGCGCCGCCCCCGCAAGGTCTCGGTGGCTCTGCATGCATTGCGAACCGCCTCTCGGTGCGCGGGTGCCCGCAGATGCCGCTCGCGCGCCCCGACGAGGCCGTCTCGAACACCGCGGCGGCGGCCGCCGCCGCCGCGGACCCGAGCGAGACGGCCGGCGCGGACGACGCTGCGAACAACGTCGCGGGCGCTGACGACGACGGCGAGGACGACGACGGCGACGAAGAAGAAGGGTTCTCGGACGACGACGACGACGACGACGACACGGAGATGAGCGAGGGGAGCGGCGACGAGGACGCGGCCCCGGACCCGCTGCAGGGCGACAAGCAGTGGGAGGAGTTCCGGGCAAAGTATGAGGCGGAGGACGGGCGGGGGGCGGCGACGCTGGCGGCGCCGCTGGAGGAGGCGGGGGACGGCGGGGTGGTGGTGACGCCGCTGATCCGGTTCGTGCAGGAGAAGCAGCGCAAGAAGGCGCAGAAGAAGGGCAAGGCAAGGGGCGGGCGCGGGGAGGCGGGGCAAGGGGCAAGGGCGGCGGCGCGGGGAGGGGCCGGGGTCGCAGAACAGGGGCGGTCGGGGAAGGGCGCAGGAGCGTCGACGAGCGCGGTGGCGCGGCAGGATGAGCGGTCAAGGTGGTGAGCAGGCGCGGGGGCGCCTGAGGAGGACGGCGGGGGGCGCGGAGGGCGTGCGGGCGGGCGCGGGCGGGCGGGGCGCGGGGGCGAGGACCCGTCGAAGACGACGCGGCCGGCGTCGGCGACGGCGCCCAAGCACGTGGTCGTGGGGCAGAGCGACGGCAAGGCGGGCAAGGGCGGAGGAGGGGCGTCGTCCGGGGCGGTGCAGGCGGAGAAGGCGGGGTCCGTGGAGGCGCCGTCGGCGGTGCTGGCGCGGCCCGAGGGCGTGGCGAAGGCGGGTGGCGGCGGTGTGGGGGACGAGAGGCAGCGGCAGCAGGAGGCCCGGGAGGAGGCGCGGCGGCGGGCGCAGCAGGCGCAAGATGCGCTGATGTCGGAGGCTCCGGTGCCTGTGCCGGCGGGCGTGCAGCAGGGCCGCGGGCGGGGCGGGCGTGGGGGTCGCGGGCGCGGCAGGGGGCGGGACGGCGCGAAGCAGGACGATCAGGACGGCGCGGGGAAGACGGTCAGCGTGGCGGCGATCCCCGTGCCGGTGCCGGTCGCGGTGCCGATTCCGGTGAGCGGCGGCGACGGCGAGGCAAAAGGCTCCGCGGGGGGCAAAGGCGGTAAGAACCGCAAGAAGGGCGGCGGGGGCGGCGGGGAGGCGTCGCAGGGGCTGGGCGAGTCCAAGGGCGACAGGGACGCCGCGGACGGGGGAGCGAAGGGCGCAGGGGACGGCGCAGCGGGGGCGGCAGAGGACGACGGAGGTCGTGGGCGCGGCGGGCGCGGGGGCCGCGGGGGGCGCGGGGGCCGGGGTCGCGGAGGCCGCGGAGGGCGCGGCCGGGGCGGGCGCGAGCAGGCCGGCAGAGGCGAGTGACGCGCGCGCACCAACACTGGTGTTGTAACAGCACCTAGCCTTCAGGACCTCGCGGCAGCTGCAGCCGCGTGACTCCCAGCGGCACTAGCACGGATCTATCGTCCGTCAGCCAGCCTGCGTCGCCGCACGCGGCCACGAAGCCGTCCATGGCGTCGCGGGCCTCCTTTAGCGACGACCGCAGCGCGCTGGTCGAGCCCCCGGACTCGCCGCGGGCCTCGAGGATCGCGGCCTGGTACATGGCTTGCAGGCACGCGCGCCCCGACGCGCCCTCGTACAGCGCGACGGCCGCGCAGCCCCCGTGCCACGTCAGGACGTACCCGTCCTGCGTCGGGCTGTACAGCTCCACCGCGTCAGACAGACTGACGCACGCGCCGCCCTCGCCCCGCGCAGCTACGAGATCCTCGACGCTGGCCCCCACTCTGCGAGGGAACGCCGCGAAAACGCCGCGTGTGAGCCCCGCACGCGCACCAACTCCCAACGCCGCGCTGGCAACCGGCATCGACACCGCGCACCTGCAGAACTCCACGGCACGCCTGCTGGACGCGAGCATCCGTTCCGCCTCGTTGACCTCGCGCACGCTCGGCACGGCGCCCTCGGCCACGTGCGCCCGCACGAGCACCGCCGCGCGCTTGGCGCTGATGGTCGGGAAGCGCAGCACGCGCATGCACTGGTACCGCAGCGCGACGTGCAGCGCCTGCGCCGCCGCCCACCACGGCAGCAGCACCGCCGGCGCGAACTCCTTCCACGCCTCGGGCCCGCGCCCGAACGCCATGGCCAGCACCTCGCCCTGCGCGCGCACCACGTCCTTGTCGTCGAGGTTCCGCAGCACGGCGACGCACAGGAGCGACCCCAGGACCTGCCCGACGACCTCCCACACCTCCTCCTTCGCGGCGATGTCCCCCACGTTGCCCGTCGCGGCAAAGTGCTGCTGGATCACGCGGAAGGCCGGGCGCCCGAAGCCCTTCGCCGCCGCGCGCAGGAGCGTCCCGGCGCCCGCGAGGAGCAGGAAGTACGACGGCGCGACGCCGGACAGCACCTGCAGGAAGAACCCCCCCGTCGACACCGCCTCGGCCACCATCCGCCAGTACCGCGGGTCGTCGTCCACCTCCAGGCCCAGCCGCCCGCCGGCCAGCAGCCGCCCCAGCGCCCCGAGCCCGTCCTGCGCCCACCTCGGCCCCGCGCCCACTCGTCAGCGCGCCCCCCCGGCGCGTCGCAGCACGCGTCATGGGGCGGCGGCGCGCACCTTCTGGACCCACTTGATGGCCGCGCTGGACGCCACGACCTGCCCCGGCGAGGCGCCGATGCCCGCGCCGCTGAACAGCGACGACGTCGCGAGCCCGTTGGAGACCCACCCCGTGATGTGGCACAGCACCGCCCACGCCTGGTACTCGAGGTACTCGGGCGCGGCGGAGCCCGGCCAGCCGCGCGGGAGGAACACGCTGCGGAGCTGCTGCGCGAGCGCGTCAACGGGCCCGTCGAGGCCGCGGGCGCCGTCGAGCGCGGGCGCGCCGGTGCCGTTGCGGGCAGCCGGGTCCGCGGCGCTGCCGTCCGCGAGGTCGTACGAGAGGTGCGGCGTTCCGTCGCGCAGTTCGATGAGGTGGCGCACGGAGGTCGACGTCGCCGTATCTTGCGGGGCGGCGTCGCAACGCGGGTGGCGGGGGCGGTGGGGCCGCGAGGCTTGTCCGGCGCAGCAGCGCCGCGGCAGCGCCCGGCAATGCAACAACGCCGTCATGGGAGAGTTTCTGGGTAGTACGCGGAAGTATGGCGACTGATCAGCGCCGGTGATCGCGCGATATGACGCCCCACGGGAGCCTACCACATCCGTGGCCTGCTGCCCGTGGGTGGAGCGCTCCTGGAGTGGAAATCACGTGGAAATCGGGGTCGCAACAGCGCCCTCGGTGGCCTGATGTTCTGGTCAATGGGACCAACGAGTCGACTACGTCCGTTCTACGCCGCTCGTCGCGTCTGTTCCACAGCGGGCGGCACTGTCCGACGCACCCCGCTGTCAAGGCGAGTTCGATACCAGGGTCGGCCGTATGACCGTCGCCTCGTACCTGCACACCATTGAGCGGAGGCCAGGAGGGCCCCCCTGCGCGGCGAGTGCGACAGGTTGTGCCCGTGTGTCGGACCGAGCGTCCTGACGCACTCATCGCGCACCTCGCGCCGCGACCGCCGCCACGTCGGGCCTCGCGCCGTGCAGGCCCCCGCACTCCACCGGGCGCGATCGAAGGTTCGCTCTGCCGCGCACATCGGACCTCCCTGCCCTCGCTGCTCTTGCCCGCGCCGCCTCCAGTCCTCGATCGACCCCGCGTCCACGCTACCTGTTCGACCGGCACCATGGCGCTCCAGGGCGTGATCCTCGGCATGGGCAACCCGCTGCTCGACATCTCCGCGACGGTGGACCAGGCCTTCCTGGACAAGTACGGCCTGCAGATGGACAACCAGATCCTCGCCGAGGACAAGCACACGCCCATGTACGCCGAGATGGAGGAGAAGTTCAACGTGCGGCGCCCGCCCCCGCCCGGGCCCCTGCGCGCCCACGCCGGCGCCCGACAGCGCCTGAGGCCAGCAATGCCTCCAGCCCCCGCGCGAGGCCAATGGACGCGGGCCCCCGCGGCAACGTGCGCGCCGATGGACGCCGGGCTCGTTTCCTGGTACCCGAGCGGCACGTCGCGCGGTGGCCGCGCGTGCCCCGCACAAGCCGGGCTGTGTCCACATTCATGCTCTCTGCTTGCCGCCCCCGCGCAATCCCGGCCCCGCGCAGCCGCTGGCGGCCTCCCGTCAATCTCCCTGGACCTGCCGCTCTCTGTCCATGCTCGTGCGCGGCGGAACGCGTTCACACCTCGCTGCCGTGCGCGCGCGGCGCGTCACCCCCGCGCCTGCTCCCTGGTCCGCAGGTCGAGTACATCCCGGGCGGCGCCACCCAGAACACCGTGCGCGTCGCGCAGTGGATGCTCGGCGTGCCCAAGGCCTGCGCGTACATGGGCTCCGTCGGCGACGACGAGCGCTCCAAGTGCGCACCCACCGCTGCCCCGCGCCACGCACCCGCGCCCGCGGCCGCGCGGCCCCCCACGGCGAGCGCCCCGCGCGCCGCCTCGCAGGAAGATGAAGGAGATCATGGACGCGCAGGGGTGCGTCGCGAGCTACTTCATCGACCCCGAGGCCCCCACGGGCACGTGCGCGGTGTGCGTCAAGGACGGCGAGCGCTCGCTGGTGGCCAACCTGGCCGCGGCGAACAACTACAAGGCCGACCACCTGAAGCAGCCCGAGAACTGGGCGCTCCTGGAGTCGGCCCGCATCGTGTACAGCGCGGGCTTCTTCATCACGGTGTCGCCCGAGTCGATCACGGCCGCCGCCAAGCACTGCTGCGAGGCGGGCAAGATGTACTGCATGAACATCTCCGCGCCGTTCATCTGCGAGGTCCCGCCGTTCAAGAAGGTCCTGTCGGACACCATGCCGTACGTGGACTTCCTCTTTGGCAACGAGAACGAGTTCGCCGCGTTCGCCAAGTCCGAGGGCTGGGACGAGAAGGACCTGGCCGGGTGCGCGCTGAAGATCGCGGGGATGCCCAAGGCGTCGGGCCACCGCCCGCGCGTGGTCGTCGTGACGCAGGGCGCGCAGCCCACGCTCGTGGCGCGCGGCGGCCGCGTGGCGTCCTACCTCGTCGACCCGATCGACAAGGCCAAGATCGTCGACACGAACGGCGCGGGCGACGCCTTCGTCGGCGGGTTCCTCTCGCAGCTCGCCCTCGGGAAGGACGACGCGGAGTGCTGCCGCGCCGGCAACTACGCCGCGGGGCAGGTCATCCAGGTGTCGGGCTGCAAGATGCCGGGCAAGTGCGAGTTCGTCTTCGCGTAGGCGCGCAGCCGCCGCGCCCGCCCGCGATCGCGTGTGACACTCCCCACCGCGCCCGCGCCTCGGTCGTCGTGGGGCACAGTATATGCGGCTATGAGGGCTCGCCGGCCGCGCCCGACGGCCCCGCCCCGCCCTCCTCCGCGCCGCTCAGCAGCGCCGACAGCTGCGCCGCGAGCTCGGGGCTGCGTTCCTGCAGCAGCGCCAGCGCCACGCCTTCGTCGCCCCCCGGCGGGTCCTCCACCGCAGCAGCGGCGCCGTCCGCCCGCACCCAGTGCGTGCCGCGGTCGCCGTCCGACGCGCCGCGCTCCCGCCCCTCGCCCGGGTCCTTCGCGCCCGCGGGCGCCCACCGCGGCGGCCGTTTCGCGGCGTGTTCCCCCCCGCCAACGGCAACTCGCGCACGCCCCCGCGATATCGAGCTGACCGACGCGAACAGCGGGAACGTCAGCGCCGGCATCGACGCCAGCGCCGACGGCGTGGGCGAGATCGAGGCGCCCGACGACGCGCGGCTCACGCCGCTGCTCTGCGCCGACGGCCGCGTGCGCCCCCCCGCGTGCACCATCGAGGTTCCGGGGCGGCCCCCGACTGCCTCGGCGCGCCGCTGCCGCTCTCGGGCCGTGTGCGGGCGCGCGGCTGACGCGGTCCCGTACCGCGCGGTCAGCGGGCGCGGGTTCGCCGTCGAGGGCGGGCGGTGCGGCGTGGGGCTGCACTGCGGCACCTCGCGGGTGCGGAGCATCACGAGCGAGCGCCGCATGACCTCCGTCGCCGCGCCGCCGAGCTCCCCGCCCTGCAGCATGCGTGCGCCGAAGCACACGGGTCGCACGCAGCTGGCAGCAGCCACGAGGGGGGGCAGCAGGAGACAGGAAAGCCGTCGAGGACGCGAGCCGCGGATGGATCTCACCTCGAGCATGCGCATCTCCTCCAGCGTCACGCCCCCGCCGCTCACGTCGTATTCCTCGTCTCCGACAAACTGCCGGTCCGCGGCAAGCGCCCCCGGGTCAGCGTCCAGCGCCGCCGCGTCGCCCGCGCCCAGCACCAGGACGTCCGCCCTCGCCCCGCCGCCGCCGCCGCGCCCCTGCTCTTCCCGGAGCTTCCACGCCTCGCGCAGCTTCGCCGTCGCCTTGGCGCCGTCCAGCGACCGCCACCCGCGCGGGAGCCCCGCGTTGCCAGCCAGGGACAGCGTCTCCAGGTGCGCGAGGGCGCCGAGCTCGCACGGCGGCGCGCGCGCCAGCATGTTGTACGACACGTCCAGGCACCGCAGCGCCGTCAGGCGCGACAGCGCTGCCGGCAGCTCCGCCAGCTGGTTGTCCCCTGCGCACGGCGACCAAGGCACCGCGGTCGGACGGGGCGACACCGGCGACGCACGCGGGCGCGGCCGTGCGGCGGTCGTGGCGGGGATCGCACCGAGGCTGAGTTCGCGGAGGTGGGTGAGCGACAGCACCGCTGCCGGGACCGCGGCGAGGCGGTTGTACGCGAGCGCGAGGCGCGTGAGGCGCGTGAGGTTCGAGAACGCCGCGGGCAGGTCGGACAGCGCGTTGCGGGACACGTCGAGGCCCTCCAGCGAGCGCATGTGCCCCAGCGACGCAGGCAGCGCCGCGAGCCGGTTGTCTGCGGACAGCGCGCGCGGACGCGGGCGCGTGAGGCGCGTGGGACGGCCGTGCGCGTGGCCGTGCGGGACGCTCGCGGTCAGCGTCCGGGGCGCGCGGGCGGACCTGACAGCGAGAGCTCCGTGAGGTTACTGGCCTGCATCACGCAGCGCGGCATGCGCGTGAGGCCCTGGCCGGAGAGGTCCGCGGCGCCGGTCTGCAGGGCGGCCTCGACGGCCGACACGCTGGCCGGGAGGTCGCCGCCGAGCTGCGGGCGTGGGGCGGTGCTGGGCGTGAGCGGCAACGAGTTACTGTGCGAGGCGGCGGGGCACCCGAACGACACGGCGCGCGTGGGGCGGTGCGGCGCCCGGTCGCGCGCTGCGAGGTGCGCGGGCTCGGTGCGGCGGCAGCCGAGGGGCGGCAGCTGCTGCGCACCTGCGTGCTGGCGTCGCTGTCCAGGTCCTCGCCCCAGGGAGCCCCATCGTCCGAGGAAGCGGTCAAGCTGGGCTGGTCGCCTCGATCCATGCCCGCAGCGTCGCGCGGAGCGCTGCTGTGCGCCCTTGCCCGCGCCCACCAGCACCGCCAGGCTCCGCGCAGCTACAAGCAACGAGGCGGGAGCATCGCGCCGTCGCGAACAGCGACGCCCGCTATCAGTGCCGCCTGTATACAGACGTAGAGAGGCCGCTGCCGCGGTGCTCGGGGCTCCCGAGGCGGTTCGAAGCGGCTGCTGGCCCGCGGAAGAGACGGGCAAGGAATTCAGCCTGGCGGGGCCGAACTGCGCACAGCAACGGGGCACGCGATTCGGTCTGATCGTGAGCCGAGGAGTCCCCGCAGCGCGCGCACGGAGCGGCCCAATGAGCGCGCCAGAGCGCCCCTGAACGCCCCGAGTTGCACCGCGCCCCCGGAGCCTCCCGCGGGGTCGGGCGGGCGGCCCGGCCGCTCGGGGCGCCTGCTCGGGAGACGCCCGGCGGCGCTCGGGGCAGTTGCTGTGCGACGGGGAATGGCTGCCGGGCCAGCACGTCCAGCCGCGCCGGACCGCGGGCGTCACGCCCTGGACTCTCCGCGGTGATTCGAACCTCCTGTGCGCACTCGACAGGCGACGCCGCCGCGCCAGGCCGGCCCAGGTGCCGCAGCCATGTTGTTCTACAGCTTCCACTTCGGACCCGGCGTGGTCATGCACTACGAGGGCTCGGGCCTGGCCCCTCTGGCCCTGGTGCTGCTCCCGTGGCTGCTCTCGACCGGGGTGCTCGAGGCGGTCACGCGCGTATTCCTCACGGCGATATTCGGCCAGGTGACCCCCTGACTCTCAGCCCGGGACGCCCCAGCAGGCGGCGCCGACGCGGTCCCGAGCCAAGCCCGGGTGGTTCCTCGCCCGGCGCGTGCTCACACGCCCCGCCTCCCCCCGCTCCGCGACGCAGGCGTATACCTCGCACATAGCGCCCCCTGACCCGACCCCCGCGGCGCCCCCGCGGACACCGCCGCACATGGCGCGGCACCACCGGGCGCGCGCTGCGGAAGCCGACGTGTGGGGGCCGTCGCCCGTCTTCCTCATCCTCAATATGCTGCTCCCGGGCCTCCTGTCCTTCCTCATGTTCCGGTACTTCCTCCTCCGCCGCGAACACGGCTCCTGGGGCGCGCTGCAGCTCCTCTTCGACTTCCGCGTCGGCGTCCCGCAGTCCGGCACCGCGCGGCACGGACCCTCGCACGCCGAGCGGCTGCGACAAGGTGCGCCTGCGCGGCTCCGGAGGCCGCGCGCGCGGACGGGCGGACGGGTGCGTCGGGTGGCGGCAGTGCCGACGCTGACCGACTGTGTTCCCCGCCGTTGCAGTGTCGTTCGCGCTGAGCGCGATGCCCGAGGAGGAGCACAGGACGCCCGCGCGCCTGCGCGAGATGTCCGTCGAGGAGCTCCGCGCGCGGCTACGCGAGGCCGGCCTGAACCCTGCGGGCGCGGCAAGCAGCGCCGACGGCGGCGCGGCGGGGGGCGAGCTGCCGTCGGACAAGGAGGAGCTCGTGCAGCGCCTGATCGACCAGGGCGGGACCACCGGCGCCTCGTGCGGTGCGCGCAGCCCCCACCGCAACCCCCTCCACGTGCGCTCCCGACCCCGAGCCGCCTGACGGTCGCCCCGCGCCCTGCCTGTTCCGCAGGGATCTGTTTCGACGACTACGAGGACGGCGACAAGCTGCGGCGCCTCCCGTGCTCGCACAAGTTCCACGCGCACTGCATCCACCGCTGGGCCATCACCTCGACGCAGTACTCGCGGCCGAGCTCCTGTCCGATATGCAACCACCCGCTGTGCGACGCGGCGGCGGCGGCGGCCGCGGCGGCCGCGGCGGGGCAGGACGGGCGCGCGCCTGGGCAGGAGCAGCGCGCGGGTGCCGAGGGGGGCGTCACCGGCCCTGGGGGCGACGTGTGGGGGAGCGCGTCGGGGCTCCGGAGGCGGCAGGTCCACGGGGAGGACGCGCCCCCCGAGGAGGCCCGGGTGGGGTCTGCGGGGATGCCTGAGCCGGGCGGGGAGCAGGGCGCGGGGGGGGGTCCCCGGCAGCGGCCCGCGCCGCAGCAGCGGCCCGCGCACGCGCACGGAGACGCAGCTCCGGAGCACTTGACTCCGCTGGGCGCGGCGCTGAGCAGCAGCACGCTGGGTGTGGTGGCCGCGCTGGTAGCCCTGCAGGTCTGGAACGCGCTGTTGTGACGCCCGCTCCGAGGCGTCGACGACCGTACGCCGATGAGACTCTCAGCCCTCAAACGCCTGAACAACCGAACGTCGTCAGGCCCGGGGGGGATCATCCCCGAGCTCTTGAAGTACAGTACCCCCCCTACCCCCCCCCGACCACCACCCCCATCTCGACAAACCCCCCAACCTCCTCCTGTCAACCCTCACGGCCATCTTGCGCGCCGTCGCGCGCTGCCCGCACCTGCCACGCAGCATGGCAGTCTCGTACCTCCGCGTGCTGCCGACAACGAACAACGTCAGCGACCGCGCAAAAACGCGAGGGATGAGTGTTGCCCCCACACTGACACGCTTGTACGAGGGGGCTGCGCTTCTCAGACTCACAGAAGCGCAGCCCCCTCGTCTACCACGCCCGTGCGATCAGCGCCGACCACCGCCAGCGCGTTCCGCGACCACCGCCCCGCGTCTCACCTGCTACAAGCAGTTGCACGGCCTGCTGTCGTCCCGGCGCGGTGCCGATGTGCGGCCGATCGCGCGCCAGTCACACTGACCATGTGCGAGGCGGGCGCGGTCGCATGCTGCCGCCCGGGACCGTTGGGGGAGTGCGCACAACTCCACGAGGGGACAACGGGTACAACTCGGCCGTTGACAGACCACGGCCATTGAAGACGCACCGCAGCGCACATGGCAGCCGGCGCTTCCCGCCGGACTGAGCTCCAGGGCCGTCATCCCACGCGGGACGAGTCGCACTTCGACACGCTCGCAGAGTTACACGGACACGGCTGCACTGTTTGCAGGGTGCGACTCCATGAATGCGACATCCAGCAGGGCGCGGTGACACCGCCGACTCCAGGGCCATCGCGGCGTCAACGCGCACCGTCGGCGGTGTGCAAGCTACGCCCAAGACGATTGTCTTGCAGCCTGTTGTGGCCTCATGACGTGACTGCTGAGGGCTGAGCGAGGCGGGCGCCGGCAGTGATCTATCGCGTCGTCCTCCCGGGGGTCGACATTCGTACGTGCGCTCACATTGATCGCTCAACAACGTGATAGAGATGTCAGGGACCGCATCTGCTCCTCCGGCAGCATCTGCAGCTGCGAGTCCGTGGCGTGCAGCTCCTGCAGCCTCCCGCAGCTCGATACCGGTAGCCAGCCCGCAGCCAAACGCCCGCAGCCAAGTACACTCAGCACCTCCAGCGACCCCATCCCCTCCGGCACCCTCGCCAGCGACGAGTCATCAGCAAGCAGCTTCTTCACGCTCCCGCCGCTCGACGCCGGCAGCCACCCCTCCTCCGCGAGATGTCTGCACCCGCTCACGTCCAGCTCCTCCAGCGACGCCATCCCCTCCGGTAGCCTCGCCAGCGAGGACTTCGCAGCATCCAGCTTCTTCACGCTCCCGCCGCTCGACGCCGGCAGCCACCCCTCCGCCATCAGCTGCCTGCATTTGCTCACGTTCAGCACCTCCAGCGACCCCATCCCCTCCGGCACCCTCGCCAACGAGGAGATATCAGCCAGCAGCTCCTTCACGCTCCCGCAGCTCGACCCCGGCAGCCATCCCTCCTTCAGCTGCGTGCATTCACCCACGTCGATCACCTCCAGCGACCTCATGCCTTCCGGCACCCTCGACATAAACGAGCCCCGTGCATCCAGCTTCTTCACGCTCCCGCTGCTTGACGCCGGCAGCCACCCCTCCCACGCCAGCTGCCTGCACCACCTCACGACAAGCTCCTCCAGCGACCCCATCCCCTCCGGTAGCCTCGCCAACACCGTGTATGAAGCATCCAGCTTCTTCACGCTCCCGCCGCTCGACGCCGCAGCCACCCCTCCCGCCAGCTTGCGCACCGACTCACGTCGATCACCTCCAGCGACCCCATCCCTCCGGCACCCTCGCCAGCGACGAGCATGAAGCAACCAGCTCCCTCACGCTCCCCGCAGCTCGACGCCGGCAGCCACCCCTCCTCCGCCAGCTGATTGCTGAGTCTCCACGTCAGCACCTCCAGCGACCCCATCCCCTCCGGCAGCCTCGCCAGACCTTGCCCGATCACCGCCAGCTCCTTCAACCGCGCCGCGACGCTTGCAGGCAGCCAGTCCCCCCCCCACTCCCGAACAATTTCAAAATGCCCCCCCCCCCACACCCGGACGACCTCCAGCCCCGTCATCTCCTCCGTGATCACCAGCCGACCCGCGTTCGCCACAGGCCCCTCTCCCTGGCCCGACCGCCTGACCTCCAGCCCCACGATCGCCGCCACACTGGCGGGGTCCGCACCCGCCCGCCGGTACACCCACCACCGCCCGTCGTCGCTCGCCCGCCCCACCAGCGATCTCGCCCCCGCGTACACGCGCCCCTCCACCTTCCCCGCCACCGCCCTGCCCACCTCCCTTGTGCGTGCGGTCCACCGAGCCCCCCCGCAGCTCTCCAGCACGCTCGCCATCGCGCTCGACGACGCAGCCGCGAGGGCGGCGCGCGACTCCCCGGGCAGCCGGCGGATCACCTCCGCCAGCGCGCCGCCGTGCTGCCCGAACGACAGGTCCATCAGCGCGAATGTGGGCGCGTCATCGCCACCGGCGCGTGGGCGCTGCGAGGGCCCCGACCCGCACACGCAGCGGCCGCCTCGCATCTCCATCGAGTGCTGAGATCGTGCCCGTGATGCCTCGCCGTCGCCGGGGGTCGTAGATGGATTCTGCGGGTGCCAATGAGAGAGATTCCAGGAGGTGAGGTAGCGGGAGCTGTGAGAGCCGTGCGGCGCGCGCATGCAGCCGGGCTCGGCATGACACCTAGTGCCTGTCATGTGACATCGTGACAACCCAGCAAGGGTCTCCCGCAACGCAGCCTCACGGCCGAGCTCCCTCCAGCGCCAGAGACGCACGCCGCATGCAGCGTGTTGGGCGCTCCATGCGACTCGCACGGCAGCCCGCGAGATAGCGCACACCCCCAGCACGCCCTTACGATCAGCGCCAGCCACCGCCAGCGCGTTCCGCGACCACCGCCCCGCGTCTCACCTGCTACAAGCAGTTGCACGGCCTGCTGTCGTCCCGGCGCGATGCCGATGTGCGGCCGATCGCGAGCCAGCCACACTGACCTTGTGCGAGGCGGGCGCGGTCACATGGTGCCGCCCGGGACGGTTGGGGGAGTGCGCACTAACACCTCCTCTATGAGGGTACAACTCGGCCGCTGACGGACCACGGCCATTGAAGACGCACCGCAGCGCACATGGCAGGCGCTTCCCGCCGGCCTGAGCGCCAGGGCCGTCATCCCACGCGTGACGAGTCGCACTTCTACACGCTCGCAGAGTCACATGGACACGGCTGCACTGTTTGCAGGGTGCGACTCCATGAATGCGGCATCCAGCAGGGCACGGTGACACCGCCGACTCCGGGGCCATCGCGGCGTCAACGCGCACCGTCGGCGGTGTGCAAGCTACGTCCAAGACGACTGTCTTGCAGCCTGTTGTGGCCTCATGACTTCGCCGCTGAGGGCTGTACGAGGCGGGCGCCGGCAGTGACCTATCGCATCGTCCTCCCGGGAGTCGACATTCGTACGTGCGCTCACACTGATCGCTCAACGTCGTAGAGATGCCAGGGACCGCATCTGCTCCTCCGGCAGCATCTGCAGCTGCGAGTCCGTGGCAAACAGCTCCCGCAGCCTCCCGCAGCTCGACGTCGGCAGCCAGCCCGCAGCCAATCGCGTGCAGCAAAGTACACTCAGCACCTCCAGCGACCCCATCCCCTCCGGCACCCTCGCCAGCGACGAGTGCACAGCATGCAGCTTCTTCACGCTCCCGCAGCTCGACGCCGGCAGCCACCCCTCCGCCGCCAGCTTCTCGCACCACCTCACGTCGAGCTCCTCCAGCGACCCCATCCCCTCCGGCACCCTCGCCAGCAACGAGCCCCGTGCCTCCAGCTTCTTCACGGTCCCGCAGCTCGACGCCGGCAGCCACCCCTCCGCCGCCAGCTGCTCGCAATACCCCACGTTCAGCTCCTCCAGCGACGCCATCCCCTCCGGCACCCTCGCCAGCGAGGACTCCCGAGCAAGCAGCGTCTTCACGCTCCCGCAGCTCGACGCCGGCAGCCATCCCTCCTCCGCCAGCTGCTTGCAGGCGAACACGTTGAGCACCTCCAGCGACCCCATCCCCTCCGGCACCCTCGCCAGCGAGGACCCCGAGCAAGCAGCGTCTTCACGCTCCCGCCGCTCGACGCCGGCAGCCACCCCTCCTCCGCCAGCTGCTTGCAGGCGAACACGTTGAGCACCTCCAGCGACCCCATCCCCTCCGGCACCCTCGCCAGCGACGAGTGTGTAGCACACAGCTCCCTCACGCTCCCGCCGCTCGACGCCGGCAGCCACCCCTCCACCGCCAGCTCCTTGCATTCGCTCACGTTGAGCGCCTCCAGCGACGCCATCCCCTCCGGCACCCTCGCCAGCGAGGACTTCGCAGCATCCAGCTTCTTCACGCTCCCGCCGCTCGACGCCGGCAGCCACCCCTCCGCCGCCAGCTCCTTGCATTCGCTCACGTCGAGCGCCTCCAGCGACGCCATCCCCTCCGGCACCCTCGCCAGCGACGAGCGCCATGCCGCCAGCTTCTTCACGCTCCCGCCGCTCGACGCCGGCAGCCACCCCTCCGCCAGCTCCTTGCATCCGCTCACGTTGAGCGCCTCCAGCGACGCCATCCCCTCGGGCACTCTCGCCAGCGAGGACTCCCACGCAAACAGCTTCTTCACGCTCCCGCCGCTCGACGCCGGCAGCCACCCCTCCGCCAGCTCCTTGCATTCGCTCACGTCGAGCATCTCCAGCGACCCCATCCCCTCCGGAACCCTCGCCAGCGACGAGTGTGTAGCATACAGTGCCCTCACGCTCCCGCCGCTCGACGCCGGCAGCCACCCCTGCGCCAGCTCCTTGCATTCACGCACGTAGAGCATCTCCAGCGACGCCATCCCCTCCGGCACCCTCGCCAGCGACGAGCCATGGGCATCCAGCTTCTTCACGCTCCCACCGCTCGACGCCGGCAGCCACCCCTCCCCCGCCAGCTGCGAGCAGTTACGCACGTCCAGCACCTCCAGCGACCCCATCCCCTCCGGCAGCCTCGCCAGCGAGGAGTCCCGAGCAACCAGCTTCTTCACGCTCCCGCCGCTCGACGCCGGCAGCCACCCTGCGCCGCCAGCTCCTTGCATTTGCTCACTTCGAGCATCTCCAGCGACGCCATCCCCCCCGGCACCCTCGCCAGCGACGAGCCATGAGCATCCAGCTTCTTCACGCTCCCGCCGCTCGACGCCGGCAGCCACCCCTCCGCCAGCTGCTCGCAATACCCCACGTTCAGCTCCTCCAGCGACCCCATCCCCTCCGGCACCCTCGCCAGCGACGAGTCATAAGCATCCAGCTTCTTCACGCTCCCGCCGCTCGACGCCGGCAGCCACCCGTCCTCCGCCAGCTGCTTGCATTTGCTCACGTCGAGCATCTCCAGCGACCCCATCCCCTCCGGCAGCCTCCGCAGACCTTGCCCCCACACCACTAGCTCCTTCAACCGCGCCGCGACGCCTGCAGGCAGCCAGTCCCCCCCCCACTCCTCAGCGATGTCAAAATGATGCCGCGACGCCCGGACGACCTCCAGCCCCGTCATCTCCTCCGTGATCACCAGCCGACCCGCGTTCGCCACAGGCCCCTCTCCCTGGCCCGACCGCCTGACCTCCAGCCCCACGATCGCCGCCACACTGGCGGGGTCCGCACCCGCCCGCCGGTACACCCACCACCGCCCGTCGTCGCTCGCCCGCCCCACCAGCGATCTCGCCCCCGCGTACACGCGCCCCTCCACCTTCCCCGCCACCGCCCTGCCCACCTCCCTTGTGCGTGCGGTCCACCGAGCCCCCCCGCAGCCCTCCAGCACGCTCGCCATCGTGCCCGACGACGCAGCCGCGAGGGCGACGCGCGACCCCATGGGCAGCAGGCGGACGATGTCTCCCAGCGGACCGCCGCCCGGCCCGAACGACAGATCCATCAGAGTGTGTGCGTCATCGTCACCAGCGCGTGGGCGCTGCGAGGGCCCCCACCCGCACACGCAGCGGCCACCTCGCAGTTCCATCGACTGCAGAGATCGTGCCCGTGATGCCGCGCCGCCGCCGGAGCCCCGTGGACGGGTCCTGCGGGTGCCAATGAGAGAGATTCCAGGAGGTGAGGTAGCGGGAGCTGTGAGAGCCGTCCGGCGCGCGCATGCAGCCGGGCTCGGCATGACACCTAGTGTCTGTCACGTGACATCGTGACAACCGAGCAAGGGTCTCCCGCAACGCAGCCCCACGGCCGAGCTCCCTCCAGCGCAAGAGACGCACGCGGTGCGCAGCGTGTTGGGCGCTCCATGCGACTCGCACGGCAGCCCGCGAGATAGCGCACACCCCCACCACGCCCGTGCGATCAGCGCCAACCGCCGCAAGCGCGTTCCGCGACCACCGCCCCGCGTCTCACCTGCTACAAGCAGTTGCACGGCCTGCTGTCGTCCCGGCGCGATGCCGATGTGCGGCCGATCGCGCGCCAGTCACACTGACCATGTGCGAGGCGGGCGCGATCGCATGGTGCCGCTCGGGACGGTTGGGGGAGTGCGTATGGTGGTACAACTCGGCCGCTGACAGACCACGGCCATCGAAAACGCACCGCGGCGCACATGGCAGGCGCTTCCCGCCCGCTGAGCTCCAGGGCCATCCACGCGGGACGAGTCGCACTTCTACACGCTCGCAGCGTTACACTGACACGGATACACTGTTTGCAAGGTGCGACGACTCCATGAATGCGACATCCAGGGCGCGGTGCCACCGCCGACTCCAGTAGGAGCGTGTCGACCCTCACCGTCGGCGGCGTGTGATGAACGATCAGTGAGACGATTTCGTTCCAACGTGGAACGCGCGGGTTTGGCCGTGGACTCGTCTGGGCAGCTCATGCTACCGCCAACGCCCGCTGCCGACGCGCCCCTGTCGTCCACGGCAACTGCTGGACAGCGCCGCCGCTTCGCGCTCAGCCGCCGGCTGCGCCAGCACCTCGAGGACCTGCACGGTGCCGCAGTACTTGACTCGGAAGCCGCTGCCAACGCTGCCGTGCGTTGTCTTCTGAACCTGCCGAATCAGCGAGGCATGGCGATCTTCGCTCATGGCATCGAGGATCTGCTCCAGGCTGACTCTGTCACAGCTGCCGAACCTGTCGCTACCATAACGGTGGGGGGCTAGCATGACTCGCCACCTAGTCGAATGATCTTTTCAGGTCCCAAAGCCTTATGGCTGACGACGCGAAGAATGTAACACCTCACCTCACCTCAGCAGGCTGCGAGGCGCGTCGCGTCCGCGCGCTGCCTGGCGGCGGACGGCCGGCGGTGCACGCCCCGCCCCGGCAGCGCGGCCCTACTCCTCGTCGTCGACGAAGGCGCCGAGGACGGAGTGCTTGCGGCGCATCGCCTGCAGCCGGTCCGCGGCCACGCTCCCGCTCGCCAGCACGCGGCCCAGCCTCGCGCGCTCCTTGGCCGGGTACTCGCTCCCCTGCGCGCACAACAACAACGGCGACGCGGCGTCTCACGGCACACGCCGCCAGCACGCGCCGCGGGGGCGCCGTCGCACACACGGGCGCGCGCAGCACACGCAGCGCACGCAGCGCACGCAGCGCGCGCGGCCCACGGGCCACCTGCGTGACCCCCCCGCGCACCTTGTCGATGATCTTCTTCATGATCGCGACGTAGGCCTCCGCGTTGGCCTTCTCGTCGCCGGTCTTGCCCGCGGCGTACGCCTGCGCGCCCTCGAGCGCGTCGCCCTGCTTGCCCGCCAGGAAGTCGATGGCCAGCTCGTCCAGGTCGGCCACGCGCGCAAAGTCCTCGTCGTCCGCGAGCTGGTCGCGGATCCAGTCGGCGATCGCGCCCGCCGAGCGCGCGCCGTTGTAGGGCACGGCGTCCTTGTCGGACGTCGGGCGGACCCCCCGGGGGAAGTACATCAGCGTCGGGAAGCCCTGGACGCCGAACTTCTGCCCGAGCGCGCGGTGCGTGTCCGCGTTGACCTTGCCGATCGTGACACGCGAGCGCAGCGACGCGTCCGCGGTCACGGCCTGCGGCGCGGCGCGGCGGGGAGCGGCGGGCGTGGCGCGGGTGCGGCAGCGGCGAGCGTGGCAGGGGCGTGGCGGGGGCGGGGCGCCGCTGGCGTGGTCCGGCGCGGGGGCGTACGGCACCGAGCTTCTTGAACTCCGGCGCGAGGTGCTTGCAGTGGCCGCACCACGGGGCGTAGAACTCCACAAACGCGCCCTTGGCCCCCGTCACCACCGTGTCGAAGTTGGAGGAATCTGCGCGGACGAGCGGGAGTGCGATGCTGCGCGAGTGTGCGCCGCTGGAGTGCAGCTGCGCGCCGCGAAGCGCAGGGGACACAACGAGGCGGACGTGTGTTCAGCAGAGGCGGTGGCCAGCACAGCCGGTGTGCGGCGCGTGAACCTCGATCGCGACGCTGTTGCACGAACGATCAGTTCGATGCTTTCCCGCCTGCGCGACTCCGCGCGCGATGTACGGCCGTTCCGGGACGCAATGCTGGCCCAGAGTGGTGCCAGCATCAGCAAACCATGCACGCCGGCGCCGTCCGGCTCCCTACGTTTGGTTCCGTTCGTTCGTGTACGAGCTGCGACAACAGCATGTGACGGAGCGCATCGCAGGCGCGTCTGCCCGCCTCGGCAGCCAGGCGCGGCTCCACCAGCTGGGTCCAGAAGGCCACAGATGACCCGCAGCGCACGCCGCGGCCTGGACCGCGGGACGAGTCGCTCAGGAGCGGGATCGCACCAAGATCGACGACGCCGGGCATCGACTCCTCTGTATCAGTCGCCAGCGCCACGTTGGGCACCAGGGCGACCGACACCAGCGCCGCAACTAGGGCTGCCAGCCGCGCGACCATCCTGAGCGATTGCACCATGATGCTGCGCCTGCCTGCTCGACGCTCGACTGCACCGCTCTATCTGTGCGCCCGCGGGGCGCGCGTGAGGCCTACAGGGCCCGAGAGCTCCCGACCTCGACCCAGTCGGTCGCCGCAGGGACACCCCCCCGCGCGAGCCACGCCGTGACGGGACTACTATGCCGCAGATCCGCGGCGGCAGACCGTGCGCGGATCGCGAATGCGGGCTGGTCCGCCGCGCGACGTGCGTGCGTTGGCGCGGTCTGCCGGTCCGCGACCACCCCCACGCAGCCTGAAGTCCGTTGCGACGGCACGCGCGGGCAGCCTCGCGCCGAGCGTCCGCAGGCGGCCAGGTCGCTATGACCGCTGGCTGCCGGTGCGTTCGCGGCGTCTGGCCAGTGCGCGAACGACGCACTACTCATATCGCACCGCACACATGGGTTGTGGCGTCTAAAAAACCGTTCGGTCACCGTGATTCACATCGGCCGCGGCGCAGCGACTGCGAGGCGATCGGAGAGGCCCTTGACTGCACGGGCGTGCGGCGCTGCGGTTGTGCCGTGCTGCTCCGCCAGCGGTCGGGGGGGCGCTTGTATGTTGGGAGGATGAATCGATGTAGTTGAATGCGTGTGCGCGCTGCACTGCGCTGTGCGACGGCGCGCTAGGGAAGGGAGGGGCCCGCATCGTCATGTTGCTCGGGTTCGCGTGTGTCCCGCGCACCGCCAGTGCCAGCGGGCACTGCGCTCCGCAGCACCCCGCTGGGCGTGCGCGGCTGCACGTGCGGCGCGCCGCCTCAGATCTGGAACAGGAGCAGCGAGGCGGCCATGACGACCATGCCGCCGAAGCAGGAGTAGGTGACGAACTTGTCGTCGGGGGCGTTGCGGAGCGCCGTCGGGATGAGCTCGCGGACCGAGATGTAGACCATCATGCCGCCGACGAGCGAGAAGAGGATGGCGTACGCGAGGTCCGAGAACGAGTTGGCCAGCACGGCGTACCCGAGCAGCCCGCCCAGGGGCTCGGAGAGCGCCGAGATGGCGGCCCACATGAGGCCCTTCCAGCGGGAGCCCGTGGAGTAGTACACGGGCATCGCGACGCACAGGCCCTCGGGGACGTTGTGCAGCGCGATGGCCACCGCGATCGCGATGCCCGTCGACGTGTCGGCCAGCGCGGCCACGAAGGTCGCCAGGCCCTCGGGGAAGTTGTGCAGCCCGATCGCGAGCGCCGTCATGACGCCCATCTTGTTCAGCCTGCGGAGCCAGCGCGGGCGGGCGGCGCTCGGGCTCGAGCGACGGTGCAGGCGGCGACGCGTGCGCGTTGCAGGGGCGCGCGGGGGAGGCGCGGGCGCGCACCGCTTGCGCTCGTACTCGTCGATCTCGCCGACCTCGATGTTGTGCCAGTCGTTGCCCTTGGCGCCCACGGGCCCGCTGCTCGGGGGCTCCAGGAGGCCCAAGTCGGCGTTGCACACGCACGTGGGGTTGGGCGTGGTCGAAGACGCGCCCTCCCGCGCCGGCGCGGGCGTGACCTCGCGCGTGATGTCGCCGGCGCCCGTGGTCGCGGCGACGCCGGAGCTGCCCTCGGGCAGCGCGGGGCACGGCCCCGGGGCTGCCTCGTCCCCGTCGTCGATCGTCGCCACGACGCGGCCGCCGGCGGCGGCGGCGGGGTCGCTCGGAACGTTCTCGATGCGGTGCGGGTTCATGCGGTCGTGCTCGTGGTGGTTGTCGCGCTCAGCGAGGAAGTGCACCACCTGCAGAGGGGACACACCGCGCGCCGCGTCGGAACCGTGGGCCGGGGGGCGCGCAGCAGCTCTCCCGCGCGTGCCAGGCTTCGTCGCGTCGCGGGGTGCACGGAACGGCGTGGGGATCGATGCAGCCGCCGGACGGTGCCGCGCTCTGGCACCGGGGCGCGCGGCGGGGGATGACGGGCCCAGCGGGCGCGCCGCGCCGCCTGCGGCGCCTCCGACACGTGAGCTCGTCGCTCACCTTGTCCAGCAGGAAGATGAAGAGCATGCCGCCGAAGAAGCAGAAGGTGGCATAGCGCTGGGCCTCTTCGGGCGTCAGGCCGTAGTCCTCGAACGCCTCGAACGACTTGGTGGCGAAGATCTCCACGAACGACACGTACAGCATGACGCCGGCGGACGCGCCTGCATCCACGGCCCAGACGCGCACGTTGGAGGCGATTCCCTCGAGTGCTGGAACAAATACGCTGCACCCGCGCGGCCGCGCCGCGTGGGGCGACTGCCGCGAGCGCGCGGCGCACGCCTCTCCGAATCCATGTCGACGCGCAGCGGAGTCGCGGCTGTGGGTAAGCGCGGGCCGGCGGCGATTCGCTGGCGAGCTACGTGCACAGGCCAGATTGCCTCAACGGCCCGCAGACGACCATTTCTGCGATGTCGTGGATCGCCGGCTGCCACTAGGGGCGCGCGAGGGACGCGTGCGCACCGAGGGAGCCGGCCAGCAGGCTTTTGTTCGCCTTCTTGCCGTAGAAGACGAAGCAGGCGCCCAGGATCGTCGCAGCGCCGGCGCCGATGACCATGGCAAAGGCCACGCCGACATCTCCGTTCGCGGTGCCCATCCTTGCCGTGCCGGGGCCTCAATCACGGAGCGAAAGCGATGCGATCGCGACTGTGCCGACGCTCGTCCGTTGTGCTACGCCTGCACCTCCTCGCGGCAGGGCTGTCGCCACGATGCCGCGGCTGGAAAGCTACTCCAGACACCGACGCAACTGCGCGGCATCGGAGCGGACGGGGTCAACGTCGGCCCCCACCGGGGAGCGCCGTCACGTGACGGTCGTGGCAGCCACGCCCCCACGATGGGCCAGCCGGGCTGAGCCCCGCCGGGGCGGCCTACATCCGACGTGGCTGCGCGCACGCGGCACAAGCATCTGCCGGTTTGACTGGAGCGACAGCGCAGGCAGGGTTGGCGTTCACAAGCTGCGCCTCGCACGGACCTAGCTGCCAACCAGGCATTTTCCTCTCAAGATGGGATGCGGTGCTTCGATTGATGCCGGGGTACGAAACACCACTTCGCGTCAGTATCTGCATCGCCCGTCGAGAGGAGGTTTCCTCGACCTCGATGCAAGTGGGGCGACAAACTAGTTGCCCCAACGTGCCTGCCTCTGCATGGGCTCGTACATCTCGCGTTTTCGCGCGTTTACGGACACATGGATGGTGAATCACGCTGTCTGAGTCGGTAGATGCAAGTCGTGGTGCCGTACAAGTCATGGAGCTCCGCGGCCGATGTGCCTGCCCACAGTCCTTTTTCGGCTCTCCGAGGCCGAATGCGCTCGGCCTATTTCAAACGCCTGCCTGTGTAGAACCCACCTTCAGTAGCGAAGTGCGGAGGGAGTATCGATGAGCTACCGCCCGCAGCCTGGCCATGGCAGGGGGTCGGGATCTGGCATGCAGCGTCAGTATCGTTGATTTTCCGCCCTTCGTACACCGGCAAATGGACCGCGCACGCCGCAAGACGGTCTGCGTGCACCAGCAGAGTGCGCCTGGATCACCTCTCGCACAGTCCGCAGCCAGGCGGGAACGTCGACCAGGTGGCACTCATCTGGTCTGACTGCTGATCGCCCCCGTGGCCACCCGCTCGCGTGCGACGCAGGCGGCGCAAGCCCAACGGGCCGCAGCGCAGACTGGGGCGCAGCAAGACCTGCAGCCCGGCGCGAAGGTGGGATACGTGCACCTCTGGGCGTGTCATGCAGTGCTGAGCAGACATGCGCCGTGGGCGACACGCACACGTGTGCAGTCTTCGTCGAACAGAGGCGTCATGCCGATCGACGCGATCCTGGTCCGTGTCATCGCTGCGATCCTGGTCCGTGTCATCGCTGGCGTGCAATGCAGCAGAAGGTGAACGAATCGAAGGCGGACCAAAGGAAACGCGCAGCGGCTGAGATTCAGGCGACGAGGGCCGCCGGTGCGAAGGAACCCGCCGGGGCGAAGAAGGCCGCCGTTGCGAAGGAGCCCGCCGAAACGAAGACAGCTGCGAGAGGCAAGAAAGCGAACGAAGCCAAGGAGCCCACCGGGGCGAAGAAGGCCGTCGGAGGCAACAAAGCCGACGCTGATGCCTCCCCGGGCACGGCGGAGAAGACCGAGAAGACGAGCGAGCCGCGTGCTGCAGCTGCGGACGAGACGGAAGATGCGGCCTCGGACGCCGCGAGCGAGGAAGCGCCCGACGACGTCTCCGACGACGGCGACAAGGAGTTCGAGTCGGACGGCGAGGACCCCGACGACACGCCCGCCGAGCGCAAGCGCCGAAAGGCGGAGGCGCAGGCACGGCGCGACGCGCGGGCGAAGGCCGCCCGCGAGGCCGCCGAGGCCAAGAAGCGCGCCAAGCAGCAGACCCAGGAAGCCCGCAAGCTGCTGCGCGACGAGGCACTGCGCGCTCGCGCCGTCAAGGCGGCGCAGGACGCCCTCGCGGGAATCCAGAAGGACCTCCGGAGAGCCGCCAAGCCGAGCAAGATCCCCATGAACCTCATCGACTGCCTCGCTGGCAGCATGGTGCCGACGCTTGCGGTGGCGCAGGCCATGGTCGACAGCGCGGTGCTGCCGGAGAAGGCGGGGAAGTCGATCGAGACGGTGCGCAAGCTGTTCACGGCCGTGTCCGACGTGCCCGTGAAGATGACGGCCAAGGAACGGTCGCAGCTGGAGAAGCAGCGGGAGAAGCAGGTCTCGCAGGCGCGGTCCGGCGTCGACGCGGTGCTGGACGAGGTGGACAGGTTCTACAAAAAGCTGAAAAAGGCTGCAAAGAAGCACTGCAGCGCGCCCGACTGGCTGTGCGAGGGGGCGTGCGCGACGCCCGCGCAGGTCATTGCCCTGGCGGGCTTCCTGAGGCGCAACCGCGCGCTCGGCGACAAGGACTGGGAGGAGGCGCGGAGCATGGAGGTGCGGCGGCGGCCGACGCCAAGGAGCAGAAGCAGCGCAAGAGGACGTACGGCAAGGCGTCCCTCGAGGCCATCGTCACGGCCGTCCGCGAGGCCATCATGCTCGCCCCCAGCGGCGCTGTCGCCAAGGCGGTCGGCGAACTGGCCAAGAGCAACCAGGTCGTCGGCAACGCCTTCGTCGGCTCCTTTAAGGCGGGCCTGGTGTCCTCGCGGGTCAGCAGCGCCCTGTCGCAGGCCGACGTATCCGCGGTCGTGTCCACCCTCAAGGGGGCGCTGCCCGGCAGGGACATGAAGATGTTGGGCATCACCGACGCGCTGCAGCCTGCCGAGCTCGTCAACGCGCTCTCGTCGCACATGGCGGAGGGCGTCGGCGCGAAGGTCGTCGAGGCGCTGCAGGGCGCCGGGCTGCCAGGCATGAGCGACCTGTCCTCCGCGCTGGAGGCGATCTCCGCCGGCGCGGGCCCGACGAAGCTCATCCCGTCGGTCATGCAGGACAACATGCTGGGGCCGTTCAGCGGGCTGGCCGATCCGTCTGCGGCCCTGCAGAGCCTCCTGCCGACGGACGTCGTTCAGCAGCTGCAGGGTGCGCTCGGCAACGTGGACAGCCTGATGTCGGCGGCCGACAGCATCCAGGGCATGGCCAGCGGCGCCACGGGGGTCGTCGACGGGCTGTCGGGGCTGTCGGATGCGCTGTCGAGCCTGGAGGGTCTCGGGGGCGTGGGCGACGTGCTCGGGAGCTTCGGCGACATCATGGGCTCCGCTACCGACGTCGTGGAGTCGTTCACGGGGGTCATGGAGTCGATGCAGGGCGTGTTCGACTCGCTGTCGGCGTTCCGCGACCTGGCCGGCGGTGGGTCGGTCATGGACTACGTAAACGCAGCCAACGACTTGGCTTCCAGCGTGTCCGAGTTCGCGGGCAGCGCGCAAGATCTCCTGGACAACGCGCAGGAGCTGACGGACCTGCTCGACGGCATCACGGGGGGGCTTGGCGACGTGTCGGACATGTTCAGCGACATGGCGGGCGCGGCGGAGTCTGTGGCGGAGTTTGCGGACAACATGTCCGGGGCGTGCGACGCGATCGGTAACATTTTCAGCATGTTTGGATGATCGTGAATAGGTCACGGCCGGTGGCGGCAGCGAGATCCGGTCCGGATGCTCTCGTGGACGCCTCTGATTCTTTAACACCATTGGTCTCAGGTCTCACCATACTGGCAATGCCACGGTCTGACTCAAACAAGGATTTAAGTTGCTCGGCCGGTGTGAGTCGCCGCCGGACTGGCGCACCTGTTCCGCCGCCGTCAGACTCTGACGAATCGCTCTGAGCCGTTCGGCTTTGCGACCCCGACGGCATGTCAGTCACGCACTTCGACCGAGCGGGCCCGAGAGGGCGCAGCGGCGTGCGTGCTCCAGCGCCATGTGCGCGCGATGGCTGTGCGTGCCGCGCGACAGGCTGCTCGCCCGGGGCCCGTCACGCTGCCGCGACGTCCATGTCTGCATCCCATGCCCGCGGCCCTCGCAGCAGCAACGCACAGCGGGCGCTCACACTGCCGCCGGCTCACGTCCGCCACGCGGCGCGCGCCGCGACCGCTGCTGCCCTGCGCGGCCGCGGGCTCTCTGCTGCTGGCCCCGTCTTCCCCGCGTCGGCCCGGGCGTCCCCCGTCGCCCCCCCGCCCACGATGGCGTCGTACTTCGGGTGCAGCGTTCCGACCCACCGGTCCCAGTGCGTGAAGTAGAGCGAAAAGTGCCCCCCCGGGTGACTGTGGTGCATGTCGTGGTGCTGCACCGTGTTCAGCCACTTGCTCGTGCGCGGCTGCGCGCCCGCCGCGCCCGCCGCGCCCGCCGCGCCCGCCTTGCCGCCCGCCCCCAGCAGCGCGCGCGTCCCGAGCGTCGCGAGCCCCACCAGCGTCGGGATGAAGGGCGCGATCTCGTACCCGCAGTGCCCGCCTGCGCCGCAACGCCGACGCCCGCGACCGTGAGCACACGACACGCGCGCACGCACCCCGCCGGCGTCCCGCGCGCCGCGCGCAGTGTGCTGCTGCGCCGGGGCGGCGCGCTCACCTGTGTGGATGATGGTCGTGAAGAGGTGGTACGCACGGTGCAGGCCCGCGTGCAACGGGAACAGGAGCGCGACCAGGATCTCGTTCGCGAACACCACCGCGCCCTCGACGGGGTGGAACGCGTACCCCGTGTACGGCGTCGGCCGCCGCGACCGGTGGTGCAGGTAGTGCACGTGCTTGTACATGGGCCGCCTGCGAGCGGCGGGAGGGGGGTGCATACGGGCTGGGTGCTGCACTGGGAGCGCGGGGGGGCCGTGGTGCGGCGCGCGGGCGCGTGGGCCGTGGCGCACCAGTGGAGGAAGTAGTGGGTCCAGTAGAACCAGGAGTCGTGGAGGTAGTCCAGGACGACCACGGAGAGGGCGAGGTACGCGAGCTGGGACAGGCCGGTGACGGGGCCCTCGTACAGCTGCGTGACGCCCGCGGCCTGGAGGCGCTCGACAGCCGTCAGCACGCCGGCCTTGACGGCGATCGCGCCCAGGCTCAGCAGGGCGTCCCTCCGCCGGTCTGCGCAGCAGCACGGCGCGGGCACGCGCGTCGGACGGGGGTGCCTGGCGGCGGGCGTGAGCGGCGCGCCGGGGGCGGGGCTGGGGTGTGCAGCCATGGTGGGGGGGGGGGGCGCACCGGCCTTGGGCTGCGGGCTGCGCTGCACGTCCTGGACCGGGAAGAGGTGCCCCGCGAGGTCGAGCAGCAGACACGAGCCGTAGTACACGCCCGCGATCTGCGCACCAAGGGGATGACGCGCACGCTGCTGGGTGGTCCGGGCGCCACGAGGAGAACTCCCGGTGGGATTGCAGCAGGGCGGGCTAGGTTCCGTGATACCGAGCGCGCTGCGGCGACGCGCGGGGGCCGCTGCGAGGCGCCAGGGCGCGCGCGAGCAGAGCTGCTGCACCACTGGTGTGTGTCGCGCCGCCCGCCGCCCTGCGCAACTCACCTGCGCGAATGCCGCCAAGAATCCATCACCGTACAACCGCATTGCTCCCACACCGTGAAAACCCCCAGGACCCCGCCACGACCGACCTCGCCGCCTCCAGACCCGCCCGCAGAGCAGGACCCACCCCGTCGCCCACGCGCGAACACAGACCGAAACGAAGCACCGCAGACGTCAGAGTTAGAGCCAGAAACGTCCCCCGCGCCCCGCCACCTCTGTTCCCCACACGTCCCGAGCGACCCCGCCCGACGCCACGGCTGGATCCTCCCTCGCCAATGTGCGCGCCTGCCGTCGAACCCAGTGCTCCGAAGCAACCGCGCGTGGCTCCGTGCCAGTGTGCGACTGCGGCCGCGCCGCCCCAGCGCGGCCTCGCGAGCCGGGCGACGGCCTCGGCGGGTCGGACCGTACAACAGCGGTGAGTTCCACCCACGCTGCCTCCGGCGGCGCGGCCGATCGCCCGCGGGGCCGCGGCGCGGCGGCACTTGCGAGTCGCAGAGAGCATTTCAGTCATGTCGGTCGCGAGCAGGGCAGCGGCGCAGACCCGCCGCGGGGTGGCGCAGCTGCTGGCGCCGCAAGTCCGGTCGATTTCCTCCAACGCTGGATCGCGGGCCGCGCAGCCGGCGCCGGCGGGCTCGGACTCGCAGGACGCCTCGCCGCGCTGGCTGCGCGAGCTGGGCGCCATTCGCACCGACTGGACGTGAGTGGCACCCCGGGCCCTCCTGCCGCACCACATCCACCCCCGGCAGCGACGTGCTCGACCTACATTCGACCGCGCGTGCCCCGAACGCGACGAGGGACGCAGTTCCGTCCCCGATCGTGCGCGTGCGGCGTCCTCTACGAGCCCGACAGCGCCGCCGCGCGTGGCGTTGCCTCGGGACAGCATGTGGGAGAATCACCGTGCCCGAGCCCCGCAGCGACCTCTGCGATGCGCGGGCCCCTGGAGCATCCGCGGTGCTTCCGCCCGCGATGGCGGTCGGGCGCCAGGGCGCGCGCCGGGCCGCAGCATCCGCCCTGTTGTCCCGCTGCTCCGTCACGGCCGAGGCCGCCCCCCGCCGCGCGACGCAGGCGCTCCGAGGTCCAGGAGGTGTACGACACGCCTCTGTTCGACCTCATCCACAAGGCCGCGTCGGTCCACCGCATGCACAACGACCCCTCGATGGTCCAGCGGTGCACCCTGCTCTCCATCAAGACGGGCGGCTGCCCCGAGAACTGCTCCTACTGCTCGCAGTCCTCGCACCACAAGGCGCGCCCCCCGCGCCCCCGCACGCCGCGGGCGCGGCCCTCGCTCGCTGCGGCGGCCCGCGCGGCGCGCCCGGTCCTGACGTGCGTGTGCGCGGGTGCGGTTGCGTGGCGTGCAGGAGGCGGACGTGAAGGCGACGAAGCTGATGGACCTGGACTCGGTGTACGAGGCGGCGGTGCGGGCGCGCGACGCGGGGTCGACGCGGTTCTGCATGGGCGCGGCGTGGCGCGGGCCGTCGCAGATTGGTGCGGAGCACAACTCGAAGCAGTGGCAGCGCGTGCTGGAGATGGTGACGAAGATCCGCGGGCTGGGCATGGAGGTGTGCACGACGCTGGGGATGCTGACGGCGGAGCAGGCGCAGCAGCTGCGCGAGGCCGGGCTGACGGCGTACAACCACAACCTGGACACCTCCCCGGAGTACTACGCGAAGATCACGTCGACGCGCAAGTACGAGGACCGCCTCGAGACGCTCTCGAACGTGCGGTCCGCGGGCATCTCGGTGTGCGCGGGCGGCATCATCGGCCTCGGCGAGAAGGACAACGACCGCGTGGGGCTGCTGCACCAGCTCGCGACGCTGCCGGAGCACCCGGAGAGCGTGCCGATCAACTCGCTCGTGGCGATCAAGGGCACGCCGCTCGAGAACCAGCGCCCGCCCACCGCCTTCGACCTCGTCCGCTGCATTGCCACCGCGCGCGTGGTCATGCCGCGCACCGTCGTGCGCCTCAGCGCCGGCCGCGTGAGCCTCTCCAAGGGCGACCAGGCCCTCTGCTTCCTCGCGGGCGCCAACTCCATCTTCGACGGCGACAAGCTCCTCACCACGGAGAACAACGACCGCAACGAGGACCTCGAGCTCTTCGACGAACTCGGACTCACCTCGCGGCCCGCCTTCCTGCCCTACGCGAGCGGGGCCGCCACCTCCGACGGCTCCGACGGCGGGTGGAGCGCCGACGGCGGCGCGCAGGCCGCGTGAGCCGCCCGGGTGCCGCGGAGTTGGCGGCACGTGATGTGGCCGCGGCGGGCGACGCGCGCCCCGGACTGCTGTGAAATGCTCTCTGGCTGATGTGGGCCGCTGCCGGGGCTCGCCGGCGGCCCGCGTGGGCGAGCGCCGTTGCGAGCGACACCCCTGGGGGACTCTGTGTGTCCGACACTGTCGTGGCCGCCCGTGGTGCGTTGATGCGCGGCGCGCGCGACCTGCGGGGGCAGTGTTGGGTCGTGCTGGCGCGATGGGGAAGGGGGATCGGAGGGCGAAGGGCGAGCGCTCGGCCAGCAGTGCCGCAGCGGCAGCCAAGGTTGGCACGATCCACAAGGGCGCCGCGGGCTTCGGGTTCGGCGGGTGAGGTCTCCGCTCCACTCTGCGCGCGAAAGCGCGGCGCAGCGCTCTCATCGTGGCCGTATGCGGCGCTGCGCGGGCGCAGAGGCGCTCAGCCTTCCAGCCGGGCACGCCTCTGCGCCGCGCGTGGTATGTATGCATCTGCGCGCGCACGAAGGACCGAGCCCGGTTGATCATCGTCGCTGGCTCGAAATGACAGAATGGCGCGGCAGGCAGACAGCGATTCCTCGCCTCAGCAGCACTGCCGCAAGGACGGCCGTGGGGGGTTGGGGGGCGCGCCCCGCGCCGTGGTCCCATTCTGTCATCTGCTTATGACGTTGATGCAGGTTTTCCGGCTCCCAGAGGGTCGAGATCGCGGCGGAGAGCCCTGTGCCCGGGGCGGAGAGGAGCCCAGCGCAGGCACCCAGCCCGGGCGTGTCGGCGGACGCTGCGCCACCGCTGAGCAGCGAGCTCGACGGAGACATCTCGCAGCACTTCAAGCAATGCTCGAAGGCCGACCAGGCGACGCGCCGGAAGGCGCTGCAGGCGCTGCGGGCGGCCATTCCGTCCAAGCCGCAGGCGTCCCTCTGCGTCGCCGTCCTCCCGTGGTGCTACCACTTCAAGCGCCTCGTCCTCGACAACAGCCGCTCGGTCAGGTGCGCGGTCCTCCGCGCGCCGCGAGGGCTCCGTGCGCGCCCGCGTCTGCCAGGCGCACGACCTCGCCCACTCCTGTGTGTCACGGCTCCCCACCACGGGCCCGCACGAACCCCTGCGCGCAGACTGGAGGCCGTGGGCGTCGCCACGGACCTGGCCACCTCCCTGGGGCGTGCCGCTGCCCCGGCGCTCCCCCAGCTCCTGGGCCCCTGGCTCATGGCTGAGCAGGACCCCCACAAAGACACCGCCGCGGCGGCCTCCGCGGGCCTCCAGGTACGCACCGCGGCGCCCTGCGCGACGCCCTGCGCGGCGCCCCGCCCTCGCGCCCCCTGCGTGACCGACCGTGCCTGCCCTGTGCGTGTGTGCGCTGTGCAGGGGTTCCTGCCGGGAAGCAAGCGGGACAGCGCGGCGGTGATGTTCCGCGGCCCGGTGGTGGCGCACCTCGCGTCGGTGCTGGCGTCGGACGCGAACACGCTCGGCGACCCGCGCCGCGAGGAGCCGCACGACCTCGCCGACCGCCGCGAGCGCGCCCACAGCCAGGCGCTGCTGGCGCTCGGGGCGCTGGCCGCGGCGTCCGCGCGCGTCGAGCACGGGGGCGCCGACCTCGCGGGGGAGATCGTCGGCGTGCTCGAGGCCCGGCAGTTCCTCCCGAAGCACGCGGCGGACGCGAGCGCCAACGTCCGCGCCGCAATGTACGCGATGCTGCGCGCGCTGACGCAGGCGCCGGCGCTGCTCGACCGCGTCGAGGCCTGCGTGGCGCCCGTCGTCCTCGGGGCGCTCGGCGAGCGCGAGCCGCTGGCGCTCCCGGCGATGCTGGACATGTTGGTGTTGTACCTGAAACACCGCCCGGGGGTGTGGGCGCACGCGGGGGCGGCGGGCGGGGCCGCGCGCGGCCGCCTCGTCGCGGCCCTGCGCGCGAGCTGGTGGGGCGCGTCGGGCGCGTGCGGGCCCGCCACTGCCGTCGTGCTCTCGCTCCTGCCAGAGAGCGTCGTCGGCGCCGAACGCGAGGGCATCGCAGGTGAGCGCGCCCGCCGCCGACACGCCGTGCGTACGCGCAGAGCTTCTGAAGTCGTCCCCGCGCGCTGCCTTGCTGAGGTCCCCCCGGTGTTGGGTGTGCCCCGCAGAGATGTGCACCGCCATGTGGCGGGGGGCGAGCAGTGACCCCCTACGTGCGTCCCGGCAGGCCATGTTGGGCGCGCTTGAGGACTGCGCTGCGGTGGAGCTGTCGCGTGCGCACAGCGACGGCGCGGACGGGGCCGCGGCTGCGCGCCTGCTGCGGTCTTTCATCGTGGGCGAGCTGGTGCCCGCCGCCACGCACCCCGACACCGCGCCGTACGCGGTGACGGTCCTCGCGAGCGTCGCGACACGCACGACCGGCGCAGCGCTGCGCGCGCTCCTCTCCGCCGTGGGCGCCGCTGCGGCAGAGGCGCTGTCGCCTGACAACAACGCTGACGTGCACGCGGTCGCGACGCTCGTGGACCGCCTGTGCGCGAGGGAGGCCGGCACCGAGCAGCGCGCTGCGCTCCTGCGCCCGCTGCTGGGCAAGCTCTCTCCGGCCGTCGCGGCGGGCACCGCGTCAGACGCGGCGGCGGGCCTGCTGGAGCGACTGACCGCGTCGCGGGAGGTTGCCTGCGAGCTCCCGGAGGCAGACCAGGTCCTCCGTGCCATCGTCGAGCGATCCAGGGGCGGCTCGGACTGCTCGGGGTACGGCGCGCTCCTGGTCGGTCTCCTTGCCGCCGCGGACGGTGACGCTGTCAGCCGCGCGGTCACTGTGCTGGCGGAGCCCGCGAACAGGGAGGCGCTGCTCGCGGTGCTGCGTATCTCCGTGGCGCGCGGGCACGGCGGCGTGTGGCGGTGCGCGGCGCTCGACGGTGCGTGCGCGCGCGAGGCCAAGGAAGCCAGGGGGTCGCCTGCGGCGGCGCAGCTGCTGGGTCTGCTTGCGGGCTCCGAGGGGGAGGCGCTCGTATCGGCCGAGGCCCTGCCGTTCGCGCTGACTGGACTCGCGGACGCCGTTGGCCAGGGCGGCGCTGTTGCGTCCGCGGCCACGAGCGCCCTGGGCAAGTGCCTGCCTCGGGCCGCCGCGGCGCTGTCGAATTCCGAGCGTTCCAGGGCGCGCACGGATGTCGTGAAGGCGGCGCTGGGCGCAGTGCAGCGTGCGGCGTGGCGCGCCGACCGCCGGCTGATGCTAGACTCAGACGCACAGCTCGACACCGCTGCCGAGGCGGCGGACGCGGCGTGGGGGCGCGGCCGGGCGGGGCTGTACGGCGCCACGATCGAGGCCATCCTGGGCGAAGACGCACGGGCGGCAAGTGCGGGTGGGGACCCTCAGCAGCTCGCGGCTGACTGCGTGGATGTCCGCGGCTTCGTCGCGTCGCGGCTCAACGGAGCGATCTCGGACACGCAGCCGCGGGCCGATGCGGACGCGCTGCAGCCGTGGGCGGAGGCCTGGGCCAGCAGGATCGTGGACACGGTAGCCAGCGAGCGGGGCCCTCACACGGCGGAGGCCCTGTTTGCTCATGCGCCTTGGACGGAGGTCCTCGGCGACGACCGGCCGTGGTGCCCGTCGGCGGCGACCGATCGAAGGAGGTCGCCGCTGCTGCACGTGTTGTCCCACGCGCTGGACCAGGACCCGGAGGCGACGCTGCGTGGGAAGTGGGGGCCCCGCATCTTGGTGGCGCTCAGCGCGGCGTCTGCGCCGGGCGGGGCTGACGCGAAGCGCTACGCCGCGGCGCTGCAGTCGTGCCTGCGCCGCTCGGTGACGGACAGCGGCCTGACGGAGGTGGTGATGGCTGCCGCCAGGAGCGCAGCTGCGGTGCATCGCGGCACGGACTCCGCGACGGCGATGCGCACTGCGCACGCGCTCGGGAGGCTGCTCGCTGACGCCGCGAGGGCGCACCACGCCGTCGAGGGGGGCACGTTCCTGAAGAGGATCGTGGAAGGGGTAGCACATGAGGCGGTCACGGCGCAGGAGGGGCCAACGCTGCTTGCAACGCACCAGATCGCCGGTGTGCTCATCGAGCACGTCGTCGGCGCAGCCGTTGCGCATTTCGGCGACCTCGGGCCCGTCGCAGACGTCCTGCAGCGGTCGGTGGAACGGGCCCGCGCTGGGCCAACGCCGTTCGCTGCCGTGTCGCAGGGCATCGTTGACCTCGAGGCTGCACTCGCACGCGCAGAGCTTGCGATCGCGTGTATGCGCGGGATGTGCGTCGCGGCCGAAGACCCGGCTCTGGCCAGAGCGTTGAAGTCCAACACCAGGGGTGCTGACGCAGCGATCCTGACGCTGCTGCGGCGCAACCTGACGGACGAGCGCGCCACGCGCGACGAGCTTCACGAGGCTGAGGACGAAGGCGGGGCTCTCGCGGAGCTGTGCGCGAAGGCGACGCGGCAGCTCCTGGTGACGTGTCGCTGTGCCATCATCGTGTGCGCAGACGCCCTGGCCGACGATGACCTGCCCGCGCTGCTCGAGTGCACGTCCCTCGGCATGGCCGCGTGGCGGCAGAGCCTTCAAGCTGCGGCTGAGGCCGTCGCCGACGGCTGCCAGGACGCGTTCGACACGGAGTGCGCCGTCCACGAGGTCGCGGACGCTGGTGACGACGACGCAGCGACGCCCCTCGACGAGCGCATCCGCAAGCTGGCGCGCGCCGACGCAGTCGACGCTGTGTCGGCGGGGGCGTTCCTGGGCTCGGTGTCCACTGCGCTGCGGGAGGGGTCTCTGGGGACCGCGGTGCGAGCGCCGGGGGGCTCGGACGCGGTCAACGCCGCGGCCGCAGCGGTGTCGAGCGCAGTGCGCATCCGCAGCGCGGCCGGCTTCGGCGCCTTCGTCACCTCGGCTGCAGCGGACATCGTCATGTCGGTTGTGGCGGTTGGGTCGGTGCACGCGGTCGTTGAGGCTGCGGCCGCTGCGTGCGCATCGGCGGCGCCGGAGCGGGCGGAAGAGCTCGTCGAGGCGTGGATCGAGGAGCTGTCCGGCACCGCGGCGGTGTGGCGCAGCGCGAACGACGCGCTGGCACACCTGGGGCCGAAACAGGCCGCTGCGGCGGTCACCGAGGCGCTGGCCGAGGTCAAGGACTGGCACGAGCTCTCGGGCGCCTCGACTGCGTCTGCGCTCGTCGAGGTCGCCGCGGGCGGGCCGCACGTCCCGCGCCACCTGCGCGCCAGCGCCGCCTGGACCCTGTGCGCCCCCGGGGCCCTGGCGCGCATCGCGCTCGACGTCGACCACGCGGAGACCGCCGTGCAGGACGAGGCGATGGAGCCGGAGGGCATGGTCGAGGACTGCGGCACGGGCGAGCGCACGATGCCCGAAAGAGAGAGGGACGCCGGCGCACCCGCCGCGGCCACGCCGGAGCCGCCGCGGAGCCGCGGGCAGGACGTCGAGCTCGCCGTCGGCTCGGACGCGACGCCCGAGCAGCTCCTGGAGCGCGCCGGGCTCTGTCCGGCGCTGGTCCGCGCGCTGCGGCGGCCAGGCCTGGTTCCGTGGGCGCTGGTGCTGATGCTGCTGGACGCCGGCGGGGAGGGCGCGTCGGCGGGGGCGGACCCGTGCGCGCGCGTGGAGCAGGTCCTCGGGGAGTACTCTGAGCTCGTCGCCCCCGCGCTGACCGCGGCCGCCGCGGCGACGGTCGTCGGCTGGGAGGCCGGCGCTGGCCCAGCGCCTTCGTCTCCGAGCACTGCGCCGCTCGCCGAGCTCCTGCTCGCGGCGCTGCGTGCGGAGCACGGCGACGACGACGACGAGGGCTCGGACGACGAGAGCGACGACGGGCAGGGCAGCGCCACCGCTGCGTTCTGCCGCGCTGTGTTCTCCGGGGTGCTGCAGCGGCTCCCCGGGCCCGCGCGGCAGTGGTTCGTGGAGCTCCGGGACCGCCGGCTGGCCACCGCGGTCGAGGAGTACGTGTCCGCGGTCGAGTCCCCCGCGGCGATCGCGCGGGAGATCGCGGCGGCGCAGGACGCCGGCGGGAAGATGCAGGCCGACGGCCTGGACGACGACAACCAGTTCGAGCTGCGGGCGAGCACGGGAACGCGCGAGGTGTCGGCGCTCCTGGAGGTCGAGGACGGGGCGTCGCTCGAGCTATGCATCAAGCTGCCGGCGTCGTGGCCACTGCGGCACGCCGAGGTGGAGTGCCGCCGCAAGGTGCGTCGCCGCCCGTTGCATTGCAGACGTGGCTCGTGCGGCCGAGGTGCGGCACTGAGGCTCGGGGCGTGCGTGAGTGCGTTTGCAGGTCGGGCTGACGGACATGGAGCTGCGGAAGTGGGTGATGGGCGTGGCGGTGTTCCTGCGGAGCCACAGCGGGACGGTGGGCGAGGCGGTGTCGATGTGGCGCCGGCGGGCGCTCCGGAAGTTCTCCGGCGTCGAGCCGTGCCTCATCTGCTACTCGGTGGTCCACCCGGCCAACCGCTCCCTCCCACGCATGTCCTGCCAAACCTGCGCGCAGAACTTCCACGCGCAGTGCCTGTACAAGTGGTTCAAGTCGAGCGGAAAGAGCAACTGCCCGCACTGCCAGTCGCCGTGGTAGAAACCTGTGTGATGCCTCTCGGGACGCTGTGTCTCCTGCGGGGCGCCTGCGGGGCCCATGATCGCGTTCGTCGTGCACTGGCGGAGTTTCGGCTGCGCGTTCTCGCGGCACATGCCGTCGGTCCCCCGGCTCTTGATTGACGCGCAAAAATGCACGCACGCCCCTTCGCAGCACCTTGTGGCCGAGTACGACCACGTCGTCCAGTCCAGCGAGGGTGCGTGTGCGGCGCTTCGGAAGGAAGTATGCTCTGCGACGCAGGAGAGGACCGTGTGTGCGCAGGACGGGGCTGGCACGGATGTGTTGGTGCAGTGGGGGGAGACGATTGCACCGTTTGACAACATGCATCGTCCTGTGAGGCACACCGCAACCGGAAGGCCACTTCTCGGCGCCCACGCCCGTGATGCACGAGGCAGGGGTACCCTGTGCCGGGCCAGCTGGAGCCGAGGCGCCTCGTGTCATCGACAGACTGTCTCGTTGAGCCTGACGGGCAGTGATTGATTTTGACCTTGCGACGCACGACGGTCGGCAGGCACTGTGTTGCGCCCTGCCCGCGCGATCGCTACGACCCTGTGCATCGGGCAGCCAGGTGGCCACTTGCGGAGGGGCCGTCCCCGGGCGGGGCACCTTGAACAAGCCAGTGTGGCGGCACAGCACGCGAGTGCGCGGACCGCCTCGACGGTGCGTCGCGCCGGCCTGCGTGGTGCGCCCGACCGGCCGCGCCGACTCCGCCGCCAAACTGACAGTTCGTGCAGAGGGGGGCTCGCCCCCCGCGTCGCGACGCGGCGGGCCCCGCCGGGGTGTCGCTACCGGGACCCCCCCAGGCCCTGCACGGCCGCCGCGAAAGGGCTGCCGCGGCACCCGCACAGGCACTCGAAGCCGCAGAGCACACCCCGTATCGGGCAGCGGTCGACCTGAACCGCGCGGCGGCGCCGTGAAGCGAAACAGGTCGTGCGCTGTGCACTGGGGGCCGCGGAAGGCAATTGTGGCGCGCTTGGCGGGGTTCGTCGAGGCTGGCGCGGTCCCGCACCAGTGGAGAGTTGCGGGCGAAACTGTGCTGTCAGTAGGGCTGGACAGGGCGGCCGGGCGAGCGTCTGGCGCGCTGAGGGGCCAGGTCACTCTGTGTGGGCCCTCTCCGCACGGCGCTGGGCGCTATAGCTGCTTCGAGCGCCGGTCGGATGGAAGGTCCCGTGGTGATGACATCGCCAAGTCATGTCGTGCGCTCGCCGGATGCGCAGGACTCGCCCCGGGGCCAGCGACCAACTAGGTACGGCCCGGCGGGACGCCTGGGACGCCGTCGAGCGGGCCTGTCGACGTGCCCAGACGACAGAACATGCTCGAAATATCCGCCCGTGCGGACACGACGCCGCCGAAGTGACGCCGTGGATCGGCGCGCGAGCTTTGCCGAGACGGGACGCCTAGGCTCCCCGCGCCTCCTCCCACGGCGCGCCGGCGCACCGCGTGTCCGCCCGCAGCCCTGCTTCCGCGACCGCACCGGCGGGCGCGTCGCGCGCCGCACTGAGCGGCTCACTGCGGCCGCATTGCCCATCCCGCGCCCTCTGGACGCACCTGTGGGGCTGGGCGCGCCCTGCCGGCGCCTCCTGGCGGTCCGCGGCCGGGAACGGCGGCGCCCACGGGCGTTGTTCTCTCCTGTGCGTGCAGAACTCGATTGGACTTTGGGGCGGGGAAGGCGGACGCGGCGGCCCAGCAGGGCGCCCTGCCGGAAGGTGGTTGCGCGGCCGGCGCGGCGGCTCCAGACCCTGTCCGTCCGTCAGGCTCGTCCACCCCGGTGGCGCATGCGTTCAACTACCCGCGCGGGCTCGCCCACATCTACCTGGCGGTCGACGACTACTACCGCAACTGCGAGAGCGACCTGCAGGGCAGGTCCGCCAACCACGTCCGACAGGCCCTCGCGGCCCTCGAGATGTGCGTGCGGGACTTCCAGGACCTGTACGACGAGCTCCAGGTGCGCTCCAGCGCCCCGTGCGTCGCGTGCTCGCCGGCGCGCGGCGCGCCAGCCACCCCGCCCGCCCGCCGCCGACGCCGCCGACGCGCCCGCGCGCCGCCGCCGCAGGTCCGGGGCACGGCGCGGTCGCTCACGGGCGTCCCGGAGCTCGACGAGGGGCAGGGCGCGGCGTCGCTCCCGGCCGACTCCCCCCTGGCGCCCTCCGCACCGCCCGTGTGGACCGGCAAGGGGCGCTTCGCGGGGTCGGCGAGCGAGCCCGCGTCGCCCGCGCGGCAGGGCGGCAGCCCGGCGGCGCAGCGGTCGCCCCAGCGGCTCGAGGGCGCGAACGGCAGCGCGGCCAAGTCGCCACTGAGCGCGGGCGCGGAGAGCCCCGCGGGGAGCGCGGGGTCGCTGCTGTCGCGGCGCGCGGGGTCGCAGCGCGAGCTGCTCGTCGTGGTGGGCTCGGACGTGACCCCGTCGCAGCAGGCGCCGCTGATCCGGGACCGCCTGAGTCAGCCCAGCAGTCGGGCGTCCGAGAGCGAGGACGTGCGGCGGCGCGTGGGGAGCAAGCTGCGGCGCGGGCGCCGGCAGCGCATGGACAAGGAGCTCGAGCGGCTCATGAAGCTGGCGAGGGCAGAGGACGAGCGGAGGGCCGCGCGGGCGCGCGCGGGGGGCGACGCGCGCGCGGGGCCGAGCAGCACCGAGCGCGTGCAGATGGTGCGCACGCATCGGCGCCCACCGGGGGAGCTCGCCGGCGCACGCAGAAGAGGTTCGCGAAACGACATGACATGACATGACGTGGCGATGGTGTGTTTGTGCGTGCGTGTCTGCAGGCGACGGAGCGGCGGCACTCGTACCTGGAGGCGGTGTCGCGGCGCGCGCGCGAGGAGTCGATCAAGGTCGACGAGGTGCACTTCATCCAGGAGCTCGAGGCCGAGGGGCGCGCCAACGCGCTGCGGGAGCGCGTGGGCGCGGCGGGGGCGCGCAAGGAGGCCGCGCTCGAGCGCATCCGCAGCAAGGCGTCGACCTTCGTGGAGCGCGGCGGGTCCGCGCAGGAGCGCAAGGCGCGCATGGAGGAGGAGCGGCTCGCGCGGCTGGAGGCCAGCGCCAAGCTCAAGGAGGCCGCGCAGCTGCGGCTGGCCGAGGAGCGCAAGCTGGCGCACCTGGCGGCGATGCGCGCGCGGCAGGAGCAGCAGCGGGCCGCGCAGCACAAGGCCGAGCTCAACGCGGAGGTGCGCGTGGGTGCGACGTGGGTGGATGCGCGCAGTGCTGCCTGCTTGCCGTGCGCGTCGTGACGCGACGCTCGCTGCGTTCCCCGTGCAGACGTTCCGCGAGGAGCGCCGGCGTCGGCTGGAGACGCGGCTGGCGGAGGCGGACATGCGGCGGTCGCGGTACCTGGCGGAGATCCGGGACCGCGCGGCGGTGGGCAAGGACACGGGCGCGCCGCGGGAGGGGGTCGCGCGCGACGGCGAGGGCGGTTCGCCGTCGGCGCGCCTCGCGGAGGGCTCCCCGCGCGCGCGCAGCGGGCAGCCGTCGCCGTCGCCGTGGACGCAGCGGGCGTCGGCGCGGGAGCGGGAGGCGTCGCCGACGCTCGCCGCGCCGGGGTCCCCGAGCGGTCCGTCGTACGACCCGCAGTGGGCGCACGCGGGGCAGATGTGGGCGGCGGGGCGCGCGTTCCGCACCGCGGCGTCGATGGCGAACCGCTTCAAGGGCATGCGGCGGCGCTCGAAGAAGCTGCAGATCCGCATGGACGACACGCGGCTGGCGATCCTGGCGGAGGAGCGCAAGCGGCGGCCGGCGGGGGAGAAGATGGAGGGCGCGGGGTCGTGGACGTCGCCGCTGCTGATCACCGCGAAGGAGCTCGAGTTGCTGTCGCAGCAGCTCAGCGGGGCGGGGTCGCACGCGGAGCGGGGGCGCGCGCAGGAGCGGCTCGCGGCGGCCGCGGGGAGCCTCGAGGGCCTCCTCGCGCGGTCCCCGCCGGACCCGCAGGGCGAGGACACGGCGCGGCTGGCCACGGCGCTGGTGCGGCTGGCCTCGTCGCCCTTCCCCAAGGGGCCGCTGCGCGGGGGCGACGCGGAGCGGGGCGCGGGCGGGAGCGAGCACGGCGGGAGCGACGGCGCGGGCGAGGCCGAGCCCGCCGCCGCGCGCCGGAAGGACGCCGAGCCCATCGCGCTGCCGACGGCGGCGCGGCTGCTGGCGTGCGCGCTGGGCGTCCTGCGCTCGGGCCCGCGGCCGGCGTTGCGCGCGCTGCGCGAGTGCGTGCTCCCGTCGCTGGCGTCGCGCATGGTCACGCTCGTGGACCTGGCCGTGCACCGCGACTCTTCGGATCTGGGGTGCCTCCCGCTGCTGCCCGAGGAGGCCTCCTTCCTCGAGAGCGCGTTCGGGACGATCGCGCGCGTGCTCTCGGCGGGGCGCGAGGAGGCGCCCGCGCTGCCGCAGGAGTGGGCGACGCTCCTGGAGCTCACGCGCGGGCAGCTGCTCGCGGCGGGGCTGGTGTACCGCGTGCACGAGGTGCTGGCGCTGTTCGAGAGCGAGGAGGCGGCGACGGCGGTCCCCGCGCACGTCGAGGCGACGCTCGAGGCGCTCGAGGCGCTGTCGGCGCCGCGGCCCGAGGACCTGAAGCCCCTGCCGCGGGACACCCCCCCGTCGTCGTGGTCGGTGGCGCTCTCGCTGATGATCTTCGTGAAGGAGACGCACCTCGTGCGGCTCACGTCCGTGCTGACCTCCGTCCTCCTGCGCCACCAGGCGGCCCGCGCGGAGACCCCCGGCCCCGCGCGCGACGGCGAGACGCCCAGCGCGCGCAGGGCCGGCGCGCCGCTCCCGCGCAACTTCGACTCGGTGGCGCTGCGCGTCCTGCGCACGCTCAACAACTTCGCGATCCTCGACATCCGCGCGGTCCAGACCCTCCTCGCCCTCCCGGACCTGCGCCTGGAGATCCTGCACCTGCTCTCGTTCCTCCTGCAGCGGTGCTGCGCGCGCCTCGAGGACGCCGCGGGCGACACCGCGGGCCCGTCGACGCCCGACACCGCCCCGGACACGGCCCTGAACGACGCCATGCTCGACGAGGTCCTGCGCCTCCTCGGCGCGGCCGTCCTCATGCACCCGGGCAACCAGGCCATGCTGCAGTGGGGCCGCACGCCCATACTCAAGCAGCTCCTCGCCCTCCCCTCCAGCTACGCCGGGTCCGCGCGCGGCGCCGCCGTCGCGCTCCCCGCGCTGCTCGCCGCGGTCTTCGAGTGCCCGTCCAACTGCCTGCTGGTGGCCAAGGCGAGCCCGGGGCCGCGGGCGGACGCGGCGAGCCTGCCGAAGCAGCCGCCGTCGGGCGCGGCCGCGGTGGAGGCGCTGCGGCTCGAGGACAGCGCGTGCAAGACGCCCGTGTCGCCGGCGAGCGGCCTCCCGCGGACACCGGCGTCGGCCGAGGCCGAGGCGGCGCCGTACGGGCTGAACCTGCAGTCGCTGCTGCGGTACGTGACGGACGTGAAGGAGACGCTGCTCGCGGAGTACAAGCGCGGCACGGACGAGAAGGACGGGGCGGCCGCGCCGGGCACGCCCATGGCCCGGCAGTCGGCGCGGGCGGCGCTCTGGCGGGAGGACCAGTCGGACGCGCGGTACAGCATCTGCACGCGCTTCCCGCAGGCGCTGCTCCCGCGGGCACAGGCGTTCCTGTCCGCGTTGCTGCCAACCACCGCGTCTCCAGGGCCAGACGCATCATGATGCGCGCGCAGTGTTTGCGGCTGCAGACTGTGACTCTCGTTGCTCCCGGACGGCGCCCAGCCACCGTGTGAGTTGCTGGCGGCTGTGGCACGGCCACTATCGTTCACGGGCCCACCTGCGAAGAGAGGGGGGGTGTGCCACCAACTGAGGATGACTGGCTGCGCCGTAGGCGAGCAGGTCATTGCGACCTCGCGCGTCACGGGGCCGGACGCTGCGGCGACGCGAACGCGCCTCGTGACCCCAGGTGCAGCCGGCGAGCCGAGCGCGCCACGTCGTCGAAGCAGGACACTGTGACCGGCGCAAGTTGCATCCCGCGGGCCAGTCTATCCCTCGAAGCGGTTTCGGGGCGGGCCACGCCGACGTGCAGCGAGGCATCGACTTGAAGGATGAGTCGGGTCGTCGCTTCGCGGACCGCGTCGCTGCTGTGCCGGCTAGCTGCGACGCAAGGGGTGCCAGGTGAGCGGCGCCTCTGCGCTCGCGGACCGGCGACGTTCCGGAGCGCGGCGCCGCCGCCCGCGCAGATTCACACATGTGGCCGCGGGGCCTGGGGTGGTTTCGCGATTCGTGCAAGCCCTGCAGCGCCTCCGCCGGCTCGCTAGCTGATAGCGCTGGCCTGCCTGCCTGAGTTGCCGTCCGCGGTGGGCCGTTTCCGAGTTCCATCGCCGCCGAGCGCTTATCAGTGGAACGAGAGGCGATGTGGATCGGACCTGCGTGCGGACTGTGGTTTCGCGCGCTGCAGGGGCTGCGGGGGGCCTGGGAGGTGGTTTGGCGGCGATGGCCGCGCGAGCGGTCTCGGGCTCTGGCTTCCTATCTCGCTTCATGAGCAACAAGCCAGAGAATGTCGTTTACCAGGGACCGGGCACCACGCGGTTGGCCGCCGGGGGAGATGACGGCGGCAATGGCTCTGCGACGCGCGTGACCCTCAGGACGATCGACAAGAAGTTCCGCGCGGGCGAGCGCCTCACGATGGTCACCGCGTACGACTACCCCAGCGCGGTGCACTGCGACCTCGCAGGCACGTCCACAGCCCCGCCGCCCGCGCACCGTCGCCCGCGACACATCCGCAGCCCACACCCCCACGCCCGCACCGACGACGCGTGTCCGCGCCGCAGGGATCGACATGTGCCTGGTCGGGGACTCGGCGGCGATGGTCGTGCACGGGCACGACACGACGCTCCCGATCTCGCTGGACGACATGATCACGCACTGCAAGGCGGTGGCGCGGGGCGCGTCGCGGCCGCTGCTGGTGGGCGACCTGCCGTTCGGGTCGTACGAGAACGGCACGTACGACGCCGTGCAGTCCGCGGTGCGGATGATGAAGGAGGGCGGCATGGACTGCGTGAAGCTCGAGGGCGGGCAGGCGGCGCGCGTGGCGGCGGCGCGCGCCATCGTCGGGGTGGGCATCGCCGTCATGGGGCACGTGGGGCTCAACCCGCAGAGCATCAGCGTCCTCGGCGGGTTCCGCCCGCAGGTGCGCACGCCCGCCCCGAGCGCCTCGCCGTCGCGCATCGCGTCGCTTGTGCGCGTTGCATGGACGCCGCAGCGTGGGTGCGCGTGTCTGCAGGCCCAGACGGCGTCGGACGCGCTGCGGGTGGTCAAGGAGGCGCGGGCGCTGCAGGAGGCGGGGTGTTTCGCGGTCGTGCTGGAGTGCGTGCCGCAGAGCGTCGCGGCGGCGGTGACGGAGATGCTGGACATCCCCACCATCGGCATCGGCGCGGGGCCGCACGTGTCCGGGCAGGTGCTGGTGTACCACGACCTGCTGGGGATGATGCAGCACCCGCACCACGCCAAGGTGGCCCCGAAGTTCTGCAAGCAGTTTGCGCAGATCGGGGAGGCCGTTCAGGAGGGGCTGCAAGCCTACCGGCGGGAGGTGGAGGAGGGGACGTTCCCGGGGCCCGAGCACTCGCCCTACTCGATCAAGGAGAAGGAGGTGCAGGGCCTCGTGCGCGGGCTGCGCGGCATGGGCATGGAGTCGGCCGCAGACGCAGTCCTGCGCGCGTTCGGGGGCCACCCGTACGGCGGCGGCAGGAGCGGGTACGGCTGCTGACGGCGCCGCGCCGGGGTCACAGCGGCGGGCGGCTCAGCGGCACGGCCCGTGGCAGACGAGCGGGGGGTCGACGAGCAGGTCGACCACGGCGTCCGCGGGGGGCAGGAGGCCGCGCCACGTGGCCATCGCCGCGAGGGAGACCTCCCAGTCGAACGGGGCGCCCGCGCCCGGGAGCCAGCGCGCGACGAGGGTCCTCGCGGTCGTTGCGCGCACCAGGTACGCCACGGAGTAGACCTGGTACTTGGCCAGTCTGACATCTGTGAAGCCAGCGCTGCCGACCACGGGGCCGAGGTCCTCGGGACGCGAGATCGGTGGAAAGAGGAAGCTCCCGCCTGCCGAGCCTGTGTCCCATCCTGCGTTGGCGAAGGGCGTGTTGCGCGGTTGGATGAAATCAAAATCAAGCCTTGCGTTGTGGGACGACAGCGTGCAGCGATGCGCACCGAAGTCAGAGATGAGGCGGACGACGCCCCAGTCCCTCGGCAGTGAGCGCAGCAGCCCGGGCAGGAGGTCGAACAAGGACGACGTGCTGGGCGGCAGCCACGCGTCGTCTTCCAGCACGAGGCACGCCGACCGTCCGGTGGCCAGACACGTGCGCAGAGCTTCGACGTGCGCAGCGCGCGCCCCAAACTGTTTCAGGTGTAGCGCGTCGCCATCCACGGCGCTTTGATTGGTTGGACTTGCTGCCGCCCTTCGCCGGAGTCGTCGCGCGTTCTCGACGCTCTCCTTCTCGCTGCCGATACTGAACGCGTCGACTGTGTCAGCCATCGCTTCTCCCGACGGCGTCGACGCCGCGAGGGGGTCGGCGCCGGTGACAAACACCTCGAGTGTCACGTTTAGCGTTCGTTCTCGGCCGAGGCGAGCGAGCACCTCGTCAGCTCGACTCGTCGCGTTGCTGTCGGTCCGTGTGACGACGATGACCGGCAGCGGCACGCAGCTGGCCGTCGCGCACGCGCTTGATTCCGGCACGAACCGCGGCGCCGCTGCAAGCGCCCTGTCCCACGTGGTCCACGCATGCGCGCTCACTGCGAGGTCTGCGAAGCCCTTCCCTTCGTCCGATTCAGACAGCATCAGGTCGTTCATCAGCGCCCTCGCCGCGCAGATGTCGCGGGAGGCGCCCGTGGCATCCAAACATTGCGCAGCTTGAATTGCAGGCGGACGCGGACGGACGCAGGTGTCCCGACACCCAACCTGCACAATATGAATCTCGGGCTGCGTGAATAGCCCCGTGAAGATGCCCAAGGCCAAGACGGCGATCACTGCCGCCTGGGAGAGAACAAGCGCCCTCATGGCCGGAACAACGCGCCGTGGTGCCCGGACCTGCGTGCGAGGCAACGCGCGCGCGGCCCGGAGCATCCAACTGCCAGACGTGGCGGCGCGGGGCGCAGGGCCGCGCACATCGCGCAGTCACACGGCCGCAGGAACACGACGCTGCCATGTCACGCGACGAGCTGGCACCGCAGCGCGGCGCGGGGCGGCCGGGTCTCGCGCGCCGCCGTCGACGCTCTGGTCGGCGTCCTACCGCCGCCAGTCCGCGCGCCTGCGGCCTCCCCGCGACGTGGCGGCCACAGCCACGCACCGCGTGTGCCATCGCACCGGCACGCGTCACCCGTCGTGCACGCCCTTGATGACCTCCTCCGGCGTCGGCTCGCACCCGTCGTCGACCCCCATCACCACGCCCCACTTCAGCAGCTCCGCGAACGCCTCCAAGTCCAGCACCTTGATGCGCGGCGACGCCCGCGCCAGCTCCCTCTCGCCCTCCGTGCAGTACCCCCACTCCGCGAGGTACAGCTTGACGTCGCTCAGCGCGGGCACCTCGGCCGCGTGCAGCAGCGTGTCGACTCTGTCGTCGATGAAGTGCAGCGTCGCCCCGCCCTCCGCAATCAGCGGGCGCGACATTATGGTCCGCAGCGCCTCCACCTGCGGCCGCGCGCGCGCGTACGACCTGAGCGGGCTGAGCACACGCAGGAGGCTCCCGGTCGCGCGCTGCGGGGGTGCCGCCGCCGCCGCCGCCGCACCTTCTTCTCTTCCGGGGGGAGGAGTGACGCCATGACCCGCGGACTCCCCTCCTCGACACCCTCCATGCCGACGAGGCCCCCGAGCACCGCGGCGACGCGCTTGCCGCTCTTGCTCGACACCAGGTACGACGGGTACGGGCACTCCCGCATCGCGCCCACGACCCCCGGGTAGGCCCGCTGCCCCTCGAGGTAGGTCCCCGCGGCCACCTCGGCGTCGCGGATGCGGCCGAACACCGCGTCGATGTGCTCCGCGGACGCGCCCCAGGCGGACACCGCCTCGCGCCACACGGCCGCCCAGGCACCGCGGGAGAGGATCCGGGTCTCTGGACGCAAGGGGGCGCGGGGGCGGGCGGGCGAGGTGAGGGTGTTGCGCGGTGCTGCGCGGTGTCCTTGGTGCCGCCGCGCTGGTCCCGCCGCGCTCGGTCGGCGCGGCGCGCTCACCTGTGTCCGGCGCGGGGTGCTCCGCCAACATGCGCGCCTGCACCACCGCCTCAAAGCCCTTGACGATCACCGGGCGCACGCGACGCAGAGCTGCGCGGATGAGGGGCGCGGAGCACGTGAGGCACCAGAACATGTCGATGAGCGTCCCGGAGATGGCAGATACCGGGCGGGCCCGCGGTGCGAGCGCCAAACCGACCTTGTCGCAGCGCGCCCTCATCTGCGCCCGCCATCGTCTCCGGCCAGATCTCTGTGGCGGCGGCGATGGCCGCGCGGGTGACCTCAGGCTCTGAGTCGACGAGCACGCCGTCGACGTCGATGGCAAACACGTCGGTGGGCCCTGCCGCGGCCCTCAAGGAGCGTGCCTTGGCACGTGCCGGGCCTTGGCGCGCCCGCCACGGCACCTGTCTAGGGATAGAGAGGCGACATCGACGCGGAGAGGCCCGTGGATGCCCGGCGCGCACGGTCGCCGCGGCCCGGATCGCCACCGCGCCACCCATGGGTCGTGCGCAGCGGACGTCGACAGGCTGCGATATTCGCCCGCGTACCGGGCCGAAGCTGCGTTTGATATTTCTCAGACGTTGACTGCTTCCAGGCGTAGACTACAGCGAGGTCATCCGCCCCCGACGGCGTGCAATGAAGCGCGGCGGTGGCGGCACCGCGGGAGCTCTGTGCAGGCACGGGTCAGTCTGACCTGACTCTGCGCGGCACCCTGCGCGGCGCACCGTCAACGGACGGCGCCAGGTCAGTCAGGCCGTCGCATCGAAGCGAGAGGACAAGGTGGGGGTCACAAATATCACAAAAACACTCTCGCTGTGTCGTGCGCCTGCTGGGGCCCGGTCGACCGGCCCCCCTTTCAGGACGGGTGCAGCGCCGGGGCGCCATCTGCGCTGACGACCGGCCGGTGCGGCTTCGGCGCGGCGGGGTTGCCTGTGGCGTAAAAGCTGCGCAGCAGCTCCACGGCCTCCTGCGCCCGCACACCGCCCGTGGTGGGGAACCCGGGGGACGCGGCCCCGCCGCAGCCCCCGCATCCAGCGTCGCTCACGCTCAGGATCGAGCCGCACCCGCCGAACTTGTCGTTGCGGCACCCTGCGGTGCAGCACACACGGCACACACGCGCGCGGTCAGTCAGCGCGCTCGGCCCTCGAGCGCAGCGCACGACGCCGCGCGAACGCGCAGGTGTGCGGCACGTCGGGGCTACGCGGGGCGCACCGTACACGGCGTGCTTGAGCCCTAGGATGGACAGGGCGCCGGCACACATGATGCACGGCTCGACGGTGACGTACAGCGTGCACTCGTGCAGACGGAGCTGCGCGCAGTCGCCGCCGGCGTCGGCGATCATACCGTCGATCGCCACCAGCTCGGCGTGCCGCGTGGCGTTCCTGCAGCCATGCATGTGCCTCAGTGCATGTGGCGGTGTGCGGCCGGTGCAGTTCCGGGCCGCGGACGCACCGGTCCCTGCGACATTCTCGTGGAAGCGGCAGCGCGTCGCGTTCCGGCGTCGGCCCGGCAGCGCGCGCCGGACACGCCGCGCGGTGGAGGGAGGAGCAGCGCACCTCGTCGCGTTCGTCTCGTTTCCGCCCCTGCCGACAATCACGCCGTCACGAACGAACACGCAGCCGACGGGCACCTCGCGCCGCGCGGCCGCCGTCCGCGCCTGCTGCAGCGCGTGCTCCATCCACCGGCTGTGCTCCGCATCCGCCGTGCCGGCGGCCGGCTGCTCCGCCATTCACACTCCGGCGGGGCCCAGACGTCCGGCTATACTGCTCCGATCTCCTCTACGGCGGAGCGGCGCCCCGCCGCGACCCGTCGCCGCGGCCCGCGCGCCCACATTCACCTCGAGCGCTCTGATCACCGAGCCGCTTGCAAGGGGCAATCAGGCGGGTTCAGGGCCAGCGATGTGCCGCCACGCACCCGCGCACGGGCGGCAACATTGGCCGGGAGCCGCTCAGGCCAGGTGTCGGCCCCCGCCGCCCGTGCACGACCCGGGGAACACCGTCGGGGAGGCCGTGGGGCCGGGGACTCCCCGGGAGGCCGCGAGCAGGGGCCACATGTGCCCGCGCGCTGCCGTGCGAGCGCGAAAGCTCTTCGTCGACGTCGGCCCGCCGATGCGCCCAGCGCTGTGCGCGCTCTGTAGATCGACAGCAGTGCGTGTCATGCTATCGTCCAGCGGCGGCTCACTGCGACACAAACCACTGCTTTCGTCGGGCCACATTGTCCGCGCTGGGCGGTCAGCCCCGGTTCGGCGTCGCCTGGAGCTTCTAGGGCGCACCCTCGCCCCGCACGGGCGGCGTTCGGGCGTTGGGAGGTTGCCGCCGGCGGTGCACTGGTGGCCCGTGGTAGCTGCGGCGATGTTGCCCGCGGATCAAGCCCCGGAGGCGAAGAGGCAGAAGCTAGACGGGAAAGCAGGTGACTCTAGCGCGAGCGAGGTCAACCGTGCGCGGCACGTGAGCGCGCAGCACCATTGCTTCGACAAATGCGGTCGCTGACGCGGCGCTCGTGGGTGTTGGCCGCCGTTTCTGCGATGCAGGAGGTCAGGCGTCCTCGAAAAAGGCCAAGAAGACGACCGTTCGCTTCCTGATCAACGAGGCGGCCCGCACGAAGGACGTCGATGCTGCTCTGGACGCCTTCACGCGCGCGCGGGAGGCCGGGGACGTAGCGCTCAACAGCGTCCAGCTACACTGCATCATTCTGAGCCTGGTTGCGGGCAAGTGCCCCGTCCTATCCCCCGCCGCGCGCAGGCCGGGTCTGTTGCATCCACGCGCTCTCCACAGCGTCCCGTGCCGGCACCGCGCGCGCCGCAGGCTCGGAGTCATGGGAGGCGGAGGTCGCCCGCGCGGCGAGGGAGGGCCAGGCGGGTCCGGAGACCGCGGAGATGCTGCGGCGCTCGCAGGCGGTGCTGGACAGCCTGGACGCGCTGGGCGAGCACCACGCGAAGGACGTGAAGAAGAACGCGGAGGTCCTGTGCACGATGCGCGCGCGGCTCCGCGCGCTGCACGGAGACGCGCGCGGGGCGCTGGAGATCGCCCGCGCGGGGCTGGCGGCGGGTGCGCGGTGCAAGCTGCGGACGTTCGCGCCGGCGCTGCTGGGCGCGTGCGCGGGGCGCGACGTGGGGATGCTGCGGGAGGTGCAGGCGGCGCTGCGCGGGGCGTGCATCGCGCTGGCGGAGCCGGAGTTCCGCCACGTGGTGCGGTGTCTGTCGGAGGAGGGGGGCGTTGAAGAGGTGGAGGAGGTGCTGCGGGAGATGGCGCGGGAGGTGGACGACGTGGACGAGGACACGGCGGCGGTGCTGCGGGAGGCGTTCGCGGCGCGCAGGGACGGGCGGGAGTGGGTGTGCGAGCAGTGCGAGGTCGAGGGGTCGGGCGACACCCCCGCGGGGACCCTGCGCGCGCTCGACCTGGAGGGCGAGGAGTGGGACGAGTTCCGAGAGGTGCGCACGCCCCGCGGACGCGGCCCTCTTCGCGCGCGTGCCCTGCCGCCCTGCACGCGCAGCCACCCGCTCCGTCGCCCGAACCTCTCGGCCGACCCCCCCCCTCCGTCTTGCAGGGCGTGAAGCAGCTCGCGATGCAGCGGCACGGCGGGCAGGCGCCCGCGGCGTTCGAGACCTTCGTGGCGTGGCTGGAGAAGCACGGGCCCTTCCACGTGCTGATCGACGGGGCGAACGTGGCGCTGTTCGGGCAGAACTTCAAGTCCGGGGGGTTCCAGTTCGAGCAGATCGAGCGGGTGTACGACCGCGTGCAGGAGGAGTACCCCGAGCTGCGGCCCGTGGTGTTTTTGCACGTGGGGCGCATCAAGTCGAAGCTGGCGCGCACGCGGGAGGCGCGGGCGTTCCTCGACAAGCTCGAGGCGAACCACGCGCTCTACGTCACCCCGCAGGGCTCCAACGACGACTGGTACTGGATGTACGCCGCCGCCGTGGCCAAGCAGGTGCGCCGGTGCCTCGCACGTGTGCCCTCCCGCCCCCGCGCAGCCCGCGGCCCCGCACCACCGCACCGAGAGCGCCCCCTCGCTGCGCTGCAGAGCGGCATGCTGGTGTCGAACGACCTCATGCGGGACCACTCCTTCCAGCTCCTGGCGCCGCGCTACTTCTGGCGGTGGCGGCAGCGCCACCAGCTGCGCTTCAAGGTCTCCGACAAGCACCTGGAGCTCTTCCCGCCGCCCGCCTTCACGCGGTGCATCCAGCGCTTGCCGGACAACGGCGCGTGGTGCTTCCCCGTGCGCACGCCGCCCCCTGCACCCGCGCCCGCTGCCGAGGGCGACGGCGGCGGCCAGGGGCCCGCGCCCGCGCCCGAGGCCGAGGCCGAGGTCGAGGTCGAGGTCGAGGTCGAGGTCGAGGTGCCGAACGCGGGCGAGGCGGAGGTCGGGGACGAGGAGGAGGAGGAGGAGCTCGGGCGGGAGTGGCTGGTGTGCTACCCGCGGAGCTGAGGGCGCAGTGCGGGGCCCGCTCGGACCGGCGCGCGGGCCGACGACGGCGCGGGCTCGTGGGCGCCGCGGGCACGGCCGGGACCGCCGCGCGGAGTCCGCCGCTGATTGACCCTTGTGATGAGTGCGCACGCAGCGTGTCGTGGCTTGGCCTCGCTCCGTGTGCACCAGCCGTCGCCCGGTCGGGCCCCGGGGGTCCACGCGGGGAGGGCATGGCGCTCCGGCTGCGGCCGGCAGGAACGGCCATGGCATCGCCCGAGGCACCATTGCACCGCCGGCTCCCTCGTAGGTCCACAACCCCCCGCACCCGCCCTGCCCGTCACCGGCCCCTTCGATCCGCGCGGTCCCAATGTCACTCCGTAGGCGTGGGCGGTGGGACTCAGGGTCCGGGATCCCCCACAACAGGGGGGGGGGGACGCGGCCCCTCCTGGGCCCGGGCTTGCGGGATGATTTTGGGCGCCAGCGCCCCCCGCGAGCGATGCTTCCTGCACATATCTGGATAACACAGTACGAATGTGGCGCTCCAGACCGGCCCTGCCGCTTCTGTGCGGCCTGGTCCTGCTGGTGCTGTCCTGCGGGGCACAGGCCCTGAGTGACGAGGTCCTCGCCGCGAAGGAAAGACTCCTTCATGACACGAGAACCTTCATGCGCCGCCTGACCGAGGCAGCTGATGCCGCCAGGTGCGTCGCCAGGCCGGCTCCCAAACGCCAAAGATGCGCGAGGGCGGGGCGGGCCCAGTCGCGGGGTGGAACGAACGGTTCGATGCATGCGGCGCATGCACATGATTACGAAGATCCGGCCGAGGCATGTGGGCATGTCCAAGGTTGCGCAATTTCGACGCGCCGGCAGAGGGGTCACTGCCAGCTGGCAAAGAGCCCTGCGCCAGCGCAAGGCGTTTTGTCCGGGCGAAGGAACCCGTGCGGGCGAGATCGAAGGCTCATGCGTTCCAGAAGCCTCACTTGCATGTCTTAAAGAGCCGCATTTCGCGGCAAACGGCACGAATCCGGCCAGGCCCATTCGCGGCCGGTGCCCTGTCACATTTGTCCACCGTGTGCCGCCTGACTGACGAAAGATCGTTCGTGGGTGGAGGCCGGTCGGTCCCTGCAGGCAGCGTGAGCTCCAGCAGACGAGCGTGGCGAAGTGCGAGCTGGAGGGGGGCCAGTGCACCGTCCGCACGGCCGCGATCACCGCGTTCGACAGGCCCGCGTTCCCCTTCACCCGCTTCCTCTGGGAGATGAGTGCCATCGAGCTGGTGCGTCGGCCCGTGCGCGGCGACGTCAGATGGTGTTCGTGACTGTGGCGCGCGCGGCACAACATCAACATGAAACCGAGACGTGCCGAGGCTGGCGCTGCTCGAGACCCTCAGCGCCGAACGAGCACGCGGCCCTGCTGCGATGCAGGTGTGCTCGGGGCGCACGACGAAGGCCACGTGCGAGGGCTTTGGCAACGGCGAGGAGTGCAGCTGGTCGGGCTCGCAGGCAACCAACTCGACGGCCGGCTCCTGCAGCGCCTCGCCGCTCAACGTGAGTGGCCCGCCGCCTCGCGCCCGCCGCGCCCTCAAGTCCCCCCCCCCCGCCCCTCGTGACGCAGCTGTTCCCGTGCCATGTACGCGCAGTTCTTTTGCAAGCGCTCGGCCGGGTACGAGATCTTCCGGTCGACCGAGGTGTGCGGGTTCGAGCCCAGCAGCCAGACGGCGGTGTGCAACAAGCCCGGCTGCACGCTCAAGACGATCGACTTCGGCGCGGCGTTTGGCGACAGCTCGGGCAGCTCGGGCAACTCGGGCTTCAGGCAGGAGGTGTGCGTCAGCGACGGGTTCGAGGCCGAGATGTTCGCGAGCTTCATCGCTTTGGGCCTGGGCGGCCTCACGGGGAACCAGCCCACGGCCGCGGAGATCGACCGGCTGCTGGCGGACATCCTGGGGACGTGCCAGATCGCGCTGCTGATGCGGCGCCTGGGCGCCTCGGCGGTCGGCGTGCAGCCCGGGGCCGGCGACGTGTGCGCGAGCATCGGCACCGAGACGGCGTGCAACGCCAACCCGTCCTGCGCCTACTTCCAGCCGGCGTCGTCGTGCCTGAGCGAGAACGAGGCCGCCTTCATCCGGCAGAACTTCGACAACTTCGTGCTGAACGCGTACGCCACGCTCAGCAAGCAGTGCAGCGTCGCGGGCGCCGCGGGGACGTGCACCGCCGAGACGCTGGCGTTCTCGGCGGACTTTGTGTCGGCGCGGGAGGACGGCAACGTGGTGACGATGAACGACGACGGGAACGTGGGCAGCGCCGTCGCGACGGGCTTCGACGCCAGCGTGCGCATGACGTTCCAGAAGGTGCTGTCGGCCGCGGAGCAGGCGGCGGTGGAGGCGGACGTGCGGCGGCGCATGCACCCGTCCTGCGTCAACAACGGCACCGCGGTGGCGGTGTGCAGCGTGCAGGCCGCGCTCACGCCGGCCAGCTCGCGCCGCGGGCTGCTGTCGGGGCGGTGGGGCAGGGGGGTGTTGCAGGGGACCGTCGGGTACGACCTGGCAGTGTCTGGCCGGTTCAAGAACTCGCAGGAGGCGCAGGACAGCGCGACGGTGTTCAACAACGCCGTCTCCAACAACGAGCTGGAGCAGTGGGCCACGGCGGTGACGGGCACGCAGGCGGCCCTGCAGACGAAGACCACGGCCTCCGTCACCACGGTGGGGGGCGGCTCCGTGGGAAGCGGGGCCTCGGCGGCGCTCGCGGGGGTCGTCGCGGTGGCGTCCATGCTCGCGCTGATGCTGCTGGCGTGACGCAAGTGACGAGGACACGAGGGCGGGGCCGTTGACACAAGCACACATCGGGTTGCAATCTGCATACATGCACGGCCGCACGCCAGCACCCGGACCGCGCCCGTGCACACCAGGCCGGTCCGCGTGCTGGGACTCCCCACGTCGGCGACCTCTCAGCTGTGATGAGTGAACGTCGGGCACAACAGTCTCGCCCTCGGGGGTGTCAAACGCACACAGGCCTGGCGCCGCCCCCCGGCGTCAGAGCCCGAGGACGCGCTTCCAGCGCACTGTGCTCCGTGCCTGCGTCCGACGAGTCGCGCTTGCGCGCCCGATCACTTCTCGCGCCCGTCGGGACGACGGTCCCTTATATGAGGAGGCAGAGGATGGAAGGAGACGCATCCCGTTCGCGGCAGGCAGGAGCTGCGCTGGCCCGCACCGCCGCGGAACGCGCCAACGCGAAGGATTTCGAGGCCGCTCTCGAGGCGGCCTCGAGAGCGCTGGACGAGGACCCGGCCAACATCAAGGCCTGGTTCCAGAGGGCGCGCGCTCAGGTCGAGCTTGGGCAGGCGGGGAGCGCCCTAGATAGCGTGGAAACTGCCAGACGACGCTGCGGGGCCCACCTTGGCTTCGACGGGATAGCTCGCGCTGCGTTTCGGCTCCAGCGGATCCAGCAACTGGAGATCCTAGCATCACGGGAGCGCACGCGCGAGCAGGACGGGCCGGAACCAGCGCAGGTGGGACAAGTTCCCTTTTGCCGCTTTGACGATTGACCGCAAGGCCGGCAGATCGGCCCGTGACACGCCGCTTGGAGAGTGAGCGGTTGAACGGCTCACTCTAGTCGTTCCCCGCGGTCGACGAGGCCCTCGCGGCCGCGAAACATGACCGGACGCTCCCTGGCACACACCATGCCGTATCGCGGAGGCACGCAGGAGCGACCGGGGGAGTCCGCGCGCTCCAACGTCTTCAGACGCCAAGATTTCAAACACCAAGATTACGTGGCCGACGAGCGGGATGCGACAGCCGCGCCGGCCGACCGCGGGCCAGAGCTGGAGCGCGCGTACGAGAGTCTGGGCCTCCGGTCGGGCGCGTCGCTCCGGGAGGTTCGGCGAGCATACTTGGCGGCGGCCAGGGCGTGCCATCCGGACCGTGGCGGAGGCGACGCCGCCCGCTTCATCGCCGTGCAGGCCGCCTTCTCCCGCATCGCCGCAGCAGCGAGCCCGCCCCGCTGACACCCCGTCAACCGTCCCTCAGCGTCGTCACAAGCAGAGGCCACACACCCCCCCCGCCCAGCTCCTGCCGCCGCGCTCAGTCCATGTCCATGTGCGCGCCCTTGCCGGCCCTCCCGCGGCGCGACCCGCGGCCGCGCCGCCCGCCCCCGCCCCCGCCGCGCGGCGCGGAGACGGACACCACGCCGGGCGCGGCGGCCTCGGACAGGGCGTCGTCGAACTGGACGATGATCGGCTTGGGCGCCGTCCCGTCGAGGTTTGTGATGCTGCGCATGTTCATCGCGTCCTTCGCGGCCGCCGCGTCGCTCGCGGTCCCGAAGACCACCGTGCCGATGCCAGTGCTGCGCCCCGTGCGGTCCCAGCGGATGCGCGCCGACTGTGGCCGGAACTCCTGGAAGAGCTCGAGCAGCTCGTCCTCGCTGATGTCGTCGGGGAGGTTCGAGACGATGAGCTTCGTGGACCTGCCGCCTGCAGGCCCGCCTTGCAGCCGCGAGCTGAGAGCGCCGGTGTACCCGCCGCGGCCCCTGCCGTCGAAGCGGTCGTGGGACCACACGCCGTCCATGGCGGCGAGCTTCTCCTCGCGGTTTTCCCTCACGACCGTCTGCGTGCGACGCGGGCTCTTTGCTCTGAGGTGTTGACGGCCTCCACCCGCGAGGGCCGCGAAGAACGGCACCCCGGCTTGCCCAACGCCTCATGCAGTTGCCAGTGCCCGGGTGGCGCGCATGCCGCCAAGAAAGCGCCGCAGCCTGCCCGCAACGGCCGCAACCTTTGCCCGTCCGCCAGCAGCTGCTGCGCGGCGGAGCAGCGGCCGACGAAAGGCCCTGGTTCGCGCACCTTCACCATGGCCCCCTCGCCCCTGCGGCCCCCTCGCCGTCCCTTGGCCACACCCGCCCCCTTGGCGCCGAGACCGGGCTTCACCACAACGACCTTGGCAGCCGTACCGCCCTTCCCGCCCGCGTTGCCCGGCTTCGGGCCCTTCGGCTTGCCGGCCCCGCCCTTCCGGGGACCGCCCGCCTGCTTGCGCTTCGACGCGATGATTTCATCTAGCGACTTCTCCGCGAAATCCATGATTGCTGCAGGACCCCCGAGCCCTCGCGACGGCCCAGCCTCTCTCTGCTACGGCGCGGTCGCGTTGCGCGCGACTGCTGCTGGCATGCAGGTAGCGCGAGTGTCCGGAAACGAGCGCGACGTGACACGCGCGCCCCGCGCGCCCGCCCATCAAGCCACCCGCCAGGTTTGCCACCTGACGCCTCACTGCCCCGGGGGTGTCACCGCAAGCGAAGACGTCGACGCGCCGCATCACACATCGACGCGCGCGGCCACCTACTTGGGGCGTCGCATCGACATGCTCCCGGTCTTGGCGCGGCTGCTCCCGGCCCTGCTGACGGAGCTCTTCAGCGCGCTCTTCGCCCGCGACACCGTCGCCGCGTCCTGGTAGAACGGCTCGAACCGCGTGTCCAGCAGCGACGTCTTCCGCGCGTACCACTGGTAGCGCTCCCACGCGGGCCCCTCGGACAGCTCCCTGCACGCAGCGCACGGCGAGCGCAACGTGACGGGGCGGCGCGGGGCGGGGCACGACGCGACGGGCGCGGCACGCTGCGCGTTGCGTTGCGTTGCGGGCCGGGCGGGGGCGTACACTCGCGAGGGGTGGTCGTGGCCGTCGTCGGCGCCGGTGTCGGCCTTCACCAGCTTGCGGACCTGGGCGTCGACGGCGCCGGAGATGCCGCGCTCGAGGTCGACGATGCGCTGCGGCATCGAGCTGAGCGCGTGGTTGAGCTGCCGCTTCAGCAGCGCGGCCACCTTGGCCGCGAACCGCTCGTGGTCGATCGCCACCTTGCCGTCGTCCTCGGCGTCCTTCTTGTCCTTCTTCGCGTCCGGCTTCTCCTTCTCGCCCCCCTCCCCCTCCCCCTCCCCCTCCGCCTCCGCCTCCGCCTCCTCCGCCCGCGTGGTCTCCTGCGCCTTGCGCACCGCCGCCTCCATCTCCGCGCGCAGCTTCTCCGCCTGCGTCTCGACGTCGTCGACGCCCTGGCACACCGTCTCCCAGAAGGCGTTGAACAGCATGTGCCGCCGCGTGGGCGGCAGCGCCGACGCCTCGCGGCACGCCCTGGCCGCCGCGCGCGCCGCGTCCACCGCCGCCGCGCGCGCCTCCTTCGACGCCTCGCGGTCCTTCTCCGACAGCGCCGCCGTGGCCTCCTCCACCAGCCGCGCCGCCTCGTCCACCAGGTTCAGGCTGCACGGCCACGTCTCCGGCAGCTTCGCCGCGTACGCGTCCGCGTTGGGGTCGGGCTTGGCCTTGCCCTTGGGCTGCTCCACGGGCTTCACGAGCAGGTCGCGGCACGCGAGGTACGCGTCGCGCGCCGCCTGGACCTTGTCCGGCCAGTAGTACGCCGGGATCGGCATGTCCGGGTCGTCCGCGCCCCCCGCCACCGTCGCGCTCGACGACGAGTAGGCCATCTGCCACAGCGCGTGCTCCTCCAGGCTGTACCCCGCCACGTCCTGCTCCGGCCGCGCCGCCCGCGTCTCGTCCGCGGCGTCCTCCACCGCCCGGTCCACCGCCATCGCCACCGCCACCCGCATCTGCCGCTCCGCCAGCTGCCGCTCCAGGGCCTCGCGCTCCAGCTTGCTGCCCTCGCTCCGCGTGGCCACGCCGCGCGCCACCAGCCGCAGGGGCGCGTCGGGCGCGCCCGGGACGCCGGCCTCGGGCTCCGGCTTCAGCTTGAGCTCCCACGCCGCCGTCGACATCCCCGGCCGCGAGCCCTTGAACCCGACGTACACCGCGCGCGCGTGCCCGGGGAGCAGCGAGCCGCCCTTCTCCACGAGGAAGAACTCCGGGGCCTCCGCGGGGCCGCCCTGCGCCGTCGCGTCGCGCGCCGCCAGGACGCTCATGGGCGGCGTGAAGGCCCGCCCGCGCGCGGCCGTCGCGGCGCCCATCCTGCGCGCCTGCGACAGCTCGCTCGGGAACAGGTCCACGGGCTGCCACTCGTAGTACAGGACGGTCGAGCCCGTGTTCCGCAGGACCGCGCAGCCCTGCTGGTGCCCGCCCACGGGGGCGTGCAGGAGCACGCGCGCGCCCTCCAGCTCCACCGAGGCCCCGCGCGGCGCCGCGGTCGACGCGCGGCCCGCGCTCGCCAGGCTCGCCGCGCCCGTGTGCCCGCTCTGGTCCGCGAACGAGATGTCGGCCATGGCGTTGCGCTGCTGCTCGGCCGCGTCCAGCAGCGCGTGCGCGACGTCCGGCCGCGCGCCGCGCAGCGCGTGCGCGACGTCGAAGAGCGTCACCTCGCGGCTCGCCCGCTCCCACAGCGCGTCCTGCACGCACGCACCATGAAACGCGCCCCTGTTGCACGCATTCGTGCATGCCACGGCGCGACACCCGCACGCGCGCACGCCACGCCGCGCCGCACCTCGAGCGAGGACCCCTCGACGAAGAGGTCCTCCATGTCGGGCTCGTGGCCCAGGTCGCGCTCCAGCTTCCCGAACACGCGGCGCGCCTTGTCGGCAAACGCGGGGCCCTCCTGCCACCCGCGGCGGCGCGTGCTCCCGAGCAGCGCGGCGCGCCCCAGGATCGCCTCACCGTCCGCGGTGCCGCGGAGCTCCTCCGCGAGGGTGCGCGTGCTGCGCAGGCCCGCCGACGCCCCGCCGAACAGCGCGGCGGTGGTGCCCATGCGGTCCGTGGTGAGCCGCGGCTTCCCCACGCGCTGCAGCGGCTCGCGGTCCTTCTTCGGCTGCCCGGCCTCGCACCACAGGCCCGACAGGTAGTCGTTGCCCACCTGCACGGGCCGCTCGTGGCAGTCCCGCAGCGACATCTGCCACACGCCCACGCTGTACTTGTTGCGCGCCGGCTCCGCGCGCGCGAGCGCGTCCTTCAGCTCCACCTCCGGCCGGTGGAACTCGTTCCGGTTCATCACCGTCGCCGCCGGGTCCCGCCCCGTGCGCCGCGCCAGCCGCGCCTGCGTGCGCTCCCAGTCGTCCAGCTGCGGCGCGCGCACGAAGGCCGCGACGGGTCAGACGGGGCGGGGGCAGCGCAACACAAGCCGACGCAACGCTCGCGCGGCGGCGCGCGGGCGCCACGCACCTGCTCCTCCCACCGCGACAGCGAGTTGGTGCCCTGCCCGAACGCGCCCTGCCGCTCCGGGTTCAGGGACGCCCGCATCGGGGCGAGCTTGTGCATCGTGCCCTCCTCCCGGTGCCGCCGCGCGCGGACGGCCGCGAGCGCCTCCAGCATCGTGTGCCTGCAGCCGGGCACGCGCGGGGGCTCCATGGGCGACCGCGCTGGCGCCGTCCCGGAGCGGCCTCCGCGCAGGCGCGGTCGCCGGGCTCCGAAGACACGGAGCGTGTCGCACGCCCGGCGCGTCGGAGCGGGGGCGGGCCCGCCGTCGGTGCCGCGGAGGGCCCGCCAGGTGGTCAACATGCTGGCGCACAGCCGCGGCCGTGGCGCGCGCTGGCCGACGCGGCGAGCGCCCGTGCCGGTGAGAACCGCGGCCGTGGCGCCACGGCGGGCGCGTCCCGGGCCGGAGCGATCGCTGGGAGCGCGCCCGGCGCGGTGTGGCTGCGGGCGCTGGGCACGGGGGCGACCGGGCCGCACCTGTCCGCCTTGAGGCGCCCGTACACCCGCAGGATGTCGTCCCGGCCGGCCGGATACGACTGCGCTGCCTCGCGCAGGTCGTCGGGGAGCTCGGACTCCGCGGGCAGCGCGGCGACCCGCTGCGGGGAGGCCGCGGCCTCTGGGTCCTGCTTCTGGAGCTGACTCTCGTATTCGTCGGGGTCCCCGAGGATCAAATAGTGCACCAGCGCGCCCGTGGTGCGGTCCCGCGCCGGGCTGTCGCGCGCGCTCGCCGGCGGCGACGCGTCGGCCTCGGCATACTCTGCAATGCCTGGCAGCGACATCGACACGCGGGGCAAGCCGCGGCGCGCGGGCGAGCCCGGGTCCTCCGCGGGCGTCCCGTAGTCGTCCGGGGGGGGCGCCGGCGGCGCCGCTGCGGTCGCCATGGCGCCGCCTGGACGCGCGGGGCGGTGGTGGTGGTGTGCGCGGCGGTGGTGCTCTCTCGGCGAAGGCTGGGCTGGTGCGTGGCCGCACGGCGCCGCGATGCAGTCGCGGGGGCTCCACGCGGAGTGGTCTGCGCCCTGGTGTGGCGCGCGCGGCGCGCGGCGCGCCCCGAAGGCCCCGGCACGCAGCCGAGGGGAGCGAGGAACGAGGGAATAGTCCCGGGAGGGTGGTGACGGCTTTGAACTCCGGGGGCCGCGAGCGGCCCACCGCGCGGCCGTTGCGCGTCGCCGACGCCGCGGCGGCGCAGACAGGGCAGGTCCGGTCGCGAGTTGCGGGGCGAGCGGCCCAGGTGCACACTCACGAGCGAGCGCGCGGAGGCAGAGCGCAGGGCCTGCAGGGGGCATGTCGGGCGTCGCGCGGGCGCGTGCATGACGACGTGAGGCGCGTTCCGGCGTCCGTTAGACCGAGCGAGGCACAGAGCGGCGCCGCGCGGCCTCCCGGGATCGCGCGCGGCGACATGGCGACGCGGTCGCGCAACGGGGTGGACCCCGGGTTCCGGGTCTTCCCCAACAGCGTCGAAATCAACCCGTACGAGGTCGGCAAGGTCTACACCGCGCGGCTGAGCGTCAAGGTGAGCGTGGGGCGCGCGGGGCGGCGCGGCGCGGGGCGCGCAGGCTCGCTGCGGGCCGTCGCGGGTGTGCGGGTGCAGGATGGTGCACCCGGGCGTCGTGGTGCGCGCGCGGACGGCGGCGCGCGCGGGGGCGATTGCTCGCGACGGAGCAAGGGCCATTGCGCTGCGCTCCGTGGGCGCTGAGGCCCGGGCGCTGGCGCCGTGCTGTGCTGTGCTGGTCCAGCACATGCTCGAGCTATTGGGAGCGTGCAGGGCGGCTTCCGCGACCTCACTCGCCATCACGAACGCGCTTGAGTTGTCAGTGTGTCAGCGGCCTGCTCAAAACAGGCGCTAGTGTGCGCAAACGCGCCACGGTGGGCGCACAGCGGCACCGATCTCAGACTTCGCGCACCGCGGGCTCACCCCGCCCCCTCGCGCCCTCTCGCCTGCAGAATGTGTCGGGCAAGTACAAGGGAATCAGGCTCCGGCCGCCGCTTCTGAAGCAATGGGCGTTGACGCGCGTGGGCTCGGACGAGCCTGCAACAACTACGGTCAAGGTGGCGCCGGGCCTCGAGGTGCACTTCGAAGTGACGTTCACGGGCGAGGAGGAGGTCGATCTGGCCGACAACGTGCAGATTCTGACCGAGACCGATCGCATCGACGTTCCTCTGCGCGCCCTCGCGCCCTCTCACAAAGTGGTGAGACCGCCCACCCGCGCTGCCACCGCACACAGGTCCATCCGCGCCCCCCGGCACCTCGCGACCCCTCCGCCCCCCCGCGTCCCCGGCCCGCGCGCGCAGGTGGTGGAGGGCAACCTGGACTTTGGCGTGGTGGCGCACGAGACGGTCGCGGAGCGCGTCCTGCGCATCCGAAACACCGGCCCGCGCGAGGCCCCGATCACGATCACGTTCGACCGCAGCATCACGGGCCTGGACGCGGTGTGCGAGGCGGACGTGCTGGCGCCGGCGGGCGAGCCCGGGAGCGAGGCGGACCTGGTGGTGACGTTCCACGGGGAGGAGCTGGGCGTGGTGGGCGGGGGCAACGCGAGCGTGGACGTGCAGTTCGCGGACAAGACGGTGCCGATCAAGATCCCGGTGTCGGCGAGCGTGGTGAAGCACACGGTGCAGCTGGTGGGGGACGACGGGGCGGTGCCGGCGGCGCTGGACATGGGCACGGTGTACACGGGGACGACGGTGGTGCGGCGCGTGCGCCTGCGCAACGCGGGCCCGACGGCGGTGCCGTTCGTGGCGCTGGTGGGCGCGGCGCAGGCGGTCAAGGACGTGGTGCGGCTGGGGCAGCTGGTGGAGGCGGACCTGGCGGAGCTGGTGAGCAGCCGGACGGTGCTGGTGTCGCCGCGGTCGGGCGTGCTGGACCCGTTCGAGGAGCGCGAGGTGACGGTGCGGTTTGTGCCGCCGGTGGTGGAAAGCAAGAAGGGGTTCCTGACGACGCTCAAGGCCGACGGGGAGGTGCGGACGGAGCGCGGGACGCTGCTGGTGGTGCCGCTGCCGCACGACCACCGCCCGGGCGTGGGGCGCGTCGTGCTGTCCAAGGAGGACTCGGAGGCCTCGGGCTGGAGCAACGAGGGCCTCCCGCCGCAGCACCCGCCGCTGACGGTGCAGATCGAGGGGCGCTCGGTCAAGCCCGGGATCAAGCTCACGGACCCCGTCCTGGTGTTCGGCGACGTGGCCACGCACGAGCACGCCGACGTCGTGGTGACGGTGCAGAACCTCACGCCCGAGCTCCCGGCCGTGGTCAAGATGCCGGCCTGCGGGTTCTTCCACCCGGACCAGCCGCTCGTGGCGCTCGGGCCGGGGGCTAGCGCGAGCGTGGTGTACACGTACTGCCCCAAGGCACTCGGGCGGCACAAGACGGAGACCTTCGTGGAGGTGCAGAGCCAGGGCGGGCGGCTCCTGCAGCGCGTGCCCATCAAGCTGCTCGGGTCGAGCTCGGTGGTCGGGCGGCTGGCCGCGGAGCTGCCGCGCGCGGTGGACGGCCTCCCGCCGGGCGCGGACGCCTTTGGGCGGTCCCGGAAGTTCGTGACGGAGAACCAGGCGGCCACGCTCGGCGGGACGACGGCGCTGGGTCTGTGCACGCAGGCGCACGGGCGGCTGAACTTCGCGCGGAAGCGGACGTGGGACGCGGACGAGCACGCCAAGCAGTTCTTCGCCACGCACCGCCAGCACGCGTCCGAGCACGGGTGGTCGCTCGAGGAGACGGTCGCGCGCGCGAAGCACCGCGAGCACTACGACACGCTGCTGGTGGAGTCGCGCAAGGAGCGCAAGCGGCGCGCGGCCAAGTTGGTCAACCCGCAGGACCCGCTCCAGATCGGGCTGGAGTCGCACGCGGGGCTGAAGGAGCCGCAGCTGCAGCTGCCGCAGGTCGTGGACCCGCTGTGGCTGCAGGAGAAGGTGCTGGTGCGGCCCAAGCACCGGCCGCCGCTGCCGAACGACCCGAAGCTGCTGGCGCGGTGCCGGTTCAAGCCGCGCCCCGAGAGCGAGAAGGAGAAGGTGGACTGCAAGGCGGTGATCATGGGCCCGGAGGTGGCGAAGATCCAGGCGTGCCGCGTGCTGGACTTCGGGCAGGTGGCGCTCGGGCAGAGCTCGGTGCAGCACTTCACGGTGACCAACGGGCTCGCGCAGAGCATCCAGGTCCGCGTGGACCTGGTCGAGGGGCAGAGCGTCGAGGTGAAGGAGGTGGCGCCGCGGCAGATGGTGGTGCCCGCGGGCGCCACGGCGGGGTTCCAGGTCCGCATCACCACGCACACGCCGGGGAACTTCGCGCAGGACATCGCGTACACGATCAACGGGCACCAGTTCTCGTTCCGCGTGGCCGCGGACGTGGTCCCGGTGACGGTGGACATCTCGAACGAGAAGCTCTACTTCCACTTCACGCCGGACGACTGGCGGGCGTTTGTGGAGCAGTCGGTCTACCTCGACAACCCGTTCGACTTCCCCGTCGTGTACCAGATGAAGACGACGTCGGAGATCTTCCAGGTCACGCCGCAGGAGGGCACGATGGAGGGCCGCGGGCGCGTGACGGCCACGGTGCGCTGGACGCCGCAGGGGCCCAACTCCAAGGGGAGCAACAACGGCGCGCTGCTGGTGCACGTGCAGGGCGGGCTCGAGCCCGTCAAGGTGAACCTCGAGGGCGACCTGCCCGAGGGCAAGATGGCGCTCATGTCCAAGGTGGTGGACTTCGAGACGGTGGCGGTGGGGATGCCGCGCACGAAGACCGTCGTGCTGCGAAACCAGGTGCCGCACGAGTGCCAGTACCAGGTCATCCCGTCGCCGGGCCTCAAGTGCCACCCCACGCACGGGCGTGTGCCGGCGAAGGGCAGCCTGGAGCTGGAGGTGACGTGCTTCGAGGAGAGCCCGTGCACCATCACGGGGACGATCACCATCAACGTGCGCGGCGGGAAGCAGATCCGCGCGCCCGTCGTCGGCACCGTCGTCATGCCGGAGCTCGGGTTCACGCAGTCGGAGGTCGACTTCGGCGGGGTCATCGTGGGCGGCGCGGGGAAGCAGCCGCTGACGCTCGTGAACCGCTCGCTCGTCCTCGGCGCGGTCGTGCTCGACCTCACGGAGCACCAGGAGCTGTCGCTCGAGCTCCCGAAGGAGGCGTGGTCCGCGGCGACGTACGACCAGTGCCCGGTGCAGATTGTGCGCGAGACCAAGGGCCGCGGGGCGCAGGACGGGCAGGTGGTGCGGCGGCGGTCGTCGATCCTGACGCAGATCTTCGAGGGCGGGCAGAAGTACCGCATCTCCGTCGCGGCGGCCAGCACGCTCCCGCTCGTGCTCGTGCACCGCCCGCGCGAGGTGGGCCCGCGCACCATGAAGGTGGTCCTCCGGGACCTGAACGGGGACCTGTTCGCGGAGAAGGTCGAGGAGCACGCGGACCAGGACAAGGCCGGCGAGAGCAAGACGTCGCGGCCCAGCTCGCGCGTGGGCACGGCGGCGTCTGGCGCCAGTCGGCGCAGCAACCTGGGCGGGCGGCGGGGGACGGCCACGGGGCGCGGCAAGGAGTCGGCCGTCGAGCGCGGCACGGAGAGCCCAGTGAAGCTCCCGGCGCCGATCCACTCGGCGACGGTGAGCACGCTGGCCATCGAGCCCAAGCTGCTGCTGTCGGACACGCACGTGGACTTCGGGAAGCGCGTGGTGCTGCGCGGGACGACGGCGTCGCACCCGTACACGCAGGTCGTCACCATGGTCTCCCGCGCCCAGCGCCCGCTCGACTTCCTCTTCAGCGCGCCCCAGGCGGACCCCAAGGGCACCTCGCTGTCGACGGTGTACAGCATCACGCCCTCGGAGGGCGTCCTGCAGCCCGACACGCCCCTGCGCCTCACGGTGTCGTTCCGCCCCACGGAGCCCGGCGCGTGCCCCGCGCGCGTGTCGCTGTACGTCGAGAACGACCTGGACACCCGGTACCTGGAGCTGCACCTGGGCGGCGTGGGGACGCTCCCGCGGCTGCGCTTCGACATCGACGAGCTGCTGCTGCCGCCCGTGCCGCTCGGGCTGAAGAGCACGGCGCAGTTCTTCGTGATCAACGACGGGTACGACAACCTGGACCTGAAGGTCAACGTGCCGGTGGACAAGGACCACATCCCCATCTCGCTCGAGTTCCCGGAGGGCACGATGATCGGCGTGGCGAAGGAGCGGCTCCCCGTGGTGGTCACGTTCTGCTCGGACGTGGCCACGGGCTTCACGAGCGCGCTGGAGTTCATGGACTTCGAGGGGCACAGCTACCGCCTGCCGGTGTCGGGCATCGCGGACAACAGCATCCTCACGACGAGCGAGTTCATCGGGAAGAACCGCGACCGCTTCGACCTCTCGCGCCCCGGCCGCGACGGCCGCATCATGCTCAACACCGAGCTGCTCTTCAACCTGCCCAACCCCGCCATCCTCCAGTGCATCGGCCCGCAGCGCCCCAACCAGTTCTTCGTGCGCTACCTCAACGCCACCACGATGCTCGGCCCCTTCAAGGACGTCATCCAGGACTGCCGCTCCACCCGCGGGCGCGTCTTCCTGGACATCATCGAGCTCCTCTCCGGCAAGCCCGTGCAGGGCCGCGTCAAGCAGCTCCCCGCCAACCGCCGCGAGGCGCTCGACATCGTCGTGCGGCAGTACGACACCGTGCTGACCTTCCTCAACGGGTGCGGCGGGCTCGTCAACTCGGTCAAGCCCGAGTACCTGCTGGACGAGGAGGACCTGACGCGGCTGCTGTCCATGCGCGGGAAGCCCGACGACGACGAGAACGAGCACCTGTCGTTCTGGGAGCAGGTCGAGTCGAGCTTCCGCGACGTGTCGGAGCAGGCGTGGAACGCCGTGCTGGCGCAGCTGGCGCGGCTCTTCATCGTGTCGCGGTGCTCGCCCAAGAGCCTCCGGGGCAACCACCGGGCCGACTTCGGGCTCACCAACCACGTCGAGCGCGCCCTCGTCGCCAGCAACATCTACAGCGCCGGCGAGATGGTCCTCCTCCGCTGGTCCTCGCACCTGATGCACGCCGAGTTCCCCGCGCTGATCGACTGGCAGCTGCGGAACTTCGAGTCCGACTTCGTGGACGGCCTCGCGCTGTACGCGATCCTCGCGAAGCACTGGGAGGCCCTGTCGCGGTTCCGCGCGCAGATCTGCACGCCGCCCGACGGGGCCACGCGCGAGGAGCTGCACGAGGAGCAGAGCATGGCCAACGCGTCGGTGGTGTGCGACATGCTCAAGGCGCTCGAGCTGCCCTTCGAGATCCGGCCGCAGGAGATCCTCGCGCCCGTCGGGCAGGAGATGGTGATCTTCCTGGCGTACCTGTACCAGATCCTGCCGCAGCTGGAGCCGCAGGCGGAGATCCTGTTCGACGCGCGGCTGAACGAGGTGCAGGAGCGGTACGTGGAGCTCAACAACCCGAGCAACAAGTCGATCTCGTACTACGCGCGCCTCGAGGGGCACGCGGACTTCGAGCTGGTCACCTCGACGCTCTACCTGCAGCCCAAGAGCAAGGGCGCCTTCCCCGTGCGCTGCAAGAGCACCATCTCCAAGCCCGTCACGGGGCACCTCGTGCTCGCGTCCAAGCGCGACGGCACCGCGCACGGCGCCACGCTGGTCTTCGCCCTCAAGAGCATGGTCAACACGCAGGCGCCCGTGCAGTCGCTCGCCATCGAGGGCGTCACCTACCAGATGGACTCCGTCGAGGTCGAGATCCGCAACCCCTTCCCGGGCGACTGCGACTTCACCATCCACCTCGAGCAGTCCTCGGCGGGGGTGACCAGCCGCATGAAGCAGCTCCAGCCGCTGCGCACCGTGCGGGGCCGCGCCGGGAAGGAGGCGGACGAGAAGGCGGAGAAGGCGGCCGAGAAGGACGGCGCCGCGCATGAGAAGGGCTCGAACGCGTCGCACAACGGCGAGGACGCCCACGCGCGCACCGTGCAGGTGATCCAGCCCCTGGAGATGCCCGACCCGAAGGTCGTGCTGTCGCAGGGCGGGAAGCAGGAGATCGCCGCGGAGCGGTACCCGCTCGCGTTCGGCTGCGAGCGCCAGCGCCTGCGCCTGCGGCAGGGCGCGTCGGACAAGGTGGACATTGCCTTCCTGCCGTTCTTCCCCGGGCAGCACACGTGCCACGTGGTGCTCGAGGACCAGAACTTCGGCGTGTTCCGCGTGGAGATCGCCGGGAACGCGAAGCAGCCGGCCCCGCTCCAGCGCCTGACGTTCCAGGTGGAGCAGGAGGGCAACGCGGTGCACGACGTGGCGCTGTCCTACTCGAACAACCTGTGCGAGAGCGCCAAGCGCACGTTCCTCGAGCGGCACCCGCTGGCGAAGAGCGAGGTCGAGACGGCCAAGCTCAAGGCGCTGGACACGGTCCGCGGGCACAACATGGTGTACTCGCTGGACCAGGCCAACGCGTTCATCAAGGCGCCGCGGTACGTGGTGCTGCGCGGGAGCAAGACGCAGGGCGCGAAGGACCTCGACATCACGCCGCTCGCGGGGGAGTCGGGCGGCAACAGCGTGCGCCTGGAGCTGCTGCCCAAGGGCCCCGGGCTGTACCCGACGACGATCACGATGGTGTCGCTGCACGACATCCGCGTGTACGAGGTGACGTTCGAGGCGGTCAAGGGCGGGATGTCGGCGAAGCTGGACTTCGAGGCGCCGTGCCGGCACCAGGTGGTGCAGGAGATCCCGCTGAACAACGAGGGGGACAAGGCGCTGCAGATCAAGGCGGTGATCTCGGGGGAGTGCTTCGTGGGGCCGAGCCAGCTCAACGTGGACGTGGGGCAGACCGTGATGTACCCGATCGCCTTCCGCGCGTTCGCGCAGGGCAAGTTCTCGGGGCGGCTGGAGCTGCAGATCACGCAGACGGGCGAGACCAACACGTACGACCTGTCGGGCGTCGCGCTCGCGCCGGTGGCGGAGGAGAACATCCTGATCGAGTGCCAGGCGCGCACGCGGACGGCGGTGACGCTCAGCGTGCCCAACATCAAGGCCAGCAAGTGCACCTACAACGTCCTGACCGACCTGGACGTGGTGTCGGGCCCGCCGACGCTGGACATCCCGGGGTCCGGCAAGGCGACGTACACGCTGCAGGTCAAGCCCGTGAAGAGCGGGATCCAGAAGGGCACGGTCACGTTCTCGCTGGACGAGAAGAACTACGTGTGGTACACGCTGGAGCTGCACGTGGACCCGCCGCCGCCCACGGACGCCATGGTGGTCGAGTGCGAGGTGCGGCAGGCCGTGCAGCTCGACGTGCCGCTGCACAACCCGCTCGAGACGCCCGTGGAGATGGACGTGGACATCGAGAGCAAGTCGCTCCTCGGGCCGCGCAAGATCAAGCTCGGGCCCATGGAGCGCACCGTGTACAAGCTCTTCTGCTCGCCGCTCACGCCCGGGCCGGAGTACGCCAAGGTCACCTTCCGCAGCGACGACCTGGGCGAGTTCTGGTACACGGTGGACGTGGAGGCCACGCCGGCCAAGCCCGAGGCGCTGCCGCCGCTGCAGTGCCAGCTGGGCAAGTCGTCGCGCACGACGATGCGCATCACGAACCCGCTGCGGCACGACGTGACGCTGGCCGCCGCGTCCTCGAGCCGGTCGTTCGTGCTGCTCAGCGACAAGCTGACGCTGCCCGCGTTCGGGCACGGCGAGGCGGTGGTCGAGTACCGCCCGACGAGCGTGGGCGTGTGGGAGTACGGCAAGGTGCACTTCGAGCACTCCGAGGCGGGCCTGTGGGAGTTCCAGGTGTCGGGCCTGGGGGAGCCCCCCGGGCTGGTGGACGAGGTGCTCATCACGGCCGAGGTCGGGCAGAGCGGCACGGGCATGGCGCTGTGGACGAACCCGCTCGACAAGGCGGTCACGGTGGACGTGGAGCTCGAGGCGCTGGACGACGAGGAGGGCGCCGTGCGGCTGCTGCTCAAGCGCACGCTGGGCATCACGGTGCTGCCCGGGAGCACGCTGCAGATCCCGATCAGCTTCACGCCGCTGGAGCACGCGGAGTACCGCGCGGAGGTGCAGGTCGTGCTGGACCCGGGCGAGCACGACGAGGACCTCCTCATCTGGCGGTACAGCATCGTGGCCGCCGCCGAGGCGCAGCACATGGGCGTGCTGTTCGACCTGGCGTGCAAGGCGCGCGAGGCGGTCGAGACGGACTTCACGGTCGCGCTGCCGGGCCTGCGCACGCTGGACCCGGCGGGCGAGGAGTTCGAGCTGTCCTTCGAGGGCCTGGACGAGGGCCTGGAGAAGAGCCTCGAGGTGCTCAAGGCGACGGACGGCATCACGTCGCCCGAGGAGCCGCTGAGCTTCCGCGTGCGGTTCACGCCGATGGTCCCGATGAGCAAGACCGTCGCGGCGGTCGTGCGGCGCGTGTCGGGCAGCAGCGGGCGGTGGCGGTTTGACGTCAAGCTGACGGTGGCGGCGCCGGACAGCGACGGCAAGGTGGTCATGGAGGCCAAGGTGGGCACGACGCACATCGCGCCGATCTGGATCTTCGCGCCGGGCGACACCCCCGTGCCCTTCGAGGCCAGGTTCGCCCCCAACACCGCCGCGGAGTTTGTGCTGCTGGTGGAGGACATGTCGACCGAGCTGCCCGTGCGGCCCAGCTCGGCCGCCGAGGAGGACCTGGACCTCCCGGACGACGACGCGCCGATCAAGGTCGGGTACACGCCCGTCATGTACGGCGCGAAGCCCTCGGGCACGCTGGTGGTGACCTTTGCGGGCGAGTCGCGGAGCATCAAGCTCGAGGGGAGGACGCCGCAGTACGTGCGCCCGAACCGCTCGAGGATGAAGTCGACCATCGACACGGGCATGCGCGGCGGCGGCCTCGCGCCGGGCAAGTCGTCGTCGCGGCGGGCCTTTGCCGGGGGGGCCGCGGGCGCGGCGCCGGGCAAGCGCATGAACTACGTCGCCGCGAACGCGCGCAAGACGCTCGGCGTCATTCGCCGCATGCGTGGCGACTCCCAACTGCAGGGCGAGGCCTCTTTCGCGTCCGAGCGGCGCGGCGCACCGGGGCCGGGGCCGGGGCCGCGGCAGGGTGGGCAGGCGGTCAGGCTCTCAGAGCACGACGCGCGGGTCTCCGCGAACTCGCAACACAGCGTGAGCGAGCGGGACTGGCAGGAGAACCCGGACTTCGGCCGCGTGGTGTCCGAGCGCGCGCCCCCGCAGCAGGCCAACCCCAAGAAGATGAGCTACCTCGTGCCGCACCGGGACGCGTCGTCGCGCGACCACTCGAGCAGGCCGGCCTTCGACCTGCCGCCGGCCGCCTCGGCGCCCGCTCCGAGCCCCGGGCAGCCCCCCGCCGGGGCCCACCACGTGCGCCTGCTCCCCAAGGTGGTGGCGCAGGGCGCGGGGCGGAAATCCGTGGTGTTCCGCTGAGCAGCGGACGCCCGCACCGCACGCACCGGTCACGTAGAGCTCCGGGGCAGACGCGGCTGCAGCGAGGTTGTAACAATCGATGAGAACGACCAACGTGTCCTCCGGGGGCTGTCTCAAACGCACCACGTCGTGCCGCCAGGCCAGCCGCGGTGGGACCGAGGGGGCCGCAGCCGCAGAGTAGACGCGGGAGAGCAGGCCTTTCGTTGTGCTCGCAGCTGTCGCCGCGCGCTGCGAGACATGACCCCCTCCCCGTGGTGACGGCGGTGACTCTGCTGCGATGTCCGCGTTGCGTGGCGACGTGCTGACCGCTACTCAGGTGTCCCCATCGCCGTCCCCCGCGTGGCCTGTCATGCGAAAGGAGTTCATGCCTCGGTCGAGCGGCCACGGAATACGCGCACGGCCGACACGTCAACATCCGGGGGGGTAACAAGTGCGTCAGTCATGTGTGCAGGCACGGCTGGAGAGTTCCGCGCCAGGTTCGGAGCGCGGGGATCATACACGACCCCGCGCGCCGTGAGCGGGCGATGTTCTGTGACCGTGGGTAGCGCAGAGCGTCGGTGGGGGCGGACGCCGCTCGTCGGGTATAGTTACAGGGCAGGAGCGGGGCGGGAAGCTGGGCCACGCTTCGCTACGCCGGTACTAACCGGATCAGCTCGATGAGGGTCTCTCTCAGCCGCGGGGCGCTGCTCCGTGCGGCGACAGCACCACCCGACAGGTGTTGCGTCCCCGCCCGGACAGCCCCCGCTGGCACCCCTAGGTGGCGACAGCGCGAGTCAACGGCACGGCCCCGGCGTCACGCGGCGCCACCGCGTCACGTCGCGAGCGCTGCGCGCCATGGTGCGCGCAGGTGCGGCGTGCGCAGTGCCCCCGCGTGACGCCGGGGCCCGCCTACCGCGCGAGGCAACTTAGGCGGACTTCTCGAACGTGTCGGCGACCTTCATCTGCTCGAGCTTGTTGACCTTGTCCACGACGTGCTGCGCCACGTGGGCGGCCTTGACGCCCGACATGAACATGGCGCCAAACGTGGGGCCCATGCGGGGCGCGCCGTCGATCTCGGCGACCTCCATGCCGCACACGACCATGCCCGGGACGACCTCGCGCGTGCGGGCCACGACCTCGTCCTCGGCGGTGTTCATGTCGAGGGCGGCCATGCCGGGCGTGTCGGGGATGAGCCCGAGCTTGGCCAGGCGCTTCACGCCCGCGGCGCCCATCGGGCCGTCGTGGCCGCACGAGGACACGACGCACTTGGCCTCCAGGACGTTGGGGTCCATGCACATCTGTGTGTCGTGGTTGAGCGACACGAGCGTCCAGTTGGTCACCACGCCCGAGACGTAGTACCCGCCGCGCGCGGCGTCGTGCTTCACGACGAGGTCCTCGCCGGCCGTCGCGTTGAACAGCTTGACGTTCGGGCGCGCCAGCACCTGCGCGGAGACGGGGGGGACGGGGCGCGGTGCCGGTGAGCGACCGAAAGCGCGAGGGGCGGCGCGGGGCGCCGTGCCGACGCGGACCGGCGGCGCATTGCGGCGCGTCCGCGTGCAACGCGTTCCCTGAGCGACGTGCGTCGAGACGCGACGGATCTCGGGGCCGGAGGTGCGCACCTTGGACAGCAGGGTCGAGGTGAAGAGCGAGGCGTGCTTGATGACCACGTAGTGGCCCTCGTCCTCGTACTGAACACCGATCTCGTCCAGGAAGTTGTGGGCCGGCTTGCGCACGATCATGGCGCTGAACAGCTGGCCGCCGAGCCACGCACCGCCGCCCGGAGCAACACCCTGCGACGACCATGGAGGCGCGTTTGCGGGGTCGCGGGGGCGAGCACACGAGATCGGGCGGGCGCGATCGCCGGAGCGAGTTCAGACCCTGCTGCGCGCGGTGCGCCGCTCGGTCCGGAGCCCCGGACGCGCGCGGGCGACACCTTGGGACGAGCCGAGCGGTTGTTCCAGCCAGGGGGCTCGGGACCGCGACATACAGGCAAAAGACCGCATGATGGACGTCCCCTGGAAGTGAAAGAGCACTTCCCGGTGCGCGCGCGCGCGATCCCGCTTCCACGAGGCCACGCGGGGAGGGGCAGGCATGGCTGCTCGAGAGCGCCGTGCGGGGGCGGCGCACCTGCTCCACGATGGCGATCTTGAGGTTCTCATTCTTCGAGAGCTCGTAAGCGCACGACAGACCGGCGGAACCGGCGCCCATGATGATGACGTCGGCCTCGGCAAACTCTGCGGTTCACCGGGGCTCGTCGACGGGGCACGGATGAGGCAATGTCGCATCGCGGATGTCCAGGATCTATTGCGTACACTGCGGTTCCGCGCCGGGCGCGGGGGACGTCGCGCCCCGCGCGCGAGGCCGGAGACCTCGTGCCACCCAGGTCGTCGAACCGGGCCGGAACGGGGGCGCACCGTTCAGGTCGTTGAAGTACCGCTTGGTCATAGCGCGGCTGACCTCAGACTCGCGGATGGGCTCGAAGGTGAACCCGTCCATGGGCGTCGTCGCGCCACCCAGCTGCTGGTAGCTGTTGGGCGGCAGCGCCTGCGCCCTGACGGCGACCGAGGCCCGGCCGGCGCGGCGGGAGCCGGCCTTCTTCTGGGCCACGGCGGCGAAGCTGGAGAGCTTGAGGGCGGCGTTCATCTGCGGCGCGGAGGGGCCCAGGGAGGAGCAACTGGATGAGAGGCTGCAGGAGCGGCTGATTTCGGCGCTCGCGGACACGCGGCGCGAGATGCGCGGAACACCGGTGCTGCGCGGAAGTGGAGCGAGCACACGGCGCGCGCGGGGGCGGGCCCGGCCCCCCTGCGCGCGCTGCGGGCGTCGCGACGAGGCCCAGCCGACTTCGGGCCAAAAGCGATTACCCGGGCGGTGCGGGCTTACCTTGACCGATCTGTCGAGTGTCTCTGCTCTGTAAGAGTGAGTGCTCGCGGCCGCGGGCGCCGGCGCCCCTCGTCGGCGCCGCAGCGGGCGGAGCTGGGCCTGTCAGCTCGCCTGGAGCTCTCCGGGTGCAACCAATCACGCCCTGCTGCCGGCTCCGTCGGGCGATGTTGCCTTCCGTCGGCGCGAACGCATGTATACATCGCGACTCGCGTCCCAGCGCGCCGCGGCCCGTACAGGAGCGCTTACGACGCCGCACACGACCTCGCGACGAGCAACAACCGCTCTCAGGCGCTCGCGTCCGCCGGTGGCCCCGCACTCGCGGCGAAACTCGCGCGCCGGGCTCGCGCGTGTCGCCCACTCGCGGCCTGTCGCTGCGGCGAGCGCTGCCGGGCGGCACAGGGGCGGCGATGGCGGCAGAAGTCTCCGCGCCAGCCTCTCACGGGCCGCAGCAGGTCACCCGTAGGCTCTCGTTCGGAGACGTCTCCCTGCACCGGCCCGGTTTCCTGCACACGAGCGACATCATCACCGCCATCAGGAACCCGTCGACGGAGCGGCTCGAGGGGTGCGCCCCTGTGCCACGGTGCACCTCGAGAGCTCCCGGGTGGCGTGCGGCCGCACATTTCGATGTTGGCCGCGCGCTCGCGATCCTTGACGCGCGGTCGAGGCTCCTGTGGCGCAGGGTCCTGGCCAAGCTCACGCAGGCGGAGGCGATGGCCAAGCGCGTGAGTGACGCCGCACTGGAGCTGGCGCCGGGCAACGGGCACGGCGACCTGCGCCGTCTCAAGCGGCAATTCAAGAGCATGAAGAGCAACTTCATGCAGTTCGACGTCAAGGAGTCGTTCATGGACGGTCTGCTGGATGGCCGCCCAGGAGAATTCGAGCAGGTGAGAGGCAGCTCCCGGCGCCGCGGGTCGCCCCGCCCCCGACGAGGCCGCACGCGCCCGTCCCGCGCTCTCCAGTGCACGTGCGACGAGGTCACCCGCGGAACGCGCGCAGAGGCCGCTCCGCTGCGCGCGGGCAGCCGCTGGTAGCCACCTCCTCCCTCCTGCGCGGGGCGCGCCGCGCCCGCCCGCCCACGCCCCCCGCGTTGCGACGTCCCCGTTCCACGCACGATCGCAGGCGTACCACGAGCAGTTCCTGTCCGAGATCGGCCAGAACCAGGCCGAGCTGGGCGAGTGCAAGGCCCTGAACGCTGAGCTCCGGACGCGGATCCAGGAGGACATCGCGGCCATCTGCGCGCAGACCGCGGAGATCTCCGAACTCCACGCGACGGTCGCCGCGCAGCTCGACGCGCTGAAGGTCCGCAGAAGCGCCCCGCCACGCGCCCGACGCTCCCTGCAGCAACAACAGCGCCCTGCCGCGCCCGCCCCGGCCGACGCACGCCGCGCCCGCCCCGGTCCTTGCAGGCGGAGGAGGCTGCACACGCGGAGCACCTCGCGCAGCAGCCGCCGCTGCCCGCCGTCCCCCCCGCGCCCACGATGGGCGACTGCAAGGCCCTGCTGGCCCAGGTGAGAACACCCCCGGCGCGGCCGCGGCCCGCACGCGACGGAGCGGAACACGGCCCGCGCCCGCGGCGCCGGTCGCCGGGGCGGCGGGGGCACCGGCCGGGCCGTGGCGGAGGCGCCGCGTCCACCGGCGTTGCCCGCAGCGCCCTGTGGTGGCGCGAGAGCCGCGCCCGCGCCCGCGGCGTGCCACGGCCCGCGCGCGCGACCGAGCCGCTGCCGTCCGCGCCCACCGCGCAGGCCGACAAGGAGGCGCGGGAGCTCGAGGCGGCGCTGTCTGCGGCAACGCGCCGGACCTGCAGGGGCGCGGAGGACGCGGGGCTCGAGCTGGCGGGGCTGCGGTCGCAGGCGGCGGCGCTGGAGGCGACGTGCGCGCGCGGGGGCGCCGAGGGCGGCGCGGGCGCGCGGGAGCGGGCGAGTGAGGCGGCGCTGGCAGCCGCGCAGTGGTCGGAGCGGCTGGCGGCGGTGTGCGGCGCGGTCGGGGGCGTGCGCGTCGAGCGGCTGGAGGGGAGTGTGGCGGAGCTCGGCGTGGAGGTGCTCGTGCCGCGGGGCGGCGGCGGGCAGGAGGTGGCGGGGGTGCCGCTGTCGGGGGCCGTGGAGGCGCGGCGCGCGACGCTCCGCGTGCAGCTCCGCGACGGACTCGTGCCGGTAGCTGCGGAGGTGAGCTGCGGCGCGCAGCCGCCGCGCGACCTGTCCGCCGTCCTGCGGGGCGCCGCGCAGGGCCCCGGTGCGCTGGCGAGCCTCGTGGCTGCCGTCCGACGCGAGCTGGCGTCCGCGCAGCCCCCGCGGGTGTGATGCGAGCGAGGAACGCGAGTCCCGGCCGGCGGCGGAGGCGGAGGGTGGCCGGTGCGTGGCCCGCAGCGGTGCGGGCCCGCGTCGAGATCTGGGTGGTGGTGGCGGGCAGGCGCGATTGCCCGGCGCGGGCGAGGTGGCGCGGGCGACGAGGGCGGCGGGGGGGGATCGGGAGCGCGCGCGGCGGGCGCGGGCGGGGCGGCGGCGGCGCGCGCGGTCGGGGGTTCGCGGGGGGGGCTGGCCTGTGTCAGGGGGGAGCTGGAAAGGCAACGGACGCCCGGCGCTGGGCGGGCTATGTGCGCGCCGGGCGGCCGGCCCGGGTCAGATTGCGTCGACCAGAACACGGAGATCGCGCACGAGGCACGAGAAGCAACGAGTCGGCAGCGATGAAGCTCAGCACCGCGTTGGCAGAGGGCACAGGTGCGCTGGCAATGACCCGCGCGCCCCGCCGCGCACCGGGGCCCACCGGCGCAGATACAGCGCGCGCTTGTTTCCTGACGAGGTGTAGATGCGGCCGCGCGCCGCTGACGCGCTGAGCGCGGCGCTGTCCGTTGCTATCCCTCCAACGTCCGTTCGCTGCCTCCTACGGTCACCCGTCCGTCTCCGGCGCGCGCTGCGGGCGCCGCGCGCGCTGCGTGCGGCCCCGCCGAGCTCCCGCGTTGCCGCTGACCTCCGGACGCCCGGGCCCCCGCTCGCACGCAGGCGCGGCGGTCGTGGGCGCGCAGGGTCCTCCGCGCCACAAGAACCTCTTCCTGCCGCCGAAGCATCTGATGCCGCTGCGCATCACCGGCGCCGAGGACGAGGACCCGGCGCTCGGGTCCACCGTGCACAACTGCGACGCGGGGGACGCGCCGACGCCGCGGCACGACGCCGCGCGCGGCAAGGGGCTGGGAGCGGAGGACATCTTGGACGAGCTCGCGCGCGGGGGCGACCCCACGCCGGGGCTGCCGTTCCTGATGCCGCTCGCGGACCCGGCCGCGGGGCTCGACCAGCACGAGTGGGTCCTCGACCGCCTGCGCGAGGGCCTGCACGGCCTGGCGTGCCCAGAGAGCCGGCGGCGCGAGACGTGGTCCCGCGCGCAGTTCGAGATCAAGGGCGAGCTCGGGAGCGGCTACGCGTCCAAGGTAGGTCGCGGGAGCCCGCCGCGCGGCCCGCCGCGGCTCCGCGCGCGCGCAGGGCCGCCGGAAGACGGATCGTTGTGCCCGTTGCTCTCTTGAGCGGTCGCCCGCGCGCCCCGGCTCCGCGGGACCTGCGCGCGCGCCCCGCTTCGCTCCGCAGGTTTTCCTGGCGTGCGACACGATCGCGGGCGGCATGGTCGCCCTCAAGCGGTACGACACTCGGAAGATGTCGCGGATTCAGAAACTGCAGGTGGCGCGCGAGGTGCTCCTGCACTCCTCGATCGCGCACCCGTGCATCGTGCCGCTGTACGCCGCGTTCGAGGACGCGGGCTACGTGTTCATGGTCATGGAGTACTGCGAGGTGAGTGCCCCGGCGGGGCGCTCGCGGACTCGGTGCCCTGCAGCCCCATGCGCGCCATCGCTCGACCCGGCGCGGCTGGCCGCGAGCGACCCCTGAGCCCCCGGCGGCGCCACCCCCCGCTCGCAGGGCGCGGACCTGTTCCACTTCATGCGCCCGGACGGCTCCTCCACGTCGCGCGTCATGACTGACCGGCAGATCGTGCGCACCGTCCTCGCGCCGATGCTGGCGGGCATCGTGCACCTCCACGGCAAGGGCATCATCCACCGCGACATCAAGCCCGAGAACGCGGTGCTGGACAAGCACGGCAAGCTCAAGGTCACCGACCTCGGGTGCGCCCCAACGCTGTGCATGTGCACAACACGGTGCCCCCCCTGCCGCGCGTGTCCGTGCGCCGCGCACGCCACCCGCCGTCGAGCTCACCCCGCGCGGCACCGCCCGTCCGGCCCGCAGGCTCGCGATCCAGTACGGCAGCGAGCGCCCCCGGTCCCGCGTGGGTACGCTGGACTTCATGCCCCCGGAGGTCATGAACGGCAAGGTGCGCGTGGTGCAGGCGCGGAACCGCGACTCGTTCGCGTGGCACTCGATGACCCTGGACGGCTCGCCGGCCGGGCCGAAGCTCGACATCACCAAGGTCGAGCCCTACGACGGCAAGTGCGACGTGTGGTCGCTCGGCGTCCTGGTGTACGAGGTCGCCGTCGGCTGGTCGCCCTTCACCGGCCACAGCCGCAGCTCGACCTCCAGGCACATCATGGAGGGCAACATGCGCCACCTCCCGCCGACCGTCTCCAGCGACATGAGGCGCTTCATCACCAGCTGCCTCCGGCCCGACCCGGCCAACCGCCCCTCCGTCTTCAGGTGCGCGCCACGCGCCCCGCGCCCCGTGCGCCCGCGCGCGCCCCTCGCCGCGCGGACCGCCCGCCGACGCCTCGCACGCCGCCCCCGCCCGCGCAGGCTGCTGATGTCGGACCTGGTGCAGCGGCACGCGTCGGACATGCAGATCATCGCCGATGCGCTGGTCGAGTCGTCCTCCCTGTGCTTCGAGGCCCGCCGCGCCATCCTGGCCCTGGGCGCCGGCGCCTCCCCGGCCGCCAGCGCCGCCAAGCCCCGCCGCGCCACCCTGCGGCTCGGCGGCAGCCGCGGCCCGCCGCGGCTCGGGCTGCGGCACAGCGCCGTCGAGTTCACGACGGGCGTCGAGATCAACTCGCCCCGCGACCTCGCCGCGCACCTCGGCGCCACGCAGACCTACAAGCCCGCGGTCAACAAGGCGCCCTCCAAGACCGAGTCGGACACCTCCGACGGGTCGACCGAGCGCGGGAACGTCGCCATCTCGCACAGCTCGATCTCCACGGCGTCGCTCGGCGCGGTCTCCACGCCCGGGGCTGCGCGCGAGGCGCCTTCGCTGATGACGCGCACCACGGGGCACCGCAGCGGGGCCGGGAAGGGGCTGTCGCGCTTCTTCAGGCGCGCCTTGTTCTCGGACGCCGGCAAGAAGCGGCCGTGACGCGGAGACGACCCCTGCTCGCCGCACTCCGCGCCCCGCCCCCCAACCAGCAAGGCAATCGGTTTGATCTTGACATTGCGACTTGAACCTGATGGTCCTCCAGACTTAGACTCGCCCAACCACCTGCCCCCTTTGTTGCGTACGTGTAGTTGTCCCCAAGCACCGCGCGCACCGCGCGCACCGCGCTGCTCTCGCAGCAGCTTGTCCCTGCGCGCTCCAAGTTGAGTTTGGATGACAACGCCCACGTCGTTGGCAAACCCTCTCTCCTTGTTATTCCTCCCCAATTTTCTGTCTCCCGGGACGCTACATTCCAGTACACACCTTTGTTTCTCACAACGAGCCCGCCGCCGACACAAGTGACCGCAACATGTGATGACCTTTCGGGCCTCCCCGACCTGTGCAACGCACCTGGCGAGCCGGCTGTCACGAGCAGAACACGCACCAAGGCTTCTACGCGCAGCGCAGGCCAGCCGCTGCGTACAGCGCAGGGCGCGCGGCAGGACGAGCGGGACGCCCCGCTTGTACTTCGCTGACCTACAAGCAGCCCCGCTGCCCTGACCAGGGCCGCGCAGAGCAATAGTACGAGCGGGAAGAACGAGCCGACGAGGCAGGTGACACGTAGCAGCGCGGGTGACGCGTGACTGCGTGCACGGATCCGCTGCGTTCACAACCCTCCTGGGCGCGACCTCCTCCTCCTCGTGCGGCTCCGGCCGCGCACGTGCACTCCGACTCCTCGGCCGACGATCCGCGGCACCTCCTGGCGCGCCCCACGTCGCCTGTTCGTCCTGCTGCGGAGCACCGAACATGGCCCCGCAAGGTTCATCCGTCATCGGCGCCGCAGGTCGCGGTCGGCCGCGGGCGGTCGCGGGCCACGTCGTCGGGTCGCGGGCGGCCGCGGGCGGCCGCGGGTGGTCGCGACAGGTCGCGGTGGGCCGCGGGCGCGAGTGGTGGTCGACTGAGGGTGGTGTGCTGTTCCGTCTTGCTGGCGGCCGCGCATGGACGAGTCCGGAGGGTCACGGTCGGCCGCGGTGGGTCGCGGCCGGCCGCGGGAGGTCGCGGTCGGCCGCGGAGGGTCGCGGTCGGCCGCGGAGGGTCGCGGTCCTCGACTCGAGCTGGTTGGTCATCCTGTCGTCTGGCTGCTGCACGTAGGTAGACGAAGCCCTCCGACTGCCTGATCCTGCGGCCCTCGCGCCTCCACCTCCACCTCCACGTCGCGTCGTCGCCGGTTCGCCTGCGTCCTTGGTGCGCGTGCTGTTCCGACTGTTGCCCATCCGCCTGGCCGCGGCTTGTCTCGACCTGATCTCGACAGGAGAGCTTGCGTGTCCGTCTCGACCGTCCCTCCCGGGGCGTGTTCGACGTGCTTCTCTCGATCCCGGCGCGCCACTTGACGCTTGCCTCGCGGTCCGACGCCCTGCAACTTATGACGCGCTGCGTTGAGGGCCAAGGCGGTGCGCGCCACCGTTGCACGGGCGTTCAGCGTGCCGGCAGCCACCGCGGGACCCGCGCTCACCTGTGCGGCCCACGCGTCGTGCAGCCCCGGCGTGCGCCTCGCCCTGCCTGCAGCCTGATGCTGAGTCATGTCAGACACGGAGTGGCACGCGGGCGCAGGCCGTCGTCGCAGGGCGCGGGGCGCAGGCGAGCGGACGCACCGTTCGTCGCGCCGGCGTGGCTCCCTCTCCCCCGCCTCGCGCCTCACCTGCGGGCTGAATCTCCGCGTGTCAGTGCCACGCACGCGCGAGGGGCGCCGCATCCTCAGCCGGTCGAAACTGCGGTACGCACCTCAGATGCTGCGCCACGTCGTGCCGCTGGCCTCGGTTTCCGGCGTCGGAGCTCGTGCCTCCTCGTCGCGTGTTCATAGGCGCTCCATCCTGCACGTCCCCTGAAGGTCCTCGTTTGGCGCGCGCGCTACACGGCGAGCGGCGTTCCGGGACGAGAGACATTTGTTCAGCGGGCGGAGGGGCGTCGCGCCGCCCGCGGGGCCTCACCAGGCAGTTTCTGGCACTCGGTCGATCTTCGGACAGTGACGACCCTCGGACGGCCTTGCGGCGATCGCGCTCCCTTGTTAGCGACGCCCCTTCACGCATTACCTCCTGATTCGAGCTTCGGGCCTCCTGCATGGCCGGCGAGGACATGGACGACTCCGGTCGGCGGATAGAAGTGCAGGGCAGCAAGCCCGGGGTGCGGGCCGCCGCACGCGGTCGACCTGGGAGCGCCAGGTGGTGGGAATCTGGGATGTTGTGATTGGTTCGCGATACCTTGACGAAGCAGGCGCGCTATCCGCAGACTGTGTGTCCTCGTGCTGAGCTGGCCGACTCTTGAGGAGCGGTTGCCACCGCCTTCCAGACGCCGGAACCCTCGCTGGACGACTTCCTCGATGATCTTTGCTCCCACGGGCCGCCCGTAGCACCCGGTCGCCCCCACGACGCGCGCGGTGTCAACGTCGCTTGATCAAAGCGGTTGATGAGGGTCCTCGCGCTCCGAGCAAGGCGCCGCCGCGGTGAGCGGCACAACGACTCGCCTTCATGGAAGGTATTCTCTGCGATGATGCGCCAGCACGGGGACGGCCTCGCGTCGATGGTCGCTGTCCATAGCTGACGTCACCTTCGGTGCCGGATATCCCTCACCCTACGCGTGTTCGTGCCCTTGTTTTCATCTGGTAGAGCTGACGTCGCTATTTCCTGCGAAGTCTGTTTTCGTCGGGCTCGCGCAGCGCCCTTTCTGGCCGGGGGCCGCGACAGAGGGGGAGTGTGGTCAGCAACTGGGCGTCAGGGCGCGCCGTGCCATCCCGAGGCGCCCGCGACCTCCTCGGCGAGGGCTCCTCGTCCACCTACCGCGTCCCGCCGGCGACGAGGGCACATGGTGTCGCAGAGCTCACGCCGCAAGTGCCCAGTGCTGGCAGTGCAGCTGAATCACGGGGCGGCGTTCAGCGGACCGCGTTGCGGCAGCTGGCCCCCGCACGTGCACCGCGCCGACGTCACACGCAGCCGCGCCGGTCAGGCGCACGGCGGCCACAAATGCTGCTCGTTCCCCGCGTCGTTCGGCCCCTGCCCCTTCTGCGCCCCCGCTGCCCCCTGCGCGCCCGCGCCCACCACCCCCATCGGCCACGTCGTTGGAGGCAGCGTCGCGGGCGCCGGCGCGCCGTTCGCGCCTTGCCCGCCGTCCCCCGACGCCCGCGCACCGTTCCCTGCACGACACGAGCAGCCGACGAACGCGCTCACGCGACATGCGCCCGCGCCCAGCCTGCCGCGAGCGCCTCCGCACCGCACGGGGCCGCGCTCACCTGCCGCGCCCACGCCGGGCGGCGCCGCGCTGGAGCTCGGCCCCTCGCCCGCCGCACCGACCGCCTGGGAGGGCGCCCCCGCCGCGCCCACGGGCCGCCCGACGCCGCCCATCACGCCCGGGAACCCCGGCATCCCCGGCACGCCCGGCATGCACATCCCGGCCATCGGGTGCATGCCCATCTGGGGGAACCCCGGCTGACCCCCCCCCTGCTCCACGCCCCCGCCCATGCCCATGCCCCCTGCGCGCGCGGGGCGGCGGACGCCGGACGGTCGCAACGGCGCGCCCGCGGGATGCGTCGGGCCGCACGCCACCGCTCGAGCGGCGCGTCACGTGCCCGCGCACACAGCGTGCTGCGGCGTGCGCGGCGGCGCGGCTCACCTCCCATGATGGCCTGCGCTATCTGGTAGTGGTTGGCCGACTCGTACTTGGCGACGCGCTCCTGGAGGTACTTGTTGAGCTCCTTGAGCTGGTAGTTCTGCTGCCGGAGCATCGACAGGAGCTTGATCGTGTCCACGAGGATCGACAGCTTGTCCGTCTTGGGGGCCTGCGAGGCGCGGCGGGCGCGCGGGGCAGGTCGGCCGCGCGGCGCGGGCGCGGTGAGGGTGCGTGCTGCGCGGCACGCAGGGCGCGCCAGGCGGGTGCGCGCGGGGGGTCCCGCACCTCGCCCGGGTCGATCAGGCGCGCGAGCTCGACGAAACGCTGGTTTATGCGCTCGCGCCGCTGCTTCTCGCGGCACGCCTTGTTCTTGGCGGCCTGCGCCTGCTTCGCACTCCGCCTCCCAGGGGCCTCGTCGCCTGCGCGGGGGGAAAACACGCGCGCGCGCCGGCTCAGCGGACAGGCACCAACGCGTGGACGGTCGTCGGCGCGGCCCGGCCCGCGCGCGGGGGCCGCCACGCGTCGTGCGGGAGGGGACAGCGTGGGCGCACCGCTGCCACCACTCGCGGCTCCGTCGTTCCGCTGCCGCTTCGCCTGCGGCTCCGCGGCGTCGGCGTCGTCGGCCCCGTCGTCGCCATCCTCCTCGCGCGCGCGCCGCCCCGCCAGCAGCTGCTGCTCGGGATCCTCGAGCTCCAGGAGCAACTGGTTAAAGTAGTCGCTCTCGAGCCCGGGGCTGACGCCAATCCCGCCTGGGCCGCTCATAGGGGCCGCCGAGAAATCCGAATATTCGAACCTCGCGCCCCGCCACCTCAACACGCCCCCGGACGGCGAGCGATTCGCCAGCTGCTCGGCCGAGGCGTCCGACGGCCCGCACCGCCCTACGCGCGCGCCTCAGTCACTTCCACGCCACGGAGCTGCCGCCAGACCGCAGTCTATTCGATCGGCCGTCGGAAGGAACTCCCCCGCGCGCGCACGAACGCGCCCGAAAGACGACGGGCCGCCTCTGTCCCGCCTTGCGCAAAGCGTGTGCCTGCCACGCCCAGGGTCAGACCCGCCCACACGCCGCGCCGCCCGCGCGCGCCGCCCGCCATCGCGCCCCGCCGTCGCCGCGGCCCCACACTCGCGCCCACGTCGTCGCTCCGCGCTCCTCCGCGCCCCTCGGCGACCCAGCACCACCATCTGATTTCACCCCGCGCGCCACCGGGCGACGCGGACCGGGCGGGGCGCCGCGGGCGAGCCGCGAGGGGCCCGCGCGTCGCCGGAGGCCGGCGGCCGCGAGCGCCGCGGAGATGTCCGCGCGGGGCGAGCCGCGCGGCGCACCGGGCGTGCGGGCGGGACGCGGCGCGGCTGTCGCCCGCGTGGCAGGCGTGGTCTGACGACGGGCCGCTCGGCGCCGGCTGCCGGCGGGCTGTGTCGCACGTCACGGGCGGGGGATTGCCCGGGCTGGCCCCACCGCGCGGCTTCGAGGGGGCGACCAAGGCGCAGAAGGCCGCGCAGCCCACGGTGATGCTCTTCGGGCGGCGCGTCCCTGGAAAGAGACCGATGTACTACGCCCTGCAGGTGAGCGCCAGACCGGAAAGGCGCCGCCGCGAGCGCCCCGCGCGTGCTCCTGCCCTGCGCTGGGGCCGAGGGGCGCTCGCCGCGAGCGCCTCGCGCGACTCGCGCCCCTTGCGTCGGTGCAGCATCGAACCCTTCTTGAGCTTGCCATCGGTGGGCGATGCACGATCGCGGACCGCTGTTGCGGGACGGGGGGGCCCGCCCCAGTGGCGCGCAAGGGTGATGGTCGCTCGTGGCGCGCTCGTGGGCGGGGTGCTCCAACCGCCGTCTCCGTTCGCGCGTTCGCACGTGCAGAGCATTCCGGGGCTCGGGAGGACGTTGGCGCTGCAGGTGTGCGAGCACATGGGGTTCAGCAGGGACCTGCCCCTCGGGCAGGCGACCGCCGCCGAGCTGCGACGACTGCAGTCCTTCGTGGAGCAGAACTACTACGTTGAGGGAGAGCTGAGGAAGCTGGAGGCGGCGGACATCGACCGGCTGAAGCGGATCCGGTGCGCGCCCGCGCTCACGCCCCGCCACCCGTCCAACGCGCACCCGTCGTCGCGGGCCCGACACGCGGCGCGGCTCCCACCCCGGCACGTCCCGGTCGCCCCGACGTACCCGCACCTCCCCCGCCCGCCGCGCACCGCAGGTGCTACCGCGGCCTGCGCCACCTGAAGGAGATCGGGCCCGTGGAGCACGCGAAGCGACGAGGCACGGCCAAGACGAAGCCTGGGCGGCCGCCCGGGAAGTAGGGGGCTCGCTCGCTCGCCGCGCAGCCGCGTGTCAGCGCGCGCCACGAGGGCGACGGAGCACGTTTGTGACATCACACCGCCGCCGCGCGCAGCTCCTGCAGGTACACGGGGGCGTCGTCGCCCACCTCCCGCAGCCAGCCCGCCTCCCGCACCGCCGCCATGCAGTCCGCGCTCGCGCCCACCGCGGCGTTCAGCGCCGCACACACCACGTCAACGTACTCGGACGCCTCCAGCGCGTCGGCCCCCGCGCCCTGCCCGTCCTGGTCCTGCAGGACCTCCAAGCAGTGCTTTGCCGCGGCGAGCGGCGTCGCGCAGGCGCCCCTGACCAAGCTCGCCGTCAGACCGGCGCAGGGGGGGGTGGATGCCACCAGTGTGCACACCAGTTGCGCAACGGCGGCCCCCACGGGCGCGAGCGCCTGGCTCGCCCTCGGCGGCGTGCCCAGGTGCGGGACGGCCGCGAGCACCGCCAGCGCCGCGTCGCGTGGCAGCTGGGCGTCCGGGGGGGGGGTCCTGCTGCAGTGGCGTGCAGCACCGCCGACAGCGCGCGCGACACGTTCCCCGCCACCCTCCACGCGTCGATCGTGGCCAGCCTGCCATGGTGCCCCGCGCGGAGGTCGGACAGGCACGTCGCCAGCGCCCGCAGCAGCTCCGCGGCCGCTCCGCAGCCCAACAGCGCACCTGCGCCCGCGCGGTCCTGCGCGACCATCAAGAGCGCCGGACACAGGAAGAGCGTGCCGTCCGCGACGCCGCCGTGGCTGTCGGGCGCGCGGAGGCGCAGGCAGTACGGCAGCACCGCCACCAGGGGCTGGCGCAGCGCGTCGGGGACCTCGGCCAGGAAGCGCCCCAGCGCGCGCACCGCCGCGACGTCCACGAGCGGGGACGCCTGGATTTCTTGCTTCGCGGCGTGCGAGAGGTACTCCAGGACCACCTGCGCGCGCAGCGACCCCGGCAGCGCGTCTCGCCACGGTCGCGCGTACGCGTGAGCGAACGAACGCACGCGACACCTGCCCGCGCGCACCTGGAACACCGACATCAGCCGCCCGAAGGCGCGCTCCGTCACGTCGGCCTCGAGGACCACGCCGCCCCCCTCCTCGCCCTCCACCAGCGCGGACACCACCGCCTCCAACAACGCAAACAGTGGCGGCAGCAGCGCCTCGGCCCGCGCGCCCGCCGTGGTCGTCCCCTCCGCGAACGCGCCCTTGCCGCGCCCCGGCTCCGGCAGGTCCTCCACCCGCGGCGGCCGGTGCGGCTGCGGCGCCTGCTCACCATCCTCCGCGTCGTCCTCCTCCTCGACCTCCATGGCGGCCTTCCGCGCGCCCTCCGCGGCGCCGTCCGCGACCACCATGCCCTCGACGAGCGTGCGCTGCAGCTCGCGCAGCTGCTCACCGAGCGGCTTCGCGTCGCGCGCCTCCGCCTCCGCCGCCGCCGCCGCCGCCGCCTGCGCGCGCCTGCGCTCCCTCGCCGCCGCCAGGTTCGCCGCGGCCGCCTCCGCGGTCACCTCGACGGCGGCCCCGTACATGTCGGGCACGGGCTGCTCCGGGTCCATGGCGTCGCACAGCAGCAGCGGCACCTCGACCCCCGCCACCTCGGCCAGCACCGTCAGCGCGGTGCCCCCGCGGGCGGCCAGGGCGCTGCCCGCGCCGCCGAGCACCCAGCGCCACCCGTACAGCTCCGAGAGCGTCCCCGCCAGCACGAGCGCCTGCTGCCGCGTCCCGAGCGCCGTGCGCGACGACAGGATGGTGACCAGCCCGTCGCGCATCGGACGCAGCGCCGCGGCGGGGAGGGCGCACGGCGCGGGCCCGTGCAGGCCGCGCAGCACCTGCGCGACGGCGAGGAGCGACGACAGCGCCTCGAGCTGCAGCGCAGCGGTGCTGGCTGCGGGGGTGGTTGCCTGCGCCGTGTCGTCGCGCGGCGCCCGGTGCAGCGCGAGGCACTCCGCGAGCCCCGCGGCGACGCCCGCGAGGCTGCTCCGCGCGGCGGCGGACGCCTCGCCGCGCCCCGCGTCCCGCGTCCACGCCCGCGCCAGCGCGCACCGCCCTGCACAGGTGCCCGAGCCTCTCGACGCCCGCCTCCCCCGAGCGCTGGACCGCACCCAGCTCCAGCGCCATGCCCTGCGCGAGCAGCGCGAGCCCGCCGTCGCCGAGCAGCGCGGCCGCCGCCGCGGGCGACGCCTCGGCCACGCGCGCCGCAGCGGCCACCGCGTCGCCGCGGACGTCCTCCGGGGCGGCGTAGATGTCCCGCAGCGCCGCGTCGCCCGCGGCCTCGCTGGCCCGCTCGAGCGCCGTCGAGCCCGTGCACGCGATGCGCAGCATGGCTGCGGCGCGGCCGGAGACCTCTGGTCGGCTGGCCAGCTCCGGGAAGCTCGCCAGGGCCGCGCACACCGCCGCGGCCAGGCTGCGGGAGGCCGCGTCCTGCTTCGCGAGCTGCGCGTCTGTCTCGTTCCCTCGTCTCGGCGCCGGAATCATCAGGCGGGAGAGGAAGCCGCCCCCCATGGCGTCGAGAACAGCCTCCGCTGCTGCGCGGTCGCCCGGGTCGAGCATGCGCGCCACCATGAGCAGCCCGACGAACTTCTTCTCGTCGCTCGTGGACCGCAGCAGGTCTAAGCTCTGCTCCAGGACCACCTTGCGCCGCTCGGGGTCCGTCGCGCGCAGCCCGCGGGGGTCTGCGCCGCCGGGGGCACTTGGGGGGACCCGCGGGGCCGCGCCGCCGGTCCTGGGAGCACCCGGCTGCCCCCCGCGGGACTCGCAGTCGACGGCATTCATCGCTCCGCGCTCCGAACGTGGCGCAGGTGCGCCGCTCGGGCTGCACGCACCCGCGGTGGCCGGCGTGAGGAAGCCTCTCCGCATCGCGACCCTCAACGGCGGTTCGCCGCCCACCGTGAGCTCGTCCGCTGAGAGCGCTGCCTCGTGCGCGGCCCCATCGAGCCGCGGGGTGCTCGGAGTACATCCAAGTTGTACCATTCACACTGACTGACTGACTCGGTCGGACAAATGAAGCGGCCGCGGCGCCGCGCAGCAGCCCGCACGCCAGCGCCCCGCACGACGCACATCCGCGACGCCGCCGCGGGCCCCTCCCGGCACGCGGCCGGGTTCTGGTGCGCGCCTCCAGCCCTAGCTGTGCTTGTCGGACTTGTGCCGCTTCGCCTTCTTCTCGCCCCCCTTGCCCGCCCGAACCTTGTCCTTCTTGTCCTTCTTGTCCTTCTTGTCCTTCTTCTCCTTCTTCCCCCCGTGCGCCCGCACCCCCCCCTCCTTCTCCACCACCGCCTTCCTCGCCACAGCCCCCTCCCGATACGACGCCACCATGCTAAAGTGCCCCTCGCCCACCTGCACGGGCAGCGGCCGCGCGCCGGCACCGTGACATCCCGACAGCACGCACGCACGCACGCACGCACGCACGCACGCACCCAACCTGCGCATGTCCACTGTGGCACAGACAGCACACGCGGCGCGTCGAGCGCGGTGGGTGCGCCGGCGCGCTGTCCGCCGCGCGGTCGGGCCGCGCACCAGGATCTGCGTCACCTCGCCCGCCGCCCTCGCGCCCACGCCCAGCCGCACCCCAGTCGGGGACACCCACTCCATCGCCAGCTCGTCGCACCGCATGCCCCGGGGCATCTCGCTGGCGGGAATGACGAGGTTGAAGGCGCCCGCGACCAGGACCGCGAAGTAGTCCGGGCCGACCTGCACCGCGGCGCGTCGGAGCGGGGTGTTGGCACGTCCAGGTAGGGGGTCATGACAACGACCGCACCGCCACGGTCCGGCGGCGGCGGCGCACCTTGTTGACGACGCCGGCGAGGACGTCCCCCGGCGACGGCCGGAACACCTCGAGGTGCACGTGGACGGGGATGCGCACGTACGGGAAGTAGCTGCCCACGGGGGCCGTCGCCTCGGCCGTGCGCTCCCCTCGGTACGACAGCACAACGCCGTCGTGGTCCTCGCTGTATCTGCAGCGCATCGTGCGGGCGCTCGATTCGGTCTTTGTCTGCGCCTGATGGGCCGGGGCGGCGCTCGGCTGCTGTGCCGCACCAAGCACGTCTATCGGAGGGCGAGCGGTCGCGGGCAGCGGCAAGCCGCGGCAGCTCGAATTGGACGGCGTGGTGGCACTCGTCCGGCGCAGCGCATTTGGGCGTTGGCGCGGGGGCGCACGTCAGAAGCATGCCATCCAACTTCTCTCGCACTCCGGCCATCACGTCGCCCAGTTTAGACGGGCTCAGATGAAACACCACACACGTATCAAAGCCACGAATGAAATCAACAATCTCCTGTCGCTCAACTGCGACCGGAGAGCGCATGGTGGCAACGCGGCGCGGAGCTCTCCCTCCAGCAGGCAAGAAGGCTCTCACAGCGCGAGTGTTTCACGCGTGTGCACCGCTACCGATGAGAACGCGGCCTCGTGGGACACGGTCGCGTCCGGTGGCGCGCTCCGCTGAAATCCGCGCGCTCGCGGGCCCCGGCTGAGCCAGGCTCGCCCGCGCTCGGCCAATTGCACCCTCGGGGCTGTGAGCCACCCTGGGCTCGCCTGGTGAATTTCGCCGCAGCCTGCCGTCCGTGCCGTCCACGTGCAGTGCACGTCGTGCACGCTCATTCCACCTCCACTTGGCCGCTCCAGCGACGGCCCGTGCGATCAACAGAGAGCGGATCAACTGCGGGAGCTCGGCGTGTCTCTCCGCCACCGCGGTCACCGCGGCTCGCGCAAGGCTGCCGGCGCGGGGACATGTCGCAGTTTCAGGATGGCAAGGACGTGCACGTCCCCCGCCTTGACCACGGGCAGGCGGTTCTGGACGACTTTGCGCGGGTGCAGGAGAAGCTGGCGCCGCAGGTGGTGCAGGAGCGGCTGTTCAAGGACGGCTACGTCGTGATCGATGACTTCTGGGGAGCGGAGCGCGCCGCCATCTACAGATCGGAGGTGCGGTTGCGACCACGCGCCATGCCGCTGCGGGGACGTGGAGGTTCTCAGGGGCGGGCGCTGCTCGGGTCCGACGGTCTGCAGATTCACCACCTCCTGGAGCACGGGGGCATGCTGCCGAACCGCACGCAGTTCGCCAGCGCATCCGGCGGCGTCATGCAGGCCACGAAGCCCCACATCTACGAGCTGGACCTGCACCACGACCACGTCCGCGCGTCGCTGCCCGCGCTCGCGGCGCTGTTCCAGAGCACGGCCGTGCCCGACGCCATTCGCGCCGCCGCCCCGGGCCAGGTCCTGTCGGGGCCGCGGCACGTCACGCTCAAGCTGCAGGTCAACGAAGGCAACGGTGCGCGGCCGCACGCCACCCCGACGCGCCAGAACGCGCCGCCCGCGCTCGGCGCGCACCGCGCCGCAGCGCCGCTGGCCCGACCGTCGCTGAGCCTGGTCGCTGCAGGGGGGTGTTTCCCGGCGCACTACGACAACCCCGGGGCGCCGAACAAGCGGCGCGTGACGATGCTCACGTACCTCAACCCCGAGTGGAAGGACGGCGACGGCGGCGAGCTCCAGCTCCTGCCGTTCCTGTCGGAGCCCGTGCTCGTCCAGCCCGTGATGGACCGCGCAGTCTTCTTCCTGTCGGACGTCATGCTGCACAGGTGAGGTGTCATGCTCAGCATGAGGTGTCATGCTGCACAGGTGAGGCGCGCGCCGGCGCGGGCTCCGCCGCCCGCGGGTCGCGCCCCGCGCAGCCCGTGCCCCCACGGCCGCGCCAGTCCGCGTGCGTCGCAGGGTGCTGCCGGCCACGGTGCGGAGGTACTGCTTCACAGTGTGGATCGACGGGGCGCACACGAACGCCCCCGCGGACAACGCGATCAACCCCGCGGCCTTCCCGGACCTCGCGGGCCTCGTCGCGCACCTCCGCGCCTCGCCCTCCCAGCGCCTCCTGGCCCGCGTGGTCTACCAGGAGCTGTTCGCGCACTCGCTCCGCCAGTGCATGGCCGGCGCGCACGGCGAGACCGAGATGCTCGCCGCGCACGACCTGCACCTCGAGCGCGCCGCCGCCAACCGCGCCCTCATGGCCCTCGTCGCCAAGCTGCGCGAGTACCACGGCATGCTGGCCGCGCTGCACGGCTGGGACCTGCGCGTGTGACGGCGAGCTCGCACGCGCCCGCCGCCGCCGCCCCGCCGCGGCCGCCCGTCAGACGGCCATCTTCATGGCGATCTTCTTCCCGCACCGGTACTCCCTGAGCTCGAACTCGTCGAACTTGAACCCGTCGATGTCGGTGGCGTCGCTGTTGATGCGGAGCTGGGGGAAGTGCTTCGGGTGCGCCTTGAGCTGCTCCTTGAGAGGCTCGACGTGGTTGTCGTACACGTGCGCGTCGCCCAGGACGTGCACGAAGTCCCCGGGGGCCAGGCCGCACACCTGGGCGACCATGCGCGTCAGGAGCGCGTAGCTCGCGATGTTGAACGGCACGCCCAGGCCCAGGTCGCACGACCGCTGGTACATCTGGCACGACAGCTCCCCGTCGGCCACGTAGAACTGGAAGAACATGTGGCACGGCGGGAGGGCCATCTCCGGGAGCGCCACGGGGTTCCACGCCGACACCACGAGGCGGCGGTCCGTCGGGTTGTCCTTGATGCGCTGGATCGCCTGCGCCAGCTGGTCCACGCCCTGCCCGCTGTAGTCCGCGTGGCAGTCGCTGTAGGGCGCGTTGAAGTGCCGCCACTGGAACCCGTACACCGGGCCGAGGTCGCCCTCCTCGCGGTGCTGCGCGGGAACGAAAGGGCCGGGCGGCGCGTCGGGCGGCGCGGGGGGCGCGCGGAGCGTCGTTGCGGGGCGTCGTTGCGGGGCGTCGTTGCGGAGCGTCGTTGCGGGGCGTCGTTGCGGGCGGTGGTGGAGCTGCACGGGCGGCGCACCCCGAGGCCGATGTTGGCGAGGAACTCCTTCGACCCGTTGCCGTCCCAGATGTGGACGCCCTTGTCGGCGAGCTTCTTCGCGTTCGTCTCCCCGGCCACGAACCAGAGCAGCTCCTCGGCCAGCCCGCGCCAGAACACGCGCTTGGTGGTGAGGAGCGGGAAGGAGTGCCGCAGGTTGAAGCGCATCTGCCGCCCGAACACGGAGAGCGTGCCCGTGCCCGTGCGGTCCGGCCGGTGCGCGCCCTGGTCGATCACCTCGCGGATCATGTCGAGGTACTGGTACTCCTCGTGGCGGGAGGCCGTCGCGGGGGGCAGCGCGACGGGCGCGGGCGCGTCGTGGTGCGTGTACACCAGGAAGTGGTACCGCGCGTCGCCGTCGCGGCGGGGCGCGGACGCCGACCAGAGCCGCAGCGTGGGGTGGTCGGCCAGCGCGGGAAAGTGCGTGTCGCACTCGTAGTCCGTGTCCACCTGCGTGAGGTGGACCGCCTCGAGCGACGGGTGGCGGATCGCGTCCTCGTACACCTGCCCGCCGCCGATCACGAAGACGTGCTCCACCGCGCTCCCCTCGGGGCCCGTGAGGCTCTCCAGGGCGGCGTCCAGCGACGCGGCGACGCGCGCGGCGCCGGAGCTGCACGCGCCCGCTAGACTGCGGTCGGGAGCGCACGGAGAGCGGGTGCCGGTCGACCCCTGCCGCGAGTAGCGCGCCAGGGCAGCGGGAGGGCCTCAGCACGGTTTCGGCGGGACGCAGCGCGTCCAGGGGGCGCCCCGGCGCACCTAGGGGGCAGCTCGTCCGGGTTGCGCGTCAGAACGATGTTGATACGGCCAGCAAGCGGGCGGAAGCGCTCCGGTATCGACTCCCAGGTCATGCGGCCCATGATGACGGCATTCTTCAGCGTGTGGTGAGACGTCTTCATCGTGAGCTCCTTGAAGTAACGCATGTCGCCTGCGGGACCGCGTCGCAGCGAAAGGCGCTTGAGGCCCTCCCTGCGCGCGGGCCGGCCGCGGGAACGGACGCGGCGGGACGGGGCGCGCGCGGAACCGCCAAACGGCCGCTTGAGCAGGCCTGGGCGGGGTGCGCGCCTGGCAGTTTCCACGGGAGCGCTCCCTTCAAACCGATGCCCATCTGCCTCGTTGCTGCGACAACAACCTGGAAACCGCGGCGGGACATCGCCTCGGCCCCGGTCATCGCGGAACCCGCGGACACCAGGGAGCTCAGCACGGAGGAGCAGGGGCGCGGGGAGCGCTGTCACGGACGCTCGCGAGCTCAGAGCAGCTTGCCGGACGTGCTCGTGGTCGCGTTTGTCGCGGCCAGGCGCCCTCGGACGCAAAGAGGGCGGCGGCGTGGCGCGAGGTCTCAGACCGTCTCAACGGTTGGTACAATACGGCCCTCGATGAGCCGTGGGCCCGGGCTCGCGAGTCACGCACGCGCTCCCTGGACCCGCCCAGCGCCCGAGGTGGCTCCTCCGCCCCGCGGTGCGTCTTCGGTGCTGCGCGGGCCCGGGAGACGCACACCACAGACGCGCGAGCTCTTACATCACCACAGCACGCGCGAGCAGCCCGCGAGAGCAGCGCGCCCTCGCCGCCGCCCTGCGCGCCCTCCGCGCGCGCCCTACACGTCCTTGGCGGTCCCGGGGGTCTCGAACGACTTGAGGAACTGCATGGCGCCGTCGATCTCCTCCTGCTTCCGCCCGCGGCCCCAGCCCTTCTCCGCGGCCATGAGCTCGACGATGCGCGGCAGGGCGGCCTTGCAGGCCTGCGTGTCGAGGAAGGCCATGCGCGTGCGGCGCGCGATGAAGTCCTTGGCCGTCTCGCAGTACTCGTGCCGGCAGCAGTACACCACCTCGGCCTCGAGCATCGGGTGCCCGCGCACGAGCCGCTTGCCCAGCTTGAGCTCCTCGGCGAGGCGCGTGACCATGATGGCGCGGTCGCCGTACGCGTGGCTGAGGTGCAGCGCGACGTGCGTGTCGATCGAGCCCGGGCGGTGCGGGACCTTGTAGTGCTGCGCGACGTACGCGTGGTTCCCGGGCGTCCACTTCGCGGCGCCGCGCAGCTTGAGGCCGTCGGTGCGCGAGGACCCGGCCTGCAGGCCCGCGACCTCGATGGCGCGGTCGACGCCCTCCTCGGCCATGCGGCGGTAGGTGGTCCACTTGCCGCCCGCGACGGTGACCATGTCGTCGTCCTCGACGGCGATGACGTGGTCGCGCGAGATGCTCTGCGTGTCGGCGGCGGTGGGGTCGGCCGCCAGCGGGCGGATGCCGCTCCACGCGGAGAGCACGTCGCTCTTGCGGACCTCGATGGAGAGGAAGTCGCTCAGCGCGTCGAGGATGAAGTCCACCTCCTCCTCGGTCGCGCGCGGCTCCATCGTCAGGTCCGTGCTCGAGTCGGTGGTGCCCGCGATGGTGTGGTCCAGCCACGGGAGCATGAACACCACGCGCCCGTCCTTGGTCTTCGGCACGATCATGCCCATCACGCCGCCCTCCGGCGCGTAGTAGTCCGGCAGCGTGATGTGCACGCCCGCCGAGGGCATGATCATGGGCTGCCGCTTCTCGTTCGACATCTTGCGGATGCCGTCCACGAACGGCCCGCACGCGTTGATCACCACCTTGGCGTGCACGTCGAACTCCTTGCCCGTGAACATGTCGCGGCACCGCGCCCCGCGCACCTTGCCCTCGGGCGTCTTGATCAGCGACACCACCTCCGTGTGGTTGGCCACCGCCGCGCCCGCGTGCGCCGCCGAGCACGCCACCGTCGTCGCCAGCCGCGAGTCGTCGAACTGCCCGTCGTAGTACATGATCGTCCCCTTGAGCGACCGCCCGTCCGAGTGCTCCGCGCGCAGCGTCGGGAAGCGCCGCAGCGACTCCTGCGCGCGCGGGGAACTCGCGTGGGGTCGCGCCGCGTGCGGACGGCGCGGCGGGCTGCGAACGGCGCGCGGCGCGCGGCGGTGCGGGGCGGGGGCGGGGGCGCACCCTGGAGGACACGAACGAGGACCAGGTGAGGGCGCGGGTGCCCGCGATGAGGTCGTACAGGCGCAGGCCGCACCAGTAGAAGGGGATCTCCCACCAGGAGTAGCAGGGCGTCATGATGGGCAGGGAGCGCGTGAGGTGCGGCGCGTTGTCGAGCATGCCCTTGCGCTCGTGCAGGGCCTCGAAGACCAGCTTCAGCTGCCCGTAGTCCAGGTTGAACACGGCCTTCTCGAGGTACCTGACGCCGCCGTGAATCAGCTGCAACGCGACGGGGCCGGGCGGCGCGTGGGTCGGACGAGCCGCACCCGGATCCGAGACGTGCACAGCCTGGAGGCCGCGCCCGGCGCCCCCCGCGCGGCCAGCGCGCCGTGCTTCGGGCAGCGGGACCCCGGTCACGCTGATCCGCGGGCGCGCACCTTGGTCGACCGCGAGGACGTCCCTGCGGCGAAGTCTTCGCGCTCCACCATGCCGGTCTTCAGGCCACGCAGGGCCGCGTCCAGGGTGCACCCGACGCCGGTCGCTCCGCCGCCGATCACCAGGACGTCCAGCGGCTTGTCCTTGGTCGCGTGCTTCAGCGTCTGCGCCACGGGCGGGCTCGCGGCGGAGGTTCGCGTAGCCAGCAAGCAACCACCAGGTCGGTTGCGCGCGGCCCGCGACACAGGAGCGTGCCAAGCACGCTTTCCGGCGGGAGCGCCGGTGACGAGCGGCGACATCGACGGAGGTGCGCCGGGCGCTGCGATCGCGCTGGCGGTCCGCGCGGTGCGTGCGAGATGGCCAGGCGCAGGCCTGCTAGGGCATGTGGCCTCCGCCGCCTGTACACGCCCGAAATCACCCACGCGCGCTCGTTTCGCGCGGCCGAGGGCCCCAGGGCGACGCGGGCCGCGGCGCGCGCCAGGAAACGGCCGGGCGCGCGGGCGCTGGACGCGGCCAAAGTGTGGCTGCGACGCCCACGAGCTGCACGCCGGGGCGCGGACGGTGCGCGTTCGGGGGCGTGCTCACCTCGAGCTGCTTGGCGCGGTCGGGGACCGCCGAGGAGTAGTCGACGTTGGCGGCGGACTTGGCGTCCGCGACGGGGATGACGGCCAGGCCGTCGTGGTCCTCGCGGGAGAGCAGCGGCCACGCCATGACAGCGGCGCCCGACAACGCCGCCGCCCCGGCCGTGCGGCGCGCGACCCGTGCCCAGGTGGACGCCATGGTTTCAGTCGGAGCCGCCCTGGAAGCCCGCGCTGGGCTGCGCGGCAAGCAGCACGCCTGGGGCTGGCAAACCTAGCGCTCGAGGGCCGCCCGCTCACAGCTGCACGAGGACGGGCGAGTGCTCTGGTACTCCCTCGTCGGTGGACCAGGTGCGGACGAACGCGGATGCGGCGCGACGGGGCCACGCCGGCCCCAAGGCGCCGCGTGCGGCGACGGCAGGGCGCCGGGTGTCGGCGCGCCTGGTCTGCCAGGCCGACCCGGCGCGCTGCCGCTGCCGCCCGCGCGCACGCACGGGGGCGCGGGAAGCCGCGCGGCGCGACCGCGCCCCCGTCGCACTGCGTCGCGAGCACTCGCGACACGCCCACCGTGAGCACGCGCGCACCCGAGCCTCAGAGCAGGCGGGCGGCTCCGCGCACGGCTCGTGGGCCCCGCGTGCTTCCCGGCATGCGCGCCCGCGTGCCCCGCGCGAGTCGACGTGACGGCCCGCGCCTGCACGACTCACACAACCTCTGCATGTCGCGCACAACGTGCCGCGCCGCCGCTACGCGACGCGGTGTTTCTTCGGCCTCCGGCGCTCCCCCTCGGGCGACGCCGGCGCGCCGCCGTCGCGCAGGATCTGTTCGTTCGCGCCCTGCAGCTCGTTGCTGCGCGTTTGGAACGCCCGGCTGGGCTGGTCCAGCAGGATGACGGGCCCCGTGCCGGGCTGCACCGTCGCGGGGGGCGCGCCGCTCGCCCCGCCCTCCGACGCGGAGCCCCCGCGGGCCGCAACCGCGCGCATGGGGCTCACCCACACCCCCGTGGCGCGCTGCGGGGAGCGCACGACCGGCAGCGGCGCTCCGCCCCACGGGCTCGCGTAGCCGGCGGCGGGGCGCGCGGGGCTCGACGGCGGCGTCACGTCCGCGTCCGCGGCCGCGGTGCCCCTGGTCTGCGCCCTCGCCGGCGGCACCTGCCCGCTCACGGCCTCGTCCGGCGAGGTTTGCGCGGGCGGCACCGCGGGGTGCGAGCCCGCGGGCGCCTGGTCCCGCATGGCCAGGAGCTGCGACTTGAGCGCGGGCATGAAGACCTGCGGGCGCGGCGCGGGGGGGGCGGCGCTCGGGACGCTCCGCGGCGAGCAGGAGGCGCGCGGAGAGGCACAGGCGTGCGAGCGGGCGGCGGGCGGCGCGGATCGCGCGGGCGCCCACCTTGTTGTAGAACTTGATGATGTCGTTCCTCTCGCGCACGGCGAGCGACACGGGGTCCTGCCACTGCACGACCTGCCGGTACACCCCCCCGCGCACGTTGGGGATCTTCCCGTAGGCGTCGACGATGCACTTGAACTTCAGCCCCTCGCCGTTCGGGCCCGCGCCGAACCCGCGGTGCACCTTGGACACGCCGTACAGCGCGCACAGCAGCACCTGGTCGATGTGGCGGTTGAAGAAGAGCTCCAGGTGGTCGGTCAGCGCGGTGGTGACCAGGCGCATGACCAGCTTCTTCGCCTCCTCGCGCTGCTGCGGCGGGCCCAGCGAGGCCTCCGGGAGGCGGTCCACCAGCGCGCTCAGCCGCTCCTGCGCGCGCTTCAGCACGTCGCGGAAGAACTGCTCCAGGACCTTGCGCGCCGTGTTGTGCTCCGCGGCCTCCCCGCCGCCGCGCAGGTCGAGCGTCGTGGGCAGCGACGGCAGCCGCACCGCGCCGCCGCCCGGCCGCCGCACCACCATGTGCTGCCCCGCCGCCGGGTGGGCGTTCTCGTCGCCGCCGCTGGCCTCCGAGCCGTCGCCGTGCGTCTCGACGGTCTGCGTCGCCATGATCGAGGCGTGCTCGGGGTTGGCGGTCGCGCCGGCCTCCTCCGCCGTGGAGCGCGGCGAGCCCGACCCGTTGTTGGCCTCGCGCCCCGGGGTGCGCGCGTCGGGCGGGAGCGCGCCGTGCACGGCGAGGTAGAGGTTGAGGTAGAAGGACGAGCCGGGCGTCCACGCGTGCTCCTCGACGATGGAGATGAGCAGGCGCAAGATGTGCTGCGTCATGTCGCCCGGCATGTTGCCCACGTCCAGCGCGCGGCGGAACGGCTGGATGAGCTTGTACACGTCGAACGCGGTGATCCCGAGCTTCTCGAGGCTCTTCGGGAAGCGCAGGTGCAGGATGTGGCTCGCGTGGCACACCACGTCGCACGACAGCGCCACCAGCCCCACCAGGTTGGCCTCCCCCGTGAGCTGCCGCACCAGGGACCGCCGCTGGTCCGCGCTCGCGCCCGCTCCGGCGTTCAGCTGCACCATGCGCCCGATCACGAAGAACACCAGCTTCGTCGCGCACCGCGGCCGGCTCTCGCGCATGTCCTGGAACAGCGCCGGGCGCGCCCCCCGCGCCTCCCCCGGGACGTCCGCCGCGTCCTCGAACGCGCGCGCCACGAGCGACGCCGCCGCCCGCACCACGCCCGCCGCCCGCGCCTCCCCGAGCGCCTCCACCAGGAACGCCGGCGGCGCCACGGACGGGTCCGGGGCCCCCTCCAGGAGCTTGGTCAGCCACGAGTCCGACCGGATCGCGGCGGTGATGGGCGTCTGCGGCACGTGCGAGGCGTGCAGCGCGGTCGCCGCGGGGGACCGCAGCGGCGACAGCGCGCCCGCGGGGGCCGCGTCGTCCGCCCGCGCGCCGCGCCCGGGCAGGCCCCCCGACAGAAACACCGCCGCGCCGCGGTCGATGCCGCGGAACGGCGTCGCGAGGGCCTCCGCGGGCACGCGGTGCAGCGCCCCCGCGCGCGGCGTCGCCCCGGCCGCCGCGGCCCCGACCTTGCGCCCCGTGTCGCGCCACAGCAGCCGCTCGTCCAGCTCCCCCGCCGCCATGTACGTGTCCGCGTACAGGCGGTCCAGCGCCGCGACCGACGCCGCGCAGTCGCCGTCCGCGCCGACGAGGCCCTCGAGCGCCCCGCACGACGTGTCCACGTGCGCGGCGTGTGCGCTCTCCACGCGCGCCACCTGCGCCCCCCGCGCCTCGCTGAGCGCCGCGGCGACCGAGTCCTCCACCCACGGCATCAGCTCCTTGCACTGCGGGTCGGGCGGCGCGCGGGCGTGCGTGTCTGGCGGGCGCCGCGCGGTTCGTTGCGTTGGCGGTGCGTGTGAGTGCGCGCGGGGGCGCACCTCCGTGGACGTGGCCTCGCCGAGGCCGAGGTCCTGGCAGAGCGACAGCAGCGAGTCGGCGCGGCCGTCGGGCGCGGCGACGCGGAGGAGTTCCCCGGCGTTCCCCGGCGCGAACCGGCAGAGCGTGGCTGGCGCGTTGGCGAGGACCAAGTTGATGACGCACACCATGAGGATGCACGAGCGCATCTGGTCGTTCTGGAGCGAGGCGACGTCGTTGCTCCGCAGGGTGATGAACATGAGCCACGCGAGCTCGGACACGCCCTCCGGAGCCCTGCGCGCGGGCGGGAGGCGCGCAGCTGTGGGTGATTGGGCGGGCTCGGCGGGCCGCGCGGCGCCGGGCACGTCCTAGGCGAGCGGCTCGCGGCGCCGGCAGCGACGGCGACAGAGGGCCTCGGTGCGCGCGACGGTGCGCGCAATGGTCCGCCCGCCGCGGAGAGAACGCCCGAGGGAGGGGAATGACACCGCCGCGCGCACGCGCCCGCGAGAGCGAGCACGCGCCCCGCAGGCCCCGGGCCGGCCCCGCTGCGTCAGCGGGGCGACGCGCGGGCGGCCCCAGCGCCGCGCTCCGCCGGTGCGTGGCGCGCGCGCGCGTGAGGCTGAGGAATCTACCTGAGGTAGTTGTGCAGCTTCTTCTGCGCGAGGCCCTTCCACGCGGCGGTGAAGAAGAAGCGGTCGCAGAGCTGCTGCGCGTTGCGTTCGAGCAGGCTCTTGGCACCGACGTGGAACTTGGCGGTCAGCACTGGTTCGCAGCGCTGCAGGATGTCCCGGAAGTACTGCAGGAAGTCCACGTAGGGCAGCTCCGCCGCGGCGAGGATCTCCCCGAGGGGCTTCCTGTCCTTGCGCATCGTCGCGCCGGGCGTCGCGAGGCTCCGCACGACGTACGCTGTCATGGCTAGCAGGAGCTTTTCGTAGCGGGAGCGGTCGATGCCCTCCTCCACGGAGCTCGTCACGCCGCCCGGGCCGCCCAGCACCTTGTCCAGGGCGGCCACGAGGTCCATGTGGATTTCCACGTCCTGGTCGTCCCGCCCCAAGAGCTGAGCGAAGAAGGCTCGTCGCTCCATCCTGCCGTTTCGTCGGCGCCCGCCGCGCGCGTGCCGCGGCGGTTCGCGGTTCGCCCGGCGGTTCTACCTAACGCCAGCAGGCGCGCCGGGGCTGCGCGTCGCCCGCGCAGATCGCGCTTCGACCGACGTAGACCGCCTTTGGCGGGAGTTCCGACACGCGACGACAGGCCCTCCAGCACAGCGGATTCCGCCCGCGAGGCGGCAACTCAACAACAAGCTCTGCGCCACCGGGGCCGCGCGCCGCCCCCTTCACGCCCCGGGGCGCGCCGCCCGTCGTCCTTTTGGACTGCTGCTGCGAGAGGGGACCCAGGCGGCGTCAGGCGTCTCCACGTGGCGCGCGCAGCGAGCAGCCAGCTCGATGCCGTCGCTCGCGGCCGCCTCGCGCACTTCTCGCGTCGCCGAGCCGCACCGCCCTGTCGCGTCCGCAGCCGCAAGCACCCACGGCCCCAGCACCCACCTAGGAAGCGGTTCGGGCCCGCCGCAAGCGACACGCGCGCGCGCACTCTCGGCGCACTGGTAGGGACTAGACTGCACCGTGCGCTGATCGTGCGGGATGTACGCCTCGTTGCCGAGGTTCGCGGTCGCGCCGGGGCTTGCATGCCAGTGTCGGCTTAGCAGCGCCCGCTCCAAGCACGCGCCAGCGAGGCGGCCGCTGCGGCAGCGTGCGGTGACGGACGGCATGGACTTGCCGATGGGCTCGCCGGCGCCGAGTTTCATCCTGCCGGAGCCTCTCACGGGACGCCATCACAGCCTGAGCGAGCTCAACAGCGGGAAGGCGATCCTCATCATCTTCGGTGCGCACCCGCCGCCCGACAGTCGCCGCGCCCGCAACGCATCTCGGAACCGCCCGCGACGCGCCTGCGCGGGCCCCGGCGGCGAGCCGCGGCAGCGTTGTTCTCACCAAGGGCGGTTGGCCACCCCGGCGGGCACGCCAGCTGGTGCCTCGCACCTGGCGCCGCGCCCGGCCTGTGCCATGCGTACCTGCCGCGCGACTGCGGGGCACCGCGGCCGCCAGTGCGCCTCAGTTACGCCTGGACGCGCATCGTTGGCAGGCAGCTGAGCCCCCCGCTCCGCACGCCGCGAGTGTCGCACGTGGCGCTCCCTCCCAGCAGACGCTGCGACGCTCGACTCCCGAGCGACGCCCCACGCTCTGCGCGGACGCGCGATCGCCCGCGGACGGCCGTTCGGCTTCCTCTTGCTTTTGGCGCACAAGGGCGGTTCGCGCGGAACAGCCGCGGCGTGGCGGCCCTCCAGGGCCCCGCGCCAGCGCTGCCGGCAGCCACCTGTCCCTGCGCGGGACCGCACCGCGCAGCGCGCCCCCGCCGCTCCGTCCGCGGCTGGTGCTGCCGGAGACGAGGGACGCGTGGCCCGGCGCCTCAGGGCGCGCGCTGCTGTCGAACGCGGCGCCCCCGCGCGCAGTGTGCGCTCCCGCGTGCGGCGCCCCCGGGCCACCGCGTCGCGTCACCCGGAGCCCCTCGGTGCCCTCTGTCGTGCAGCGTGCAACCACTGCCCCTTCGTCGTGCATCTCCGGCAAGCGCTCATTGATCTGGCGCACGAGTACCAGCCCAAGGGCGTCCAGTTCGTGTCGATCTCGTCCAACTCCCCGCACACGCACCCCCAGGACGGCCCGGAGCAGATGGCGGAGGAGGCCCAGGCCCACAACTTCCCCTTCCCCTACCTCTACGACGGCGACACGCAGGCGCGACGCACCGCCGCGCCGCACCGCGCGCCCCGGCCACGCGCGGACGCCCCCCGCGCAGCCCCAGACCCCCCCCTTGCCTCCCCCCCGCCCCGCAGGAGGTGGCCAAGGCCTTCCGCGCGGCGTGCACCCCGGAGTTCTTCCTGTTCGACAACGCGTCCGGCGGCCCCCTCCTGGCGTACCACGGCCAGTTCGACAGCTCGCGGCCGTCCAAGTACTACGACGACTCCGCGCCCGTCACAGGTGCGCGTCCCGCCCACTGGCACGCAGTCGCTTGGGGGGCGAGCACCTCGCTTGCCGCTCCCGCGACGCATGCTCGCCCTGCCGCGGCCGGCACGATGCGCTTCCTCCGCGAACCGCCCGGCCGCGCGTTCCGCCCCCGCAGGCGAAGACCTCCGTGCCGCGCTGGACGCCGTGCTTGCCGGGGAGCCGGTGCCGTCGCCCCAGGTCCCCAGTATAGGCTGCAACATCAAGTGGACGCCCGGCAACGAGCCGGCGTGGTTCGGCGCCGGCGCCAAGTCGTCGTGACGGCGCCGAGCCGCAGCGGCGCGTGCTGCTGCAAGAGAGGCTCTGATCGCGAGGGATGGCGGCTGCCTCGCACAAGAAGCGCCGCGCGGGCATCGCCGGCCCGGCAGAGGTGCCGAGGCCGACGGCGGATGCGTTGGCTGCGACATGGAGTGTGACAGGTCGCGATACAGCTTCACAGTGGTGGACTGCACATGGTGGTCATGGGCGAGCCTGCAGCGCGGCGTCGCGGCAGCGCGCAGCCCCGGCGGCTCAGAACACGTCCGGGGGCCGCTGGCTGGGCTCGCCGACGCCGTTGGCGGCCTTGAGGTGCATGGCGAGCGAGAAGTTGTTGAGCTCCAGGGCGCGCATCTGTTCCTGGTACCGCTGGAGCATCTCGCGCAGCTGCTGCACCTCGCGCTCGCGCTCCGCCATCTCCTGCATGCGCCCGTTCTGGATGGCGACCGCGCGCTTCAGCAGCGCGTTGTCCCGCAGCTGCTGCGCCAGCTGCTGCTTCAGGTTCCGCACGTCCTCCGCCCCGCGCCCCGACCGCCCCTGCACCTCCCGCACCACCTCCTCGATCACGCGCGTCGCTCGCCGCCGCGCGTCCTCCAGGTCCGTCGCCTGCGCCATCTCCTGCACCGTGCGCTCCACCCACTGCGCCGTCGCCGAACCGTCCGCCCGGGGGCCCGACTCCCCCGACGCCCGCTGCTTCGCGCTGTGCGTCCGGCGGTGTGCCCGCTTCGCCACGCGCGCCTCGTCCGTGCCGCTGGCGGCAGCCTCAGCCTGCACACAGAGACGCAGCGCACGCTACGTGAAGACGCGCGTCCCGCGCTCGCCGCCCCGCTGCGCAGAGCTCGCAAAGAGGACAGCGCGGCGCGGCGAAGCGCCCGGCCACGCGCTGCACCCCGCCGGGCAGCGGCCGCGGGGGCCGCAAGCTCCGTGCGCAGGCAGCGCTCAACCCCGTGGCCGCGTACCTGTAGGCTCAGCTCATGCAGGCGCCTGATCGCTGCATCTACGTCGTCGCCGAACTCGTCCAGCACGCGGGTGACGGTGGTGTCATCCATGCTCGGGAACAGTGCCTTCAAGGCCTCAACGGTGGCCACGCCCACCACATACGACCGCGATGCGCCCGGGCTGCCGCAGCGAGCGGCAGCCGGACTGACGCAGCCCCTCGAGCGCTTTAGAAGCTTCCCTTGAGTTCCCCTGCGGCGGGAAGACGAGTGGGGCGGAGGCAGCGTCACTTCGTGCCGCAGCGAGCGACCGTGGACCCGGGCCGACCGAAACACGAGGCCGAATTCTCGTCCAGTTGTGCGCGCCCGCGCGCTGACGGCGTTTCCGGCGCGCGAACGGGCCGGGGGAGAACCGCGTAGCTCGTAGGTGCCGATTGTCGCGCGCATGCCGCGCAGGAAGGCGCAGAATTGCAGCGAGGGCGGCGAGTGGCGATATGACGGGCGTCAGCGTGAGTTTCTGCGCTATGATGGCCGCCGAGGGGCCAGGCGGCCGAGGTGGGCTCAGCAGCCTCTAACGAGGGGATTTCCGCGCATCATTGTGCCCCAGGCGCGTCGGGAGCGTACCCGCAGTGGTCTTCAACCTCCTCGAAATGCCTCTTGTTATGCGCGGTGACGCAAGGTGCCGCGAGCATGGGTCACACAGCCATGAAACCACAGTGCTCTTGAAAGCAGTGCGCCTGAAACACGGGGAGTAGCGGATTCACTCGCTAGCAGTGTGCTCAGCACGCAGATTCTGACGGCGGGGGCGGCAGCGCGGGCGCAATGGGGGCGCGTGGGCTTCCTGGGTGCCCGCTGAACCAGGGGGGGACCGCGGTCAGGAATTGCCCCCGGCGCGCGCTGGCAGGTGCTGCGGGCGCGTTCACCGGCGCGCCCGCGCGGCCCCCTCGCTCAGAAGGTCGCGTTGCGCGGCCGACAGGGTGAGGGCACCGGCTGTGCAGAGCTCCGTGGAGGCCTATGTCGTAGACGGCAGCATGTCGCACTACGTGTTTCACGAGCAGGCGGACCTGACGCTGACAAAGTTCAAGGCAAGCAGAGTTCCGCAGTCGCCCGCATGGAGGCACGCGAGGCGCTTTGTGGGCTGCTCTGTGCCAGCCAAGGGCATGGGTCGTTGTGCCCGCGCTGCACCGCACCGCGAGTGGCGGGCTCCTGCGCGGCGCCACCTGCTCGTCTCCACGACCGCCTGTCTGGGCCGGCGCGCCAAGATGCCGCGCCCCCCCGGGCTCGCAGCCCACGTGCCGAGCCCTTGCAGTGCACTTCCGACGTGCCGAGCACGCCCCCCCTTCCGCCCGTCCAGCGTGCGGGCCCGGACCCTGCGGCACAGCATCAGACCGCTTGCTGCGACGGGCCCGGAGCGCTGAAGGCCCGTCCCGGCCTGTGCTGTGTGCAGGAGCTGTTGGGCCAGGGCGTTGTCCGGACGATAGACCTCGGGGGGCACACCCTGGAATGCCCGGAAGGCGAGGTCGTGTGTCTGAGCCGCGAGATGGCCGTTTCGAACGGCACGATTCAGTGCGCCGGCTTCCGACAGAGGCTCTTCGGGCGCAGGAACTCGGTGTCGACGCTGCTCGTGGGCCTGCGCATCAAGGGCAACCGCTGCAAGCTGGACTCCGTGACCGTCACGGGGCTCGGGGGGGACTCCGTGGCGGTCGTGGTGGACAAGGCCGAGGGCGTGCAGCTGATTGACTGCACCATCACGGGGAACGAGGGGACAGGTGAGGCCCCGCGCGGGCGCGGGCAGAGACACCGCCCGCCTCGCGGTCCGCCGAGCGAGGCCTGCTCGAGCGCAGAGTGCTGTGCGTCGCCCCCGCGTCGCGCGGGACTGCGACGCGTTGCGGCATGTGGCGTGTGCGCGCAGGGCTGATGGTGTTCGGCAGGGGGGCGACGGCGATCGTGCGGAACGGCCGGTGCACGCGGAATCGGCGGTCGGGGCTGGTGGCGATGGCGGGCGGTCGCTGCCTCGCGCAGGGGCTCGAGGCGGACGACAACGGCACGGGGGTGACGTGTTTCCTCGAGGGGTCCGTGGTGGCGATGGAGAACGGGTCCCTGGAGAACAATCGCACGAACGGCGCCTTCGTGTTCGGCGGCGGCGTGATGAAGCTCAGCGGGGTGCGCGTCGCGGACAACGGCGGGGAGGGCGCGGCAGCGTGGGACGTGGGGACGCTGCTGGAGCTGGAAGACCAGTGCGAAATCACGCGGAACGGGGGCTACGGCCTGCACGCGGCGCGCGGCGCGCAGGTGCTCGTGTCGGGGGCCCTGGGGCTGGAGGCGAACGTGAAGGGCAGCATGCGGGAGGCCACGCGCGGAGAGATTCTCGGCGCGGAATCTCGCGGGAAGCCAGGCGTGATATCGGCGAATTCCGCGATCAGCGTGATTCCGCGCGGGCCAGCGCAGTATATGTCCAGCAGGAGCATCGCGCCGGAGCCGGGCGCATCCACGGCCGACACGATTCGGAAGCTGGAGATCGAGGGGCGCGCGGAGTCGAGCGTGGGAGGCGCACGCAGCCTGCGGCACGACACCACGTTGGACAACGGGGCTGCCGACGACGCGCCGGAAACGTCTGAAGCACACTCGTAGATTTTGGGCGTCGAGCACCACGTGGTGCTCGCGAGGTAGCGTGCGGCGAGATCGGACGCGGCTAGGACAGTCACCGCCGCGCCTCTGCTAGGGCTGTGTCGAAGAATACGCTAGGGCAACAGGCCTGGCCGCAACTTGTGATGAGTACCCCCCTCCGCGGTCAGCTGTCGCAGATGGCGACGTCTACCTTGCCACAGGCGACGCACACGCGGGTTCGAGTGGCGCGCCGCGCAGGGCGGTGTCGCGCCAGCGTTGTGCGGATCGGCGAACGCCAAGACGGTCCATGCGCAGCCAGAGATTTTTACAGCGCAGCCGTCAACAAGCCGGGCCCTGCGCGGGTGTCACGTCGACGGAGTCTCGCGCCCGAGCAGCTGCACGCCGAGGCCCGAGAGAGCTGCGTAGCGCGCGGCGCTGCGGACCAGCACCCGCGCAGACTTCACGCCCAGGTGGCGGGCCACGAGGGCCACCGCGGCGCCCGGGAACTGCTGCTCCGCGGCCGACGGCTGGCGCTGGGACCGCGAATACACGAGGACGCCCCGCCCCTCGCTCGCTATCCGCTCCATGGACGCAAACACCTGCACGCACGACGCAGTGCCCGCAGGTGTGTCGCGCGCGATCGGGCGCTACGGGCGCGATCGGGCCCGCCACGCTCGCCACGCGCGCCGCCTGCACGCCGCCGCTCACCTCGCTGCCGGCCGCGGCCTCGAACACGTCGCCCACGACGTCCTCTTCGTGCGCGGCCACCAGCAGGTCCGAGCCGTGGGCGGCGACGTCGCCGCGCACGAGCGCCACGTGCTCGCGGTCGTCGTAGACCGTTCTGAAGGTGTGCGCGGTGAAGGGCCCGTGCGGCGTGGCGATGTCCCGCGGCGGCGCGGCCACCTCCACGAGCTGCTCGTGCTGCAGGCGGTAGTGGATGAGGTCGCGGATAGTGATGCACTTGAGGCCGTTGTCGCGCGAGAAGCGCAGGAGCTGCGGCGTCGTCTGCATGCTCCCGTCCGCGCGGTTGACGATCTCGCACAGCACCCCCGCGGGCGCGCAGTCGGCCAGCCGCGCCAGGTCGACCGCGGCCTCGGTGTGCCCGGGGCGGCACAGCACGCCCGCGGACTGCGCGCGCAGGGGGAAGATGTGCCCGGGGCGGCGGAAGTCGTGCGGCCGCATCGCCGGGTCGGCAAGGGCGCGCAGCGTGGCGCCCCTGTCCTGTGCGGAGATGCCTGCAGACCACGTCAAGTGCACCGCGGCGGCCGCGTGAGGGCCACGGCGCGCGCGGCGAGAGCAGCGGCGGCCCCCCGTCGGGCGCACCACCCCTGCCGACGGGCGGCTGCGTTGCGGTGCACGAGAGAGGCGCAGCGGCGAGAGGCCTGCCGGGGGCGCACCGGTGTGGGTTCCCTCGCGCAGGTCGACGGACACGGTGAAGGCCGTGTACATCGACTCGTCGTTCTCCTTGGACGTCACCATCAGCGGCAGCTCGAGCCTATCCAAGTCCTCTGCAGCAGGATCGGGGTGTTCCGCGTTATACGGCCACGGGTATGCGCCTTCGCTGACGTCAATGCAACAGTCATGAACTATTGTTTGTGTTGGTGGGCCCGGGTGCCCGCACGAGGCGCTGTCTTCCTCGGAAAACACGGGCGGAAGGCAGCAGATGTGGGCCAGCGGGGGCGACGCTGCTCCAACGTGTGCAATTGCCTCATTCCTGCCTCCGTTCGTCGAGTCGGCGTCGAGGGCACGCATGGCGACGCGTCTGCTGCTCGCGGCGGGCAGCGCGCAGGGCGACGGAGGGCACCGCAGAGAGCATCTGGTCCAGGGCCTCACCTCCCGTCATGCCGACGCAGAGCAGCCCGGAGGTCTCGTTGACCATGAAGGCGATGGACTCCGTGGTTGCGTGCTCGGCCGCAATGATCAGGTCCCCCTCGTTCTCGCGATCCTCGTCATCCAATACCACCACAAACTTTCCAGCGGCGACATCCGCGAGGGCCTCGGAAATGCTCGCGAATCCCACGTCGGCGTCGCCACCGTCCCCGTCGTTCGGCGTCCCCCGCAGCGCCACGTCATCACGGGTCCGAGCAGCCACTCGACTGCACACGTCCCTGCAGGCTCCCTCGCACGGCTGCCTGCGCGCCCGCCAGTGCCGCCGGCCCGCCCTCTGCACCGCCGGCCCCGCCCTCGAGAATCGACTCGGTCGTGCGACGGCGCCGATCCTCCTGGCCGCCTCAGAGCAGACCGCGCCAGGTGCGACGCGAGCCGGCACCATGGCTAGCGGACTCGTGGTGATGCGCGAGGCCTGGCCTGTTGCCGCTCCGACTTCGCTGAGTAACTCTCAACAGAGACAGGCGCTCGAACGTCGCGAGTGAAACCCCTGCTGGGCCCCAGCGGCTTCAGCTACTTGCAAAGCGTTTCGGTGCTGTGCGGATGCGTCGACAGACAGAGCCCCCCCCTTTTCTCCAAGCAATGATCAACACAGGCTAGTGCACGCCTCCCGACCGCCGGGCAGCCCATCGTGCCCCTGGGCGCCGTCAATTACGATATACTGTCTCCACCTGTTCTACCCCGCAGGGCCTCTCGAGAGACCTCCCCCACGACCCTGGCGCCCACGCAGACGGCCGAAGGCGCGCGCGCCTCGCCGCTGCCGAGCCCCGCCGACGTCGCGGCGGCGGCGGCGAGCGGCGCACACAGCGCGAGACCCAGACGCCAGACACGACGGACTGCGGCGAGACGACGGTCGCGCGCGCCGCCACCCCCGCGGTCACACGATGCGCTCCAGCTCCCGCGCGTACAGCAGCGAGTTCTGGATGAGCTCCTCGGCGGGCACCGCCCCGGGCCCCCGCGCGTCCCCGGCGCGCACCGTCGCCGCGAACTCGTACCCGGCCGGACCCTCCTGCCACCCGCGCCGCGCCGCGATCGCCTTCGCGTCCGGCTCCGACACGCCGAGAACCCTCGCGAGCTCCGCGACTGCACACACAGTGGGTGCGACGTGCCCGCCGTCGAGCGCGTCCAGGAGGGCCGCACGCACGCACGCGCGCGCGCGCACACGCACACAGACGCGCGGCAGGGCGCACCTGTGAGGGACCGGAACGCCTTCTCGCAGCAGGACGCGATCTCGTCGCGCACGGTCGACTCGAGCAGGCCGGTGAAGTAGGCGTACGAGGGGTCCGGGGCGCTGGCGCCGCACCGCGCGACCTTCCGGTACGCGCCCTCCATCATCCACTGCTCCACCTCCATGGGGAAGCGGATGCACGGGTGGCCCTGGTCGGCCACCGGGATCAGCTCCAGCGCCGTGTGGAACTCCGCCGTCCTGCTGTCCGCGAGCAGCCGCATCAGGTTCAAACCTGCGCGCGGGAGACGCACGGCGGGGTGAGCGCGCTGGGCGCCGCGGCGAGCGGTCCCGGGGTGGTGCCGCGCGCTGTGCGGGCCAGCAGGCCGCGGGCGGGGCGTGCCTGTCAGCAGCGGCTCGCGCTCACTGCGCGGGGCCTTGTCCTTGAAGTCGTGATATAGGACTTGCAGCTGCGCTAGGTTGCGGTCGAACGCGGCTGCGTCTTGCTGCTGGAGCGCAACCAACATCGCCAGTTCCAGCGTCGCGCGCGCCACCTCCACCTCGCGCGACACCTGCTGCGACGCCTGCCCCCCGACGGTCAGCCCCGGGAACGACAACATCAGCACCTGCGCCGCGGGGGGGAACGCGACGCTCGGACGGAAGCTGAAGCAGCGGGCCGCAGAGGTCCGCGCGCGCAGCCCTGACGGCTCCGTCCGTGCGGGCCCCGGGAGGAGCACGCTCGATAGACTGCTCGGCACGGACCGAGCCGCGTCGAAACGTGCACTGCTGGCAGGCAACGAGGGCAAGCACACCTTCAGTTTGCTAATGAGCCCTGCGCACTCCTGCCACGCGCCATTCTTGAACGACGTCTGCAAAATGTGAGAACCGATGCAGGGGTACAGTTGCAGCGCGCCCATGCGCGCGTGCCCGCTCCTGGACGCACCAGGCGCAAGTGTGCAGTGACACAAGCTTTGCGCGGCGCCTCCTGGGCAGGTGGGCACAGATCCCGCGGTGCGGTGTCCCGGATCGCAACGTCAGAGCACGCACCTCGAGCTTGGCCAGCAGGCCCTGGGCTTCCACCAACGCCATGGCGTCTCAGGCGCGAGGCGCCCTCTCCGCCCAGCCCGCGGCAATGAACCCGTTCCCAGTGCAGCGGTGACGCAGGTCAAGGTCCCGAGGCGAGCTCCCTCGCACCTCGCGCTCCTTCATGCCATCGCCGTCGGGTCGCGACCCGCCCATCAGCTCCAGGCAGTGACTCGGACCACGCTGACTGGCCGCAAGGACACCACTCGGAGAGGTCCCCGGTGCCGCCCACTCCTGCGCGGCAACCTCACTGCGCCACGCGGCGCCTTCCGCCTCACTCCTTCGTCCAACGCGAGCACGAGCGAATCCCGTGGTACTACGCAGGCAAGCGGGACGGTAGGTCTGGAGCATAGCACGATCGCTCCGCGTTGCCGCAGGGCTGGCGTCTTCGACCACCAAAGCCGAGCGACACCTTCTCGGGTAGCCGTGCTCCACGATGCGCGGCACCTGCCTCAACGCGCCCGCCGCATCGGCACGGGCGCTGGAGCGGGTGGCCCTACCACGACGGAGCGCCCTGCCCGCGTCCGCTGTTGGACGGGCGAGCTGCGGCGCGGGGCGCAGCAGCAGGCGGAGACACGTGCGGGTGTTCGCGGAGGATGACGGCGAGAAGCGCGCGCTCGCGCGTGCAGAGCCGCAAGGTGAGCTCCCCGCCAGGATCTGTTTGGATCGCCGCCAGCGCCCGCGTCGGTGCGCGGCACGCCACGCGCGCGGCAGGAAACTGCGTGGTACTCTTCGAGGCCTCTCGCCCACGCGGGAGAGCGTGCTTGGACGCGGGCCGCGACGTTCGCGCGGCCGTGTTGGTCCAGTCGCGCGGCGCTCGCGGTGGCCTCGCCCTCCCGCCGCGCGAGCGGGCGATCCGACGCCGCCGCCGCCGCGCCCCTGGTCGCAGAGCTGGCGCCCCCGGAGCCCGAGCAGGCGTCGGCGGTGCAGAAGTTCTTTTTCCCGGACCAGGAGGAGCTGGACAAGGACTTCGAGATGCCCATCTGGGACCACCTCGACGAGCTGCGGGAGCGCGTGCTGCTCTCGGGGCTCGCGGGGCTCGGCGCGGTCGCGCTCTGCTTCTGCTTCTCCAAGGTGCGCGGGGCGCTGCTTGCGTGGCGTCGGGGGGCGTGCTGCCGCCGCGGCGCCGAGGCCCAGCGCCCGCCGAGCGCCCTCCCCCGCGGTCGCAGGAGCTGGTGTACTTTTTGGAAGCGCCCGTGGCGGAGAAGGGCGTCAAGTTCCTCCAGCTGTCCCCGGGGGAGTTTTTCTTCACGACCATCAAGGTCGCCGGGTACACGGGCCTCCTGCTCGCCGCGCCGACGATCTTCTACCAGGTCGTCGCGTACGTGGTCCCGGGCCTGACCCGCAGCGAGCGCAAGTTCCTCGGCCCCGTCCTCCTGGGGTCCACGCTGCTCTTCCTGGGCGGGCTGGCCTTCTCGTACGAGATCCTCACGCCCGCCGCGCTCAACTTCTTCATCACCTTCGCCGACGGTGCGCCCGGCCGACCGAACGCGCCCCGCCCGCCGCGTCGCGTGGAGGCGCCCGCCCACCTGCCCACGTGTCCGCGCGCGCTGCAGGGGCGGTGGAGTCGCTGTGGTCGATCGACCAGTACTTCGACTTCGTCCTCGTCCTGATGCTGTCGACGGGCCTGTCGTTCCAGGTGCCCGTGGTGCAGGTGATGCTCGGCTCCCTGGGCCTCGTCAGCTCCCAGCAGATGCTCTCGCTGTGGCGCTACGTCGTCGTCGGCGCGACGGTCGCGGCGGCCGTGCTCACGCCCTCGACGGACCCGTTCACCCAGATGCTGCTCGCGGTGCCCCTCATCGGCCTCTACATGGGCGGCGCGCTGGCCGTGCAAGCCATCGAGGCGGGGCGGGGCGGCGAGGCGAGCGCGTGACGCGGCGGACGCGGCCCTGCGCCTGCGAGCCGCGGCCCCGGTCGGCGTCGGCGGCGACCGTGCGGGCCGCGATGTGAGCGACGTCAGGGATTGCTGTCGCAAGCGGTCCCCCGGAGGTGCAGGCGCACGAGGGCGCGGCAGAACCCTCGCGATGCATCGCCACAGTACGCGGTTGTCGCCGTCAGCATCCGCCGAACTGGTGCACGACGCACCCAGCTCTGGGAGACCCTCGACATGACGGGGGGAGTGTCAAATTCAACGCGGCGGCGCGGCACCCTTTGCCGTGGAATGCTCAGGGGCAGTCTACACTCCGCGCGGACCGAAACGCCTTCCTCCTGCGGTGACTTGCGCACAGCCGCGAAGCTAGTCGCAGCTGCACCATCTGGTTCAGCCCTGCGGCTGAGCCGTGATAGTCGCGATGCAAAGATGTTGTGCGCGGCCCGGGGAGGCGTTTAAGGCGGTCGACGTTCGCTCACGCCCGCGCTTCAGTTGTCGGTGCTCTGCCGCTCGCACAGGGCGGCCGATCTTTGGTGGGCGCCGGTTGGCGCTGAGCGGACTGATTGGCACGCTGCTGTACCCGCAGCTCGCGGCTGCAGGTACGCGCAACCATGTTGTAGCAGTGTAGTACACCTTCGGACACATGACGACCCTGCGTCGCCCTGCCTGCGCGAGATCGGCACGCTATCTGTTGTGGCAGCTGCCGCCTTCGCCTTGCCACGGGCCCCCGGCACTCGTCCGTCAGTGCCGTACAAGAGACATGCTCTCAGACGTGACGCGGGACGAGGTTTCACCGCGGTGGACGCGCTGCAGACGAGGCAGAAATGGATGAACCCACGACTGAGGAGCAACCGCCTGCCGAGGAGCAGCCGCGTCGCCGCAAGAAGAAGGTCGTGAAGAAGAAGAAAGAAGACATATCCACGAAGATGCCGCCCAAGGTGGGCACGCTTTCTTTGCGCCTCTGGCTGGGTTCGGGCACCTGCCCGCCTGGCAGCGGAACAGGCAACCCGCACTCCGCCCGTGACGCACATGGGTGCGAAGGCACTGGTGCACCAAGCGGCGACCTGCATCCACGTGGGGCGCGCCGTGCGTCCAGAGACGCGCGCCACGTCGAGGAGCAAGCAGCCCCTCTTTCAGTTCAGTTCGGTTGACGCACGACTCAACCATTGCCTCCGCAAAGATCACGCTGGTGAGCGGGCTTGCCATCGCAGGACGGAGAAGAGCCAGAGACGAATCTGACCGTGTTGTCGAAGTCTGATGTGGCGCGGTTGAACTCCACGCAGCGGCAGATATATGAATTCAACACGCGCATCCAGCGGCAAAACAACGCGCCGGAGGACTTCCCGCACTTCGTGCGAGAGGGCTTCGATATGATCAGTGAGCGCACATGCCTCGTTCGCGCCCACTGACACGACATGCCGGCAACTCCCCCCTTCCGCCCTGACTGTACACCATCCCGACTCGATACGCGCCGTCCGCCGCTGCAGTGCTTCTCGATGGTTACGAGGTCGACTCCGATGGCCTCATCTATAAAGACTACAAGGTGGGCGACGGTGTGCAGCCCGTCGACGGGCAGCAGGTGACGTTCGACTACGTGGCGTACAATGAGGCCGGCGGGCTCATCGACTCGACGTATCGCAAGGGCCAGGTCGCCAGCTCACGTCTCGGCCAGGTGCGGGAAGGTCCAGGCAGGCGGTCGCAAGGCTCAATCGCCGCCGCCGAGTGTGCTAACACTCGTCAGGAGCCATGTTTGCTGCGCAGGGTGGCATGATTCCGGGCTTCGAGCTCGGAGTGAAGGGCATGAAGGCAGGCGGACTGCGAAGAATCATCGTGCCTCCGAAGCTCGGCCCGCCCGTCGGCCCGCAGACGTTTTTCTCCGCGAAGCAGGTGCGAAGGCAACCCCGCGGCTGGCTGCGCCACAGGCGACGAGAGCTCCCCGCTTCGACGAGCGTGGCTCTCTGCCGCCTGACGTCTTCCCGCTCGTCCGCGGGCGGTTCCGTTCCGAGGGAAGCGACCGTGCGCCCTTCCGGTTCGTGTTGCAGTTCGAGGTGTTCGACGTCGAGCTCAGAACGGTCAAGGACTGCAGGCGGGAAACGTCTGGCATGCTGTCGAAACTCATCTGCGAGTAGGCCAAAGCACGGTTTACAGCGCACCGTCGTCGTCGCGTGTGCGAGCGACGCAGGCTTCACCGCACGCAGGCCCTCCCACCGGGAGGGCGGTGAGAAGCCCGGACACTCCCGGCCTTCCCACGCGAACATGTGCTCTGCTGCGTGCCATGCCGGCCACCGCGGCCCGCGGCCGTGTGAGCTGCGTCTGGTTTCTCATAGCAGCTGTCGTGGCCGCAACACAGTCCAGACGAGCAAGTGCGAAAGATGCACGTCCTCGACGAAGTCCAGATGCGCGCGTCTGCCCGTGAGCCGGTCAAGGCCCTTGGCATCCCTGAGAGGGAACACTGCATCCACGCGGGTCAGTCGCGTCCCCGAGGCCTCCATCTTCGATAAAATTGAATCAATCATCTCGCAGCACACGCGGTGCCGAACACTCCCGCGTCCCTGCGCGCAGCCGGGCGGACAAGAACTCCTCAGGGTTGTCCCCGGGGAACCACCACCATCGTTCAACACCGAACTCCCGCTGCCACCGTCAGCACGTGCGATCGCGGGGAAGGTGGAGACGTGCCTTGCCATGCCCTTCCCCGTCGTCCGCAGCAACTGCCGCGAGCGCTGGTCCGAGCTCCATGCGCGACGAGTGGTATGGCACATATCCATCCTGTGGGCTGCTGAGCAAGACGACTTGCTTGAATCGAGCTAAACCTGCAAGCGCAGACGAGACGACACGGAGTGACGAGCGAGCGCGCGTGGCGTGCTCAGGTAGTCGCGCGCCCGTGCATTGCCGTCGACCAGCTCTCCAAGTCTTGGATGCAGTGGCCAACCTTCTTTCTGCGCCAAGTTGTACAAAAATCCCTCGCGAACGTCGCGCGCATCCTGTAGCGCCATTTCACGGAGACTGTGCGCCCTGCGGATGTGCTTCATGACCCAGATGCCGGAAGCAACGAGGCTGCTCACTTTCTGAACGAACCCGAGTTGCGGACCCGACACAGACACATACATCCACGCCTGCACGACGACGTGGGGCAAGGTCGCCCCGGTTGCACGAGCGTGAGTGCCTGGTGCGGCGACCGGAGAACGTCAGCGTGAGGCGGGACACGTGTGCGCGATTTGACCACTGGCCGATGGGGAGACGTGGCCGGCCCACCTTGTCGAGCCAAGGCGCAAGCACCGCCTCCTCGATGGCTGCGCGTATCACGATGGTCCCCAGCGAGTGTCCCACAAATGAGAGCCGCGCCAAACGCCGTAGCTTGACGTCTTTGTCGTCGCTGTCGCCTCCTGTGGTGAACCGCGCTTCGAGCCACGCCACGACCTCTTCCGCCAGTCTCTTGCCCTGGGCCTGCGCGGTGCTGTGAGCGGGTTCGTCGCAGTGAGCGGCCGCGCACACATGGGCTCCCACTGCCCAGCAGCAGTGGGAAGCCTGCGCCAGGAAGTGCACTCTCGCGGATTCGCGGCACGCACCTGTAGGGGCTCGGTCGTTCGCTTCTGGTTACTCGACGACATGAGGGTGACGAGGTCGGGCTCTGCGATGACCATTTCGTTCCTGATCAGCCGCAGGTCGTGGACGCCTCCGTACAGCCCGTGCACGAACACGACAGCGTGAGCTCCTCCAGCGGGCTCCGCCGAGGCCTCTGGGAGCGAAAGCTGAATGTCCTGCGTGCACACGTAGACAGCGTGACCAGTGAAGAGAGCAGCAGGACCCTCACTGCCATGCATGTGTGGGCAGGATGACCCGTCGCGCCGTACCTGAACGGACACTGTGTGCAACTGGCTCCTCTGCTGCCCTGAGCCATCCTCCGACGCCTGGCGCGGCGAGAACCCTGGGACTGCCGAGCTGTCGGGCTCGTCAAACACCATCAGAGGCACACCTGGCGGGTCGTTCAACCAGCCTGCGTGCATGATCTGCATGATGCCCGTGACTGACGCGTGTGCGGCTGGAAGAGCGCTGGTCTCGGGCCCTGACACGTCTTCCGTGTCCAACGCTGCCACTGCCATGCGGCCGCAGTGATGCTGCAGAGCCCGTTCTGTGACCTCGTGAACTGCGCCCCCGATACCAGCGACATACTCTTCGGCGAGGGACATGAGCAGCTCGCGCCTTGTGCGGCGCCCCTCCGGGTTCGCCACAAAACTCGTTGCAGTGAGGTCGCTGCCGACCGCAGAGCACGTTGCATGGCCGGGCCGCCCTTGAGCCGCTCTCTCGACGCCGATGTCGCTGCGTGCGACCATGGAGAGGGCACGCGGGTTCGAGTGCGACGACGGCGAGCACCATCCTCTTGCGCCAACAACAGCAACCCAGCATCTGCGTGCATATGATGCGCGGGGGGCACGGCTCACCTGCCCTTTGCAAGGTCCACGCAAGCGCCGTCCGACGCGCCTTTGTCCAGGTCCGAGACTGCAGTGGTGTTTCCCAGCGGGCTGGCCGGCAGCCGGCGACGCATCCCCCAGCGGAGCCCCGACACTGGGCGGTGGGGCACGAGAGCGAGATCCGAGGCCGCACTGGCGGGCGTCGCGGGAAGGTCGAACGGCATCGATCCCACGGGCGAAAGGATCGCCACGTTCGGAAGCCGCTCGTCGGTCCTGATGGGGGCCTGCATGTCTCAAATGGCGGTCGCCAGGGAAGGCCACGTGTGGCACGGTCCGGTCGTCTTGACCCAGGAACTCCACACGCCTGCCACATCGTTCAGGGAACGCGCACGCACCTGTGTCCGTCGAAGCCCGTTCGTGCCGGGAGGGCTGCCAAAGTCGGGTTGAGAGAGCGGGGATATGCACGTGTCGTCCGGCCCCCCGGTGGACTGCGAAGCGTCCGCTGCCTTGGGCGAGAGGTCAGCGATCGCGGACGGATTCGGCAGCAGAGGCGTATCGTATCCGAAGCAGAGACCGCGGACCCATGGCAAGCATTCCAGTGTGTGATGAGCTTGCCACTCCAGCCTGAACGTCGTCAGAACGCTTTCGGAGGCCACCTGCAGCCGCGGATGTGCAGGTGTCCCGCGCGTCAGGACAACAGGCGCTCGGCTGCGCGGGCAGGTCGCGCGTGCCAACACGACGTTCAGCTGCAACGAGGGTTTCATGTTGACCCCTCGAACTCACCTCAAGCATCCACATCAAACAGCGCCAGTCTCTGTCACCGGCTAGCTTGCTCGCCACAAGGGCGTCCGCACCGTCGGCCGGCGCATCGCGCAGGTTCCGCCAGAGTGGCAGGGGGCGCTTGTGTGCCATGTGGCCGGGCACGTGCTCTGACCAGTCGGGACTGGTGAACATGGAACGCAGCGCGGCCAGAGACTGAGGCTCGTACGCGCTGGAGGGGATGGCGCGGAGTGCTGCGTCCATCGCTCCCGCGAACCATGCGTGAGCAGCGAGTGCTCGCGCCCGCGACTCTGGATCAAGGGCGCCGAGCAGCTTCGCAGCGTCCTCGTCCGTCGCACCGGACGCCGTCCCGACGTCGCTGCGCATGTCGCCGGTGTCGGCACACGGGAGCGCTGGGGTGGCCCACAGACCCGGAGGGGCGAAACGCTCCCAGGGCGTCTTCTTCTTCATACGCGCGCAGAGCCGACTGAACAGCCCCGTGGAAACGCTCGGAGGGCGTGGACATGCCTGCGAAGGGTAGGGCAGTTCCCGGCATGGCGTCCCAGGGGCCACACGCGTCGCATGGCGTTCCACAGCACCGCAGCGGCTCACCTCGAGTTCCGGCATGTCGCCCACGTACACCCGCTTGAGGCGCGTGTGCACCGTGCACCCAACGGTGGACACGAAGTACTTCCCGAAACACACGGGCACGAACCCCTGCGGTGATGTCGACAGGCCGGAGACGACGACCTCGCAGTCCGAGACGCCGCGCAGCTCTGTGGGCGACGCAGGAGGGGCTGCACCGCCGGCGCGGACCTCCGCTTTCGTCGTCTCCTGCACGAGGGCATGGTGGACGACGCTGTTCCTGAGGTCAACACCTTACAGGGACTTGTACCCCCCCCCGTGTGGGACCTTCTCGTCCGAAGTGGGTGGCACGAACCTTGAAGTACAGCTGCGCGCAGATGATCACTTTCTGGTCCTTCGGGTGGTCGTGAAGGCGGATTGTGACGGGAAAGCGAGCGACGTAGTCCAGTTTCTCCGACCAGTCACGGTACTTGATCGCGAACACGTGGGTCTGCGCCATCGGAGCGACGCGGATCGGTCTGAGTGCGGACGTCGACGTCGGTGCTGCGCTTCGGACACATTATCGCAATCTCACGCCCGAAGGTGCCAATGTGGCTTTGAAACAAAACCTTCGCGCGTGTGCACGTGGCACATGATTGGCCCTCGCGGACCGCGAGCGCTCCCGCGTCCCCAGCAGAGACGCGCGGCGCCTGACCTGGAATATGCGATGTTGCCGACTGGCTGTCCATGGCAGCAGTGCCTCGCAGGGGCGCTCCTCGCCCCCATTCCGTCCACAAGATGTCAACGGCAGCTCCCTTCGCGACGTCGCATCATACACCTTGACTTGCACAGCGTAGAACCTGCAGGCTCGGCGCACACGCCCAGGTAAACGCGACTCGCGCGTCTGCCGAGCAACCAAGTTGGGCACCGGGACGGTACGTTGCACGGCCCACGCGAGGTGACTGCAGCGGCCGCAGTCTTGCGTCAGAGGTGGTACCAATGCAGCCGCACGGCACATGAACCTCACCCTTGGTTGAGCAGACCGACATTCCGGAAATTGTGCAGAGCAAGCTGAAGCTCATACTCCCCCAGCAATTCCGACATTCTCCCGAAGCGTGTCGCTCCTGGCGATCGAGATCGATGCTCACCGCCCCGTCATGCAGCCTCACGCTTCACGCAAGCGTGTCCTGAGGCACGAAACCAGCGGTTCAACGTGCGCCTCTGCGACCCCGCGGCTCGGCGGTCGCTGCGCCTAGCCCTGGAACTCAATTCGCTCTTAAACGCACAATAAGTGATGTTGACCCCCATAGACGCCAGGTGCGCTTTTGTCGCGCTCGCTGGAGTCGCCCTCGCTCGCTGAAACGGGCGCCCTTGTGCTGTTGGTTGGGGGGAGGGGGGTGTTCGGTCGGCGAGCACGAGTCTGTCGATCCAGAGCCAGCTGGCGCGTGCGATGGTGCGCACGTGCACGTCGCCGGCGCAAGGGCCCCGCGAGGGCGCGGCGACCTGGTCGGCTGCGCACCGACACGCCGTGGACTTGACTTGTTCACACCCCGACAGAGTGTCGTCGCGGCACGAGCACCGTCTCACATGGGAGCAGAGGCGCGGAGGTCCGTCCCGCGTCTGTCATCGATGCGGAGACGCGCGTGGCTTCTGGCGTTCGCCTGTGGTGCGCTGCGCAGGCGGGCACTCTCTCTCTTGGCCCGTTGCCAACTTCCGCACTTTCTTCCAGATCTGAGCGGCGGGCCCGGTCTTCGATGCTCTCTTGTTGCCTCGCTTGTACTGCGGGGGCGTCTCCGAGCGCGGTCCGAGAGCCGTAAGACCTCCGCTCGGACCCATGTATTGGCTTACGTAGCCCATTGGCACCCCCATACCCGCTGCCTCCCGTCGCTGGCCATCTTGTATCCACGCCAGCGTCACCGCGACTTGCATCCTGGGGTCGAGCTTCCGCATGAGATCTTCAGGCAGCGGCGGATAGTAGGCCTCCTCGGGCGTCTCATACCCGCTGGAATGTGACGTGCCTGCGTCGAACAGGAACCAGAACAGCAGGTGAGCGACGACAACGTCGCGCGATGACGCACAGAAACGGGAAAGCTCCCATGCGGCTGCCGCGCTGCGCACGGCTGGGCGCGTACGGGAGGCGCCGCGACCCGCCACGGACCCCGCACGCCGCCTCCCGCCGCGCACCAGCGCGCACTGCGGCGTCGCCCCACCGCACCGCCAGCCGCCCGGGAGGGGGGGATGCGCACCTGACGCAGCTTCGCTCCGCGGATTCGACGGCCCCGCGTCGTTCGCTGCACCGCTCGCCCCGCCTGCACACCGCCCGCGACACGAGCACCGCGCCATGTCAGCCACGCGGCCTCCGAGCGACTTGAGCCCGAGCCCGGGCCCGCCAACAGCAGGGGCAAAAGCCTGCTTGGACGGGCTCACGGGCAGCGGTGGCGCACTCCTGAGGCAATCAGCGCATGACACATCAAGAAGGGAGTCCACCACTGCTATGACGCAACCAGAGGCCCTGGATGGGCGTCAGAAGAAGCCTTTCGCGCACCTGCCCCTGCGCTGCCACCTGCGACGCCCTGTTCACATGACGCCTTCATACGGCTCCTCGCACCGTGACGGAATCTGCAGCGTAGGGTTCGGGCGGGAGGAACCTTTCGACCGGTGGCGTCGTGGCAGAGGTGCATGCCACGACGGTCTCAACTTCATTTCCTCCAGCCCACGCCACTGCGCGTCTCCCTGATCATGTGTCGCAGTGAAATCCTCAGATCGTGATGATCAGGGCGGACGCCAGGTGCACGCGAGTTGGGCCGCCAACGGGCGCTTCTTACCAGGGCGCCCGCTCACGCACGTCTCCCTCCCCCGCTCACCACGGTCGGGGACGAGAAATCGTCAGCGCCGCGTTTGCAACCGTCAGTGCACCTTGCGGCCCACATACGTGCGTGTGAGACGTCTCGACATTCCGTGAGGACTCCCCCGGCAGAGGTGGTAGTAGAGGAGCAGGGGGCCTAATCGTCTGGCCACCGGGACGCAGGCGATATGGACGACGACGGGCAACGCGTCTCCACTTCGACAGGTTGTGTTTCTGACACCCGTCGACCGCGTACCGTGAACGCGTCCCGCTACCGGTGAGCTCGCCCCCCCTCGCACCTCGCGACCCATGCCGCCCCGATGGCTGGCCGCCCCGGTCGGGGTCTCGCATCGCACTGGTTGATCGTGGCGCTCCTGCCTGCCCTCACTTGCGTGCCGGGAGCACGTAGCGACCGCCATCGGACGGGAGCCTGCTACGCCTCCCGTCCTTGATCGCCTCGAGTGCGCACCCCGACGGGGCTCCATATCGGGCCGTTTTTGCCTCTCATTCATGATATTGATCTCCCGTTGTGCTTCGTCGGCTTTCTGTGTGCCGATCGCGGCGATTCGGGGCATGTGGTGTCCACAGGGGCACCCTAGCCGGTGGGAGCATCGCGGGACCCCTGAAACGAACGCGCTGCGACAGATGCATGATTCAATATCGAACTATCTCATTTTCGGAACCTGCGTCTCGCTCCGTTGCCCGCAGGGCCCTCGTCGGCGATTGCCCTCGATGTGGGGTTCACCTCGCAAACCCAAGGCCGCCCAAGTGCGCCCCTCCTCGTCCGTGAGCGACGGCGGCTACACCAGCATCGATCTGAACTCCATCGCCAATGGGGACGTCCGCGAGATCCTCTCGGCGCTGTGTCCCGGGGGCCAGACTCTGACTGCGCAGCAGCTGCAGCAGGCGAAAATGCTCGCAGCAGCTGCCCGTAGCGGCGGAATCTTGATCAGCCAGCTTCCGGAGACCATCCAGGGCGAGGCCAAGGTTCTCGACCTCGACGGCAGCAACGTCCTCGACAGTCACGAGGTGTCCGAGGTGCGTTGCGACCACAACCCTGCCACGTGTGGTCAGACGACCATCGTCGCTCGATCGCGGGCACAGTTGACATGGCGCCCGGCGCGAAGGCCATCCGCCCCGCTCGCCGCGCCGTCGGTCTGACGATCGCTGTGCGGCGCCGCCCCGCGCCGCGCGGCGCGTCCCGAATCGTTCGAGCGCCAGTCGGGCTGACGTGCCCCCACACCCCCCCCTCGCCTCCAGGCCGTCCGTGCGCTGATCAAGGCGCGCAGGGAGCGCCGCATCCTCATGCGGGTGGTGCTCGGTCTCGCCGTTTTCTCCCTCTTCTTCCTGGGCTCCATCGTGGGCCTCGTGTGGGCCGTCTTCACGCTGGCGCAGGACACCAAGGTCGACTCCGGCGTGATGGTCGACAAGGACAGCGGCGCGCCCGTGCAGGTCTCCTCGACGGAGACGACGACCACCGCCTCGGGCGCGCTCGTGAGCCGCACCACGGGCGGCCCCGTCAAGGTCTCGGCCAGTCTGACCGAGGCCACGCTCTCCTCCACCATCCCCGACGAGATCCTCATGGAGATGCGCTTCCTGAAGCTCAGCGGCGCCACGGGCGTGATGAACGTGGCCGTCAACGCCGCGACGCGCGTGCAGACGGAGCGGTCCCGCCACGGCTCCATCGTCGTGCTGCACACGGCGCTCGGCAGCATCCGGCTCGACGGCACCGCCCTCAGCCCCGACGCCACCGCCGCGGAAGCCCTGCAGTCCATCGGGTTCTTCGCGCCCAGGTCGGGCCGCCGCGGCCGCGCCCTGAAGCAGATTGGCCTCGTGGCGGGGCTCTTCAACTACGTGCTCGAAGACCAGCTGGCGTCGATGTTTGCCGGCAACTCCACCGCCGACGATCGGCCCGACGTGCCCGTGCCCGAGTTCCCCGAGGAGTACACCGCCAACGCGACGATCTACCACCCCTGCGACGGGATCGACAAGGAGGGCAACCCCATCAACAAGTGCCGCTCTTGTACCCCCGTGTTCGACCCTGACGTTGCGCCGAACGGGACATTCGTCGAGCACTGCGTCGAGTCGCCCGTGGTGGTGACGTTTCGCGGGAAGCAGTACGTGCCCGTGCGTGAGTGGACCGTGTCGCTCGACGAGCGCGCCTACACGCACCGCACCATCCCTGCCGCGGTCAACCAGACCGAGCACGAGATCTGGGACTACGAGAACGCCACGCAGTACCGCTGGCAGTCGGTCGACGTCGACGTCGGCTTCCCCCGCTACCTGCACTGCGGCTCCAATCCCGCCCTACCCCTGCATCTGATGGGCGTCGCGTACAACGCCTCCTGGACCGTCGAGGAAGTGAGCGCGGGCGCGAATGGCGGCACCGAGTGGCGCATGCGCGGGCACCTCACGATTCGCGAGGACGTCGTCGAGGCCCTCAGTGGCCAGGTCGACACCAACGGCGCGCCAATGTCGCTCGTCCCCGAGATCAACGTCGACGTCGTCGTCGACGACGAAGGCATGGTGACTGAGATGTACAACGACATCACCAATACCATCACCGTCTTCGACAACATCGCGACCATCCCGGAGCACCAGGTCGAGGCGCTCAAGCAGCAGTACCTGACGCACTACCCCACGGACCCTGCAACGCAGTGCGGCGGGCGTGACGCCCCGCAGCCGCCGCTCCCGACGGGGCTCGCTCGGTCCGAGACCGCGTCGCCGGAAGACATTCCCGTGCCGTACGAGGAGGTCGTGCCGAGGATCCGCAGCGTGTACGGCGTGCTCAACCAGCCGCTGCTCTCTTTCTCCCCCGAGTTCGCCTTGTATCAGGCCATACAGCTCCGCATCCAGTACACCAACACGACGGACGGTGACGCCACGGGCCGCCGTGCGCTGGTCGACGCGCTGGTGGAGACGGAAGCCTTCCAGACGCGCATGCGCCGCCGTCTGACGGTCGGTGAGGAGGTGCGCGCGGCCGTGGACGAGTACGTGGCCGCCGAGGATCTCACGAGCGCCGTGCGGGCCTACCGCCGCGTGATGGCGAGCCTCGACGGGGAGTACGAGGTGACGTTCGGCGAGGACGACGGGCCCGCGGGGCAGCCGGGCGCGACTCGCCGGGCCCTGGAGTTCTTGGACACAGTGCCCGAGGAGGAATTGTCGCACATCGAGGCGGCACTGCGGGGCGGGCGGCGGCACCGCGCGCTCGAGGAGCTGGCGGGTGAGGACGGTGCGCTCGTCGCGGAGGGCGCGACGCTGCTCGTTGGAAAGCCGGGCGAGGCCCCCCAAAGGCGCGTGCTTCAGTGCGGGTTTCCCATCGAAGTCGATTGGAAGGTCTTCACACTGTCGTTCTTGGAAGACAGGTGCTACGACGGCTGGATCGGCAGCATCGGATACACGTTCTCGGTTTCCTCCGACATCGTGCCCAAACTCCCCGTGTGCGCGATCACGGGCTCGCTTACAGTCTTCATCACGGCACCTGACAGCCCTGATGGCACAACCATCGGAGCGGCGGGTGACATCAATCTGTCGTGTGGGCCGGCAGCCATTTTGAGGAAGGCGGGGGCCAAGGGGGTGTGGCTCGAGGTCGTTGACGAATTGGTCAGGTTCGAGGCCGGCATCACGGCCAAACTCGCCATGGGCAGCTCAGTCGCAATCTGGAACCCACTCGACTTTGGAGTTTCGCTCGCTCCCTTCGTGCTCGAGCAGCAGCTCGAGATGCAGGCGTACCTCAATGTCAATTTTGGCCTTCCACGCGTCACCTCTCAAGTGTGTGTCGGCTATCCCGAACCTCACGGGTGGTTCGATTGGCACTGGCATACGAGATGTTCGACCATGGAATGGACCCTTGGTGCGAAGGTCGGGATCGAGGTTGATTTCATCCCCACCTCGGCGTGCATGCTCCGGAGAGAAAAGGTGACTACTACTTTTCGTTTACCTTCCATTTTTGGCGGCGGTATCCGGAAAATCGAATCCTATACTGGGAAGGCACATCCCTTTCTTCAGGGTTCCGAAGGGACATACTTCAAGGTAACTCCCAAAGCGACAACATTCCATGCCCATCGCATGCAACGCAAGAGGCCCCCGCGTGACCCCACACGCACGCGAGTTGACCACTCACGCGCAGATGACGGCCTTTGTGGAGTGGTGGGCGCCCATTGCGGGGTACGGTCGCGAGGAGTACGTCGTTCCAATGGGGAGTGTCATCGACGACAGTCGCCAGTTTGCCTACTTCACCGTCGCGGGCTTCAATGCATATAGTTGCAAGGACACGCAGTGGCCCTCCTTGCCTTTTTGAGACAGTGGCGCACACTGCGGGCTGTTCCAGCGGTCAGATGCATCTGCCTGTGAGCCCGGCGGCGCCGTTCACCCCACGCGATGTCCAGCGAAATGAGCCTCGACGCAACTGCTGTTGCCCCTCGCGCATGTTGTGAAGAGTCATCTGTGCGCAAGCAAAGACACGGATGACAGCGCACCGTCGTCATTGCACAGTATGTGTGAGCACTGCAAGGCTTCGCCGCACGCGGTTCCCGTTGAGGGCGGTGAGAAGCACGGACACTCCCAGCGTTCGGTGTGCACATGTGCTCCGCTGCGTGCCATGCCGGCCACCATGGGCGGCCTGCGGCCGTGCGAGCTGCGAGATGGCACACGCTGTCAAGCGGGGCCACGTCTGGTTTCTCATAGCAGCTTTCGTGGCCGCAACACAGTCCAGACGAGCAAGTGCGAAAGATGCACGTCCTCGACGACGTCCAGATGCGCGCGTCTGCCTGTGAGCCGGTCAAGGCACTTGGCAGCCCTGAGAGGGGACGCTGCATCGACGCTGGTCAGTCGCACGCGCACCGGTTTGTGCTGTTCTGCCCGCTGTTGGTTCGAGGGGAGGAGGGGGGTGTGCGGCTCGCGAGCACGAGTCTGCCGGTCCAGAGCCAGCTGGCGCGTGCGATCGTGCGCACATGCACGTCGCCGGCACAAGGGCCCCGCGAGGGCGCGGCGACCTGGTCGGCTGCATGCACCGACACGCCGTGGACAGAGTGTCGTCGCGGCACGAGCACCGTCTCACATGGGATCAGAGGCGCGGAGGTCCGCCCCCCGTCTGTCCGCGCGCCCTAGAAGTCGAAGCCCCCCTGCGGCTGCGTGGGCGGCGCGAACGTGTACTGGTTGGTGCCCGAGTGCACCTCGGGGGCCAGGTCGTCGCCGTCGCCGTCCTCGCCGTAGAACTGCTCGATGATGCTGTACGCCTTCTTGTACACCTCCTGCGACTCGTGCGTCTGCAGCTGCTCGATCTTGTCGAGGCCCTCGCACTCCTCGACCATGCGCGAGAACAGGTTCTCGGCCTCGGGCCCGTTGAGCTGCTTGTCCGCCTCGCCGACCTTGAGGATGTTCTCGATCGCCTCGAGGACGACGGTGACCACCTTGGAGTCCGCGCACGTCAGCTGGTCGCACAGCGGGGGGATGCACCCGCTCTGCACCAGGTACTTGATCTGGCTCGCGTCCCCGCCCGACGTGGCGTTGCTGATCGCCCACGCCACCTCCTTCTTGATGTCGAACGTCTCGCGGCTGAGCATCTCCACCAGCACCGGGACGATGTTGGCCTCGATCACCGCGCCGATCTGCGGCACCGTGCCCGCCGTGATGTTCGAAATCGTCCAGCACGCCTCCTTCCGGATGTTCTTCTTCGTGCTGCTCATCAGAAGGTTCCGCAGGCACGCCAGCACGCCGTGGTCGATCACCATCTGCGTCTGGATGTCGCTCCCGGTGACGATGTTGCCCACCGACCGCAGGGCAGGGACCAGCACCGACGGCTGCTGGTGCATGAGCAGCTGGATCAGCCGCTGCACCACCCCGCTGTCGATCACCGCCTGGATCTTGCTGTCGTCCCCGTCCGACAGGTAAGAGAGCGCCCAGCACGCGTCCGTGAGGACCTCCTCGTCGTCAAAGTGCAGCACCAGGGCCAGCGCCGGCAGCGCGCCGCTCACGAGCTCGAACGGCGGCTGGGGCTTCCCGCGGCACAGGTTCGACAGCGTCCACGTGGCGTTCCTCTGCACGCAGGTTCCGCGCCAGGCAGGGAGGGGGGCGGGGTCGTGGTGCATGGCGAGATGTGGGGGCGGCCTCGAGCGGGGCGCGCGGCGGCGAGGTCTGCAAGCCGGGCCGGGACCGGTGTGCGGCCGGGGCGCACCTGCATGGAGATGACGGACTCGGGCGACAGCTGCTGCAGCAGCGGCTGGAGCGCCCCGTGCTGCAGCACGAGGTCGCGGCACTTGGGCGAGTCCCCCGCGATGTTGCCGAGCGCCCACACCGCCTGCTCCCGCACCTCCGCCTGCTCCGACATCAGCAACTGCGGGACCGCGAGGGGCGACGGAGGGTGAGGCGACGCAACGTGCGGCGCGCGCACCCGGGCTGCCAGATGCACCCGCCTCCCAGGGACGGCTGCGGGCCCCGCTCACCTGGACGAATATCGGCACGGCCCCGGCGTCGATGACGACCTGCGTGTGGTCGGACGTGCCCGACGCGACGTTCGTGAGCGACCACGCGGCCTCGAACTGCAGCTTCCATGAGTCGGTGCGCTGCAGAAACTCCACGAACTTGGGGATCACGCGCTGCTGGATGACCTCCTGGATCGGCGGGTTCTTCTCTGCGAGCGACGGGCGGAAGCGGCGCGCGCGCGTCAGGCTCGCCCCGCGCCACCAGGCCCAAAAGAGAGCGCGCCGCTGGCCCGCGTCAGAGGGGGGCGGGGCGCGCCGCGGGACGGGTGTCAGGCGTCGGGCGGGGCGCCGGCCGCGCGCGCCGCCTGCGCGCGGTGTGCGGGGGCGTCTCACCGATCGAGAGGAGCTTCCGGAAGCCCTGGGTCGCCTCGAGCTGGTCGTCGAGGTTGGGCGAGTGGATCTTCTGCACCAGGTCGGGCAGCGTCGCGAGCTGCATCTCCCTGTGGCCCCCGAGCGGGCCGCCCGCCGCGCTCATCATGTCGCCCTGGTCATCGTCGGCCACGAACGTCCGGCGCTTCTGGAGGTTCTCCTGCTGTTTGTTCCTACGCAGGGCTACGATGTTGTCCTCCCTCTTCCTGCAGCCGCTCGGGGGGGGGGCGCGGGTGGGCCGCGGACGTCGCGCGCGTACAGCGACGCAGAGGCGGGCGAATGCGGGCCTCAAGGCCCCTTCGCGGGAACGCAGCGCGCAAAGTTGTTGCAGCGCTGAACAACCCTAGCCCGCAGTCGCCGCGGCGCCGCGCACCGCTGGGGCGCCGCGCGTGTTGCGCCACGTAGCGACGACACGTGCGAGAGCGACACGCTGCAACGGCGCTTGTTCCGGCCCACTGCTGCTCGAGACAGTTCCTCGAGAGGGGAACGCCCTTCTATGCAAGGCGTCGCCCGCGCTCAGCTCTCTGATTGCAAAATCGATGGTTCGTAGCCTTTTCAAGGCAGGCGATCGGCAACCTTCGCGTTCGCACGCCTGAGGAGGCTCGAAAGCGCCTTCTCGAGCGGCGGGAACTCGCCGGCGGGGTCGCCGAAGGTTCGTTGGCGGTGCTCGCGGCCGCAGCGACGAAATTCGGACGCGAGAAGGCGACGGAACCCGCTCGCGGTGGCATGAAACGCCGGCCTGCCGAGGCAGCGGGTCGCTGCGAGAACGAGTCCAGTGCCGCGCACCCAGAACGGGCGGCTGCTCGCAATGCGCAACGCGCTTGACAGCGTATTGGCGTCTCGTCGTGGGTGCCGCAGCTCACCTGCGTCCTTCCTCGGCATCCAGTCCCTTCTTGTAGTTCTGCCTCCTTGAGGCGCCCCCCCCGCGCTGCATGGCCGCCAGGCACGGCTGTGAAGCACGTCGAAGGGCGCTGGTACCAACCAGGAGTCGACTGGGATGGGATGTCAAGTCCCGACGGGCGACGCGTGGCGCTGAGACGTTGCCTGCCTCGCTCAGAGGGTCTCGATGGAAATGAGCGCCGGTGCGGGAAGTAGGCGCTGTACGCTCCTTGTGCGCAGGGCCGTTGTGGCACGAGTGGCGAGGGCGACCCCCCTCGGCGACCCTCGTCGACGAATTACGGCGCTGTCGTCGGACAAAGGGCTGTTTCTACCAACACGGCACTGCCGGGTGCCCAGTCCCGGAGGAGTCGCCGAGATAATGTGGAGCGGCAGCCGACCTTCCGTGCAGGTGCCTCCCACGCGCACTTCGTCCAGGACGCCGCCAGCGTCTCAGCGCTTGCTGCTCTCCGCCGCGTGCTCAAGTCGGCCCGCGGCCGCGAACTGGACCTCTTCTCGTGCTCGTCTCTCAATTGCGATTCCGAGCTGTCGACGGTTACATGTCGTGGCAGCTGAAAGCGGCCTGCGTCCGGGCAGGCCCACGGGCGTGCGGGTCCCGGCGCAAGCAGTTGCAACCATGTCCCGGAACGCGCCCTCTGCCGTCTCGCAGCGCGCGGCGTGAGATGCGCACGCGAGCACTGCAGCCGTACGCGCCGGGCGCATCAGTGAGGGAGCGCTTCGCGTGCGAGGACGCGTACGAGATGGAGGTGTTGCACTGCGCACCTAGCAGGTGCAGCGCGGCCCAGGACTGTCCTCGCTGCGCAGGAGGCGCGCGCCGCGAGAGGTCGATCCGTTCGTCCGCGTCTCATGGGCGTGGCGCCGTCCCCGTGGTTGCAGCGGATCTCCGGAGAGGCCACCCCTGGTGTTCGTGCACGGGTCCTACCACGCTGCTTGGGTCTGGGACGTGTTCTTCCATCGCTACTTCGCGGAGCGGGTGAGGAGCGGCGCAGCGTTGCGCTGGGTCTGTCTTGCGCGGGCAGCAACGCGTGTGCGCACGTGTGCTGCTTCCAGTGGATCGCGGACCGACGGTCGCTGGTTGTGCGTTCGAGCGCGTGCAGGGCTACGACTGCTACGCGCTGTCCCTCCGCGGGCAGGGGTCCAGCGACCCCGTGAGCGGGCCCGTCGGCGGCACGCTGCGCTCCCATGCCAGGGACGTGGCGGACTTCTGCCGGAAACGCCTGGACGGGCGCGCACCGGTGCTCGTCGGACACAGCTTCGGGGGCCTCGTGGTGCAGGAGTACGTGATGCACGCCGCCGGGGAGGGGTCCGCCGCGGCCTCTGGGGACGTGTATCCCGCGCTGAGCGGCCTGGTGCTCCTCAACACCGTCCCGCCGAGCGGCAACCAGGGCATGATCGGCAGGTTCCTCCGCAAGGACTTCCTCAAGGTGCGCTCGAGACCGCGAAGGGTCGTCGCCCGCGCACCGAGGCGGAGAGCGCCCAGGCCGACCGTGCTGTTGCCCGCTTGTGTGTCACCGCCGCAGTCCGCGAGGATCACGTGGGCGTTCATATCGAAGAGTTTCCTGAAGAGCTCCGACACGTGCAAGGAGCTCTTCTTCTCGGAGACGATGCCGGAGCCCGACGTCCGCCGCTACATGGAGCTGCTGGAGAACTCGAGCCAGGTTCGCCTGCTCGACTTGCGCCGGCTGTCGGAGGACGTTCCGCTGCCTCGCCCACCACCGGGCGCACCGCCTGTGCTCGTCGTCGGCGGGGCGGACGACAACGTGGTGGATCTGGAAGCTGTGGAAGAGACAGGTGAGCAGGGTGCCGCGGCGAGGAGGGTGCCGCGGCTCGGGCCACGGAGCTGCACACCGCCCGCGGCCGTCTGCGCCGGTCGTGCGCGAGGAACATGTCGAGGCGCGCGTTGCGAGGCCCGCGTGCGCCGGCCACCCCGCTGTTGCAGGCGCTCACTTCCAGAGGAGCACGACGGTGGTGCTGGAGGGCGTGGCGCATGACAGCATGATAGACGTGCGCTGGGAGGACACCGCAAAGGCCGTTGAGGAGTGGCTCGCCGCGCTGCGGTGACCGGATGACGGAGTGACGCACGTAGTGCATCCGGCAGGACACCACGCAGGGGTTGCGTCCAGCCCGCCCCCCGTGGAAGTGACACAGAGTAGTAATTGACCACCCGCGCACGAAACGAAATGCGGGTGTGCTATCGTCCTGATCAAGGCGGCAGCGTGCTAGGAGTACTCGCGCGAAATGCCATGTGAGCGTGCCATCATGTGCCAAGGGAAGGCTCTGACCTGCAATCAGTTAGAGTGAGTGGCGGGCGTCGTCAGCAACAACGCGGCGAGCCGCGCGAGTACTGGACGACGCCCGCCAGCCGACGCGCCGAAGTGCTGGTCCACGTCCTAGGCTGCTTGTACCAGGGGGTGTCGGCAGCCGGCTGGGTGACAGCGGTGACTGAGTCTGCGGCATTGTCCGCGTTGTGTGGCGACGCGCCGACGGCTACTCAGCTCTCCTCGTCATCGCCGTCCCCCGCGCGTGGCCTGTCATGCGAAAAGGGATCATACCTCGGTCTAGCGGCCACGGAATACGCGCATGGCCAACATGTCAACATCGGGGGGGTAACAGAGTGCGTCATGTGTGCGGGCATGGCTGGATAGTTCCGAGCCAGCTTCGCAGCGCCGGGATCATGTATGAGGGTGACGAGTTGCAGGGCGCCGGGCACGCCCTGTCAGCAGGTTGGCCAGTATGGTCTGCAAACTGCACGTGGCGACGCACGAGGTCAGCCAGGCCCGCCGGCGTGGCAGGGCCAAAATGCGGGCTCGGGTGCGTCCGGCAGGCGGCGCGGTGGATCGCCAGGACCTGTCGCATGCAGTAACCTCGATGCGTACGCATGTAGCGCATCATGGCCGACATCTTGGCTACGTAGCTGTCGCGGTCAGTCACCTCGCTGGACACGCGGATGTGTTCGGTGCGGACGATGTTGTAAAGGTGTCGTCGCAGCAGCGCACACGAAGCGTGGGGGTACTGTATGAGGTGAATGTTCTCAGGAAACAGACCGCGTTTGTCATAGTGCGAGATCAGGAGGAAGCCCTGATATTCGGGATGCGGACGCACGCGGAGGTCTAGGAAGGAGACACCGTCGAGCGGGTTCGCTGGGGCGTCAAATTCGACCTCAAGACAGGGGGGGTACATGTTATGTATACCAGAGATGAGATCTACGATCGACGACGGGGTTTCGGGGGGCGGGGTGGGGGGGCGGGGGTGGGTGTTGAAGTAGCGGTACAGTGCGTTCGCGAGAGAGAAATTGTCGTCGATGTAGCGCCTGGAATAACGGAAAGACCCCAAGACCTTCAGCCAAGCGACGTCGCCAGTGCTCAACCAGCGGTCGCGAAACTGGCAGAGGAACGCGAGCTCATGCCGGAACATGTAGCAGTTCGCGAGGTGGGGGGAGGCCGAGAGCCCCATGGGCACACCGCAGGTCTGGTGATATACGACGCCCCCGAACACCACGTAGGCGCGTTTGACGAGGATGTGCACGAGACCATGAAGTTGCTCGATGCTCGGTGCCCATTTCCCAACCATGCCGTCCGCGTCCGGCAGCTGCGCCACCCACCACCACGTCTCCCTCGCGTCAAACGCGGGTTGCAAGTCGATCAGGAGGTGTTGCCCTGGATGCAGTGCAAAAACAGCGTCGATGTGTTCGATGACGCAGTCGATGAGGCCGGTCCCGTGGTCCGCGCTCGTCTCGTGCCGGATGTGCGTGTAGAGCCGCTTGATGTCGGCGCCCAGCAGCAGAGGTGGTTGTTGAGCATGTATCGCTGAGCGTGGTGGGTTGTCATGTAGATACGCGGTCACCATGTCACGCATGCCGCGGCTGGAGTCCACCAAGAAGGGCGCGAAGCTGCTGCAGAGGTCCTCCGGGACGCCGTCGAAGATGGAGCTCCAGACCTCCACGAGGGTGGCGTGGCACATGAGCGCGCCGAGGGCCTTCGTCAGCAGCTGCGCTGCGGGGCGCGTGATGTCGCTCGAGCAGTCCGAGATGTACCGCACGTCCACCTTGGCCTTGTGAAGCTTCATCGTCCCGTAGTAGTGCGGTAGACCACCGCACTCGCGTTCGGTGCGTATTCCTGGTAGCTGCAGGTTGTCCAACATAGCCTCCGTCGTGTTAGCGACGTTCACCACGTGCCTGGCATGCGTGATGTTGGCATTTGCCGGCTCGTTGACAGCGAAAGCGTCGTTGCTGTGCAGGTCGTGCAGGAGGACCTCGATGTAGGCGCGCCGACACACGAAAACCAAATTCCCGGCGTTCTTGTCCATGGTCGTGATGGTGAGGCGTGTCGCGTCTCGCCGCAGAGCCACGCGATCGTCGGGCTGAATGTCCGCCAGCGGCGGGGGCCATGGAAGGCGGAACCCGGGTTGAAGAGCGGGTTGGAGTGCCGTTTGCGTAGCAGCAAGTATAGCATCAATGTACGGCATGCACGCTGCCGCGTCCATGTCGGCGGCCTTGCTGACGCGTTTCGTCCACCCGAGCAGCGGCTTCTGGTAGGCTTCAACGATGCTAGCTACGGTCGCGCTCGTGGCTTGGTGCAGCTCCGGGACGTGTCGGTGCTTGGCACCGCCGACGGCGAACAAACGGCGGTACGCGGTGCTCTGGATGCCCGCCGCAGCAGGGTCCAGCGTGCAGAGGTGCCGCACAGGCTCGCCGTCGATCTGCCAGTAGGGGTCCTCGAGCGTGAAGTGGCGTCGTAGGTCCGGTCCTTGGTGTTGCGCACAGTCGCACTGCGTCGCCATGATGTCGTACAGGCGACTGCGTGCAAACTTGGCAACTCCGCTGTGCGTGCACACCGAGCGCGACAGCGGTGGAAACCTGACCGAATAGCGCGGGGCCACCAGAAACAAGCCATCCATACCTTCGCGGATACGCTCAGGTAAGAGGTTGAGAAAGTCATCATTATTGACGAGGGTTTCGAGGGGGGCGAGGCTAGCCAGGGGGGTAGGGAAGTCGTGGATCATGAGGGTACGGCTCCCGAGGTCGATGTCTGCGACGGGAGGGTAGTGGTGGTTGATGGCGGCCTGCAAAACGGTGCGGGCACTGTCCAACATCTGCTGTGTGTAAAAGGGCTCGTCGAGACCCAGGTTAAGCGCATCGGGATGCATGTGCGACACGCAGTGATGGAGGGAGAAGAGGTATTTTCCGATGTTCGCTGCCGTGCAATGGTTCACCGCGCGTCTCCAATGATCGTGCTCTGTGTCGCCGGCGCGGCGGAAAAAAACAACGTCAAGAAGGAGGCGAGTCTGGTAGATATACTCGCGTGTACCGAGGCGCGGAGACATGCCTGCGATAGCGGGGGGCAGGGACAACGCTGGTGCCGTAGTTGTGAGGCAGTTGTCAGCGTCGAGGTGGATGGTACGTTGATGCGTGGAGGAGATGGCAAACGTTGGCTGGAAGAGGGTCGCCAGCGCTGGGAGCCCACTCGGGCCGGGCGGGACGGGGAAGTCGTTGTGGGGGATCGCTACGGGGTGGGGGTCAGCGGCGATTTGGAACGCCAGGGGGGATAGAGGCCATGGGGCAGCATCAGAGTGGCCAGCTCCGTAGCCGAAATTCCACATGCCCTTGCAGTAATTGAGGCCGCCGGGGTGTGTGGAGCCCAGACAGCGTATCATGGTCTGCTCCCAGGCCAGGGAGTAGGTGCGGAACTTGTGGAACCAGGCCTTCAAAGCGTCCGGGCTAGTCGCCGGCGGGATGGGCACCTGGCGTGCGAAATTGATGCGAAAGAGGGGCACGATGGTGAAGTCGCGCCACGGGACATGGCCGTTCGGCGACTGCGCCCACACTCGTCGCATAAACTCGTAAAGCGGGGTGTGCACGGCGTTCGGATGGTGCGTGAATGCTGCATCAAAGTGCTCCTGCAGTCGTTCGATCGCTGTGCGGTATGTCTCCCCGACATAGTAAAAGAAGGGGTATTTCCGGCACAAGAGGACATAGACAACCCCGCGCGCCGCAAGCGGGGGGTTTGCCGTGACCGATGGTAGCGCGGCGAGGTCCGAGAGCGCCGGCGGGGGCGGTGGGAAAGGAGCGCTCGGTGGGGGGCACGGGTGCGGGTATGCGGGCGCCCGTTCGTCGCGGGGCACGTAGTCCCAGTAGGGTCGAGGGGCTAGTGCGGAGGCGGGGTGGGAGGGTGTGTGGTGGGGGCTAGGAGGGGGCCAGGCACGGGGAGATGCCTGCGGAGCAATAGCGGCCGCGATGCGGCGTGCGTGCGTGATGCTGGGTCGAAAGTTCGGGTCGTGGTCATTTAGATTTGCGACATGGTGGAACAGGGTGCCATTCGAAAGGTGGCCACGCAGCGTGCGCGCCTCGGCGGTGCCGGCCTGGTCGCTGAGACGCAACGCTGCTTGGAGCCGTTTCCTCCGTCGGCGACCGATTGGAGTGCGCATGGTGAGAGGTTTTGGGGGTGAAAAGAGGGTGGTGTGCGGAACTAGACCGAGGATGCAGTAATCAAGCCACGACGGGAGGGCGACGATGACGGGGAGAGCTCTACCTAAGTTGCGCGTTCCTAGCACGCCGGGCGGTGAGCCACGGACGTGAGACGGCGGAGTCAGTTAGCCGGAGGCAGGCTCGTCTACGCCGACGGTTGAAGGCCGGAGTAGGGAGGTAGCTCTCAGCTGGCACTGCGCCAAAGCCCCATGTTCGAGGCCCGGCGCAGCACAACACGACACACAGAGTAGTAATTGACCACCCGCGCACGAAACGAAATGCGGGTGTGCTATCGTCCTGATCAAGGCGGCAGCGTGCTAGGAGTACTCGCGCGAAATGCCATGTGAGCGTGCCATCATGTGCCAAGGGAAGGCTCTGACCTGCAATCAGTTAGAGTGAGTGGCGGGCGTCGTCAGCAACAACGCGGCGAGCCGCGCGAGTACTGGACGACGCCCGCCAGCCGACGCGCCGAAGTGCTGGTCCACGTCCTAGGCTGCTTGTACCAGGGGGTGTCGGCAGCCGGCTGGGTGACAGCGGTGACTGAGTCTGCGGCATTGTCCGCGTTGTGTGGCGACGCGCCGACGGCTACTCAGCTCTCCTCGTCATCGCCGTCCCCCGCGCGTGGCCTGTCATGCGAAAAGGGATCATACACAGACACGTGCCACGCGCCACGTGCGTGCTGGCCACAGCCTCCGCTGCACGTTGCCTGACCGCGGGCGTCACAGCGTCAGCCCCAGGTCCTCGGGGAGCGGTGCATCCGAGCGTGCGCTCGCAACTGTGTCTTGCCGACTGCGCCGCCGAGACCTCGCTGGGCATGCTGGGCGCCGGCGGCGGGGGAGCTATGTAATGGCCGCCAGGCGCGGGCTTCGGTGGGGGCGGGATGCTATCGGATTGCGACGGGAGGGGGCACTACAACAAATACTCCGTGCAACGCCCGTTCAGTCCCCGCGCCAATCGCCGGGCAGCTGGACGACCTCGATGGTGTTCATGTCGGGGTCACGGAAGAACACCGCGGCGCGCCCGGACTTGCTCTTCGTGTACTGTACCTCCGCCCTGCACAGCACCGGGGGGCGGTCAACCTCTCCCGCGGGGTCAGTCACCGCGCGCCAGGCTGCCAACCGGCTCGGACAACGTTCGCCGCGCTGCTGGCAGCGAAGCGGCGGAGAGCAGCGGACCACCGTCGTGCCGCTGAAAGCACATTGAGCACAGCCCGCGCCGCTTGCTTGAGGCATTTGGGGACTTTCAGGCTGACAGAGGGGCAGCAACATTCATCGTGATGCAATGTGCCTGAACAGGGCGGAGCGTGTGCCGTGGTTCGCGCGTGCTGGACGGGCGAATCTCCAGCCATCACTCCTCGCCCCAAAAGCATGCGCCACGCTCGAAGTCGAGCATCGCTGTCCGCGCGGAACGGGTCGTATCGACTGGCGGCTTCGTCTCGCGCGCATGCTTCGCGGCCGCACCTGTCCAACCTCTGCACGAGGGGGTCCAGGTCCTCCACGGCGATGCAAAAGTGTCGGTCGCGCCCGCCGTGCGTCGGCCGACTCTCCGAATCCGTGGGATCCGGATTCGGCAGTTCCATGAGGTGGATCATCTCGCTCCCGATCCACAGCCACGCCCCTGCAACGTCGTTTCCGGGCGCTCGGATCAGTGCCACCGCATACCTCGCCCCGCGCTCCAGGGAGGCGCCGCAATCCGCACCGCCCCGTCTAAGCACTGGGGTTCCTGCAAATGGCACGCCAGAGCAGCGGCACACCCGCGCAAAACAGGACCGTGCGAGTTCGCTGTGCCCTCGTCTTCGGCTGAGGCCGTGCAGGCGGCCCAGCGGTGCCCGCATCGCGAAGCCAGCTCATGGAAAACAACTTTCTCAATGTCTCGACACCGAAGCGCGCAGAAGCGTGCGGCCGAGCGCGGCGAATTGGCCGGAATGGAGCGCTTGTTGCAGAGGCAAGTCCAGGCAGCCTAGGGGCGCACCGTCGTACGGCAGCTTGTCGTGCGGCCTCTCAGGGTTGAGCTCGAGGCCCAGGACGCCCTGGTAGAAGTCCAGGGACCGTTTCAGGTCGTCGCAGATGACGGCGACGTGGTGCACCCCGGAGACGCGCACGGGGCTGGTGAACTCTATGGACGCCTCGTTCGCCGCATGGAGCGCCCACAGCGACGACTTCCGCGCGTGGCAGACGACGTCCCGCCTCTGGGTGCGGGCCGGCGCCCTCGAGGCTCGTGCGGCCAGGCGGAGCTGCCCTGGGAGCTCGAGCCCGCCGCGAACCTGCAGGCGCATCGCGCTAGCCGAGTGCCACGCGAGCGACCACGCGCGAGTTTGAATGCAGGGCCTCCTCCTCACGAGGAGATGCGCGCGCCCTGCGCGGCGACCGACCTTCAGCCCCCGCCCGCCCGCCCGTGCGGAGTGCGAGGTTCCGGGGGCGGTGTCAGCTAGGATCCGACGGACAGCGGGTTTGAACGCACCCGAGCCAGCGACAGGGGCCGCGGGCGGCGCCGACAGACACCGTGAGCGCGGCCGAGCCCCAACCGCCAGCAGGTTCCGCGGGGTCGCCCTGGGCTGGCGGGGGAGACGCTTCGCTGCATAGGGCCACCTTAGAGCACGCGAACGTCATGCTCGCGCCGGTGTGCAGCGCACGGGCGGGGGGGCAGGAGACAACCGATCTCGAACAGCATGTCGGGCGGACAGGTTGTCCCCAGGACGACCCGCGGGACGGTCGATGCGGGGTTGCAGGCACAGTGAGACAGTGCTCCACGCAACACGTAATCCGGGGGCCTCGGGCACGGCCGTGGGTATGAGACCGAACTCGATCGACGCTCTGACAATCTGGGATGCCGTTTGCCCTCGAAAGCTGCCGTCCGTCGCCATAAGGCTACGCGTGATGTTGAGGAAGTCGAGAACGCAATGCGGGGATCAACGCCTGCACAGAACCCCCCCCGTGCCCTCATCTGCGGTTGAGGCCATGTTGGCGGCCCGGCAGTGCGCGCAGCGCGAATGCATGGCAGCCTAGCCCGCTTTTGTGCGACTGAGCGCTCGCGTCTATTACAACCTCTCATGATCGAGTCGGCTGAACCAGCCTGCCGTCCGAGCGGTGCACGGCCTCTTCCAGCGCCGCCACGAGGCTCTCTAGTGCACGACGCACCGCCTCGTCGTCACTTCCCGCGGCAGGTCGCGCCAAGGCAGTTTCGACGTCCAGAAGCAGGTCCGCCAGAGTGCCGAGGTCGGCAGCTGAAGGCGCGGAATGAGACCCGGACGCCGAGCCTGCGCGGGCGGAGGAGTCGGGTGGTGCACGTGAGAGGCGCTGCCCCGTGCAAGGATGGACATGGGTTGCATGTGCACTTGGGCGGTCCCCAGGCGCACCGTGTGTCGGGCGCATGTTGAGCAGGTCGCGGATCTCTGCGGCGTCGATCCCCGCAGCGGATGCGACGGCCTCGATGTTCCGTTCCAAGGCCTGGTCGCCCTGTGCTGCCAGTGGCGCCTCGGGCTCCGTCGGCCTGGTCGCCGCGCGCAGGACCGCGGCCGCACGGTGGGCTACGCGCGACAGGCCACGGACTGCCTGAAGCAGGTGTTCGACCCTCGCCCGGAGCGCCGAAGCTTCGCTCCTGGAACTCCTGCGAGACGGAACGAGGCAGGTGGGTCGTTCGCACCGGGCACGCGAGGGCGCGAGCGACATCACGCCGTTCCGCAGGTGCCCACCTCTGTGCGCGGCTCTCCCTCCCCGATGCGTCCTTGGCCAGGCGGTGCGCGTCACTCAGCTGCCCCTGCAGGTTCTCCACCTCCTGCTGGAGACCCCGGATCTGGGCGTCCCGTCGACGGATCTCGGAGCGGAGCTTCTGAGCCTTGGACTCCCACTGCTCCTGCAGGCCCACGTCGACGAGTGGACGGTCATCATGCGACGCACGGGGTGACCAATCACTTGCGAACGGACACAGAGGTGTGCGGCAACACTGGCCGTCCCCCTCGGGCACGAACCTGCTCTCGCGCGGCGCCCTTCGCCTCCGCCGCCCGCACGACGTCCGCGGTGCGCGCCTGGAGCTCCTGAACCTGCTGCGTCTTCCTCGCAAGGTCCGCGTTCGCCTGCCTCAACCGCACCTCCATCGTCGCGACCTTCCCGGCGAGACCCTGCCCTTCCAGCTCCCTCTGCTTGGTTTCGAGCTCCTCGACACGCCTGCGAAGGGCTTGCTGGGACTGCGAGACGCGCCGTGCCTCGGCTCTGGCCTGGTGCGCGCGTGCCTCTGCGTCCTGCCGAGATTCCCGCTCGGCAAGGAGCTGCGACAGGGGCACAGCCTCGTCGCGACCGGCCGAGTCCTCCGCTGCCTGCAGCGCGCGCAGGCGGCGGGCGCTCTCGCGCTGCGCGGCCCGCAGCTGCTCCTCCAACCCCTTGATCTCCCCCCGCGCGCGCTCCATGCCCACGTGCGTCTCCTGCTCGGCCCGCGCGACCGCGTCGCGGAGCTCGCGGCCCAGACGATCGACCTGCACATAACCGGGGGCGCGACACGCAGTTGTTCGCGCGATCCTCGCGCAGCCGCAGCGGAGGAGGAGGCATGGTTCCCGCCGCAGCACTTGCTCACCTCACGCTCGAGGACCTCGCAACGCGACCTCGCGGCCGCAAGCTCTCTCAGAGCCTGCTCCTTGTCCACCCTCTCGAGCTCCACCTGCCGGTAGACCGCCGCCAGCGCTTCCGTGCCGATGGCCTCGTGGATCTCACCCACAACGCCCGCCACGCCAGGCAGCGCGTCCAGAGCCGACGAAAGAGCCGCGCGCGACTCGTCAGGAACCACCTGGCGCGGAGGGCTCGCCGGTGCGTCCTGGCTCGCCTGCGGGCTGGTCTGAGGCCCAGCTGCCACTTGCCGGCGATCCATCATGGAAGCAGCACCCCTACCCCCCGCGAGTCGGTCCTTCAGCGCCGATTCCAGATGAGCGACTTCCCGAATCTTGAGCTCCCTGTAGGATCGGAACTTCTCGGCCAGGGAGTCCATCTCCCTGCAGCACAGAACAGACTTCAACAACAGAGGTCAAGCGCGTGGCAGGGGCGGGCGACCTCACGTCGGCGGCTCAATCTGTCAACGGCGTGTCCGCACCTCTTGGCCTGCTCTTCGCGCTGACGGGCGACCTTCTCGGCGGTGGTCACTCGCGCCTCCGCCTCCACAAGCTGCGCCTCGCATCGTCTGAGGGCACGGGTCTCCGCTGCCGATGCCCCAGCTTCAGCCTCCGCCCTTGCGGCAAGTCGCTCCTGCTCGAATTGCCCTTGAATGTCCGCAACGGCCTGCCGAGCAGCGGCGGCACGCGAACCTTCAGCGATGCAGCGGAAACATGTCTCAAGTTGCCTGGGCGAAATCGACGTCGCGGTGTCGAGCGCACCTTCATGTGTCGCTCATTGAGCTTGCGGACGTGCTCCTCGTGCGCGCGCTCCATGTCGCTGACGGTTGCCTGCAGTGCGTCCCTCTCGAGGCGTGCTTCCTGGAGGTTGACCTTTGCCACCTCGAGCTCCTCCTTGACCGCACACATGTCGTCGGTCAGCGCCTTGACCTTCGCCTCTGCGTCCTGCTTCGTCGCGCGGAGCGACTCCTTCAGCCTCAACACCTTGTCCTGGCCTGCCTCCTCCTGCTGCTGTGCTTCCCGGAGCTGCGCTTCAAGGCCGCGACAGCGCCCCTCGAGAACCCGGGTCAGCCGCTCCAGGTCCTCTAGCTCACGCATCATGCGCTCGATCGCACTCCCAGGACCATGCACCGACGTTGAAATGTCGCGCGTCGCCTGTGCAATTGCGTCTTTGATCTGGTTGCCAAGCTTGTCCTGCAGGTGTGGCACGCGGACTTGGGGTGAACACGACTCCCAGCAAACAATGCAAACGCACGCGACGCACCGTCGCGTCCCCCCGCACGCCTCACTCGATCCTCACCTGCAGGACCGCCTGTGCGTTGTGTGCTGCAGCCAAGCGGGCGTCCATCTCGCGGTACGATCGCCTGATCGCGTCGACCTCCGACCGCACTCGCTCGGTCCGCGCTTCGGCGTCGGCGAGGCGCCCGCGCCACTGCTCCTTGACGTTCTGGACGCGCTGCACTAGGGAGCGCAGCTGCACCTTGCGCTCCTGGGCCTTCGCCTGCGCACGCGCGCGCTCCTGCATCGCGTTCTCGAGATCCTCCTGCAGCCGCACCACCTGGCACTGCAGCTTCTCCTCCGCCTGGCCTCCCAGCTTTAGGCCCGCAATGGTCTCTCGCAGCGACACCGCCACCCTGTCGCGCTCCTGTCGCTCGCGTTGCAGCGACTCCCGCACCGCGTCCGCGTCCTGCTGCGCAATGTCGAGCTGCGGACACAGCAGGGGAGCAGCGGCAAAGGCGTTCAGCGCTCGGCGGGTGCGCCCTTGTTTCCGGGCAATGTCAAACGATCTCGTTCTGAGCTCAGAGCCCGTCAGTCGGCGCAGGTGAGCTCGCCTGTGCCCGTAGCTGAGATATCTCCGTCCTCGCCTGCCGGTCCTGCTGAAGTGCGCGTGACTCGACCTCTGCGATTCTCTGTTCGAGTTGAGCATGCTCCTCCGGGCCGCAACACTCGGCTGGAGGGCCTGTCCGCAGCTTCGGATCGAACTGCAATCGCGACAACCATGCGTTGTGTTCGTGCAGTTCTGGCGACGACGCGGGAGGAATCGCAACAAGATGATGCGGCCATGCCACGAACCTTGAGACCAGACTGAAGCGCATCCGTCAGGGAAGCCTTCGTTTCCTCCAAGCGCTCGATCTTCTCCTTCGCGGCCTTGTCTTGTGCCTCGAGGCGAGTCGCAGCCTCCGCGGCGTGCCGTGCACTCACGTCCCGAGCGAGCTCGGCCTCGCGCACCCGAGCTTGCAAGTTACCGACCTGCACGCGCCGCAGCCAATGGAGTCAAAGCCACAAGACCGCATGTGCTCGCGTGTCATCACGGCACTCGTGGACATCGCCGCAACTCACCTCCTCCTTGCAGCGGGCGAGTTCGCCCTGGGCTTGCTCCAAGTCCTCGCGGCATGTCTGTGCAGCCGCGGACTCCTTCGCCATCCCCTCCTCGAGAACATTGCGACGCTCGATCAGCTGTGCCTTCTCGTCATCATCCGCTTGAGTGGCGGCGTCACGTTGGAAGCTTGAACTGCGATCGAGGTGAGGCGCGAGCTAGTGACTAGACATGACATGAATGGCGGGGAGCCAATGACATGCGTGCAAGGTCGGGCTCCATCGCCTACCCGGATTCGTCGTCCGCAGCGTCCCTCAGCAGGCCGACGTCCTCCTGCGTCCTCACGGCCACGTTCGACACGTTGCTCGTGAGGACCCGCAGCGCCGACTCAAGCGACTCGATCTCCGCCGACATCGCCCCCGCCGCTGACACCAGCTGTTCCCTCGTCTCCTCGTCCATAAACAGCTTGCCAACTTCGTCACCACGCACGGGTGGGCGAATTCGCGCAAGTTGAGCCAGGGCCTCGGCAATTGAACCTCCAGATTGTTGCAGGGTGTCGAGATGCACACGCAGCAGCTCGCAAAGCCCGCTCGACTCTTGCAGTACCTGCACGGACGGTGGTGGGCGAGGGGCTGGTCGGTGAGTCAGCTGCGGGCGTTGGGGGCGACTCCAGGAACCTTGGCTCCAAGACGGGCAACTGATCTGCGCACCTTTGACGTGGTCCGCAGGTTGGGCAACAAGTACCCCTGAACAACCCGCCGTTGACGTCCATCGGTGGTCAGCTGTTCTTGCACGACTCTGGGCGCGGCCGTCGTCGCTTCTGCCAGGGAGTCGAGCCTCCTGAAAATCTCATCGACGTCGACGGCCTGCACGCTTGCCGCCTGGTCGGGGGCAGTGCGGGCATTCCTCGGTTCCGTGACAACCTCGTGGAGGCCCGTGGCATCCGGGCCGCGATTTTCTTTCCCACCTTGGGCGTCCTGGGCGGTGCCTGCAGTGTCATTGCGCGGGGGGTGTGAAAGATGCTGTGAAAGGTCTCAGCCGGACCTTTCCTACGCCAGCGTCGACACCGGACATAGACTGCGCTTGTGCCTACCTGTGCCAAGGCTGAAGCGCAGTTCCTTGAGCCTCTGAGCCAAGCGGTCACGCTCCCTGCGCGCTTCGGCCTTCTCGTGAGCCAGCTGGTTGCACCTGGCCGTGAGATCGCGGATGACTGAGCGCTGCGACGACTCCAGAGGCGACGCATGTGTCTCGATCCGCGCAGACATGAGAGCTGCTTCGAGAGCCTTGATCCTGGACAGCGCCCTGCGGAAGGAGGAGTCCTTCTCCTGCGAGTGCAGCCAGAACGTCTCCCTCCAGTCAGTCGGGAAAGCACGGTCACCGGGAGGCACGGTGCAGCAGGACGGAGCGAATTGGCGGTGATGTGCACGCAGCAGCCTGGAGATGCTGAACGAACCTGCAAACCCTGGACCAGTTCCTGGGTCAATATGGCGAGGTCCTCGCACGCCTTGGCGGTGTCGAGATCGTCGACGACGTGTGGCACCTCCGCGATGGATACGGTCTCCCCTGGTCTCGCGGCATCCTGCGGAGGCACCGGCGTCCCAAATGAGCACCTTTTCCACACTCGAACGGGCATTGATTGGAGCTATGAGCCAGCGGCTCGTTCCCTGTGCCACGTACCTGAGCGGGCTTGCGATGAAGGACGGAGTTCAAGCGCGCAGCTCCCGTCAGCGAAGCGACGGAGCGAGCGGTGGTGATGGCGTTTGAAACTGCCGAGTGCAGTTGCAGCAGCCGCTTGCGCGTCCGTTCGACAGCAGCGCGCCTCTCTGACAAGTTGGTCTCGGCCGACGCCAACCGTTCCATCTCCGCCTCGCGATCCTGCTGCGAGGCCATGGCCCTGGCAGCTTGCACTTTGAGGTGCTCGATCCGGGCATCACGGCGCGCCAGCTCCGATTTCAGCGCCGCTACTTCCGTCGCCGAAGCCTGGCATTTCTGTCCTTGCTCGCCGCCTGCCAGGACGTCGCTGCCAGCGAGTTTGATGCGTTGCGCCAGGCGACGAGGGCTAGAGGGCGCACTAGCAGATTGCTGCGCGGCAGAGTCACGATCTGCGCCGCGAAGGCGAGCATTCGCGACTTCGAGGTTCTCCTTGAGCTCTGCAATTCATCGACGGCGCATTTGGCCATGAGGGCTATTCAACATGCTAGAGGTCCTTGGCTCGCAGATCTCGCGCGCGCCTGGTTTTGACCTCACCTTGAATGCGCTGTTCGCGCTCATGCAGTTGCTGCAGTGCCTCCATCTCAGCACGCGCCGAGACACGGAGCTTGCGTTGTGCATCAGCCTCCGCAAGTCTGACTTTCACCAACTCCCGGCTCAGTTCCTCCATCGGAACGCCAGCTTTGCCTTTGCCAAACTGCGACTCGCACGACGGGAGCAATGGATGTGGGCCTTGCGCAAGGCGGTGCTGCAGCTGGCAAGGCACGCCTGGCGCTGCATGCTCTACCTGCAGCGCCTTCCCGCCTGGGCGGTCCGAGGCAGCCGCTGCCGCGCTTTCGATCTTGCCGAGGGTGCTTTGCAGCGCCTGGATCGCCGGGCCCTGGGTGTCGCGCAGGTCGCGCAGGGACAGGACCTCCTGCTCGAGGTCCTTGATGTCCTTCACCAGCGCCGCGTTCTCCGCGTCGACGCCCGCGATCGTGCAGTGGAGCTCCGCGATCTTCTGCTCGGCTCGGCCGAGGTCGAGCCTCATCGCCTCGACCACCTCGGGCGCCGGCACAGCTGCACGTGCGTCGTGAACGGCCTTGCGGCGGACGTCGTCCTCGCGCTTCTGCACGGCGGGGGGCGGCGGGTCGCAGTGAGGAGGGGGCGTCGCCTTCTGCACCGGTCGCATACCAACGCAGACGACACACGTGCGCGAACCTGCACCGCTTGCAGCTCCGCCCTCAGTGCCGCGACGGTGTCGATGTGCGTGCTATGCAGGCGCTTGAGCTCCGCGTCAAGCTCTTCGACCCTCGCAGCGCTCGCCCGGTTCGCGTCTTCGCGCACGCGTGCTTCGACAGTCTGCACGGCCGGGAGGGAGTATGATGCCGCTCGACGTCATGCGCGCGCTCGGGGGGGCTGCCAGCACTGCACACAGGTCTCGACGTCTCGCTACCTGTGCGTCTGAGACGGCCTTCCGATACTTCGTCTCCTCCGCAGCAAGCGCCCTCTCGGCCTCTTGTACCTTCGCCTCCGCGCGCTCGGCTCGCTGGCGCTGGGAGGCGACGAGCTCCTGTGCCCGCGCAAGCTCTTGAGAATGTGTTGCGAGCTGTGCAACCAGGTCGGCGTGACCAGCCTGCCGCGCGGGCACCTGCACAGCGGATACGAGGGCGCTCATCGCGCTGAGGCGAGGACCATCGTCCCCTGCGCCGCCAGCCAGGAAGAAACTGGGGCACTGTGCGATTCCACGTGTCGACCGCACCTGTTGACAGCTCGTGTCGTGCGCCGGGTGCCTCTCGAGAAGTGCGCGGACCGCCCCCGCTTCCACGCACGCCGCGTCCGCGCGCTTGCGCGCTGCTTGCGCAGAAGCGAGGAGTTGGGACTCGACAAGCTTCAAGGAGCAGATCTGCGTCGCACATGTAGGTGGCTTGAGGTGTGATGCGCGGCTCCATCGGCCACCTTGAGGGGCAGGTGTACTTGTCACGCATGCCGTGACGTGCGAGGGCGGCGCGCTGCCGCGTCGCGCACCTGTCTGGTGAGGTAGAGGATCTTCTCCTGAGGGTCAGCGGCACACAACATCTTCGTCACCTCGCGCTCGAAGTACTCCTTCAACTCCCGGTCGCGCCTGTCCACGCCCTCCGCGATGCCGTCCTCGGCAAAGACGTTCGGTGTACCTGAGAGGGGAGAGCTGACCAGGGCACGTGAGGTGCGCTGCAGGCGTGGCAGTCGTCGCAGGCGCCCAGCTGGCCCTTCGCTCACCTGCCGCCTCCATGATGATTGCACGCACACGTGCATTCGCCTCGTTCCTCGCGGCCTCAGCGGCAGCGGCCCGGCGTTCGGCTGCCTCGCGCAGGCCTGTTTGCGCCTCAGCCCGCACACGGTCTGTCGCGGAGGACGTTTCCGCCTCGATCAGAGCCTTGCTCGCCCTGTCCAGCAGCTCCTCGACACGCTTGACGCGGTCGACGTGGAAGCCGACAGTCTCGTTCGCATGGGCCCTCGTCAACTCCAGGAGCCGCTGCACACAAAGGGGGCCGTGCGGACAACGTCGCCCCATGTCGCGCGCGAGGCTGATCGCAGTGGTGGGTTGCACGCGCGCGGGCGAGCACATGCGCGTGCGGGTCCGCACCTCCAGTTGCCCCCTCTCGTGAGCACGTGCACTTTCCGAGGCCTGCCAGTCGGACAGCCGTTCTTCCAGGGTGCGTTCGGCTTCCGCGAGGCGAGCGCTTGACATGGTCACTCGCGCGCGGCACATCCGCGACTCCGACTCGGCCTTGAATCGAGCGCGCTCGGCTTCGAGCACGATGTTAGCCATCTGCTGCGCACTCTCGTCGAGGTGGCTCACGTCCTCGCCTTGCGAGCGCTGCCGGATCGCGTGAGTCAGATCCCTGATCGCCGTCAGCAGCTGCGGGTGGTCGAGTCCGTCCCAGACGCTGCTCGCGTCCCCCGACGACGCAAGCTTGAAAGACTCCTCACGTGCCGCCTGCACCGCAGCCGCCGCATCGGCGCGCTCCGCCGCGAGCTGCGCGGCATGCCGCAGCCGAGCTTGTTCGAGGGCTGCCTTGACGCCCTCGAAGTCGGCTTGCGCGCGCTTCAGGGAGAGCTGGCACTTGTCCACTTCCATGCTCAAATGGCGCTCCTTGTCCGCGGCCCGCTGCAGGTCCCGCCGCGCTGCTTGCAGCTCGCCGTCCGCACGATCCCGCTCCTCACGGGCCACCGCGAGGTCGGCGGAGGCCCGTGCGGCGCCGGCCACGAGCTCGCTCTCGGACCGCTTCAGGTCGGCGATGTGGGCCTCGCGGCACTGCAGCTCGGCGACCAGCTCCGCGGCGCGACACTCCAACGCAGCCTCCGCGGCCCTGGAAGCCGCCAGTTGAGCCGTGAGGGAGATGATGCGCTGGTCTCTTTCGCTCGCGGTCCCGGCCTGCGGGGACAACATCGAGTGCATCTTGTGGTGGATCGACCGACGGCGAGTCGGGCGCCGGAACCCAGGGCTCGGACGTGGCGCGCACGCACCTGTAGGGCCTCAATTGTCTCCGTGAGGATGCCGATCTGCACGTTGCGCTCCTCCAGGCGCCCCAGTGCACTCTCGCACTCGGTGCGCAAGCGGCAGGCTGCTGAACTTGAAGCTTCTTCCTGTCGCCGCGCCCGCTGCTGCTCGCGCTCGAAGCGCGTGGACCAGCTCTCGATCTCCGCCCTGCGCGCTCAGTCACCGGGCGCGCCGCGGAGGAATGAGGCTGTGCTCCGCGGGCGAGGGCGCAACATGTGCACGAGTTCCGGGCCCGCCGCACCTTGCTTGGCTCAGTTCCGACCTCAGCTGCCGCACAACGCTCTCGGCGTCGATCTTGGCGCTCTCGCAGGACGAGGCGTGCCGCTCCGCGTCCGCCACACGCGAGAGCAGCGAGGTGATCTCGCGGGACTGGTCGTAGGCGTCCTCGATGGCCTTCTTCGTCGCCGCAGACGCCGCGTGCTCCGCCGACTGGTGATGCTTCGCGATCAAGTCCCGCAGCACCTCATTCTCGCGCGCGAGCTCTTGCAGCTGGGCGCGCTGTCGAACTTCGGTGAAGGGGTGCGGGCTCCCAGCACCCTGCGCCTCCGCCTCTGCCGTGCCAGGCGGCGCCTCCGAGCTGCCCGTGCTCGGCCGCCTCCGAATCACGGCCAGCAGTTCAGCATTGCGCTTCTCCAGCGCGTCCACCTTGGCGGAGAGCGACTCCACGCTGTCACTTGCAGGATTTGCTGCTGGTGCCCTGGGGCGTTGTGCGTCAGCGCGGGCCGCATCGAGGGCAGCCTGAAGGTCGCGAACTTGCATGCGAAGATGAATCACCTCTGCGTCTCGCTGGCCTGCCGCGGCGCGCTCCTGCGTGCACGTGCAACAACATCCTTGTTTTGATCCTTGTGGCGATGCTCGACGCATCGATAGCAGGGGCCCTGCTGGGCGACCACGCACAGGCACGCACGTGCGACAGCGACGGCGCGTTCGCCTTGCCTGCATCGGCTTGGGAGACGCGCGTTGTTGTGCGTCCAGTCGCTCCTTCAACGTTTGCTCCACACCGCGTGCTGCGTCCAAAGCTGCGTCCTTGGCTTCAAGACGGGCTTCCAGCGACTCGATGATTTCGCGAAGTCTCTCCGTCTCCTGCACCGACGCCGACTCTGCTGCGGAGGACGTCGTGCTGCTACTCATCTCCGCAATGCATGATTTCAGCGCGGCCGTCTCCCGCGCCGCGGCTTCCGTGACCTTCTCGAGCTGCCGCTGCGTGTCCCCTTTCACCTGCGACGCATGCACCGTTGCATCGCGATGATTGCGAGGGCAGCCGGGCCGGGAACGCAGCAGGGCTCGTTGCTCGCCACGGGACCCACCTGCAGCAAGTCCCCTACTCTCGCCTCCGCGGCATCAAGCTTTTGCAGCGTGTCGCGGAGATTACGTTGCGACTCGTTGTACGACGCCTGGAGCTCTTGCATGCGCCTGCACCGGGAGACGTAATGCACAGACGTCAGGCACCGACGTGTGCGTTCGAAGCGGGGCGGTCCGGGCGCACGGCTGCTGCACTCCTCACCTCTGGAATGCCGTCACGGCTTCGTCTTTCGCCTGCAGCAGCTCGAGCGCCTTCCGGCTCCGCGCCTCTTGCTCCGCCCTCTCGCGGCCCACCGCCACACTGACCAGCTTCTCCGCGTCCGGCGCTTGCTTCTCCAGCTCGTCCTGGAGCTGGCGCAGCCACACAAGCTCTCCCCTGCGGACGGGGCCACGCGCGGACCACCGACGATGAGGCTCGTGGCGGGTGGCGCGCAGGAGCAGGCAGCGCCACGCAGCGCCAGGCGGGGCTCACCTCATGTTGTCGTTCTCGCCCTCGAGCTCCTTGACACGCGCGCGCAGCTGCTTGTTCGCGCCGCGCAGCTCCATCGCCGCGGCGCGCGCCCCGTCGCTCGGCGTCTCCGACGACTCGGGCCGTGCGCTCCTGCACAGCAAGGTGGGGTGGGTGTGTACGACGCGAGTGGGTCGAGTCGGGCTGGTCGCGCCTGCACCGGCCGCTCGGGAGCCCGCGCGGACCGCGGCGCAGGTCTCCGGGGCCCGCACCTGTGGGCGATGTCGAGGCGCGCCTTGAGGCTGCGAATCAGCTCGTCCTTGTCCTGCAGGCCCTCTCCAGCAGGGACGTGCGCGCGCCCAGGGGGCGCCGGCGGCCCCGGTGCGCCCCGAGGGCCCCCACTATCCGCGTCCACCACCTCCTGGACGAGATCCTCCGCTGGCTCGCACGCCACACGGTGTTTCGCCGAGCTGTCTTGGGCCGCTTGCGATTGCTGCCGGGCGCCAGGGCGCGCGACGGCAGTGCCCTGCGCGCGGGGTGCGACGAGGGGGCGGGGGCGTTCGACGGCCCGAACATCTGTCGCCCGGGCCACAGCGCACGCCTCAACGGGCCTCGAGCCACGCTCATGCGGGCGGAAATGGTCCGGCACTTGCCTGAGGCGCCTTCGGCGGCAGCTCGCTGGTCTGCCCGCCATCCGGGGCGTCCATGAACATCGTCGCGTGGAACTTCTGGTCGAAGTACTTGCTCCGTATCAGGAAGCTGTCGCGAATGCCCTGGGTCGAGGACCGCTTGTTCTGAGCAATGCGCGTGACGCGCAAGGACACCGCAACTTCGGTGCACTCGCCGGGACCGAGGCGTATCTCCGGGTGGCTGACAGTGTAGCGGTCCGGAATTCCGGGTCGGATGGTCGCCTCGACGGGAGCATTCAGGTTGTTCGTTACCCTGCGCACCAGGCAAGTGAGCGCTCGCCTGGTCCCGCGCAGCTGCCAGGTCCATGCGCGCTGCTCGGGCACAGAGGTGTACGCAACAGTGCGCATTGCGGCGCGCGCGCAAGGATGGCGCATCACGTTCTCGGCGGGAAACGGGCACGAGCCCGGGCCGCGGCGATGTCCGAGCCTCCCGCCCGGGTGAGCGTCTCGCTGAGCGGGCGGCAGTCGCACAACATCGGGCATCTACGCGGGAAGGTGGCATCGCCCTCGACGGCGGCACTCGGGCGGGCTCACCTGATTTTCTGTCGGTACACCTGCTGCGGGCGGACGTTGCGGAACACGAGCTCCTCAGGATCGAGGGTCAGCAAGCCCTGGGGAGCGAACTTGTCATCCATGATGTCTCTACTGTCACTCAGCTATCATGCCGGAGCGAAATGCACTCCCAGCGGTGCGGGTCGAAGGTCCCCTCGCGAGACCTGCGGGCCTGGTTTTGAAAAGCAGCAGGCTGCCTCTCTGCTCCGGCCACGCAGCAGCAGTGCGAAGTCGCCGAGAGACGGAGCTAGGGATCCAGTCCCTCGTCGTGCGCCCGCGCTCCTGCGTGGGCCAGCACGAACCGTCCCCGCAGCCCCCTGGCGAGAGCCAACGGGCGACGCGCCGTGCGATCCGGATACGAGCAGGCCAGCGCTTGCCGCCTGGTGGCACGGGAGCGCTTGTTCGTTTGGCGCGGACCGAAGCGGGCCCTCGTGCGCGGCCGCGAGTGGCGGGCACCGTTCGGGTACAACGGGTCGGACGCTCAGCTTTTCACGGCCGGGCCCGGGGCGCCAGCCGCGAATCTAGGGGCGCCCCGGCCGCCGCGCACATGACTTGAAGCATATTCGGCCGTGCACGCCCGACCTTGTGCGCAACCATCCAACGCGTTGAACACGCACACGGACGCAGCTCCGCCCCGCTCGTCGCCGCCTGCGCGTTGCAGGGGCGCTGACGAGTGTGTGCCGAGACGCCTCTTTGCGTGTTCTCCGCATCTTTCCCGGAGTCCCTGATCGAGAGAGGCAGGCCGGTCGCGTGAGGAGCGTTTCAGACAACTGCCCACTGCAGACCTCTGCTGCTCGCGCTCGTGTGCAGCAGCTTCGTGCACAATGTCCAACTCAGCTGCATACGGGCCTGATGGCCGCGTTGTCTACGTTGGCAACCTCCCGAACTCTATAAACGAGCAGCAGTTGTGGGCGCTGTTCAGTCAGTGTGGCTTCGTCACCACCGCGCGCATCACGGGCGACCCCACGTACTCCACGAGGTTTGCTTTCGTCGAGTTCAACAGCACTGAGGAGGCCAAGTACGCGTGCCTCCTGGACGGCATGGAGTTTGGCGGCCTGAACCTCAAGGTGAGCTGTCTAGCCCGCGACGTTGCGCACGAGGACGGGCCGGTTGCTCGCGGGCGGTCGCCCCCTGCCCACAGCGCCGCGGGCGTCAGGGCGGGCGCGCTCGCTCCGTCCGGGTGCGAGCCGGCGCGGTGGTTGTGGGGCAAAGTGACCTCAGCTGCAGGTCGAAGGTGCCGCGCTCTTCAGCGTCGCCGCGCCGGGCATTCCCTCCTCATCCCCAGATTGATGCGGGTGCCGCGTGGTCCAGCCCCTCAGATCGCCCGCCGGAGGTTTACGTGCTGCCAGCCCTTGGCTCTGGTTGGGCGAGCGGATCGGCCCCCCCGCCTGCATGGCCCCTCGCGGGCCTTGGTTCCGCGGGCTAGATTTGGTGATGATGCGGGCGCGAGGGGGGGCAGGGCCTCGGTCACAGACTGCCATGCTTCCCTGCACGTTTGCTCTCCCAAGTCTTTGCGACCTGCCGCCGCAGCCGGTGCCGGGCGCCTCTGGCCCGCCCGGCCGCTGCTCCACTTCGATTGATCGCGCCGATGAGCGTGCGCGCCGTTGCAGGTGTCCATGGCGATGGGAGCGGACAACCCAGGGCGCCAAGCTGGGCGCCCCGTCAAGTTGCCCGACGACCCCGGGCGCGTTGCACGAACGATCCACATTTCAGGAGTCGCTTTCGACGAGATTCCCGAAGTGGCACTCGCGGACTACTTTGGATATGTCGGAAAGGTGCGGTGCCGGCCTCGAGGGGGACGAGTGTGTGTGGCCCTCTGCTGCGAGGACGAGCCAGCAAGTCGCTTGGTGCCCCACGAGCGGCGGCGACGGCTCCGGCGCCCGCCCGGCCGCGCGTCAGTTGGCCACGCACGCTCCTCGGTCGGTCCTCGCAGCGTCGGGGACGCGCCGTGTGTCGCCCGCGACGTTGAACCCTCCCCGGCCCCTCCTGTGCAGGTGATCGCCGTGCGACGCTCCGGCCGGTTCGCGTGGGTGGAGTTCGAGACCGCTGAGGAGGCACAGAAGGCGCTTGCCTGCGACGGCGAGCTGTTCGGCAACGCCACCATGCGCATATCGACCTCCAAGACCCCCATCCACACCGCGGGTGCGTGCCCGCGGCGCCCGCGCCCCCCGGAACAGATCCGCCCGCCCTCGCCGCCACCCACCCCATTGTCGTCGCGATCGGACGTTCGTGCAGGCTGGGTGAACCCGACTGCGGCTTCGAAGTTCGGAGATGGCGGGCGCCGGGACCAGAACCACGTGGCCCAGCACGTGGCGCACCCAGCGGCGATGCCCGGGTACCCCCCGCATGGACCGGGGATGCCGTACGGCATGCCGCCCCCGGGAGCGTACCCCGGCAACCCGACGATGCCCCCCGCCGGTGGCTTCCCTGGGGCTCCAAGTGGCTACTACCCGCCCGCTCCCGGGCCGGGCGTCATGCCCCGCGGGTCCACGGGCGGACCCGGCGGCCACTACCCCGCGCCTCCAGGCCCCGGAGGCCCCCCGCGCTATTAGACGGCGACGGCTGCTCCCGACTAGGTCCGGAGTCGGTTGGATTCAGCTCGACGTCCCGGAAACCCCGCTGCGCTGCCACACGATCAGCCAGGCGACGAACGCAGCCCCTCTGCGTTCCCCTCCCCCCCAATCCTCTCCCCCACGCTCCAAACCCTCCCCCTACAGGCAAAGAACGCAGCCCCCCTGCCGTCTCCCTCCCTCTCTCCCCCCCTCCCCTACCGGTTCCCCCCTCCCAGTTCCCTGGCCTCGTATTCCCCCTCCCTTCCCGTTTCCCCGCCTCCCCTGCTTCCAAATCTTTGCTGCCCAACACACCCTGTCCTGGCTTCCCAAGGAAGCGCCGATGCAGTCGCCACCACCTCCCTTCTCGAGTCTTGACAACCAGCACCCCCGCTGTCGCCTGGACACCACGGGAGACGTATGCATAGCCAACCACTGGGGGGCGTGCGCAAGTCGAACCAACCGCGCCGTGGACGATCACCCAGGTCATTCTTGTGCCAGGGCAGGCAACAGCATCTTCCCCCGCCACCACGGAAACGCCTTCCACAGAGTCGCCGTCTCCCCTGCGTCCCGTGGCCTGGCGTCTCTCACATCCAGTGGACACCCTTTCTGGGCTCGAGAAGGGTGTTCCGACTAGATCTGGCACGTCAGCTGACCGCTGATGAGAAGAAGCTCGTCTCTGTGAACAGCGCTCGGCTGCGAGTCAGCCGGCCCGTGGGGCTGAACTGTCTGCCGTGCTGCACTCTCCCGCCCCCGGCAAGAGTCTGCGCCTCAACCTCCATCACTGGCAGCGCACCCGGCGCCCAACAGGTCGCGACCGCGTCATTTCCACGCCACGGACGCGGGCGACGGCCTCGTGTGGAGTTTGCGCGGCGTTGACCCGCGCCGAGAGTGTCCAGCGCCAGCAGTGGTGCACGGTTCTGACCGATGCGCAGTCCGTCTGCGGACCTAGACGACCCCACGGAGCAGCCCGTAGTGTGCAGCTTTCGCATCCCTACAGTTTTGCAGCGGTGCGGAACGACGCTGGTCGAGACATCGACATGTCGAGCTGAATCTGGGCCTGCTGCTGACCGAGGCGTGAAGGGCCGTGAGACACCTGGGATAGTACATACTTGCACAACGCACTGCATGCTAGACCGTCCCCCTTGCCCGTCTCAAGTCATCCGCGGGAATGCATGACCGTCTGCGGCGCAGGACGTCGGGGACACTTCAGAGTCGGTTTTGGACTGCGCGTACGTGACGGACCCCGCCACGCAGGCCAAGCTGCGCGAGGCTGCGGCGACGAAGGAGACGCTCGTGGCGGCGTCGTACGTCAAGGAGCTGGCGAAGCGACAGGCCGTGGAGGAGATCAACAAGGAGAGCAAGCACAAGACCGAGAAGAAGGCCAAGGATGCCGGCGACACATGAAGGAAGGACGCCGGCAGCCCGCGAAGGGGGGGGAGGCCCTCCTGCGGTCGGCGGGGCTGTTGAAGAGGACGGAGCTGCCGGTGCTGCGCGTTATGACACAACTTGGCCGGCTCATCTTGTGTGCACCCTGATTCGCTGGGTCAGTCTCATCTGCCAGGCATCCGTCTCACACGCCGTGCGGGAGCCTTCTCGTTGGTCGAGCCATGTCGATTTCCACTGCACAGCTCGAAGTCCATGTGCGAGGGACAACCCTCTGTCCCCTGCGACCGTTCGGCGCCCCTCAACGCCCTCCGCACGATTTTTGCGCTTTGGTTCTCGCTCTGGGACACGTCCTGGCAGCACTACTGCTCTGACATACTGCCGCATGTAGCCGGACGGATCGCTACTTTCGCGTGAGCCTCCTGACACTGTCTAGCTTTGACATTCCCTGTCCACCAGTGCCCACGACGCCGATGTCAGTATACTTGGCCGACTGCAGCACGGCCTCAGCGCGGAGGCTCTTGCTGGGGAGCAACAGACTGCGGCAGAACGTCTCTGCAGCTGACGAGACACATGAGGCAGACTCCGCGACGAGACCGAGCCCGGTCCAAAGCAGCAGCTCCTGCGCGCACATTCGACGGTACTCGTTATTCAAGGCGCTCCCGGCGGGATGGGGCCCCAGACCCCGCGCACCCCAGCACAATGATTTGTTCCGGGCCCGCCACGCTTCCCCTCGCTGGTCTGGCAACGCACCTTGTTTCTCGCCTGTTCCGAGCCAAGCTTCTCACCAAGGGCACGATTGAGAGTCTCAGAGCTGCTCAGATCCCTGCGAGTGCAACGAATAGTTCCACAGCCAGCAGCTTTGGTTTTCCCGCTGGCTCTTGGATGATGTGGCTACACAGCAGTCGCGAACAACTGCCACAGCAGAATAGAGGAGGTCCCCCGCGACAACGCAGCGCGAAATCTCACCGTGCTATGTGCTGCATCTTGTGGGTCCTCCACGCGCGTTGAATCCTCCTCGCCGCCCGATTCACGCGCTTGCCATGAAGCTCCTGCTCCAAGAAGCCTTGCAGGCGAGCCTCCGTCTGCACCGATGCATCCCACCGTGCAGTGAGCAGTGTCTTCACTCGTCCGTATTTCTTGTCATCAAAATCATGCAGGATGCCCGCGCGTTCTCGGGCTGAGCGTGTTTCGTGCGATTGCGAGTGGCCAGACCTGTGCGAGACGCGCTGCCAGATGTGCGTTCTGCCGTTCCTTCTCGGCTAGGCTCTCTTGCAAAGCACCGTTGCTGGTCTCGCTCTTCTCCAGATTCTGCTGCAGTTCGGCGGCGTCACGGCTTGCCTCTTGCAGCTGCACGTGCATTTTCGAGACGAAAAAGCCTTCCGTTTGAGATGACGCTCAAGCGGAGGCTGGTCGCGCAAGCACGACCGCCACGTCTGCGCAGCGCTCTTTCAGCACCTTTGAATTCAGTCTTTCGTTTTCTTCGTTGAGCCGCTCGCACTGCGCATTCAGGTCCTCTGTTGCCGTCGTGAGTTGCGCGACCTGCTGCTCCAGACTCTCGCATCTTTCTGATAGTCCTGCACGTGCACCCCGCAAGCCGTCGATCTCCAAAGACGCATGATGTGCCTGCTCCTGTTGCTCCTTGACGACACGCCGTAAGTCTTCCAACTCCACGCTGGCCGCCCCGAGTCGCTCCTCCAGCGTCGCATGGGAAGTCTGGAGCTTTGCAGCTCTGCAAAAAGACAGTATGCGCTCAACGGCCCGGATGGAACCAACTCGCCCTCGCCGTCACGCCAGGCACGCGACATCGGATGCGAGGTCGCTCATCGTGCTTTTGGCGGAGACCCTTCGAGGTGGGGCGACTCACTTGTGCTGCAGACTGTCCCTTTCATGAGTGACTGCTTTGAGCTTCTTCTCTCGCTCCTGCTCAGACTGCTGCAATCGCGACACGAGCCGCTCCATCTCCTCCTCACGCACGGCAAGCCTTGCCTCAAGCATCCCCAGTTCTTGCTCCATTTCCTCTGCCCGGACCTGCGATGAAATCCACGCAACCCACGGTCAGTCACGAATGGGTGCGCGTCCCACACCGCCCCCCCCCGTGATGCGTGCAGCCTCGCAGCTGACCTGATTCTCCGTGACGAACGCCTTGTAGTCGACAACCTCGTTGACTTGCGCACGCGTCTTCACTTGCATAGCGCGCGAGCCAAACAGCATGGACGACACTGTCTCCTCCACGTGATCGACAACTGCGGGGCACAGACAACGCCTCACCAGTGAGTCGCTCGGATCGGGGTCGCGGGCCTGCAGCATTCCCGGACGAGCCAGCGCCCACACGTCGCCACGATGTCGGCAGTTCGCCATCGAAGGATTGAATGATTGGGTAGGCCGCGGTGGATGACGCACCGTCAGGGATGCAGACGATCAGCGTTGTTTTGCAGTTGCCACCCAGGGACTCCTGCAGCATCCGCGGGGAAGGGAGCGCGGGCGGTCCAGACGCGACTCGCATGCACCAGGGCAGCTGCCAGAACGTCGCGATATCTCGTCGCGCGCACCTGCAGCAGCCTCGTGAGCTTGCTGTCTCTGAATGGAACATAGGTCGCATTTGGGTCGGCGCGAGCATTGATGCACATGCCAAGAGTCGACAACGACTTGTTGATTGCCTTGGCTTCGTCCTTACGAACTCCTTCGCTCTTCGACTTCTTGAGTCGCTCGCTTCCCGCGAGGTCCACGAGAAACAATTTCCCAATCACCATCCTGCACGGACTCGCAGCGACACCATCGAGCACTTGATATTTGCTTGCCCGCAGCGAGGCCTACTGAGAACTCCTAGGAGCTGGCAGGTCGATTGGGCTCAGGGAGGGACGCGCACTTTTCCGGTCGCTTCGTGCCGTCCGACACTCGCCGCCGCTTCTCGACCGTCACGATGGTGATCGCATGAGATCTCGAGGAATGCGCATTGAGCTTCGTGCACGCGTACACGCGATTCTGCTCACCAGCGAGAATCACGCGCAGCGCTTGGTCGACAGACTTGACTTCCACACGACGAGCCCCCTCCACATACACTTTGCCTGCAATCAGGGCGGTTCTTGGCACGGCTTTCATGACTACCCTCAGCTCATAACCTCCACCTGGTCGATACGAGCGTGGCATTGCGCACCGTCCATGTCTTCTCGCAGGTTGAGTGACTCCATGTCCTCCACCAGCAGGTCGTGGACGATCTGCAATGACGCATCCAGAAGATATCGGCATGCGCTCACGGCAGACGCGCGTGCCCAGCCTCCCGGACCGAGCCCGCACACGACCGTCGATGCAACAAGGCAAGGCGCACCTCGCAATAAATCTGCAGATAAGACATGTAGACTTGGTATTCGTGTTCGGAGTCATGCTTCGCTGCCTCAAATATGTGGGCGCTCGCGCGCGAGATCATGCCCTCCGTGTTGACTTCGTTTCCGACGGTGTACGTCTTGCCTGCGCCAGTCTGCCCGTAGGCCATGATCGTGCCTGCATCAAAGAGCGTTGCGCTTCCGTCAGTGCAGGTGAAGGCAGCTGCACACCTACAGGCACACGCATGGCAGCACCGCGGACACTGCTATGCGTCCGTCACGTGCACGCGCACCGTTGTATCCCATCAGCACGTCTTCGACGACCGGCCTGCCGGCCACATCGTACACGTCCATTTGCGAGGCCGTCGTGGGCAGCACCTTGTCGAACTCGAAGTCGGAGTATGCCACATTGCTGCGACTGCAGGACGACGGGGCTCGCGGGAAACGTGGACGGAGCGACGCGCAAACATTGGCACAACAGCCCATGGCCCTCGAGGCGACTTGCGGACACTGTGGGGCGCGCGGCACTCGCGGGACACCTACACTGACAGGTACCGGTTGACGCGAACCGACTTTCCGTCAACACCGACATCCACGGACCCGGGCTGCTCCTCCCCGATGGCAGGTCGCACTCGCACGCACACCTTCACCCGTTCTCCCTTGTCGCTCAATGACGGAGCCGCCTGCAGCAGTATCGCGCATGGCATGCGGGTCAGGTCATCCGCTGCATCATGCGAGACGCGCGCCGCCGCAGTGTGGTGCGCGTGGCCGTCACCTTGAACGATGGCCGTGAGCTGGTGATCGGCTTGCTCTCGGGGGTCAGGTGCGCGACCCCCGCGGACAACGCGCGTTGCGAAGTGGACCGCATCGATGTTGTCCCTGCATGCGATCCGTCAGAGGATGCGATTCGCGGCGACGTAGACGGCCGAGGCGGCATGCTCTTCCCGGACAGTTGACCCTGGGCGACGGGATCTCCGAGCGGTGCCGCCTAACGCCTCCCGTGCTCTGCACACGCTGCGGGGTACGATTCGACGACTCTCCCAGCCACGGTCTGCATGCGCCGGCGAGACCACGCTGCGCACACCGACACCGAGCCACGCCGCCGGGAGGCAGCAGTGCCGGGGCAGGTGCGAATCACCCGTCTCGGAGGGCGAAACCGCTGCCACGGTACCACTGTTGCGTTGTCGAGGTTGACCAGTTGCAGGACACTGCCAGTGCTGGCCGACGTCGCGAATCACAGACTCCAGCACAGACGGGGTCCAACTGGCTCCTCCGGAGTCGAGCGAGGAGGTCTCACGCCGGTCTGAGGGACCCAAGGTGACTTCACTCCCGTGAGCAGGCGCGGGCGAGCGTCACTCGCAGCGCACTATACGCGGCTTGCTCGACGCTGACTCTAAGCACCCCGTCTAGCGGCACACGCGACCTCGAGCGAACGCAGGTGGCGCCCCAAGACGTACTTCCTGTAGGCGCCGCATGCCGCCAGCACGGCGAGTTCGTCGCAGCGAGGCAGAAGTCACGCCGGTTTGAGGCCTCTTTCGAGATGGACACGACCCTATCGGAGAGCGTGCTCGAATACGATGTGCACCTGGTCGCTGGAGGTCGCCGTTTGCCGGTGATCCTGGAGCTCAGCGGTGACCGCTCCACAGGGTCCCAGGTGCGGCCTCCGTCGAGCAGCACAACGCACTTTTGGGACAAGACACGAATATTCGAGCCACTCACAGCCCGTTCATCGTGCGCGGCCTCCTGCACACGAGCCAGAATTCAATTTGCGCGGACTCACAGCCGAGTGCCACTCGACCAGCGCAGGATGGCTCGGCGTGCGTGCGCATGCTCCACGTCGACGGAAGAGTGCTGCACGAGATTCCAGCAGCAGCGATCGCAAGCGCCGCAGCTGGCACGCCGTCAGGTGACGACGGCGGCCTGGTGGTTATGAAGCTGAGCACCAACGAGGCAAGCCGCCCTACCGCCTCCTGAGGTTTGGACAGCGACCCTGGAGGCTCGTCATCCCTTTGATGGCGACACAGACATCGCAAATCGGCGCCGACGATTCACTGCAGGGAGAGAGGGACCTGCGTATCGCCACTCTGGACGCAAGCGCAGCAGATGAAATCGCTGCTGTCGTGGAGTTCCTCGCGGCCAGGAGTCCGCAGGGTTCGGAACTCGACCCCGCTTCTTTTGTGTCGCAGCGAGACGCGCATGTGCGCCGTAGCGATGACGATCGTGGCGGCGCGCAGGCGGGACCTGCTGGACCCCTCGACGCCTCCCACGCTGCGCAAGACCTCCGGCGGCTCTCTGACGGCAGAGGGTCTCGGCTGCAGGCGGACACTCGGCTGGATCACGCGACGTCTGGCGCGCCCGCTGGTGACGGCGAACACGCGAGAGAACCTTCAAGTGGGGCTTCAGTCAGTGGCGCTGGTGAGCGCCCCCTCCGCGACGCGACTCAACTGTCATTCTGCTTGGATGCGCACGCACCGGAGAGAATGAATTTGCCTGTGGACGCCGCCGCCCTGCCCGCAGCGGGCCCACAAGAGCCACTGGACGAGGAGCCACGTCACGACCCCGAGGTGCCGACCTCACGCGCCGAACCCAGCCTGGCAGACCGACCGACGAACGTCATGGCCACAGGCAGGGGCGCCGCGGCCTCGGGGCAGGGCGCGTGCGTCGTTCGTAGCATGGACTTGGATCTGTCACCTTCAAACCGCAGAGTAAGTTGCGCATGCACACGCAGCGCCCGCGTCAGTGCACGTGTGCGTGCCCGACCCATGGGCGGAGCAGGCCGATGTCACATGTCGCGCCGTCTCGTGCAGGTGAACCTGCGAGTGAGAGCCGAACTTGAGGGCAGGATGCTGCCTGGCGCCGTGCACAGGGCAGACTGGGCCGTGCAGAACGAGTCGGATCCCGCTGTGCAAGTCTCGGCGACGCGTGCGAATGCGGCACAGGGCCAGAGGGCGCAGGCCCTTTCGAATCAGCTTGTGTTGGTTCAGCAGGAGCTGCAGGTGCGCAAGGCAGCTCTCACGTCATCCGCCACGTCACGTCCGCGATATACGGCGACCACGATTGCCGTATTCATCAGAGGGGTGAGTGAGTTCCGGCGTTCCACGTCGCACCCGCAGGCCATGCGCGACCAAAAGGTGCAAGCTGAGGCGGCAGCGAAGTCGGCCGAACAAGCGATTGAGGACGCAGCGAAGCTGAATGCTGCGCTTGGTCAGGCGAACGATCGAATTCACTTCATGGAGAAGCTCAATGGCGCTCTCACGGACCAGCTCGGCCGCTGCGCAGAGGTGCTTCGTTCACAGGGCGCAGATGTGCCGGAGGCTGCGGCGTCGGACCGCCCCGTTCCGTCCTGGGTGCTGGACCAGCGCAGCTTGTCCCCACTGCTGGCGGCGTACGAGGTCCAGCAGCGGGAGCAACAAGACGCCCTAGCGGAGGCGGCAAACAGCCTGTCTTCGTTGCGCCAGCATCTCGAGAGTGTGTCAGCTGAAAATATCCAGCTGCGTCGAGAGCTCTCCGAGCGTTTACAGTCATTGGGGAAGCGTGCGGAACAGGTGATTGGCACGTCGCGGCGATCGCACCCGCTCGGCGTCAGTTGCTGATTGTTAGTATTTCAAAGGACCTGCTCTCCTCGGTGTCGCGCAGGTCGCCACGGAAAGCGTCGCACGCCCCCCCCACGGCAGCGACCTCAAGGAGCGCGTCGATCTTCTGTCTCGCGAAAATGACCTACTTGTGGAGCAGCAGGAGGAGCTGCACGAGGAGATCCGGCGGCTCCAAACAGCTGTCGAACGAAAGGCTGGCACAGACGTGAACGCCATCAACGCGGCCGCGAAGGTTGCCGGCGAGGCTCGCATCGCCATTGCCGAGGCACAAAGTCTGCGAGAGAGGCTTCAGAAGTCCACCAGGGAGACGGAAATGTGGTCGAATCGTGCAGCCGTCGCACGGAGGGAGGCGGACCAGGTCGGTGCAAGTGCTCCTCTCGTGCAGTACGACGCGCCACGTGACTGACGGCGCGTTGGCCGACCGCCAACCAATGCGCTCGTGCCAGACACGCTTCTGCAGGCGCAAGCGGAACGTGATGCACTCAAGGCGCAAGCTGCTTCCGCGGCGCATCTCGCCGGGAGGCTCGAGTCCGTGACCGCCGAATGCAGGGCACTGAGAGATCAGGCAGCGTTCTCTGGGTCTGCTGCTCGTCAGATCACGAACGAGGCTGACAATGCAGCTCAGGTGCGACCTGCGACCGGGCTTGGTGCCGTGCTCGTGCAATGAGCATGCATGATGCAGACGACAGAGAAGTCTGTGCGTCATGCAGGAGCTAACTCAGCTGCGTTCTGCGAACAAGACCCTTCGCCTTGAAGTGGGACAGCTGACATCGAAAATCGAGGGCCTCCGGTCTCAGTTCCGGGCCGCCACCGAGAGAGAAACAGACCTTGTTTTGAAGTCGAAGCAGATCCAGGAAGAGGCGGACGTGCACAAGATGAGCGCGGAGGCGAATGCGGAGAACGCCGCGGCCCTCAAGGCAAGACGTGCTGCGTGCATTCGGCTGTCATCCGCCCGCGCTGCCATCGCGCGTGACCATTCGATCATGACCGACCTGGGAGCGTGCGTGCCATTCAACGCGCAGGAGGAAATGGAGGCGCTTCTAACACACCTTGCAACTGCCCGTGCACAAGCCAGGCTCGATGTCGAGGCGCAGCTCCTCCCACGGGCGGAAGAGGCGGAGAAAACATGCGTCCTACTCCAGGACGAGGTCCAGACCCTGCGTGCGGAGGTCGTGCGACTTGAGAGCGCGGTCGCGAGAAAGGACCGTGATGTCCAGGTTGGCATCCCATACACGAGCGAGTGCAGTTCAAATCGAGGACAGTGCGCGAGCTGACTCCGGCGGCTTGTGTCATCGATTTGCAGGGAGCACGGGCAGAGTGCACAGCTCTGCAGCAGAAGCTCGGAGCTGTACAGCATTCGCCACAGGCTACCTCCTCTGCCACCAAACAGCTCCAAGCTGAGTTGATATCTGCACGTGAGGAGCTCCACGAATGTCAGGTAACATCGCGCACACGGATTTGTCGTGCTTCTATCTGCAGAAGATCCTGCTGCCAAAGCACTTGATCGGACACGGACCTCGAATTTGCCAAGGTGGATTTTTTCGAACTGCAGAAAGCGCTCGAGGTCGCCGAGCGGTCCCATCGTCAGCAAGTGCGGGGCTGGGATCGTGAAAGGGCAGTTCTGGAGTCGTCGATCAGCCAAGGGCGTGCTGCTGCTGCACAAGCAGAAAAGGCAGCAGAGGAGCATCACCAGGAGCTCCGCAGCGTTCAGAACAGGCTTGAACGGCTGCTTCGCGACCACAGGCTAGTTCCATTCCGATGTCGGATCGCGAAAAGTGCATGCTTGACGTGCAGGCCACACACAAGGTGCGATCTTGCATATTGTTGTTGTGAAGCGTTGCAGGGAATTGACGGACGCGAAACGCTCAGATCATGCGCGTCTTCAAGGGCAGATTGAGGCTCTAACGATCGAGCGGGATGCGGAAAGGATTGCTGCTGGCAAGCGCATCGATGAGTTACAGGTATGTCTCCATGAAGGCGGCTGTCAGGTCCCATACTCGCGGCCTGCACGTGTTGCCTCACCGGCATCGAATGCGACTGATATCTCATCGCAGGGCATGTGGAGCAGGGCCAGCGCAGAGGCCGAACAAATGCTTCAGGCGAAAGAGGCCGTGCTGGAGCGCTGGCGTGATGAGGCCTTGAAGAATGTAGAAAAACTGGAGGGTGCCTCGGAGCACGCGCGCGATCGTGCGCAGCAAGACAGCCAAGCTCGCAATCGACTGAGGCAAGAGATTGCATCTCTGCAAGCGAAGCAGCGAGCACTTGAATCCGACCTGCGAGCAGCTCGGGCAGATGCGGCGGCGATGGCACCCCGGCTCGCGCACATGGAGGCTCGCCTTGCCGT